TGGGAATAGAACCAAAGGATCTTTGATCTTAGTAGTGCCCGAAGCTATTAGCTATGTTGAAAAGACAAAGAGAAATAAGTTCAGAACCCGCTGTTAAGCAAAGAAGGTTGGAACAGAGGCTTCCCTCCTTACCAGTACATGGAAAAAGACCTATACTGAAGGCAGGACTGTCATGGACGGTCAAAGGAAAGGATAAAGGCGCCCAAGGGTCTTTCCTGTTTGACACCGGTTGTACAGGAGCTATCCTCAACCAGAGTTTTGTCAGGAAACATGGAATTCCCTTAGTGCGGCGGGATCAACCTCTGACAATGTTTGATGCTCAAGGAGATGTCATGATGGGAGGAGGCGAGTATTACACTCACCCGGTCCGTATGACTATGGGAGATCATAATGAGACACTCCGACGGGAGGTGGCCACACTGGAAGAAGGAATGACCGGTTACCTGCCAATTAGTTGGGCTAGGAAGCATAACCCGGACATTAATTGGGAACTCAACACCATGAGCTGGAGGAGTGACTACTGCAAGCAGAATTGTCTCCCAGCGGCCACCAAGATCGAACTGATCTCTCCATACCAAATGTTGGAAGAAGAAGAGACAGTGTATCAATTGGTTGGTTCAGTATGGCATGATGAGGACGGAGGTGATATTGCTGAGAAAATACACCACCTATACCGGGATTGGGCCGATGTGTTCAGTCAAGAGAAGATTGAGGAAATGCCGCCGCATTCCCATAATGATTTAAAGATCAAACTCTTGCCTGGGACCGCTCCCCCATTTGGCCCGCTGTACCCATGTTCCGCTCCAGAATTGAAGGCCCTCCGAGAGTACCTGGACAAAGAATTGTCTTCAGGAAAGATCTCTAGATCTAACAGCCCTGCTGCGGCGCCCATACTGTTCATTCCTAAGAAGGATGGGACATTGCGGATTTGTGTGGACTACAGAGGATTGAACAAGGTCACTGTCAAGGACAAGTACCCGCTGCCTATCATGAGTGAGCTCAGAGACAGGTTGTTCAAGGCCAAGATCTTCACAAAGATAGACCTGAAGAACGGCTTCAATTTGATCAGGATAGCAGAAGGTGATGAGTGGAAGACCGCTTTCAGAACCCGCTATGGACTGTATCAGTATAATGTGATGCCGTTTGGTCTATGCAATGCTCCCTCCGCTTTTCAGGCAATGATCAATGATGTGCTAAAGGAACTACTGGATGAAGGAGTGGTTGTCTATATTGACGACATTCTCATCTACTCGGAGACTGAGAAAGAGCATGAGCTATTGGTCAAGAGGGTACTACAGAAGCTTAGGGAAGCTAAGCTCTGTGCCTCGATCAGTAAGACATCCTTCCATGTCCGAGAAGTAGAATACCTAGGCTATCACATCTCGGAAGAAGGAGTATCTATGTCAGAAGACAAGGTGGAGGCAGTTAAGGAATGGCCGGTCCCTGAGAATATCAAGGCAGTACAGGCATTCCTCGGATTTGCAAACTTCTATCGCCGCTTCATTGAAGGCTTTAGTAAGGTTTGCAAACCATTAACTGACCTCTTGCAAAAAGACAAGAAATGGTATTGGACGGCAGCACATGAGCAGGCCTTTGAAGAACTCAAGAGGCTGTTCACAAGCGCTCCAATCCTTCTTCATTTTGACCCTAGTAGGAGAACTGTGGTCGAGACAGATGCCAGTGATTTTGCCAAGGGAGCGGTGCTCTCTCAGTATGGGGATGATGGGAAGCTACATCCGGTGGCATTCTATTCTAAGAAGTTCTCCCCTGCTGAGATCAACTATGACATTCATGATAAGGAAATGGGAGCTATTGTAGCCTCTTTCCGGGAATGGGAACACATGCTCAAATCTTGTGAGCAAGAGATCACGGTTTTTACAGACCACAAGAACTTGGAGTACTTTAATTCTACCAAGGTTCTCACTAGGCGGCAAGCTAGATGGTCTGAAGACCTCGCAGGCTACAATTTTAAAGTTGTCTACAGGCCGGGAGAAAAGAATGGCAAGACTGATGTGCTATCTAGGCGCTGGGATCACCGCCTTGGAGAGGGAGGTGAAACTCTGCAGCCGGAGCCACAGATCTTTTTTAGGCCAGGTCAATTGGTTTTGGATCCTGCAAAGCTAGCGGCTGTGAGGGTGAATCAATTGCAGAATACATTCTTAGAGCGCCTATATGCGGCTGCTAAAGAGGATAGTTTCTGGCAGGAACTGCACCACTCCCTGGTTGAAAGGAAACCAAGTTTGGACCAGAACTTGTCGGTCAAGAACGGTCTCATCTTCTACAAAAATAGATGGTATATACCCAAGGACAAGAAGCTTCAGATGGAAATACTGTCCGATAACCATGACTCTAAGGTGGCTGGTCATTTTGGCCAATTTAAGACACTAGAGCGGGTAAAAAACAACTTCTTTTGGCCCAACATGGATAAGGATGTTGAGGAATATGTCCGGAGCTGTGACAGCTGCCAGAGGAATAAAACCTCAAGACACAAGAAGTTTGGTATGCTCCAACCGTTGGAAATACCCTATCGGCCATGGACTTCCATCTCTATGGACTTCATTGTGGGATTACCGGAATCTAGCGGGTTTACAAAGATCTGGGTAATAGTGGACCGTTTTTCGAAGATGGCACACTACATCCCTCTTCCTACCCTCAATAAAACGGAAGATTTGGCTAAGTTGTTCTTGAAGGAAGTTTGGAGACTCCATGGGTTACCTGATGACATAGTCTCGGACAGAGATAGCAGGTTCATCTCTCACTTTTGGCAATCTCTCATGAGCCTCCTCAATGTGAAGCTGAAGATGTCCACATCTTTCCACCCTCAAACGGACGGTCAAACAGAAAGAGTTAATCAGACCCTGGAACATTACTTGCGGAGTTATTGTTCATATCAACAGGATGACTGGGCAGAACTCTTGCCTTTGGCAGAGTATGCATATAACTCGGCGGTCTCTGAGTCTACCAAAGTATCGGCTTTTTATGCCAACTATGGATATGAACCCAGGACCAACTGGCCGGCCCCAAGGGAAGGAGTAGAATGGAACAATCCAGCGAGCGAGGTCATGATATCTCAATGGGAATCTATCTGGCAGGCTATGAACGCCAGCTTGGGTAAAGCTAGATTGAGGATGGCCCGGTGGTATGATGCACATGCCCTGGCACCGCCTGAAATCAAGCCCGGAGATGAAGTTATGTTGGACCGGCGCAATGTGCAAACAAAGCGGCCTTTGGGAAAATTGGATCAGAAGAAAATGGGACCGTTTAAGGTCTTAGAAGCTATTGGTACCCGTGCCTACAAGCTCTCTCTTCCCCCCCAGATGGGAATCCACCCGGTCTTTCATGTCTCTCTTCTGGAACCTTACCGAGCACCAGTAGATCCTGAGAGAAGAGTTTCTGTACCAGAGCCCGAAGAGATTGAAGGAGAACAGAACTGGGTTGTCCGAGAGGTAGTTGATAGCCGGGTCAATAAGAAAAGGAGACGAGTGGAATACCTAGTGCTGTGGGAAGGTTATGAAAACGAGGATGCTACATGGGAACCTTGGGAGCATCTCAAGAAGAGTGCTGAAGAAGCCCTTCGGGATTTCCATATGAGGTATCCTAAGAAACCCAAGGACAAACGGATTGTTGGGGTGTAGTTTGTTTTCCTTTAGGTTTTTGTTCCTTGCATATCACGGAGTTTCTTGTCATATAGATTGGATGGTAATAGAATGGTTATAGATCTCGGAGACCAAGATCCAGGAAGAGGGGAGTGGTGTAACGGAGCCATTTCAACTGTCTGGTGTATGAGTACACACAGGGCCCGATTACATGCTGAGAGTTATTGTTAGAAGCCAGTTGCACGGTGATATGCAAGTACCGGCAGTGTGGTTAGCTACCAGCTGTTAGAGTAACTACATTCCGGGCGCTAGGAAGAGGATCTATTCATGGGAGCAATGACTGACGAGTCTATGCCTCGCCAGTGACTAGAAGACCGGCCAGAGTGAAGCTCTGATTGCCCGGTGATCCTCTGTATCCTCCGAGCATTGTAAGTCCGCCGAAGGGCAGAGACTATGCTAGGGAAGTCTACAATAAGTAAAAAGCTCTACAGCAATGATTAAGCTTACACCTGAGCGGCAGCTCATTCATGCAGGTCCTCGGTTGTGTGGCAACCAAGGCTGCAGGTGTTACAAAGGCTTTGACTAAGGGTGGTTGCCTTGGGTAATCGGAAACACCTGCTGACGCTTAGAGAAAAGCGGGGTAGCGGTGGTATTGTTTCCGGTACTGAGGGAAGGCCCACCGGAACTTAGTAAAGGAATTAGGAGCGGAGAACAGAGGCCTTCGGAGTATAAGTACTCAGGTTCATTCTCGCCCTTCAGTCCTGTTCTCGCCAGTCTTCATCAAAAAGAAAAAACCAAATTCTTATCGGTAGCAGAGCCCTTAAAGATTATTGAGTTCTAGCGATAGTATCTTTGAATAATCTGCAACCTGATTGTCTATCTTGCACGGCCGTCTCTATTCTATACAAATCTATTTCTCTTAGAAAGGACCCCCGTTACAAGGTGTTACAAAGGCTTTGACTAAGGGTGGTTGCCTTGGGTATCGGAAACACCTGCTGACGCTTAGAGAAAAGCGGGGTAGCGGTGGTATTATTTCCGGTACTGAGGGAGGGCCCACCGGAACTTAGTAAAGGACTTAGGAGCAGAGAATAGAAGCCTTCGGAGTATAAGTACTCAGGTTCATTCTCGCCCTTCAGTCCTGTTCTCTCCAGTCTTCATCAGAAAGAAATCGAAGTTCTTATCGGTAGCAGAGCCCTTAAAGATTATTGAGTTCTAGCGATAGTATCTTTGAATAATCTGCAACCTGATTGTCTATCTTGCACGGCCGTCTCTATTCTATCTTATTCTATTTTCTCTTAGAAGAGACCCCCGTTACATTTGGAACATGGTCGAACGACGGTGGAGGATCAAGCGAATCGTATTGCAAGGGAAATGAAGGATGTGGTGGACTTCCTAAGAAAAGAAATGTTCCGGGCGCAAAGGATACAAGAAGAATCAGCCAATAGGAATCGAACTCCAGCTCCTCGATATTATTTAGGAGACAAGGTTTTTCTATCGACCCGTCATATTCTAACAAAGCGACCCTCTAAGAAATTCGACTGGAAACGCATTGGGCCTTATAGCGTTAAACGAATCGTTAATCCCTATGCTTACGAGTTGGAACTTCCCCGATCGATGAAAATTCATCCAGTATTTCATGTTTCGTTATTGTCACCCGAAGCGAATGATCCTTTACCAGGACAACAACGATTACCACCACCTCCGGTTGAAATTGAAGGGGAGGAAGAATGGGAAGTCGAAGATATTTTGGATTCGAGGAAACGAAGAGGAAGATTTGAATATTTGGTACGATATATGGGATATGACGAAGCCTCCTGGCAATCGCTATCAGACCTTGAGCATTCACCTGAAATCATTAGACGATTCCATGAGCGTTATCCAGAGAAGCCTAAGCCTACCAGGAGGTAGGCCTTAGAGGGGGGCGTGGTCTGTAACGGCAGCTATGTATTTCGGCTAGGTGATGAACTGGGATGAGAGAGGGAGGTATTGTGTAGTGGAATTAAGATTTGTAATGGGGATTTCTGTTATGTTCTTTGGGTTTCTGTTATGCGAAGGTATTAGTCATCGTTGGATTATGGATGGATATATAAGGGGGCTTTGTTTCGTGCTTTTGTCTGTTTTCCTTCTTCTCTTTCTTCCTTACGCAACCTCTGTATTTATTCCACGAATACTATTCTTTGTCCGCACTACGTCATAGGGCTTCAACCGGTTTATCATACCAGGTAGAGCCACCCCATAGTCCATCGTCAAAGTATATCTTTACGTCTACGTCCACGTCTACGTCACTACCTAGGTTGTATTCCTTGGCACCACAGTTTATCGCCTACGGTCCCCGTGATAAAAAATGGGAAGGCAGATGCACTATCGCGACGGCCGGAGTACCGTCCTGAAGGGGGAGGCACGCTTGGGAAACAGCCGATAGACAGGTTCTTTAAGCCCGGACAGTTGGCGGAGGAAGAGTTTGTGGTATCAGCGGTGTCGCTTGCCTCCAAGGGGGTGATTGACTGGTCGAAGAATTTTTTGGATCATGTCAGGCAGGCGGCATCGGGAGACCCGATATGGGCAGGAATGAGAGAGAGAGTTGAGCAAGGGGAGAAGCTGGGGGAATTGAAGGATATTGCTGAGAAAGACGGGCTACTCTTCTATAAGAACCGACTCTACATCCCGGCAGACGACCGTATCAAGATCCGAATCGCACAGGCAGAACACGACTCGAAAGTGGCAGGACACTTTGGACAAGACAAGACACTGGAACTCATCACGCGTAACTTCTATTGGCCAAAAATGAACGAGTGGATTGATGACTACGTTCGGTCATGTGACGAGTGCCAGCGCAACAAACCCAGCCGCCATAAGAAATACGGTGCGCTTCTTCCACTGTCCACTCCACATTCTGTCTGGCAATCGATATCAATGGACTTCGTCGTGCAGTTACCAGAATCAAAGGGATATAGCCAAATCTGGGTAGTAGTCGATAGGTTCTCGAAGATGTCGCATTTCATTCCCCTAGTAGCAGAAACGACCGCGCAGGATTTAGCGAAGGTATTCCTCGGTCAAATCTGGCGACTCCATGGGCTGCCTCTTGATATAGTGTCCGACAGGGACGCCAAGTTTACATCAAGCTTTTGGGCATCCCTTATGGAATTATTGGACGTGAGGATAAGAATGAGTACGGCTTTCCACCCTCAGACCGATGGGCAAACTGAGCGGGTCAACCAAACCCTCGAGCACTACTTACGAGCATTCTGCAACTACGAGCAAGATGATTGGGCAGAGCTACTCCCGTTGGCGGAGTATGCTTACAACAACTCGGTTACCACCGCCACGGGTCAATCTCCGTTCTATACCAATTACGGTTACAACCCAAGAACCAACTGGCCGACGGAAGCCGAAGTGGTCAATCCAACCAGCGACCTGTACGCTCACTTCATCCGAGGAGTTCATGATTCTGCTCTCGCTCGCTTAACAGACACCAGGGAGAAAATGGGGAAATACTATGATCGGAAAAGGGACGAACCGCCTAACTTCAAGGTGGGAGACATGGTTATGCTCAACGCGACCAACATCAAGACACGTCGCTCCACTAAGAAACTCGATCATAAGAAACTCGGCCCGTTCAAAATTGTCCGACTAGCCGGGAAACGAGCCTGCGAACTGGAACTGCCACCACAAGTCAAAATCCATAATGTGTTTCACATTGAACTTTTGGAACGGTATCGTCAGAGCAGTATCCCAGGCCGAGAACAACGCCCCCCAACTCCCGAAGAGGTCGATAAGGAAGGAGAGGTGCTGTATGAAGTAGAAAGTATCGTGGGAAGCCGGAGGAGCAGAAGAGGATTAGTGGAATACCTGGTGAAATGGCGGGGCTATTCGATGAGCGATTGTACTTATCAAGTCATGGACGTTATGAACGAAGACGTACTTGATCTCGTCCGCGACTTTCATCGAAGGAACCCCAAGGCCGTGAAGGACCAACGCCTGAGACTATAGAGGTACCCCACGGGGCTAAGTCCTTCCCCTCCACAGACACCGCGGGTGATATGTGGAGCAGGTTTACTGGAACCATAGTCTGTCAGAAGATGTCCCGAGACGTGACACCCTGGAAGGGGGGTAAGCTGTTACGGGCATGCCAAGCATTTACGGGAATGAGAGAAAGGCTAGTAGATACCCCAATACCCTCTGATACTAATGGCAACACCACTATCAACTCCGGTTCGCACCCACGAGGTGCGGTGCGATCAATATGCGACCAAATGCGGAGTTGCGGTTTTCCTAGTTAAAAAACACGTTTTCGACCCCAATAATAACCCCCGGAGCGTCAAACTGCCGGAGGGGTGTGTTTTGGTACCGGTGGATATATGAGGAACAGCTGGAATCAATCGGATCGAAGATCGGACCGCTCGGAGCGAATCGGCGCAAGCTACCAGCCGACCGAGTACCTATCGGCGGTACCTGTGGGCATGAGAGGACTCTGCTATGTGGGAAAGCGATGTGGGAAGAGGCCTGAGTAGGTAGCCTTGCCGTCCGAGACCTCCGAATAGCCGACGCTGACGATTATCCACCAGATGGCCGATGGAGAAGAAACATCGACAGGGAAACGTGCATTAGAGTGGATAAATAGGTTGAGGGGTTTCAGCGGCTTTAGGAGTTTGGGTTACGGACTTAGGAGTTAAATGTTCTTGGTTGTTTTTCAGGGTCTCGGGCATGCCCCGAGTGTATTCTGTATTATTAGTAGACTGAGTCCTCGAGACATAAGCGAGGGATATAAATACTGTGTCATTCACTGACTAGCCAAACTATCATCGGCGAAATCAGAGTCTTAACAATATAAAATCGTTGATACGCGAGTTACAACTTTATTTGACTATACTTTTGGAATTACTTTATTCTATCGTGACTTCGAACTCTACCTGAACTACTACGTCGAAGACGGTCGAATTCTATACGCTAACTCTAGTGAATCTTTGTTGATAACGTAGCTCGCGGGGCCCGTATCGGATCAAGGAGAATTCTACTCGACGTTGACTGAAGAGACCTTGGAGACTTCTACCTTTGTAGCTGTTAGCCGAACTCTGAGCTCTGCGTAGTGTACTCTTGTGGTCTGGTACGCATCCCTCACACTTGCGCCGATTCGCTCCGAGTGATCCGATCTTCGATCCGATTGCTTCCAGCTGTCCCTCATATATCCACCGCTCCAAAAGCACTCCCCTCCGGCGGTTTGACGCTCCGGGGGTTATTATTGGGGTCGAAAACGTGTTTTTTAACTAGGAAAACCGCAACTCCGCATTTGGTCGCATAGTGATCGCACCGCACCTCGTGGATGTGAACCGGAGTTGATAGTGGTGTTGCCATTAGTGCCTGAGGGTATTGGGGTATCTACTAGCCTTTCTCTCATTCCCGTAAATACTTGGCATGCCCGTAACAGATTCGCTCCGGGTGGTCCGATCTTCGATCCGATTGATTCCAGCTGTCCCTCATATATCCACCGGTCCAAAAGCACTCCCCTCCGGCGGTTTGACACTCCGGGGGTTATTATTGCGGTCGAAAACGTGTTTTTTAACTAGGAAAACTGCAACTCCGCATTTGGTCCCATATTGATCGCGCCGCACCTCGTGGGTGCGAACCGGAGTTGACATTAGCATACAGAGGGTATTGGGGTATCTACTGGCCTTTTCTCTTACTCCCGTAAATGCTTGGCATGCCCGTAACAGCTTACCCCCCTTCCAGGGTGTCACGTCTCGGGACATCTTCTGACAGACTATGGTTCCAGTAAACCTGCTCCACATATCATCCGCGGTGTCTGTGGAGGGGAAGGACTTAGCCCCATAGGGTACCTCTATAGTCTCAGGCGTTGGTCCTTCACGGCCTTGGGGTTGCTTCGATGAAAGTCGCGGACTAGATCAAGTACGTCTTCGTTCATGACGTCCATGACTTGGTAAGTACAGTCGCTCATCGAATAGCCCCGCCATTTCACCAAGTATTCCACTAATCCTCTCCTGCTCTTCCGGCTTCCCACCATACTTTCTACTTCGTACAGAACCCCTCCTTCCTTATCGACCTCTTCGGGAGTCGGGGGACGTTGTTTACGGCCTGGGATACTGCTCTGTCGGTAACGCTCCAAGAGTTCGATGTGGAACACGTTATGGATTTTGACTTGTGGTGGCAGTTCCAATTCGCAGGCTCGTTTCCCGGCTAGTCAGATAATCTTAAACGGACCGAGCTTCTTATGATCGAGTTTCTCGGTGGAGCGACGTGTCTTGATATTGGTTGCATTAAGCATAACCATGTCTCCCACCTTGAAGTTAGGCGATTCGTCCCTTTTCCGATCATAGTATTTCCCCATCTTCTCCCTGGTGTCTGTTAAGCGAGCGAGAGCAGAATCGTGAACTCCTCGGATGAAGTGAGCGTACAGGTCACTGGTTGGGTTGACCACTTCAGCTTCAGTCGGCCAGTTGGTTATTGAGTTGTACCCGTAATTGGTGTAGAACGGAGATTGACCCGTGGCGGTGGTAACCGAGTTGTTGTAAGCATACTCCGCCAACGGGAGTAGCTCTGCCCAATCATCTTGTTCGTGGTTGCAGAATGCTCGTAAGTAGTGCTCGAGGGTTTGGTTGACCCGCTCTGTTTGCCCATCGGTCTGAGGGTGGAAAGCCGTACTCATTCTTATCCTCACGTCCAATAATTCCATAAGGGATGCCCAAAAGCTCGAAGTAAACTTGGCGTCCCTGTCGGAAACTATATCAAGAGGCAGCCCATGGAGTCGCCAGATTTGACCGAGGAATATCTTCGCTAAATCCTGCGCGGTCGTTTCTGCTACTAGTGGGATGAAGTGCGACATCTTCGAGAACCTATCGACTACTACCCAGATTTGATTATATCCTTTTGATTCCGGTAACTGTACGAGAAAGTCCATTGATATCGATTGCCAGACAGAATGTGGTGTGGACAGTGAAAGAAGCGCAGCATATTTCTTGTGGCGGCTGGGTTTGTTGCACTGACACTCGTCACATGACCGAACGTAATTAGCAATCCACTCGTTCATTTTTGGCCAATAGAAGTTGCGCGTGATAAGTTGCAAAGTTTTGTCTTGTCCAAAGTGTCCTGCCACCTTCGAGTCATGTTCTGCTTGTGCGATTCGGATCTTGATGCGGTCGTCTGCCGGAATATAAAGTCGGTTCTTATAGAAAAGTAGCCCGTCTTTCTCAGCAATATCCTTCGGTTCCCCCAGCTTCTCCCCTTGCTCAACTCTCTCTTTCATTCCTACCCATATCGGGTCTCCCGATGCCGCCTGCCTGACATGATCCAGAAAATTCTTCGACCAGTCAATCACCCCCTTGGAGGCAAGGGACACCGCTGATACCACAAACTCTTCCTCCGCCAACTGTCCGGGCTTAAAGAACCTGTCTATCAGCTGTTTCCCAAGCGTGCCTCCCCCTTCAGGACGGTACTCCGGCCATCGCGATAGTGCATCTGCCTTCCCATTTTTGGTTCCCGGGCAGTAGATAATCTTGAAGTCAAATTCCGCCAAAGACTCAGCCCACCTTGCCTGTCGTCGGTTAAGAACCTTGGTCGTAGAGAAGTACTCTAAGTTCTTGTGATCCGTATAGACGAGGACCGTTCGACTAGGTCATTCGAGGTAGTGACACCATTGCTTAAAGGCTGACACAATTCCTAGCATCTCCTTATCCCAGACGTCGTAGTTGAGTTCCGCTGGGTTAAGTTTTCGAGAATAAAAGGCAACAGGGTGAGTCTTTCCGTCAATAACCTGGGATAGAATTGCGGCGATAGCAAAATCACTTGTGTCCGTTTCCACGATAGTCTGGCGATCTGGAGAAAAGTGTACCAAGATCGGCGCAGACGTAAACAGGGTTTTGAGTTTTTTGAAGGCTGCTTGCGCCGTCATAGACCAGACAAAGTTCTTAGCATCACCCCTGAGACAATCGGTAATGGGTTTACAGACCCCGGAGAAATTGTGGATAAACCTTCTGTAGAAGTTGGCAAAGCCCATAAAGATCTGTACTTCCTTAACGCTGCGCGGGGCTTGCCAATTCATAACAGACATAACCTTATCCAGTGCCATGGTGACACCTGCTGGGGCAAGGATGTATCCGAGGAACTCGATTTCGGTGAGCTCGAAGAACGATTTCTTCGGGTTGGCGACCAGGTTGTATTCTTGTAGCCTACTAAGGACTTTACCGACCAACTCTCTGTGCTCCTCTCGAGACTTGCTATATATTAGGATGTCATCAAGGTATACTACGACACCTTGATCCAAGAATTCCCTCAGCGCATCATTCATCATATTCTGGAAGGTCGCCGGCGCATTTGCCAGCCCAAAAGGCATGACGAGGTACTCAAAATGCCCGTACCGCGTACGGAATGCTGTCTTCCACTCGTCGCCGTCTTTGATCCTGATGAGGTTGTAACCTTCCTTCAGGTCAATCTTCGAGAAGATAACCGCGCCTACTACTCGATCTCGTAGTTCGTCCATAAGCGGTAGAGGATACCTGTTCTTGATGGACACACGGTTAAGTCCACGGTAGTCTACGCAAAGTCGCAGAGTACCGTCCTTCTTCTTCACAAATAGGATTGGGGCTCCTGCTGGGGATTTGCTCAGCCTAATCTTTCCCAATCGTAACATTTTATCCAGGTACTCCCGAAGCACCTTCAGTTCGACTTCGGATAGGGAGTAAAGGGGTCCCCATGGTGGCTGCTTTCCTGGTTCGAGATCTATCGCATGGTCGTAGGATCGATGAGGTGGTAGTTTGTCTGCTTCCGATGGTAGGAAGACTTTAAGGAACCCATGGAGCCAAGAGGGAAGAGTCTCGCGGAGGTTGATCGATTCATCCTCCAGTAGGCAGATGCTACCGATGAATTGGGCCTCCGGATCGTCTAGTACACCCTTATCCATTTCTATTTGAGGTTCCTTGTCAGTGAAGCATCGACTCTTGCAGTTCTCACCATCGTAGGAAACTTCCCCATTTGCCCCTATAACCGGCTTGTGTTCTTTCAACCACCAGTTCGGTAATATTGCATCAATGCCAACCGGGAGAGGGGCGATCTCGAATGACAACTGTGTTTGATGCCCCCTTGACATTATAATTAATGGTTGTGTAAAGGCGTGTCCCGTGCCCTTCATAATTTCACCCGTAAATCCAAATACCCGGGCCGGGACGTGTCGTTTCACCTTCGGGACCTCAAAACTATCAACAAAAACAGCAGACAAACCAGGACCAGTTGCACCAGTATCCAACAACACCTTACAAGGTAAACATCTTTCCGCAAAACAAAGGAACTGATTAACGATAGGTCGAGGACCGTGAATAGGTTCCTCCAAAATTTTCTGTTTTTTCTCTGGTTGGGACGCTCTCCCTTCCTGCCTTTTTCTTTTCATATTTTTTTTGTTGTTTTCCGTCAGTGATAACACAGCAATCTGGGGATACTCCTGACCTGACTCATAAGAGTCCCCTTTTAAAAATCCTCGTCGAAATCCATTTCCGATTCCGATCCGCGTTCTCGTACAAACGCTTGCCCACTGGTATACTCCGCAGCAGCCGTAGCAGCCGGCTTTCTAGCACGGTGCCTCATACGCTTTCTCTGAGGTTGGGGTTCCGGTGGTTCCATATCGTGGTCGCCATCGTCATCGCGGGTACGCTTTCGGGAGAAAGAGGAGATAGATGCACTGCTGTTAGCATCTGAACGACACCACTTCCAAAGATGACCCTTTCGACCACATCGCACACAGGCTCCATCGGTCTTTCGCTGATCTCGGACCGGCTGTGGAACTCCTTTGGTGGCTTCATCGTAGTCATGGTATATTGGCTTATTCCCCGACTTGTTCTTGCTGGTGCTCTTCTTATCTTGCCCTTTTTCTTTCTCCTCAGTCTGAGCCCTCCCCTTGATCTTAAACCCCTTCTCCTTCTGCCGCGAGTTCCCACCATTGTTCGACTCCCTTCCTCTCGATTCTGCTTTCCCCAACATCATCATCTGTTCTTGATAAGCCTCGTGAGCCTTGTCAGCTCGTTCCAACTGTTGGATGTACTCGGAATCATCATCGGTTGGGTCGAAGCGTGAGTGGCGCTCCCGGATTTCATTTGGTAGCCCCTGGAGCAAGGCGGCGCGATGGGATGCTCCTTTCATCTGAGCATGCTGGTTCATAATCTCCATTCTTGTCAGGTAGTCTCCGATGTTAGCAGAGTACTTAAACTGCTGCATCTTCATCGCGTTCTCCATGGCCTCCTGAGTGCTTAGGAAACGTTTTCTGATCTCCTGACGGAACCGGGTCCAAGTAGCGTAGTCCGCGGCTGCCGGACCTAGCATCTTGGTCTCGATATATTCCATAAACCATTCCTTTGCCAACCCACACGTATACGTTCCGGCAAACAGTACTTTGTTCCTGTCCGTTCGGAACTTCTTTGGCTTCTGCTCAAAGTAGATCTCGCACTCCATGAGCCAATGCCGCAGATTATGCTTTCTGGCATTATCGAACTCGAAGGGTATTGTGAGGGATGCGTACCAGACCACAAGAGTACACTACGCGGAGCTCAGAGTTCGGCTAACAGCTACAAAGGTAGAAGTCTCCAAGATCTCTTCAGTCAACGTCGAGTATGATTCTCCTTGATCCGTTACGGGCCCCGCGAGCTACGTTATCAACAAAGATTCACTAGAGTTAGCGTATAGTATTCGACCGTCTTCGACGTAATAGTTCAGGTAGAGTTCAAAGTCACGATAGAGTAAAGTAATTCCAAAAGTATAGTCAAATAAAGTTGTAACTCGCGTATCAACGATTTTGACTATACTTTTGGAATTACTTTACTCTATCGTGACTTTGAACTCTACCTGAACTATTACGTCGAAGACGGTCGAATACTATACGCTAACTCTAGTGAATCTTTGTTGATAACGTAGCTCGCGGGGCCCGTAACGGATCAAGGAGAATCATACTCGACGTTGACTGAAGAGATCTTGGAGACTTCTACCTTTGTAGCTGTTAGCCGAACTCTGAGCTCCGCGTAGTGTACTCTTGTGGTCTGGTACGCATCCCTCACAGGTATTTTGGCGAGTGAATCTACCATCTCGTCGTCTTCAGGCGGCGCCGAATTCCGGTTTCCGCCTCGGTTCATTCTCCAATTCTTCCGGCCATGCGACCATTCACTGTTATCGTCGTCATCGTCGTCGGAAGGTTCTGGATCTCCACCAACATTTCCTCTTGGTGGGTTTCAAGGAGGTTGATTTCCACCATTCCGCCAACTGGAGCAGCTCCCACCGGTCCTCTGCCACTATTGCCCCGCACTGGGCCGGCGTCTTCCGGTTGCCTGCCTCCATTTCCTCCTACTGGACCAGCGTTTCCTCCTACTGGGCCAGCATTTTCAGGTTTCTTACCGTTGCCAACAGGAACCGCTTGGGGAGCATTAGGATCTAAGGGAGCACTAACCATGGAGGGTGCTACCGACATATGTTGTCGTAGTCGTTCCTCCATCTCGGCTATCCGTTGGTTTCTGACGTCATCAGACTGCTTGAATTGCACCAACAGCTCCCGTTGTTCCCTTTTCTCCTGTTCTCGCTCTTCTCTTGCAACTCTCAGCTGTCGTTCCGCCTCCAACAGTTGGTTCTGGGTAATCCGATGGTTACGATCCAGAACCTCGTGGTCGGCGGCTCGTGCGGCTTCCTGCACTTGTCAAACATTTTCGACGAGCTCAAAGAGCGATTCGAGATGTTGCTTCTGGGCAATGGCTTCTTGCCGTGCTTTCTTATCCAGAATTTGCCCACTCCCCTGCACTTGTTCCTGAAGGTTTTGTAGCTGCTGCCAAACGGCCTGTCCAGCTGTACCAAGATACCTCATTTGTGCCTCATGGGTATCCAAAAACTCCTGCATGGACCTCGTAAACTGGGCTTGAGCAGAGCGTTTACCCGTTGACCTAGTTTGTGTAGAGGGTCCTCCCTGGAGTAGGGGATCGGGGCTAACAGCCCCAGATAGTACCATAGCATCCTTTGCGGCCTCGTCTGTTACGGCCGAGGTGTCTACGAAATAATCCCCTCGGGTAGTCATTATGGTAAGGGATAATGATGATAGTTCTTCTTTTTTGAGGTGACTTCGTTACTCCAAGTGAACTTGTGAGTAACAATATACTGTGAGGGATGCGTACCAGACCACAAGAGTACACTACGCAGAGCTCAGAGTTCGGCTAACAGCTACAAAGGTAGAAGTCTCCAAGGTCTCTTCAGTCAATGTCGAGTATGAATCTCCTTGATCCGATACGGGCCTCGCGAGCTACGTTATCAACAAAGATTCACTAGAGTTAGCGTATAGAATTCGACCGTCTTCGACGTAATAGTTCAGGTAGAGTTCGAAGTCACGATAAAGTAAAGTAATTCCAAAAGTATAGTCAATAAAGTTGTAACTCGCGTATCAACGATTTATATTGTTAAGACTCTGATTTCGCCGATGATGGTTTGGCTAGTTAGTGAATGACACAGTATTTATATCCCTCGCTTATGTCTCGAGGACCCAGTCTACTAATAATACAGAATACACTCGGGGCCTGCCCGAGACCCTGAAAAACAACCAAGGACATTTAACTCCCAAGTCCGTAACCCAAACTCCTAAATCCGCTAAAACCCCTCAACCTATTTACCCATTCTAATACACGTTTCCCTGTCGATGTTTCTTCTCCATCAGTCGTCTGATGGATAATCGTCAGTGTCGGCTGTTCGGAGGTCTCGGACGGCAAGGCTACCTACTCAGGCCTCTTCCCACATCGCTTTCCCACATAGCAGAGTCCTCTCATGCCCACAGGTACCGCCGATAGGTACTCAGTCGGCTGGCAGCTTGGGCCGATTCGCTCCGAGCGGTCCGATCTTCGATCCGATTAATTCCAGCTGTGCCTCATATATCCACCGGTACCAAAACACTCTCCTCCGGCGGTTTGACGCTCCGGGGGTTATTATTGGGGTCGAAAACGTGTTTTTTAACTAGGAAAACCGCAACTCCGCATTTGGTCGCATATATCACGGGGACCGTAGGCGATAGACTGTGGTGCCAAGGAATACAACCTAGGACGTAACGTAGACGTGGATGTAGACGTAAAGGTATACTTTGACTATGGACTATGGGGTGGCTCTACCTGGTATGATAAACCAGTTGGAGCCCTATGACGTAGTGCGGACAAAGAATAGTATTCGTAGAATAAATACAGAGGTTGCGTAAAGAAGAAAGAAGAGAAGGAAAACAGATAAAAGCACAAGACAACGCCCCCTTTATATATCCAACCATAGTCCAATGATGACTAATATCTCCACGTAACAGAAACTAAAAGAACATAACAGAAATCCCCATTACAAATCCTAATACCACTACACAATACCTCCTTTCCTCGTTCCGGTCTATCACCTAGTCAAAGATACATAGCTGCCGTTACAGCATATCGATCGCACCACACCTCGTGGGTGCGAACCAGAGTTGATAGTGGTGTTGCCATTAGTATCAAAGGGTATTGGGGTATCTACTAGCCTTTCTCTCACTCCCGTAAATGCTTGGCATGCCCGTAACAGATTGAAAGAGAGAGTTGAGCAGGGAGAGAAGCTGGGGAAAATGAAGGATATCGCTGAGAAAGACGGGCTACTCTTCTATAAGAACCGACTCTATATTCTGGCAGACGACTGCATCAAGATCCGAATTGCACAGTCAGAACACGATTCGAAGGTGGCAGGACACTTTGGACAAGATAAAACTTTGGAACTCATCACGCGCAACTTCTATTGGCCAAAAATGAACGAGTGGATTGATGATTACGTTCGGTCATGTGACGAGTGCCAACGCAATAAACCCAGCCGCCACAAGAAATACGGTGCGCTTCTACCACTGTCCACGCCACATGCTGTCTGGCATTCAATATCAATGGACTTCATCGTGCAGTTACCGGAATCAAAGGGATACAACCAAATTTGGGTAGTAGTCGATAGGTTCTCGAAGATGTCTCACTTCATCCCACTAGTAGCAGAAACGACCGCGCAGGATTTAGCGAAGATATTCCTTGGTCAAATCTGGTGACTCCATGGGCTGCCTCTTGATATAATCTCCGATAGGGACGCCAAGTTTACTTCAAGCTTTTGGGCATCCCTTATGGAATTATTGGACGTGAAGATAAGAATGAGTATGGCTTTCCACCCTCAAACTGATGGGTAAACAGAGCGGGTCAACCAAACCCTCGAGCACTATCTACGAGCATTCTGCAACTACGAGCAAGATGATTGGGCAGAGCTACTCCCGTTGGCGGAGAATGCTTACAACAACTCGGTTACCACCGCCACGGGTCAATCTCCGTTCTACACCAATTATGGGTACAACCCAAGAACCAACTGGCCGACGGAAGCCGAAGTGGTCAATCCAACCAGTGACCTGTATGCTCACTTCATCCGAGGAGTTCACGATTCTGCTCTCGCTCAGTTAACAGATACCAGGGAGAAGATGGGGAAATACTATGATCGGAAAAGGGACGAACCGCCGAATTTCAAGAAAGGCGACATGGTCATGCTTAATGCGGCCAATATTAAGACACGTCGCTCCACCAACAAGCTCGATCATAAGAAACTCGGTCCGTTCAAGATCATCCGACTAGCCGGGAAACGAGCTTGTGAGTTGGAACTGCCACTACAAGTCAAAATCCATAATGTGTTCCACATCGAACTCTTGGATCGTTATCGACAGAGCAGTATCCCAGGCCGCGAACAACGTCCCCCAACTCCCGAAGAGGTCGATAGGGAAGGAGAGGTTCTGTATGAAGTGGAAAGTATTGTGGGAAGCCGGAAGAGTATAAGAGGATTAGTGGAATATCTGGTGAAATGGCGGGGCTATTCGATGAGCGACTGTACTTACCAAGTCATGGACGTTATGAACGAAGACGTACTTGATCTAGTCCGCGACTTTCATCGAAGGAACCCCAAGGCCGTGAAGGATCAACGCCTGAGACTATAGAGGTACCCTATGGGGCTAAGTCCTTCCCCTCCACAGACACCGCGGATGATATGTGGAGCAGGTTTACTGGAACCATAGTTTGTCAGAAGATGTCCCGAGACGTGACACCCTGGAGGGGGGGTAAGCTGTTACGGGCATGCCAAGCATTTATGGGAATGAGAGAAAAGGCTAGTAGATACCCCAATACCGTCTGTACGCTAATGTCAACTCTGGACCGCACCCGTGGGGTGTGGTGCGACCAGTATATAACCAAAACACGGAGTCATAAAAAACACTTTTTCGACTCCAATAATAACTCCCGGAGCATCAAACCACCGGAGGGGAGTGCTTTTGGACCGGTGAATATATGAGGGACAGCTGGAATCAATCGGATCGAAGATCGGACCACCCGGTGGGAATCGGCGTAAGCTACCAGCCGACCGAGTACCTATCGGCGGTACCTGTAGGCATGAGAGGACTCTGCTATGTGGGAAAGCGAGGTGGGAAGAGGCCTGAGTAGGTAGCTTTGCCGTCCGAGATCTACGAGTAGCCGACGCTGATGATTATCCACCAGACGGCCGATGGAGAGGAAACATTGACAAGGAAACGTGCATTAGAATGGGTAAATAGGTTGAGGGGTTTTAGTGGGCTTATATCACGGGGACTATAGGCGATAGACTGTGGTGCCAAGGAATACAACCTAGGTAGTGACGTAGACGTGGACGTAGACGTAAAGGTATACTTTGACTATGGACTATGGGTGGCTCTACCTGGTATGATAAACCGGTTGGAGCCCTATGACGTAGTGCGAACAAAGAATAGTATTCGTGGAATAAAATACAGAGGTTGCGTAAGGAAGAAAGAGAAGAAGGAAAACAGACAAAAGCACGAGACAACGCCCCCTTATATATCCATCCATAATCCAACGATGACTAATACCTTCGCGTAACAGAAACCCAAAGAACATAACAGAAATCCCCATTACAAATCCTAATTCCACTGCACGATACCTCCTTCCCTCATCCCAGTTCATCACCTAGCCGAAATACGTAGCTGCCGTTACAGACCACGCCCCCCTCTAAGGCCTACCTCCTGGTAGGCTTAGGCTTCTCTGGATAACGCTCATGGAATCGTCTAATAATTTCAGGTGAATGTTCAAGGTCCGATAGCGGTTGCCAGGAGGCTTCGTCATATCCCATATATCGTACCAAATATTCAAATCTTCCTCTTCGTTTCCTCGAATCCAAAATATCTTCGACTTCCCATTCTTCCTCCCCTTCGATTTCAACCAGAGGTGGTGGTAATCGTTGTTGTCCTGGTAAAGGATCATTCGCTTCAGGTGACAATAACGAAACATGAAATACTGGATGAATTTTCATCGATCGGGGAAGTTCCAACTCGTAAGCATAGGGATTAACAATTCGTTTAACGCTATAAGGTCCAATACGTTTCCAGTCGAATTTCTTAGAGGGTCGCTTTGTTAGAATATGACGGGTCGATAGAAAAACCTTATCTCCTAAATAATATCGAGGAGCTGGAGTTCGATTCCTATTGGCTGATTCTTCTTGTATCCTTTGCGCCCGGAACATTTCTTCTCTTAGGAAGTCCACCACATCCTTCATTTCCCTTGCAATACGGTTTGCTTGATCCTCCGCCGTCGTTCGACCATGTTCCAAAGGCCCAAATGTTATCCTAGGATTCCTTCCCGAATTAGCATAAAAGGGGGAAACTTTTGTTGTTTCGGAAACGTGGTTGTTGGTTGCAAATTCAGCCATCGGTAGCCATCGGACCCAGTCATCTTGTTGATAGGAAACATAGCTTCGGAGGTATTGTTCCATTATGGCATTAATTCTTTCTGTCTGTCCATCTGTTTGGGGGTGGAATGCAGTAGAGAACTTTGGCGAGATTTCCAATCGATCACAAAGGGACCTCCAGAATTCCGCGACGAACTGTGTTCCTCGATCGGATACCATAGTGTCGGGTAATCCATGTAGCTTCCAGACGTTATCAATATATAGCCTTGCTACTTCCTGTGAGTCCGCCTCCTTTGTCGTTGGTATCAGATGCCGCATTTTGGTTAGTCTATCCACTACGACCAAAATCGCATTATACCCATCACTCTCAGGAAGATCAGTCACAAAGTCCATCGAGACATCTGTCCAGGGTCCATCGGGAATTGGCATGGGGCGAAGTACTCCATAAGGTGCATTGTGTGATGCCTTGCTACGGGTGCACACATTGCAATTCCTAATATACTGATCGACAAACTTCCGCATCTGTGGCCAGTAATATTCTCGACTTAGGAGCTCCAGAGTCTTCGCTCTACCCGGATGTCCTGCAGATGGTTTGTCATGATATTCTTTTAAAAGCCTTAGTCGAAGGTCATCGTCGTCTGGTACATATAGCATGCCTCGATAAAGCAGCCGACCGTTGTTATCTTCCATACATTCGGCAAGTGAGATTTTGTTTGAGTGGCGTATGCCATTCCGAAGCATATTGAGGACCTTGTTTGGGAAACTATCCACTTGGTAAGCTTTTGAAAATAACTCCTCTACAGTGGACGCTCCTTCAGCGGATTCATTTGACAAAGAACCCGCGAACAAACTTAGCTTGATATCCAAATTTTTCCGCTTCAGAATCACTTGACTCTGATGCGTTAACCGTTCATCCCCCTCTTTAGGTAGGTCACCTGACCTCCTAGTCAATGCATCTGGTTTTGTTCCTTGTTTTCCTGGTCGAAATTGTATAACGAAATCGAAGCGTGAAAGAAATTCGGACCAACGGGCTTGTCGACGATTTAACAATTTTGTTGTCATAAAATACTCAAGATTCCGATGGTCGCTAAGAACTTCAATTGGAAATTGAGCTCCCTCCAGATGATGTCGCCATTCTTCAAAACATCGTATAATTGCTAAAAGTTCTTTGTCATAGATTTCGTAGTTGCATTCTGCGGGAGAGTGTTTCTTGGAAAAGAAAGCAATTGGATGTAGGATTCCTTCGTTGTCACATTGAGATAGGATTCCTGCTGAAACATAGTCGGATGCATCAGTTTCTATCACAATTTTTCGATCTGGATTGAAATGAGCTAGTATCGGTGCCGTTGTAAACATCTTTTTCAAAGTCTGAAATGCTTCCTCCCTTTCATCCGTCCATTCAAATTTAACGTTTTTCTTTGTCAAGGCTGTAAGCGGGGCAACAATTTTCGAATATCCCAAAATAAACCGTCGGTAGAAATTTGCAAATCCTAGGAATACTTGAACATCACGAAGGTTTGTCGGTGTAGTCCATTCCAAAATATCGATAACTTTCTTTGGATCCATTCTATTCCCATTCGGAGTAAGGATTAAACCAAGATATTTTGTTTCCTGAACCATAAATTCACATTTTTCAGGTTTAAGGTGAACATGATTTTCATCAAGTACCTTTAGAACCTTCTGAATATGTTCTTTATGTTCTGATAGGGTCTCGGAATAGATAAGGATATCGTCTAAGTATGCTGTTACGAATTGATCGAGGTAGGGACGTAGAATATCATTGATCCAATGCTGAAATGTGGCAGGGGCATTAGCTAATCCAAACGGCATTACTGTATATTCGAAATGTCCATATCGAGTCCGGAATGCTGTTTTCCATTCATCTCCCTCTGCTATCCTGATTTGATTATATCCCCATCGTAAATCCAACTTAGTATAGTATTGTGCTCTTGACAACTTAGCCAGGGTTTCTTTCAACAATGGTAATGGATATCGATTTTTGATTGTAATCGCATTTAGGCCTCGATAGTCAACACAAAGTCGAAGGGTTCCATCGCTTTTCTTCACAAACAGTATGGGTGCTCCCGCTGGTGATTCACTGGCTCGAATAAATCCTTTGGGTAAATTTTCATCAAGATATTCTCGTAGTGCTTTTAACTCAATTTGAGATAATCCATATATAGGTCCATATGGTGGTCGTTTGCCTTCCTCTAATACTATCTCGATGTCATGGGATGGTCGATGTGGTGGGAGAATTGAAGCATCATATTCTTTGAACATGTGAAGACGATGGTGAAATTCTTTCGGTACTAATTGTTCGATATCGATAGTGGATTTCTCGGTTGCTGAAACGATGACTGTATGGTGTTCCGGTAAGGGGATCGAGATACCATGAACAATAACTGCAGTTCCACTGAGTGAACAGTGTTGACAACAGCTTCGAGAGTCAAAAACAAGTAGATTTTCTTTTGGTCGAATCGTAACATCATGTCGTCGCATCCAAGGTATCCCCATCACAATCGGATAGTGTCCTAACTTCGTTACAAAACATGGCGCCGTCTCCCGATGACCATGAATGTCTAGCGAGACATCGACAATATGGGTAATTTTTCCTGACTTAATAGGCCTTCCGTCTATAACGTCTACATGGCGAGGTATTTTAAGGGGGGTCATTGTAAGATTGTTGTGGCGTGCAAAGGATTCATCAATGAAAGCATATCCTGATGCTCCGGTATCAATAAGGGCGTAGGTAGGTATAAACGAATTTTTATTCTGTGAAATCGAACAAGTTACTACAAGTTGATTTCCATCCATTTCCTCCTCTGATACCGAAAAACCAGAAATACACATCCTAGAAAAATCCTTAAACGGTCCCTGGGCTAAGCCACTTAGTGCAGGGACAAATCTTTTGCCGACTCATTATCGCTTCCATCATTTTCTTCCACTGTCAACGCCGCTCCTCTCATCACAGGCCTCCTTGGTTGATTTCCAGTTGCCCTCGCTTGGGGGCAATCCCTAACCATATGCCCGACACCTCCGCAATAGAAACATCGGCCCTCAGCTAATCGGGCGTTTCTTTCGGCAGGGGTAGGGCGACGACGTCCTCCAGACAGGTCCATGGGTACATCACCTCCAGGACGGAACGAGGGGTGATTCTCAGTGGCAGGTGGGTTGGCAGCAGGGGCAGCAGGACGGGGAGCAGGAACAGGATTTGTTGGTGGAGGGCGCGGAGCCGGGGTCGCAGTAGTAGTCCAAGGTTTTTTACTACCTCGCTTAGCTTCCGCCGCCCGTCGTCGGTTATCCAACCGTTGCAAGAGTGTTGCACAACCATCTACCGTTGCAGGAGTCTCATGGTGTATCATCGATTCGTCCAGTTCCCCATTAATTCCTTCCATCAAAGCCTCAATCCGAGAGACTTCATCCATACCCGACTCAGCAGCATACAGTTGAAACTCAGCAAAATAATCGGCAAAGGTTCGAGTGCGTTGTCTGATGTTCCGAAGATTTCTTCTAGCTGTACGCATTCGATCGGGGTCTCCAAAAGCTGTATCTAGAATCTCATAAAACCGTGTCATAGAAGGTAAGGCAATACCTTCTTCTCCCATGTACTGTAAAAACTGATTGGCAGCAGCACCTTCCAATCTGCTGAACGCGTACGATAACTTAGACTGTAGTGTAGGATAGCGATCGATATTTCCCAGTAACTTGATTTTCATTTGTTGCTTGAATAAGTGTAGTCTTTCTCGATCACGATCCCCCCTAAACACATCGGGATCTGGGAGTTTCTCCGACCGATAGGTGGTACCTGTAACTGGTGGCGCTGGAGGTACAGGTGGAGCGTTGTTTCCAATAGGTTCTTCGTCAGGGGCCACAACCTCAACAGCAGTTTGTTGAGCTCGGGCAGCAGTAAGATCTCGTTCAAATATTCTTCTTGCCCTCTCAGCCTCCGCTTCTATCTCCTGTAAATCCGTTGCATATTGAATAAGACCATTTTGACACTGTTGAAGAAGCGCATAAGCTTCAGCTCCGACAACATGATCGACCTGTGGATGCGCTTCAAAAAATCTTTGGAGGTTATCGTTGAGTTGTTGATAATCGACATGGACATGTTCCGACATTGTAGGCTATGGTGTTGTATTGGTTGGCGATAGAGGACGCAACCTACGTATCACGGGGACTATAGGCGATAGACTGTGGTGCCAAGGAATACAACCTAGGTAGTGACATAGACGTGGACGTAGACGTAAAGGTATACTTTGACTATGGACTATGGGTGGCTCTACCTGGTATGATAAACCGGTTGGAGCACTATGACGTAGTGCGAACAAAGAATAGTATTCGTGGAATAAAATACAGTGGTTGCGTAAGGAAGAAAGAGAAGAAGGAAAACAGACAAAAGCACGAGACAACGCCCCCTTATATATCCATCCATAATCCAACGATGACTAATACCTTCGCGTAACAGAAACCCAAAGAACATAACAGAAATCCCCATTACAAATCCTAATTCCACTGCACGATACCTCCTTCCCTCATCCCAGTTCATCACCTAGCCGAAATACGTAGCTGCCGTTACAGCTTACGAGTTTCGGTTACAGACTTAGGAGTTAAATGTTCTTGGTTGTTTTTCAGGGTCTCGGGTAGGCCCCGAGTGTATTCTGTATGATTAGTAGACTGGGTCCTCGAGACATACACGAGGGATATAAATACGGTGTCATTCACTGACTAGCCAAACCATCATCGGCGAAATCAGAGCCTTAACAATATAAATTGTTGATACGCGAGTTACAACTCTATTTGACTATACTGTTCGAAATACTTAACTCTATTGTGACTTCGTACTCTACCTGAACTATTACGTCAAAGACGGTCGAATACCATCCGCTAACTCTAGTGAATCTTTGTTGATAACGTAGCTCGCGTGGCCCGTATCGGACCAAGGAGATTCCTACTCAAAGTTGACTGAAGAGACCTTGGAGACTTCTACCTTTGTAGCTGTTAGCCGAACTCTGAGCTCTGCGTAGTGTACTCTTGTGGTCTGGTACGCATCCCTCACAAACACATACTATGCCCTTTCAAATTTTAGTAGTTAGAAAATCTGAACGTATCTCCTCTCCCCCCAAATTCAGATTCTGAATCTGTAGGGCTACTGTGAGGGATGCGTACCAGACCACAAGAGTACACTACGCAGAGCTCAGAGTTCGGCTAACAGCTACAAAGGTAGAAGTCTCCAAGGTCTCTTCAGTCAACGTCGAGTATGATTCTCCTTGATCCGATACGGGCCCCGCGAGCTACGTTATCAACAAAGATTCACTAGAGTTAGCGTGTGATGTTCGACCGTCTTCGACGTAATAGTTCAGGTAGAGTTCGAAGTCACGATAGAGTAAAGTATTTCAGAAAGTATAGTCAAATAAAGTTGTAACTCGCGTATCAACGATTTTATATTGTTAAGACTCTGATTTCGCCGATGATGATTTGGCTAGTCAGTGAATGACACAGTATTTATATCCCTCGCTTATGTCTCGAGGACCCAGTCTAATAATACAGAATACACTCGGGGCATGCCCGAGACCCTGAAAAACAACCAAGAACATTTAACTCCTAAGTCCGTACCCTAAACTCCTAAACCCGCTAAAACCCCTCAACCTATTTATCCACTCTAATGCACGTTTCCCTGTCGATGTTTCTTCTCCATCGGCCGTCTGGTGGATAATCGTCAGCGTCGGCTATTCGGAGGTCTCGGACGGCAAGGCTACCTACTCAGGCCTCTTCCCACATCGCTTTCCCACATAGCAGAGTCCTCTCATGCCCACAGGTACCGCCGATAGGTACTCGGTCGGCTGGCAGCTTGCACCGATTCGCTCCGAGCGGTCCGATCTTCGATCCGATTGATTCCAGCTGTCCCTCATATATCCACCGGTACCAAAACACTCCCCTCCGGCGGTTTGACGCTCCGGGGGTTATTATTGGGGTCGAAAACGTGTTTTTTATGACTCTGGGTTTTTTGGTCGTAATTTGGTCGCACCACACTCCGCGAGTGTGGTCAAGAGTTGATATTAGCGTACAGAGGGTATTGGGGTATCTACTAGCCTTTCTCTCACTCCCGTAAATGCTTGGCATGCCCGTAACAGCTGCCATCCAAATTTCATTTCCCTAAATCCCACTCAAACCCCTTTTAAACTCGTTCCAAACCTCCACGGGAAACTACCCACCTTTGGTATATACAGAGGGTAGTAAAATTATTGCGAAAACAGGGGTAAGCGAGTGCGCTAAAAAAAACCTAGCGAGTATCAAATTTTGAGTGGCGAGTGGTGAATTTTCTACAGTACAGTATCTAACAAGAGTTCTAGCAATGAACACCCGGTTCCTCCAATGAACGCCTGCACCAACGATCACTTGGCCCTGTTCCAGCGACGAACACCCGTTCCAGCGACGAACACCTGTTCCCGACGATGAACACCTCTTCCCGACCTCGAACACCCGTTCAGTGACCTGTTCCATGGACGAACAGCTGTTTCCGATGATGAACACCTACCTGTATTGCCTCTCTAATCTCTGCTCTTCCTCTAGGTCTCAGTCTTCTATCATGCAGGCGCATCTTGAGAATACTCCAGATATTCTCAATTGGATTGAGATCAGGAGATGAGGCAGGTCAATTAAGAGACGGCATTCCAAATTGATTTCTGATATTCTGTACATAATTAGTAAATGATCATTAGCAATCCACTGAAATGTTCAACCTGCATGCCGAAGAGCTTGGACATAACATCTCTTTCTGTAGCTGACATCCTCTGTACGAATAGACACCATAGCGAACAGCTGAGGGAATCAATACAGGCAAGAAGATATAGGTGAACTGATTGCTTTTTAAATCTCTATTATTATTCTATATACTATAACACGACAAAAAAAAATTTCACTCCGTAAACCATTGAGGTCCTCTACTCACCAATCACAGCACTCGTCACCTTTCGGCCCCACAGCACTCGCTAAACCCCTGTTTTCACAATAATTTTACCACCCTCTGTAGTTCTATTATTTTACCATCATGTCGAATAATTAAGAAAATATTATGTACAGCCGCATTCGAAAAGTACAGGCACCCTACTATATTGAGTCGTTCATGAATTGTAGCCAACCAACAACCATGGTACTCGCGTATACTCAACTTATTGACAGGTATGGCCGCGGTGGTGCCTTGCGGCTCTCTTTGATAACGGTCTTGAATATTAGAATTGCAAAGTAGAAAGGACTGCCTCGTGAGTTTAGCCCGGAGGTGCCAAAACTTTTCGAATGCGGCTGTACAGTATTCCGCACCTAACAAACCACATGATTTGCTAATTAATGAATTATCAATCAATAAATCAATACATGATTTGCGATTGCAAAAACGAGTGATTTCTCATGTCTAGTTGCTTTTCGACCGCAACCATTGATTAACAATTTCTACTATCACCGTATGTCAAGAAAGTTGTGAGAGATAACCCTTGATAACCCCTTAGTTTGAAATACTCCTGAATTTATTATACCCCTGGAATGGGTAGAGAGTTCAGTATTAGATACATGCACTGTAATGGTTTTGGTGGGCCGCACTGGCACTGTCAAAGGTGATAAAGATGTGATCATCGCCAGTCTCCGCGTATGAACCGCGCATAGCAGCCTCCCAACGAAGATTTTTTTTCTTTTTTTCTTTATTTTATATATTTTATTATTATTACTATTACTCTTTATTTGCCTTTTATGGGTTCTTTATTTAATGTACGGAGGTCTCCCAAGTTGCAGGTTTGGAATCTGGTGTGTCGCGCTGATTGCCAAAGCCCAAAGTTTGCAGATTGTACTTTTGTATGTACGTATGGGCCGCCGTAAACGTCGTGGACTTATGGGCTGTCCCAGCTCATGTGAACCACATGTACTCAGTCTGTTGGCCAAAGTGAGAATTCCCTACCATATAGCTAAAGCTCGAACACACTCCTCTATATCATCGCCCCATGAAGAAAGGGACCTCGGTATCCCCGCTGGAACAAAAAGCTTTAAATAATTTAAGGAAAGGGAAGGGGAAAAGCACCGGAAAATTGAAGGTGCGCCCTCCCATACATGCATAGTAAAAACCGAGGAATAGTAGGAAAGGTATACTGTCTATCATTTGTAGTGGAAAGTCTCCAACGCTGTACCTGCAGAATCAATCACTGTCCGATCTAACCCAATTTACTGAACCGTGCCCCTCGTCATGAAAAACACAAAAATATATTAGACACAGAAATATCCAAGCAGCCCCATACTGGTCAAGGCGACCCCAATCCACCACCATCTATCCGCATTAATATGTTCTGCACTCTTTAGGTTGGGTGGTAGAGATCGCTTCAGCTTCATTTTTGAGGCCTCGGTAGCTTTCGGGGCGACTGAAGATGTAGGGTTCAGCGTTTGAGTTGGTAACATTTGAGGTGGACGGTACGCAAGATAACTACAACAATTAGAAACATTTCGTATGGTAATAAACGTAGTGAAACGTACAGTGGGTTCATCGGAGAGCCGTCAAATTTGAAAAGATTTAGGCGGTGCATCCCACGATATTCATCAAGTACAATCTCCCAGCTCTACAAGGTGTCAGCGGATTGGAAACACCACGGGACATCATACTATTACCTTGTAAATTTCTGTAGCATTGTATCTAGTGTATATAGAATTCGTGTATTTGCACGGATCTGATAGAAGTTGTCGCCCGTCGACTTTTATCGGCGTAAGGGTCAAAGAGCCATCCGAAGCGATATCATATTTCCCATGCTGCCATTGCATGATGGCCTGGGTACAAGAAGGATGTGTGGCTATAAATCTGTTAGAATCGATTCTAGACGGTGAATGGTGTTCGAAACTGACGATTTGCGATAGCTAAATATATCGCCTCTTCAAAGTAGCCATCATCTGTGAAAGAAAACGATGTGCCTGTCAAACGAGGCTCTTTCATGTCCTCTGTAACTGGATCATAGAAATCCTATCGCGGATATTAGCATAAGATCACACTATCCTGCTTAGAGCCTCAGTCTGTAACTCGCTACATGTGCTCATGAGGATACATGTACGTAAGGATACATGACGTGAGCTGTATGAGAAACCCAAGCAAAGGCACTCTAAGCTTTGGGTGGACGGCTTTGCCAGTTGGAGCTTACAGGTCCCGTGAATACAGTATTTGACTTAGATGACCAAGTTCCCATGAGCGACGTCACATTATTGAGAGCGTTTGTGAACGGAGCGAAACAGGCAAGCGAGAGCGCAAAAGAGACTGCTGAGGGGAATAACATTTTTATGGATGTTTCCTTCTGGTAGTATAATCAACTGATAGGTTCCTGCTGAGAGGTACTTGCTCCGGTTGGGAGTAGGGATACTCGCGTTTGTAGGCGTGCTGCTGGGCCAAAACTTTTGACGGTTGAGGATTGAGGGAGCTTAGTAGACTGGCAGTGATAAAGATGATAATAATTCAGGGACAAGCGCGAGAGCTGGTAGGTATTTTGGTATTGCGCTTCCGCTTCGGGACGCACACGGGCCACTAAGTCAGGGGCTACAATCGTCCCTCGCTATACCAGATGCCATAAAAGCTACTAAAGTTCACATCAAAGCATCTGCTGAACTTTCGGATATACAAGTTCGTTATAAGGTGCTGGTCTTGATAAATCGACTACAGTCTAAGGATTTCGTACGGGATAGCAAAAAATCTGGGATAGCAAATTGATTTTGCAGTAGGAAAAATAATATTCTCAGAGGATCGGTGCATTGAGTTCCGGCAGATCGAGTTGCGACTGTACTATACATGTAGTTTCTAACCTCAAAAACTGCAATCTAGTTTGTGCAACATACACTCCTTAAATATTTTCGTTCTTCCTTTATACCTCCTCTGAAAAGTCTACTGAACAACAAATGACGACTAGATCTGTAATCACTACTGCCAAACGGCAGCTCAGATCTTCTGTCAAGAAAACTATCTTGTCTCTCCCCGCCGAGAATATTCTTTCTCAATGTATAAACCCCCGATATCGTTCCCGTCTCACTTACGATTCTAAGGAGGAGCTCTAAAAAATTTCAAAGCCCAGATATGTGTCAACACACTACTATCCCTCCCTGAATACCAATCCTCGAGGCGAATTAGTATTTTTCTCTCAATGCCAATGAAGGAAGTCGATACGTCCTGCATTGTTGAAGATGCACTGATCCAAGGTAGAAAATAGCTACGCTTCCTCACCCCCCTCACTGGTTACTATAAATCATTCACACTTCATCAAGAAAAGATGGTACATGTGCCTTGTATTCATAGACAGTCTAAATCATCCCCGACCATGGTTGACCCCGCCTCTGTGTCATCACCTCCGAATTTGATGGATATGCTCTCACTCTTCTCTCAAGCCGACTATGAATCACTGGAGCCCGATTCATGGGGCATCCCTACCATTCCGGAGCATTCTGTTCCCGGAAGAAGTAATTGCTTAGATCATGAAGGACTGGACTTAATCGTGATGCCAGGAGTTGCGTTTGATGAAGGGTTTAGAAGATTGGGCCACGGTAAAGGGTATTATGACTACTTCCTAGCACGATACAAACAGTTGGTAGACTCCAAAGGGGCTGAGGGCAAAATGAGAATGCCTATCCTAGGTATGATATTATGCTCTAGGTGAGGTTTCATAGATTGGGAAGTTGACATAAACAACTTGTGTATAGTTGCTTTGGCTTTGAAAGAACAAATCTTCGAAGATGGGGCTGTACCTGTAGACCTAAGCGATTGGCCAATGGATATTATCATTACAGGAGAAGGGAGGCTTCTACGAAGATAAATACATCAATCATGTTGGCCATATATACATGTAGATATAGTTGTATTTTGATGGCGCCATGCACACTGTAGTCTGAGAACGCTCTGCTTCAGCCAGGGCTCATCGGTTCGCGACCCTCCTGCAAAATGAAAGTTTCGTTTAAAGAAACATGTACCTTATTATTTATCTACATGTATCATTGATTCAACCAATGTTGTTAGAGGGCATTATGGTCATTGATAACAAGACCTTTGTTGCATTGTAGCCAGCACTCGGCAGACAATCAAATTGTGTGTCCGTTGCGGCAGAACAACCCCAAATTGTGATCAAAGCTCAGAAACAAGGTGTGTCTCTGCTCTTCTTCGATCCTCCTCAACCCCACCAACACCAACATCACTCCATAAAGTCTTTTAATATCAATTGTCTAAGAGGAGTTTTCAAACCATACCACTCTCTTTTCATCTCTAAATCCTTCGCTATTTTGGTTCAACCAGAATCCTCATTATGTCTTTCTCAAATGGCCCCACCGCCGACCCTCAATTTGCGCCCGTGCTTGCTGCCCTAGCCACAATGCAAGGCAACGTCGAAAGGGAACAGAAGTACCAAGCTACACAGTTCCTGGAACAGTTTCAGAAATCGGTTGGTCTTTATTCGGATATTCTTGCTTTTTAGTAGGTGGAGAGAAAGAGATGGGGAGATGGAGCTGCAGATGGCTTTCATCTGCTTTGAGGCTCAGCTGGATGATGGCGGGGTTCGTCACGGGAGATGCGGGGTAACCCTGCAACAGAGGTACAGGACCGGAGGTGGGAAGGCGCTGACTGGAATCCCGATATTTACAGCCCGAGGCGTGGACAACTGCCCATTTGATCCTGCAGTCCGAGAATGCTGCCGTGGAAGCGAAACTTTTTGCCGCAACCACATTGAAAGGAAAGGTTTGGTCGTTTCTTGTTCGCCGTAGCAACTTGAGCGCCTGCTGACAAAAGCGAAGATTACCTATGATATTCACCAGCTACCTCGAGAATCTTTAGTCCCTCTGCGGGATTCTCTATTGAGCCTTCTCATGAGTTATCGTAAAGGCTCTCGGCCGATCCGAACACAATTATGTGTCTGCCTCGCTGGTTTGGCCCTACAGATGCTGGAATGGAAGGATGTGATAGAACTGGTTGTAAGGACACTGGGAAATGATGTGGAGAGCAGTGTCTGTTTGCTGGAATTTCTGCGTGTTCTGCCAGAAGAAGTCACAGAAGGAAGAAAAGTTGCGTTGACGGTATGCTTCGATATTAATATTGGATATATATATCGATATTGCTACTTACTGACTAAACCATATAGGAGGAAGAACTCACAACTCGGTCTCAAGAGTTACTCACAGATAATGCTTCGAGAGTTTTGACTCTTTTAGTCCAGTATTCTCAGTCTACAGGTACTTGTCGATCTATTGATAATTTTTCTCGGAGATTTTGCGGTTTGCAATTTGGGATCTGACTTTTGACTATTGTAACTGGTGTAGCCAATATCCCCCCGAGCCCTGCTCTTATCTCATGCTTGAATTCGTGGCTTCGTGAAATTCCTGTGAGCGATATTGTCAAGACACCCCTTGTTGATGTGGTCATCTCTGGCCTTTCTTCAGACGACGCCCTTGATTCAGCTGTCGAATGCCTTTGCAACATGTTTAGGGAAACCCGAGAAGTGGACGAGTCGCATGACGTTATACAGGCTTTGTACCCACGTGTCCTATCTTTACGATCAAAAATCGGTGAATCTGTTCAAGAGGAAGATATGGAAAAATTTAGAGGATACACCAGACTATTCTCTGAGGCAGGGGAAGCTTGGGTTGTTTTGATTTCCCGCCTACCATTGGAATTTCGCGGATTGGTCGAGGCCATTGCTGAATGCGCAGCAAGAGATTCTGACCGTGAAGTTATCTCACTAACCTTCAATTTCTGGTATGAGTTAAAAAATTACCTCGTCCTAGAGAAGTACATTGAAGCCCGGGCGCAACTGGCGGACATCTTTGCTGGACTTGTGGATATTATGGTTTTGCACCTTCATTACCCAAAGGGCAGTGAGGAGGACCCCTTTGATGGTGATAGGGAAGCGGAGGAAAAGTTCCGAGAATTTAGGCACTCGATGGGTGATGTCTTGAAGGATTGCTGTGAGGTTATCGGGTCAACGGAGTGCTTAGGAAAGGCCTTTGCTCTTGTTCAACAGTGGATGCAGCAATACTCCGCGAATGGTCAGAAGCTCGTAAATGGCCGGGTCCCAAATTGGCAAGACTTGGAAGCACCATTGTTCAGTCTACGGGCAATGGGAAGGATGGTTCCAGCGGATGAGGATCAAGTCTTGCCCCAAATCATGGCATCCTTGGTACAATTGCCCGAGCACGAGAAGGTGCGGTTTGCAGCTACTCTTGTCTTAGGAAGATATACCGAATGGACCTCAAAACACCCTGATTATTTAGAGCTACAACTTAACTATATAACCAATGGTTTTAAACACAATTCCAAGGAAGTTGAGCGGGCGGCAGCTATGGCGTTGAAATTCTTTTGCCAGGATTGTGGAAAATTGCTAGTTGGCCATGTCGGACAATTGCACCAATTCTACGAACATGTTGCTGGGGAACTTCCGCTACAAAGCTTATACGAGGTTACCGATGGGGTTGCTCATGTCGTTGCTGCTCAACCACTCGACAAGATTTATGAAGCATTGAGGCTCTTTTGTGAGCCAATTGCAAAGAGACTTATGGACAAGGCAAATAGTGCCAACGATGAGAAGGGTAAATGCGAGTTGGCGGGTATGAATTACCCCAATCTAGTGTCTCCTCAAAATGTATGGCAACTTCTAATGAAAACAGATCATATTCAGCTTCTATCAATATTCGTCCAAGTTGTTCATCCCCATGTTCCAAAGGGTCAAGAAAACCCCATGATCCGCTTCTGGTCTGAAGTGTTCCCAATACTAGCAACAATTCTCGAGAACTTTGTTGAGTTCCTGCCAATCTGTGAGCGTGTCTCACGGTGCTTCCGAAGCATGCTCATCAGTTACCGAACTGATATGTTACCACTCCTGCCTTTAATGGCTACTAAATTGGTGGCCTGTTTTGAGAAATCTAATCAGGGATGCTTCTTATGGGTTACTGGGGCGGTTATTAGAGAGTTCGCGGATGAAGAATTTGTTGATGAAGCAACAAGGAACTCAATTTATCAATTTTTGGAACACCAATGCTTAACCATGTTCCGATTACTGAATAGGGTATCGCCTACGGAAATTCCAGACGGTTTGTTCTTCCTAGTCTAGAGCGTGATCCATTTGATTCATTTGATTTGCTAAATCTCTGTAGTTATTGAGGATTTCTTTCGATTACTTGTAGATGGTGTTATGTTCCATCCCTACAAACTAATACGCTCCTCTCTCCTCCAACCAATCTTTGAGGCCTCACTTGCATCGTTAGAGCTACAATCGGTTGACCCTCTCAATGCGGTACTTCAATTTCTCCGAGATGTTCTAGCTTATGGTCGCTCCTCACCTCCGACCAGTGCGTATCCGGATAATCCAGCGGCTGTCCAGGAGGCAATCAAAGCTATAGCCCTAAGTAAGGGGGAGGCCATTACACAAAAGATTCTAAGTGGCTTGATGTATTCCTTCCCAAGAGACTGTGTGCCGGATTCTTCAGGTGTCTTATTGGCACTTGTGGAGCTCTGTCCTGAGCCGTGGCTACAATGGATGAAACAAACTTTGGAGATTTTACCTGCTGGAAGCATCTCGCCAGCAGAGGCTCAAAAGTTCTTGAAAACGCTTGAAGGGTATTTATCCATGATTCTCTTGCATTTGTACCCCACCCCATGACTTTTAAAGAGATACTAACCACACTCTTCGTCCTATATAGCGCCGTTTCTATAAAAGATTGGAAGAAGATTAGATACACCCTTCAGGACTTCACGAACTGGTATAGGCGTAAAAACGTAAACTACCCTACAACCAATTCTTCGTACTTCCGCTGCAAATCGTTCTGACCTGACATTCACTTCTCTAGGTTACTCCCAGAACTGCCGTTGCTGGAATCGAAGGGATCGAAGGCTCAAGATTTCAGTTCAGTGGCTGAGGGGAAGGTTTCCACGCAGCTCATAAGAAAATAAATCTTGCCTAATAGGATCAGTACATAAAACCTTCAAGAAGAAAATCATTGCCCAACTTAAGCTGTTAGAATAGCTTGTAGGATCTTTGCTATGTTTCTTAGAATGTTGCTATCAAGAAAATATTGGATCTTACTTCCAATATCGACATGGGGTGTGAAAAGTAAGGGTATCAACGCTTGAGCCCTAGCTGCGAAACCTGGTCCCAGCCAACCATCTACTTTACACCCAGATGTCAATAAAATGACTGCCGGTGACAGAATGTGTTGAAATTGTCATCTAGACGATTCTATCAAAGACTGACTACTAGCTGCATACAGGTGGTGTGATATTTTAAATCCCCGACTACGAGATAATTCAGGACAATCCCTTCCTCTATCTTCAGAAACTATGGTATTGAGTAGCTGTGGCTCGCCGTTGAGATGTTCGCTAGTGTGTACCAAATTCAGCACGCTGGGGTTGAGGTGTCTCAGGGTTAGGGATAGTTATTTCCTCTGCCTTCGTGACAGGCAACTCTCATTGTCACTCACCTAACCCGACCCCGCGAACCTCTTTATATATTCGTTTACCACGAAAAGCAATATTCGTTTACCACGAAAAGCACATGTGCAGTTATTCTAGGCAAGGATGATTTGTATGGAGTGGCGGTGATCTCTCATACAAATTATCCCTGTCTCCGTCATACATGTAATCAATATCCGTAGACTACATGTGTATAAGTCAGCACGGGTATGTAATCAGTCTCAAATATACGCCTAAGTGATGAATGATACGGATAGGGTTGACCAATGGCTCCCTCGGCGCGGCTAGGGTGCCAAGGGATCACGTGGTGATTGTGTTTGTTTCGCGACTAAAGCTTCCACAAACCTGAACCTTCAACGCAACACACCCTCATCTCCCACTCCATCTCACAGCAATCATTAAGACCTTATAATTCTCTTCTTAGCAGCTTAATTCCAAATATGGCGGTAAGCTCCTGTCATAAACACACACAATTCTGACATTAAAAACTCGCTGATAAACGTGGCTAGAACCTTGGAATTACCACTGTCGGCGAAGCCAAAGAAATCCGAGGCATGAACCTTATCGCAGCCCATTCCCATATACGAGGTCTTGGAATCGACCCTGATACACTTGAACCACGCGCTACCAGCCAAGGGCTTGTTGGTCAAGCCCGCGCGAGGAAGGCTGCGGCTGTTATCCTGCAGATGGTGAAAGAAGGAAAGATTGCTGGACGAGCGGTATTAATGGCTGGACCTCCTAGGTATTCGTGATATTCCCTTTTATTTCCCTGATTATCTGTTACTAATTATGGCGTAGTACGGGAAAAACAGCGATCGCGATGGCGATGGCGCAGAGCTTGGGTCCTGATGTCCCTTTCACTATGCTGGCGAGTTCTGAAATTTTTTCCCTGGAGATGTCAAAGACAGAAGCTCTCAATCAAGCATTTAGAAAAAGCATTGGAGTCCGAATCAAGGAAGAGAGTGAAGTAATCGAGGGAGAAGTTGTAGAGATTCAGATCGATAGATCTGTTACGGGGGTGGGTCTAACTTCTGAGGTGTGCGTCTCAAGGGTTCTAGCTAACATTGTGGTCTATAATTAGGGCCAAAAACAAGGAAAACTCACCATGAAAACTCAAGACATGGAGACTATGTATGACCTGGGCACAAAAATGATCGATAGTCTCAGTAAGGAAAAAGTAATTGCCGGAGATATTATTAGTATCGACAAATCCTCAGGCAAAATCACTAAGCTGGGTCGTTCTTTCACAAGATCCCGGGATTATGATGCTATGGGACCCGACACCAAATTCATCCAATGCCCTGAAGGGGAGATTCAGACAAGGAAGGAGGTGGTTCACACCGTATCATTACATGAAATCGATGTCATTAATTCCCGCACTCAGGGTTTTCTTGCCCTCTTCTCCGGTGATACGGGCGAGATTAGGAGCGAAGTGAGAGACCAGATTAATACGAAGGTCGGCGAATGGAAGGAGGAAGGGAAAGCTGAGATTGTGCCGGGTGTTCTATTTATTGATGAGGTACACATGCTTGATATCGAGTGCTTCTCATACATCAACCGCGCACTGGAAAGTGAACTTGCACCAATTGTCATAATGGCTAGTAACAGAGGGAACTCGAGGATCCGTGGGACAAACTATAAAAGTCCACATGGACTACCAATTGATTTCCTTGATAGGGTTGTGATCATGCCGACATATCCCTATGGCCCCGAGGAAATTCGGGAGATTATCGCTATCCGGTTTGTCTCCCCGCAATTTGACGCAAGAATATATGGATTACTGATTTCCATGCAGAGCCCAAGAAGAAGAGGTCACTCTTGCTGCCGACGCACTAAATCTCCTTGCCAAGATCGGACAAGAAACAAGTCTTCGCTACGGCTCTCACCTTATCACTACTGCAAGCCTCATCGCAGCAAAAAGAAAATCCAATATTGTTGAGGTTGCTGATGTTCAGCGAAGCTATAAACTCTTCTATGATCAGGGAAGAAGTGTGACCTTTCTTCAGGAGTATGAAAAGAAGTTCATTGGGAACGAAGGTTTAGCTACGTTGTCTGGAACTAACAGCGGTACTGGAAACGATGAAATGGAGATTTCTTAGAATAATGTCTGGTCTTGTGGAATGAGCTTGTTTAATGAGGGGGCAATACCATAGTTTTTGAGGAAAATCAACTAAAACTAGAATGAGTTTGGCGCTTGCAAATAGGGTCTATATTACTTATAAAAAAATGTGATTGGTTTCAGAAATTCAGAGCTAAACTATGTGCTTTTCTACAAGTAGAGGACATTCCCCGGACCCTCCATGTCATACCTACTTACTGCGAGAATAAGTTTCCGCCACCACCTTTATGTTGCAACCGCATTTTCACGTACAAATTTGGCGGAAACTTATTCTCGCCGCAAGTACAGTGTCTAATGACTTGTTTTAGTATTGTTACTGTACAGAGGGGTCCACGAGGCATTGACGCTCGAGGCCTCACCTCGAGGCCTCTACGTCGAGGGAGCTCAAGGGTTGGGGGTCGACGAGGCGAGCATACTCAAGGCAGACCCTTTTGCTCGCCTTGAGCTGCTCGAGGTTTACTTGTAGGTAATCATGTATTAGTGGCATATATTCAGTGGGGTTGATGTTTCCGATAAGGACATTGGAAGTATTCCCTACATTAATCTCATACCAGTGTTACAATAAAATACGATTTTAACGAATCTAAATATAGTACTTATCTGCCTCGAGCCAGCTCGAGCGCCTCGAGGTATCACGCATGGACCACATGAGGCAGAGGCACCTCGAGGCACTTATCTTTGCTCGCCTCGAGCAGCCTCGTGGACCACACTATTGTATCATTGTCTAGGCGTATAGATGGAGTGAATTTGTATCATCTCGTTATACATGTGAGCTTACATGTAGAAGACCCTGAAGTTGCATCACGGTCCTCTCTACATGTACATACTCTGGTTTTCGGCCTACCCTACATAGGTACATTTGGTTGGTTGATTGATTCTTTGATTGATTCAGTTCAATAGAGCGTATTTGCCAACCGTCAATTTCAAGAATTTACAAATTGTGGGGCTCCGAAATGGCAACCGGGGCTGTTAATTTTGAATTTCGGTGGGGCGGCGTGCTGTGAGATATACCAGGAGGATCACAAGTACCCAGTTTTGTTACTACCGAAGCTAGTATCATGGGGTATGAATTTTCAGTTCCAACAGCGTACTTCACAGGTAGCGTGATGGGTTGTCTGGTTTTCGGGGTTTATTCTGTCATACCGTTAACCAGATCGATTTTGGCCACGGTTGGCAAATACGCTCTAATGAATCAATCAATCGTAATACAAAAATCCTCGTGAAAATGTGATCTACTCCATACCTTCAGTTCTCACAATAATGTATGTAGCTGAATTGTTTTGTGCATGCATGTACATGTACTTACATGTACTTGGTGGTTGATATCTACATGTACATGTACACTAGGGGTACGCCACCTCGCGACCGCGAGGTCCCCTTCTCTCCCACCTATGTGTACAGTGTCCGGTAGAATTATTGCGAAAGTCAGAACTAAAAGGGTGAGTTTCTTGGCTCGTGCTCACTGCAAAAATTCCTTTGAGGGCCAATGGGACTATCGGGTCACGGAAAACCCACTTTCGCATTAATTCTACCACAATCTGTAGTATCTAGGCACCTCCAGTAATTAGTTAATTTTGTCTTAGCCGTCTCATGGTCTGTTTTCCCGGCCATGTCGCATAAATACCTCAATCTTGCTCTGAAGATCTATTTCCGATTTTCAATGCCAGGTCCAGTGCCAGCTCTAATGCCCGCTCCAGTGCGAGCTAAAATCAAGGTCAGCCCCAGTGTCAGCTTCGGTGTCGGCTCAAATATATGCCAGCTCAGATACATGCCAGCTCCAGTGCCCGCTTCTCTGCAAGCTCCAGTGCCCGCTTCTCTGCAAGATCCAGTGCCCGCTTCGCTTCCAGCTCCAGTGCCCGCTTCGCTTCCAGCTCCAGTGCCAGCTCTGATGCCCACTCCGGTGCCCGCTCCGGTGCCCGCTCCGGTGCCCGCTCCGGTGCCAGCTCCGGTGCCAGCTCTAATGCCCACTCCTGTGCCCGCTCTTGTGCCTACCCCTGTTCCCGCTCATGTTCCTGCTCGTGTTCCCGCTCTTGTGTCCGCTCCGGTGACCGCTCGAATGATTACTCCAGCGTTCGCCTCGATGCCAGCTCCTGTGCCAGCTCCAATGCCGGCTCCAATGCCCCTTCCGGTGCCCACTCCACTATATACCAGCTCCGGTGCCAGCTCCATTGCCAGCTCCAGTACCGGCTCCAGTGCTAGCTCTGATATATTCCAGCTCCCTTCACCATTCCTCCACCGCACTGGTACCTCCTCTCCCCCTCTTACTGGTCTTCCCTCTCCCTCTTCGCACCCCCCGCCAACTACTGTTCGTCTCACTCGCCTATTCTGCTCACATTTGACTACTAAATAGCTATATTTATTATTTAATCATAAAGGGTTCCGTTGGTTGGGCTGGTCTCATGGGTAAGGTCAGGGTTAGGGTTTGGGCTTGGCACGAAAATAGGCAGGGTAATGGCCCTGAGCAGGCAGGGTAACGCCCAAAAAAGGTAGAGTAACGCACAAAAAGGTAGGGTAACAGCTCAGAGTAGGTAGGGTAACCGCACTAATCGGGTAGGGTAACCATCTCAAAATAGGCAGGGTAACTGAACAAAATCGAGTAGGGTAACTGCATCAAAGACATGAATTTGATGTGTCGTGCTTACAAAACACCCCTGTCGCTGTCAACCAATCAGATTGCAGAGAGTTCAGAAGAAGTGTATTCCAGTACATATTAGATATACTACAGTATCCGGTAGAATTATTGCGAAAGTCAGAACTAAAAGAGTGGGTTTCTTGGTCCGTGCTCACTGCAAAAATTCCTTTAAGGGCCAATGGGACTATCTGGTCACGGAAAACCCACTTTCGCATTAATTCTACTAGAATCTGTAAGTGTCAGCCCGCGCCACATGATGTACCCTTCCATATAAAAATTATGGAGCTTTCGAAGGCCGATACATACACAAATCCAGCCAATAGCCGCGACCACTCAGCCGCGGTTTTCCTAGGCAATACTTGATCTAGGTAGCGGTTCCCTATATTTAGAAATCTTAATATTCTTGAAGAATTTCCTTAATTGCCAAGAGAAACAGCGACTGAGGGGTCGCGGCTACTGACCACTCGCCCGGTACATGTACACTAGGGGTGTGCCACCTCGCGGCCGCGAGTTGTTGCATTGAGTATCTATGAGTATTAAATATTGATATTGATGGAGGAGACTCCTTCCACCTTCCCCCGCCTTTCCCGCCCTCTACTTCCCACCATCTCCACCGCCCTTCCGCTGCCCTCTACCCCCCCCCTCCACTGCTCCTCCAGCTCCCCCTCCTCCACTGCTTCGTGTTAGATTATTTAATTAGATATATTATTTAATTATATAGGCCTTTTTAAATTTTATTATGTGCGCCGCAGATACAGAGTTCCATCAGTATCATTGAGTATCATTGGTTTTGCGGCGTGGTTATTGAATTAGATTTATTACTTAATTATATGGCCTTTTTAATCCAGTATCATTGATTTTTGGTGGGATGCGCTGGTTACTACGCAGAGGTCAGAGTCAGGGTCAGGGTTCAACCGAGCGCGAAAAGTCTGTATCGTAGTACATATTAGACTAGCAGTTGGCCACCTCGCCAGGGCGAAGTGTGAGCTTGAATGTGACCAAATTTTGGGAAGGGCGGGTGGGTGTGGTGAGTCCGGTTTTTACAGTACCGATGCCAGTGCCAGTGAGCTGAAAGTATGTGTAATTTAATGGAGTTTGCTTTAACATAAACTTCCGGAATTATATTGCATAGCTATTGCTACCTAGTGTAGTGGTTTAAGAACCATAAAGTTATTACCATAATTACGACGTCGATATAATGGGTATCCATCTTCTTGTATAACAGTTTCATTCTGAAATTGTTTAGGATACCGTTTGGTGCAAAGTCGAGGTGCATCAAGTGTTTTCGAGATCATACATGGTGAATCGAATGCCAATTCTCCATATAGGCCATGCACCATACATGATTTGATAACAGCTGTGAGTTCACCATCGGGATCAAATTGAGGATCCGGCAATTCAGCACATACAATCTGGTCAATACGTTCAGAAGTCATGAATCTGTCCTCAGGGTGTAAAAATAATAGAAGATACATATGTGGTAAACCACGTTTCTGATATTCAATATTCCAGACACATCCGAGGTAACGTCCAAAAATATGATTATGTTTAATTTCCTGCAAAAGCTTTTGTTGTTTGAGATGAAAAACTCTCGCAATTAAATCTGGACGATCGACAGCTGTTTGACCTGGAAGTAACTCTGCAACGATTTCCGACCATTTAGGATTCGCTGTAAATGTGATAAAAAGTGAAGGTCTTCCGAAGTGTCTTACGATAGCCATTGAATCCTGGTATAATTGTTGCATATAACGATCACCACCGCTATAGCTGCTAGGAAGTATTATTCTCCGTCCGGTTTGTTCTGGATTGAAGTCTTCTTGAAGCATAGCATCGGTCAGGCCATTATACAAATCGGATCGGAGTCTTGATTGATTCAAACGTATCCAATTTAGTTTGTTCTGATCACATACAGCCCATGCGTCAATCAAATATTGCTGAAAAAGCTTTTGAGATTGAAATAGTGTTAAAGGCTCAGTTGAACGTGAATGAATACAATAGCTTTGTAATAAGTTAGTAATGATTTCTAGGATAATATATTAAACATACCGATAAAATTCATGTTGACCTAAACGCAATACTTTCCGATTATTCAATCGATATCGAAGTTGTAAACTCCAATGCCAACCGGTATCCTCATTTGGAAAAAGCAATACGTAATGCAATGGCATATACGCAGCATGGTTAGGATTGATGATACGGAACATTTGATTTGGCAATGGATTTCTATATGCCAATATGATCTCACGGAATCCAGCTTCTTCATATTCATCGGGAATTATTACCGCCACCTCGTTACTTGTAGGTAAGTTGTTTCGTCGTTTATCTGCTCCTGTTTCAACTATCAATTGAAGACGTGGATTATCACGGAGACCGTAGGCGATAGACTGTGATGCCAAGGAATACAACCTAGGTAGTGACGTAGACGTGGACGTAAACGTAAAGGTATACTTTGACTATGGACTATGGGATGGCTCTACCTGGTATGATAAACCGGTTGGAGCCCTATGACGTAGTGAGGACGAAGAATAGTATTCGTGGAATAAATACAGAGGTTGCGTAAGGAAGAAAGAGAAGAAGGAAAACAGACAAAAGCACAAAACAACGCCCCCTTATATATCCATCCATAATCCAACAATGACTAATACCTTCGCATAACAGAAACCCAAAGAACATAACAGAAATCCCCATTACAAATCCTAATTCCACTACACGATACCTCCTTCCCTCATCCCAGTTCATTAACTAGCCGAAATACATAGCTGCCGTTACATGGATTAAGTATGACGCGTGCATTCCCATCTTGTGTTGAAGCATTATCCAATCTTTCTTTTGTTGTTTTATAAAATTCAATAAACGGATTTATTGAATTTAACTCCATGGTGAGACGTTGAAGTACCATAATATCTAAAGTTGGATGTGTTGTATGTCGTACTTGGGCCGAATATTCTGGATCGTAGAAATATAGTTGGGCGAAGGAAGGTGTTGCTCCGATTGCTAGTACCAATGGTCCCTGAAGATGATATAATTCACCATGAATTTGGAAGCAACTTATACCACCGCTATTTGCGCCAACTCTTGTATCCGTATTGTATTTGACTGAGGTAAACGTAAGTGCTGAATTATATTCCCGTATATGTTTCCGGAAGTTTCTTGGGACAGTTTCTAAAGATTCCAACAGGTACTTCAGATAATCAGAAGGGGGTTTAAGAATTTCAAGTACAACGTCTCCCTTTTTGCAACAATTCTCAAAGATTGATGTTTGAATTGAGCTCCCGGTGCAGCTTGAACGTTCATTTAGCCAATGCAAAGCTTTGCATGATTGGCAAACAATTGTCATACGCCCAAGTATTAATAGTGACTATTTTGTTCGGGAAGATAGAAATGCCATTGGAGAGGGGGCTGCAACTGGTAAAACCGGACGGAGCTGGATTACTGTTAGAAACCATCTGAAAAAATATTCAATAACCAAAATCGTAATACCTCTATATTATTTTCTTCTTCTATTAATCTTGTGGCTCTACGTACTGTTCTTCGTTCTCTCTCTAGTTGCTATACAATTTGTTAGAGCAAAGTATAACTGTCACCCGGAAAGATTCAACAATACATACCAAACATGTACGACATGATTTACGTGGTTCTTCTTGATTATCCTGATCGTAATCTTTAAGAGGTTTCTCCCGTTTGCATTTACGGCACGTTATGGAATTCATTGTTGTTTTTCGTTGATCAGAATTGTTTTAAAAGATGGTGGGATGGGGGGAGCAGTCCCTATTTATAGTATTCTAACATTTTGTTTTAATTGAATGGGCTCGGCTGTTGACTGGGTGTTGACCGGCCTGGGTGGGGCGGATTGGTTGCCACACAGAGGTCAGGGTTAGGGTTATGGGCCGGCGTGCCAGCGGGGAACTGCACCAAAGATACATGTACCAAAGTACCCCTTAAAGTGTATTCCAGTAGGTACACTATAGAAGATAGTAGATAGCACATTTATTTATTAAGATATAATTTAATTATTAAGATATAATTTAATTATTAAGATATAATTTAATACTCCTACATTTTGTTTTGATTGACTGGGCATTGGCCGGTGTTGACCACGGGCGATTTGGTGGGGCGGATTGGTTGCCATGCAGAGATCAGGGTCAGGGTTCAACCGAGCGCGAAACTGCTCTATCGTAGTACATATTAGATTTGGTGGGGCGGATTGGTTGCCATGCAGAGATCAGGGTCAGGGTTCAACCGAGCGCGAAACTGCTCTATCGTAGTACATATTAGATTTGGTGGGGCGGATTGGTTGCCATGCAGAGATCAGGGTCAGGGTTCAACCGAGCGCGAAACTGCTCTATCGTAGTACATATTAGATGTATCTATCTTATAGTATACGTAACGAGTTTGATCCGCGAGCCAATAAGTCTTCTCTATAGTTTGGAATCAAACTTAAGAAACCACTTACCTATGCGACGACAAAAATCCCGGGGTTACAATACCTTTCGATAGATAAAAAATAACCGATCAAATGCATACATTCCTGACTAAGAATGTGTACGCTAGGCAGGGAGTCTCAAGTGTTTTATTCCAGTTTTAGACAAATATTTGCCAGATGTTATTCTATAATTCAGGTATCTCATTTATTTACAGACAGTACTAGCTCTAGTTAGTACAGGTATTTACCTGTAGCTACGTGTATGTAGGTAGTTACTAGAGGAAAATGATTCGAATAATATCTTTGCAGAGCCACAACGAGTATAAGTATATCACACCAATTCCGATTGACTAATACAGGGCATACAGTGACTTACTGTTTAACTTCAACGAACTACATGTAGGTGGACATTGGAAGCTTAACTATACATGTAGTAAGACAGGATTGGGAGTGGGCCTAACGGTGGGGCCGGGGCAGGAGGACTAGGGTCAGTTCAACCAGCCGGTAATATATTGTATTCAGCCAAAACTACATGTACATGTAGTTTTTACCACTAACCCTCGTTATTATAACATACCTATATCCATATGTATGCATTACAGGGCACTGAATTGTTGTTTTTTGTTTAATTCATACTCGCATGCAGCCCGTAAGCTATGGCGGCGCACTACAATATACAGTGCAAGTACAGGGTTTCACCCTTATGCCTGCTAGTCCCTGAATTTATTGTATAATATGATCGATATATTCAGTGATCTAAACTTGATAAGTTCTGGTGTTAAACATATCTCTCACCATGCAATTGGTTATTTCCCAAAGCAATCCGGCTGCTCAACTATTTTATCGATTTCTGATAAGTGAATATTACGAAAAGAAGATTTTTTGTGAAACACCTAATCTTATTTACTAAACGCGCGGGTAGATTTTATAGAAATACATATATCATATAGTGACATGACCTAGAGTTCGGTCAATACTCTCCTAATTAACGCTCTACATTTTACTAATGTTTCAAACGATTTTAGAGACATTCTTAGGCAAATGATGATTGATTGGCGTCGACCGGCGCCGCGACCTTTGCTTCTAGCACTATGAATACTATTTGATTAATATTGACGCTCTGCTATGAACAGAAATTCTTACATTAATGAACTATCAATCAATCAACAGAAACTTGCCGTATAAAATTAATGAATCATCAATCAACCAACCAACAGAAACTCTTAGTTGTCGAGTGATATCCCATGAGCCGTCGTCTCGAGTGATAGTCTATGATGAAAGGGAAAGACCGACATGATTGATTGATTGATAAGTAATTGATTTGGAAAGACCGACAGCTACATAAAATACATGCTAAAAAAATCCCTCTCTTAGAAGAACGATCAAACTTGTCCTAAATAGCCCTGGCTAAAAGTAGGTTTCTGTAGAAATACCTCTGCCCACAACACAGTAACATCTGAAAATCTTTACTATTTGAGGAATAGGTATAGACTTATAAGTACTCCAAATTATAAATTTCATGTCTGTGGATAATTAAAAGGGCTATGTACATGGCTTGAAATGTGTGAATTTTGAAATATGCCAAGCCCCACACAAATTCGAGGACTTGGCAGGGATCTCAGGAATGCTCTCACAAAAACTTCTACAGCTAATGCGGAATTTAATATTTTGACAAATCAACTTTAAAGAATAATTCTCTTCGATCCGACAAGGCTTTATATCAACTCTTTAAAAATCATTTGGGGAGAAAAGAAGTTGAAAATGGTCATAACGATGGCTTCTTATTTACTTAAGCAATGGGTGAATCGATCATTGTATCTTGATAAATGGGATGATTAAGAGTTGAAAATACTCGTGACTGGAGAGACCAAGGTCGAGCGGTAGTACATGTATGTGTGTAGTAGGTACATAAGCTCTACCTAGTACTGGTGTAAGGTCATGTGGCAATGATATCTAATTGATTAGTCATGTCAAAAAAGTAAGCGGCTCCTAGATTTTTCTCTAACCCATGCTCGTAGCATTTTGAATTTTAACAAATCTTTCCTCCTTCTCTACAGCCTAAGCTATTTCCTGATGTCGACCTCTCTGGACCCTGTAGGTTTATTATAATGCCGAATCATACTTTCGATTCAATTTTCCAGCTGACATTCCATAGACCATTCCGCTCCAGAAAACGGCAGAAATCACTAAACATTTGCGCTCCCGCGATGTTCCGCTTACGGCACTACTTCCCTTCGCTTCAACAATTCTTGATAAGACTGTCGGAAAAGAAAATGAGAAAAATATATATTTTCCGCAGAAGGAGGATTGGCTTTTGGAATGGCTGGTGCAAAGATTAGGGCAAGATGACAGTGGTGCGCCAGAGTAAGAACTCTCTTTGCAGTCAATCATATATAGATGTTCTCTGTTCCATTGCTTACTTCAAAAGAGCACGGTGCGACCCAGAATTCTGGGTTTTTTTGTTACGCCTTCTACCATTGTCTTTCTCTGCCGGTGGGATCTTAAAGAAACATAATATTCTCCAACTTATCTCAAAAGCACTTTCCGAAGCGGCTTTATCACAGAAGAGAGACTTAACAGCCCCCACGGTTCCGGGGAGGGATGAAGACATTGATATGGAGGATGAGGAGATCTACAGCACGCCGAAAGAAAGATTGTCCTCTGATTCTTCCGCCAGTCCTCCAGAACAACTTCTGTTGCTTCGGCGAACACCTTCGAGACTTCAGGGTCTTTTAGCAAGTGTCACTGGTGTATTGTCGTACATTCAAGAGAACTTAGGTGCTGGGAGAAGAGACGGAAATATAGTTGCGGTTTTAAGAGGAACCCCGGAAATCGGGGCACAGATCCTAGGATCGTTTCTTGAGGCTTGTCACGTACTAATTCAGGAAGGGATAGAAATAGAGGAAGAATGGATAAATACTGTGGTGAATGTTTGGCGGAGTTGTGTATGGGGAAACCCGCAATTAAAGAAGGTACAAAGCGACTGGATCCTCCTTTATATAATTGTAAAGCTATTATCTGACAGCAGGAAAAATATAGCTTTCAATGATATTCTCAACGTCCTGTCTTGTTCCTACAACTCATTTGTTAATGACACCCTCTATTCCATCTAACCTTCGACGTAAGCTAGAACAGCTACTAGCTGAGTTTATTTTTCCTCACGAAATTCTTTTCCCTGCAGGTTTGGGGACTACAGAGCTCTCATCAAAAGATCTAAAGCCTCTGCTGGGGCCTCTAAAGGCTCAGAAAGACGGCCTCTCCAATATATTTAGGATTGCCATCACCTCGCAGACCAAGAGAAGGAAACCGGACTCGACGATTGTAGAAGTGATCTTCGAATCAATTACAAGCGCGATTCTTGGAATCTTATTTCCTATCAAAACCATTAATACTAGAGATGCAGAAATAGTCATGAGCCTATTGGAAGTCCTCATTGAGACTGGCACTAGCATCTCTTCTAATACGATAGCTGAGCTTGTAGATGGTATATCAAATCTTTCCTACAGTAACACAAGCTCAGTCGTTCGATGGGATATTATCGCAGTCGCTCTAAAGCTTGATTTTGACATATTCCTTGGAAAGGGGAATGAGGAGCGGGCCTTGAAGCTTTTTAGTTCACTCACAAACAATTTTACAGATCAAGAGACAGTTTATGAGGTTATGAAGCTGTTAATTGACGGTTTTGTCAAAGCCCGAGATCTAGGTGGTTTTGTAAATGTTTGGATCTCAGAATTGCGCAAAGACGGGGCTCGAGATGGGATTTGGGAGAGTGATAGAGCTGCAAAACTCTTTTCGGAGCGGATAGAAGCTTCTCTACTACCCGGGCAGATCGAGAATGTCCTTAAAACCGCCATCCAAGAAAATAGCTGGGTTGTCATCGACGGTTTGTTAAGAGGTGTGAAGAGAGAGGATACCCACAACAAAATCAGGCCTTTGCTAAATAAGATTACCGATAAAATTCTTGATGGTGAGGTGGGATGGAGAGGATGGAGAGCTATGGTGAGGGGGCTTCAAATCGAGAGTGGATTGGCCGGTGGCAATCAAGGGAAAATCTTGAAGAGATTGAAGAAGTACGTCGAGCGTGGGACAGATGATGATGATGCGAGAAGAGCTTTATTTATTGGAGAAGTCTTGATGGACAGTGCGGATGGTGAGGGCCAAGCTGAGGTGATATGCGTGTTCATCAAAGCGATGAAAAGCACCACAAGGAGCTGGGATCGTTCTCTAGGAGATATAAATCCGGAAAATCTTGGTGTTGCGATTGTGTTAGGCGTCATTGGCAGGTGGATGACAGTTTTAGAGCGAGCTCAGTCGGATATCCGGACAGGGTTTGTGGACGAGTTTTTGAGTATGGCTGTCGAAAATGATACCGCACAGAAGGCGAGCGATCTCACTGGAAGGGTCCTATGGCAGAGTATGCTAGTTAGAGGTGTTTCTTACGAGCACCCTTCGCTAAAAGGTTTGCTTCTTATCTCCACTTGAGGATTCTAGTTTCCTTCAGCTGCTCACAAAAGAACATAGACGCTATACTTGCTGCACTCGTAATCAAACTAGAGTCCCGTTTTGAAATCTCTCAAGATATGAACGCATCATTAGGGGATATAGAAAAGGGGAGAGGTGCTCCAATGACCGAAAAGGATGTGGAATGTTACAAATTCTTGATCCAGAGCATCTCAAAGTTTCCATTGGAGGCTATTAAAAGGACCGTTAGAGAAAGGATACTGGATGTTTTGGTATTGCTCGACTCCTCCCTTAAGAAAGAGGGATCGTCTGTGCTCCTGAGGGATGCAGTGAAAGGGCTAGTTGCAAGACTGTGGGCTTTGGGAAATGCCAGCTCTTTTCTGGTGAGTGGTATTATTTCTATATTGAAACTAGAAAATTGATTATGTTTAGGCAAGAGACGTGAACGGGTTTATGGCGTGGTCTCTGGAAGAGGGTGGTCTAGGGGAGGCCGGAAGGAAGATACTAAGGTCTGCTCAAAAATGTTATGTTTATCATCTTGAGCCGTACTGACTTGAAAACAGATGCATATTTGCGACAAAGGAGCAAGAAAGAAGTCGTGAATTCTTAGCAAAATTGGTGGAATCTGCTGAGATTGAGTTTCTCCGTAACTCTGAGAAGCCAACAATAAAAGCGGTAAAGGCATGCGAAATTATCATCGAAGAATTTTGGAGAGCGGGTGAGAGAAATGATGTTCAACAATTGCGGGAAAAAATCCTTGAGCAGCTACGAAATTTCACGGAGACTGGAGAAATAAATGGGCACTTGATTGGGGCATGGAGGAAAATCTGGGCACTTGACCGAAGTCCAAGCGATAAAGAAGGTGAGCATTTCTTCAAATATACTTTTCTGGGACCATCTCATGCTTAAACTACGATAGAAGTGTTAGGATTTGCGCAAAATATCATTGAACGTATAAAGGCAACTCTTCCTAAAATCTTGACAGTTTCAGAACATTTAGGAGAGGATGGAGTAGGAGATGCAACCCATATCGTTGCAGAAACCGTTATGATACTTTGCGCTTCTTCTAATACTACAGAGGAAGCCATAAAAACCACAGCATTGGTGGTGGCGATATTAGATTCGCGTATGTTTACGTTTGACCTTTTCACCTAGATCTTCCAATTTAACCTAGTACTCACGCCTCGATAGCATTCGCACGATGCTATAGATCAGAGATGATTCTCGCCTATAGTGAAATGGTATCAATTAGCTTGGATCCAGAGGTCTATCTAGATTGTATAGAGATAGTTATCGAAGGGTGTTTTTCGTTAGAAGAAACAACAGCGCCAGCATATTGGGAAATACTAAAGGTTTTAATCAATGGAGCAAAGAGTGAGCCCCCCTCATTAAACGAAACTAGCAGTGGCAATGACAATTTATTACTCCAGTTTACAACCATAGCTAACGCCTGAAACATAGTCCCGGAAGAAGAGGATAAATGGAAAATAATCATTGACTGCCTTTCGAAGGTGTTTTCAAAGTTAGCACGGAACTTGCCCAAGACTAAGACCGTTACCGAATTCTTGGCCGTGACAGATTGCATGGATATAATTCTGCGCGAAAAGGTAAACGACGTCTCCATTATCCACATAGAGATATTAGCTAACCAAGTACTGGCAATAGACTTGGGCAGTAATGCAATACAACATCGACGAAACCCTGGCATCTGTGGCAATCACTTCATCACCGTCAGGCCCTCAATTCACTCCCGTTATAGTTATTGCGGATGAAATTTTTCTCAGATTGTGCAATATTTTACGGTTGATCTTGTCTCAGCACCGAAGAAGGGTCAGGGGCGGCCGCTATCATCTTGTTGTGGCTGCTCTCCAATCTTTACTTCGTTGTATCTTTAAACGCAAAACAGCTAGGGAGCGCAAGAAATCCGACAAAATACTCCACCCCCCATGGCTTTTACCCAGTACAATAACATCAGAAATGCCTATAATTACTGATAAGTGTGCCGATGGCTTCAACCGGCTGCTCGCAACCTTCTGTGAGCCATCTGCATACTCTGTCAGGGGTAAGACCAGAGGGGGGGTCGATGATAATCTTGTCAACAGCGTTAGGGATCGTGAGAAACGCGAGGTTGCTAGCTGCGTTGGCGGGCTACTGGGTGAGATTCTTAAGGGTGATTTAGCAGGAGGGCTTGATGGCGATATCAAAGCTAGCATTAATACTATATTCGAGGTTCTAGGAACTGAGGGGGTTAAGGCATTTGCCAGAACCGTGGATAAAGAGGGGAGAGCAATGCTTAGGGAGTTGAGGGATGAATACAACAGAGTCGGAGGAGGGGCGAGTGAAAAGTTTTGAACAGACTAAGGGGTTCTAATTCCCACCATTTTCCAGATAGTCTATTGACTAGTGTACTTTTATGTATATCCGTCCTTGTATCAATACATGGTGTTCAGCACAACCAAAGCCTCTCCGCGATTTTCCTGTGCTCATACATTCAGAAATGTACTTAAACCTAAAATAGGAACTTGGCCTCAAGGTTGGTATGGATTTTTAAGCCATAGCAAAAATCATTGTACATACATCACAGTGCCATACATTGATCCAACGAGGCACAAAAACCTTACTTATTATCCTTAGAAAATAGACCCAGATGAACATTATAATTTTAGCTCTCAGTGCAATTCTCCACATTTAGTTAGTAGAAAAGAAAACAGCAATTTATACCACCCGCCAAGTATCTCTATACCCTGATCCATGTGCTCGTGTTGTACAAGACGCCATACTTTTAAGTCCATTGAAACCTTCGCCTGCGATACAATAAAATGATTTGAAACCCGTTCTGAAGGTGATACAGCAGAATTTACGAGTATGTATCAGAAACGGAGGATAAACGCTCCCTTCCCTCCTTGTGTCCATAACTATCTCTACTCACAAGAAGTCGGCAGCTCTAACTCTCCCTGCCCCTCTTCCACCTTGTTCACTAGTTTCCGCAGCAGGTCCTTCATTTCTTCTCCTAGCATCACTATCTCTCCCGTACCTTGGATGACCCCTGTCTCTTCCACCACTTCTCCGATAATTATCTTCCCTACCCCTTCTGCCGTCATAACGATCCCATTTCCCTGAATCCCTTTCCCTAGTAGGGCTGCGAACTGGCGTTGGACTCCGGCTTCTACTTCTACTGTCACCTGGAGTGGGGCTTCGCCGTCTGCTTCGCGGTGGCGGGGAATAGCTGTCCTTTCTGCTCTTGACGGAGCGTTTTGGAGTCGGTGATCTGCTGGAATGTGAAGGGCTGCGACTGGCTGAAGAGTAGCTGCGGCCTCTAACAATGGGTTTTCGGGATCGAACGTCAATAGAGGACGAGTAAGACCTAGATCGCCGCCTTCCCCGCGATTCTATAGCCTCTTTTTTCGCTGGGGTGTATGACCTCGACCGAGACCTCGACCGAGACCTCGAGCTCCCGGAACCCCTCGATACCGATCTTTCTCGTGTTATGTTCTTCGCATATGGCGATAATGATCGACTTCGAGAGCGTGAGTAAGACTTTGACCGATGTGAGTAAGAATCATAACTCTTGCTGAGGCTATGGCTGCGGCTTCGACTCCGGCTAGGACTCCGGCTGCGGTCGCTTCCACTAAGAGATCGTGTGTAGCTTCTTGCCTTGCCTTTCCCTTTAGAAGTTCTCCCTCTACTCCGGCTCCTTGATCGACTGTCATATGATCCTGAACGAGATCGAGACCTGGAGCGTGAACTTCCGCTATAATATGAATAGCTCGACCTTGAGCTAACTGAGCTGGTATCCGACACATCTCTGGCTGGTGGCGGCGGAGCAATAGCCGCTTGAGCTTCGACGTTGTTCTTGAGGTGCTCCCTCATGTCTTCGGTAACACCACCCATACCGATACTAGTAAAGTAGTTGATAGAAAATCTAGTGTTCCTAGGATTGTCTTTAGGGAAAAGTCCGGTGTATGCGTCCTGAAGGAAAGGGTCCTTTAATCGTTCTTGCAACTTCTTCATCCCCATACATTCTGCTAAGTCCTGGAAAAGAATCTTGGCAAATATACGTGACGATGAAGTGGTCTCCTCTTCGTTTATGTGAACAACGGAGAGGACATGCCAACCCAGAGCATCGCTGGACAGCTGATGTCCAAAAAATCGGGCGATATTACGTAGACGGTTAGTTTCATACCTATGGATCGTATCGTAATACGTTCGGAAACAGTCCTCAAATAGTTCGGTCCAAAGTCGATTCAACTTTGCAAACCGTTCGCCAATCAAGCCGTAGAATTTGCTGTATGTACGTTCCTGGGAGCAACATTCAATGACCATCAAGCAAAGTTCTTTCTCCAACCCAGGTGGAAGCGTAATCTGGTCCAAGCTGTCAGTATCGATTGTATGTAGCATAGATGTGTAATTATATACCTTCATAAGCTTGTGACAACATTCCTCAAAATCAATCGAAGACATTATAGTAAGGTAAATCGTTCTTCGTAGATTGACCAGATTTGTATTGGTCTGATCTTGGATCTCGATTTTTTTGTCCTCTTGTTTTTCCTCGTCTTCTTCATCGCTACTATCATCATCCTCTTCCTCATCACTTTCACCCTCGCTACCTTCCCCCAAAATCTCAGCCTTCGTCTTTCTATAAAGTTCCTCGTGTTCCTCCCAGTCAGGATCAAATTTAAACACATTCAAACCGTCAGCTGTGTCGATCTCATCGTCAAGCTCGGTCCTGTGAGTTATTTGGTCCTCCTCCTCGACTAGATCAAGTTCTTCCCTTATAATAGGATGATCCTTGTATTTGTCCTTGCGCACTTGGAACAAAACCTCAACCATGTACTGAGAGCGCTTATCGATACTAGCCTCGTGAAGAATGGTTCTGAACTGTTCGTAAACGGCGTTGTTTGCCGGGGGTGACATCTGTTCAAGATGAGCACCAACTTCCCGCATTAAGCCTACGGCAATCTCCACGGAACCGTCGGTCGGTTTGTCCAGGAGCAGCATAAGAATTTCAATGGCTAAAATTTCGTTGGCGACCTGCTGATTGCAGAGATGAGCAATGAATGTAGTGCTGCTAAGACACACTGCTTTGTCGTTTCTTTTGAACGCTTTTCGAAATTGAACCACCAGCCTGTTTAACAACAATTCACCAACTTGGGGCAATTTCGTATTGACAATGGCGGTCATAGCAGCGTAAATAGCGGTGAATGGCAAAGATGCAGCCTGTGCCTTCATGATCGATCTACAGTAAAGCCCCCTTCCACGGATCAAATTTTCTCCAAAAAGCTCCGGAACGATGTGTTTGATGTTCGAAACATTAACCTTATTGATCAACCCGTTGATACTCTTCTTCAGAGCTTCCCACGCCATACGCTGATATTCCTTTGAGTTCTTGTCGGTAATCTGTGCCTGCAAAGCGCGCAGACGGGCGGGTGGGATATATGTACCACCAGATCTCATGGACAGGAGCTTCTCATATTCGGCTTTCGGGTCGAGCTTTGGCTTTTCCTGCTCCTTTTCCTTCTCCGTTTCCCGCTGACGCATTCGCTCGGCGAGTTGTCGCTCGCGTTCCATGGCGCGTTGGGGATCGATATCAGGAAGAGATGGGCCCCCACGAGCTGGACCTCGCGGAGGAGAGCGATAGCGACGAGGAGATGGAGACGTCGAGGATGGTGACCATTTGCGCTTGCTGTTTGCAGTTTGGGGGGGGGGGGGCGATGGGAGGCGAACCACGGATTGGACAACTACGTCCTCCATTGCAGGTTGGGTATGGCGAGAGTAAAGGGTATTGTTAACTGCAGACTGTATATGTACCTACGCACTTCCTAGATGAATGGAACTAGAGTGGTATTAATCGGTTCAGTGGCAAGTTGGATGATGGTCGGTTATAGGTGGTGTTGACAGATGGGCTGGCAAGGCATTCAGAGTAAGCTTCTTTCCTGCGCGTCGCGTGGTGCTTGCTGAGTCATCCTTTAATGATTCTCGGAACCCTAGCCCTATTTCTTTGGACCACACAAAAACTCACCCGGTGGCCCCCCTGGAATTTCTGGGGTTACCAATTACACAATGAGAATTTTTTAGCTACGCCGAAATTTTCCCCTGGTGGCCAATACTTACATTACTCTAGGTCCTACCAGGGCATACAGCTATAAAAGTTCGATGAGGAACTGTCCAGTGTCTCATTTTAGATGACCAAATATAATTGAATTAACGAGGTAGAAGATAAAGCGGAATTTAGCAGGTACATATATGTATTTCTAGACAGCGCCCTGTTCTGGTCTGGCATCGGGGTTTAGAGCATTTGACGGGATCCCCAAAAGTGGTGCCAAACTGTCCTCAACTCAAGATCTCCGAATCAAAGGATACAGCTGTTCATATTCTTAAGGTGAACAATATCACAATCCCGACTTTGCTGTAATGGCCCTTAGCAAGAAAAGAGACCCTCACGCTCGCAATTCCATTACAGATAAAATTATCCCAGACCAGATTATTTTTTCTGCTAAAGATACTGACAAAAGTCCCAGCATTGTTAACACGATTATAGAGACAAAGGTGAATGGAAAGAAGAGGAAATAGTACCATTTGAGTAATAAACGCCTATCCCATGAACGTGAAATTTTAACCATCCCTGTGCGTTGCTTCTAAATACACGCGGCGGGCTCAAGTCTTGGAAAAACCATGCTTCGACATTTTCCCAACAAAGCCACCCAAAAACCAATGAGACCCGTGGAGAACCAATCCTCTACAATAGATTCAGGCCGATTTTCCTGTCACACCTATCAACTCTTTCTAGGTATTGAAGGTGGCAACATCAATCCCTTATTTTTTCCGGTATCGAGCTTCTTATTCGGCAGTGTGCTTGTACCGCCACCGACCATACTGAACGTCCCTCCCGCAAAATATCGATCCTCTTCAGCGGCAGCCTTCCTCTTCCTTTCAGCAGCCACCTTAGGATCAATCAATTCAATGCCCTGTACCGGGGTGAAAGCCAGACTACTAGCAGTGCCACTAGGACCCACACCACCAAAAGTACTTCTCCCGCCCAAAGCTGCAAGGCCTGGCCCGGCAGATGATCGAGAACCAAGAATGGATTGTGCACCTCCAATTCTGGACTGGGTACCAGCAGCGGGATTTGAAGTACCCCACCCTGGGTTGTATTTTCCAAGTTTTGCTCGAGTACGTTGATCGACTTGCAGCGCACGAATACGCCCAGTTTGTTCCTGACCAATCATTCCAAGTCCTCGTGTGCTATCACCTGCCCCGTATCCTGTCTCCGCCTCTTGTCTTCCAAAGGCCATCCGGTTTTGTGCCTTTCGTAGGTCCGTCATTGCAGTGGCATCCTTCGCTTTTCTTGCCCTTCTTCCTCCACGTTTACGCGCAGGTTTGTCGTCGGGTGCCGGTAAGGCCTTCGGTCCTTTATTCGGTGGGGGTATAGTGAGCTTCTCTAGCTTTTCAAGAACTTGTTCTTTGAGGTCTTCGCCCTGAGATCCGTCAGTTGAAGAGTGGGAAAAGTCAACACGGGCAGCCAGGATAAGCTTGGCGGAAACAATCCGCATAGCTTGTTTCTTCAGATCCGTTGGGATGTTACGGATGATTGAGGAGTTGAATAGGTACCCCTGTTGTCGGATTCCGATATTTGTTGCCAACCCAGCTTGGGTTTGACGTTTTGAACCCAAGGCTGGAATGTTGCAAGCCGGAGTAGCAGCAAGTCCTCTCAAACCGCCCGCAAAGTTGATGAGCTGCGCAGCAGTTTGAGACCCAACGATAGCTGATGTGTTGGGTGCAAAGATAGACATGCGGGATTCAACATATGCGGTAATTGTTCTTTTCGCACTGTCGAGGGCTTGAGTCATTTCACAAGCCCTCATTGTTACCGCAAGCTCCTTGTCGGACAAATCACGGCCAGATGTGGTTGTCGCTTCTACAGTAACAATCATCAAGGTAGGGCCATCCAAAAAGGTACGCAGGCGATTCCCATTCCGGGCCTCGAGGGATTTGATATCCAGGTCGTTGCCAATAATGGAGACAGTCTTCGCATAGTCCAACGGGTTGGTAACGAGGTTCTCGAGCTCGGGGAATCGAACAGCATAATGATCACGGATGAATTTGTGCACGAGGATGATCTCATTATCGATAGATACGGCGTGGGCATTGGACTGGACAAGAAGCTTGTACTCTGGATTATCTTCGACACTTCCCTGGGGCCCTGTCGATGGCGCTAGGGCCTTGTAGTGTTCGATTTTCTATTTCAATCCCAGATGAAAAGTCAGCATCAACGTTAACGGTGTAGAGGAGAGAGAAACCAAAGAGAGTAATGGGAAAGGATAAGACTCGATATAGAAAACACATACCTCCAAGACGGGCTCAAGAACTTTCATCAAGCCGGCCACACTCCTGACATCGTCCACACCGCCCAACTGCATCTTCTCCACCTTTGCCTTCCTCGCTTCCTCGTCGTCATCGTCTGCCAGGTCTGATTCCCCACGCGTTGCGCCTGGAAATACACCTCCCATCTCTTCATCCTCAGAGCCGACCTCTTCTTCATCCCCATCTAGTTCTAGAAAGTCGCGCGACTTGCTACGACTGGGCTCAGGGGAGTGTGATGCTTTATTTTCAATGCCAAAGTCCTCATCTTCGTTTTCAGATTCGTTAAAATCAGCCAAAAGGTCCGCAGCTAGAGATGATTCAGCCATTCTTAAATTGGTTATGGGGATTACGATATTTGACGTGTATGGTTGCAATGGATCAAAGCAAGTGTGATGGCGACAAAGCTATCTTTGAGTCTTGGCGTGTATTTTGCTGACTCACCGGTCCGAGCTTAAATAATGTAGTTCACATCCACCTTGTCGAGACTTCTTTCAACCTCTGAAATACTGCAGGGTACTAAACGCCGAAACAGATGTCTCATTGCCAACCCATTTTTATGAGAAGATCAAGCTATTTACAAAAACGCGCATATGAACCACTTTCGCTTTTGAAATCCTTTTGGCCTGTCTGTACCTGACTCCAACCCAAGGTATATACGATACAGCTCCCCACCCATTTTCCCAAGAGATAATATACAACAGTACAATAGTAGCGAGTCAGCGATGGGGTCCGAAAAGTCATCAAAGTCAAAAAGAAAAGAGGAACAAACAAACAAACACCCACAGAGGTAAATCAAAATACCAAATCAAAGAAGCACTTTTCCAGCACTCCTCTTGTAAGAAACAAAAGTAGAAAATAAGTTCCAATCGGAAGAAACTGAGAAGACAACTCCATAATAATCCCTAACCCAGGCTTTAAAACACAAAACATCAAAAGAACAACAATTCTCAAAAGGAAGGTCTCAGAAAGAGTTAAATGAGATAGAACAAAAGATCGATCACCGACAAACCCCCAACCTACACCACCCTACTGAAAGAAAGAAAGAATGAAAACATGAAAAAAACGAAAAGAATTATTAGGCTTCAAGCCAGAACACAACAACGCTACCGCACATAGTGATTTCCTGTCCTGTGATCTTTTGGCCCAGTTGGTACTCTGGGAGGATCCAACATCATATGAGATGACATTTCAGAGGACGGACTCGTTACCACTTGCATCAATTCTGATGAATGATCAGCAAGCTTTCGAGGCTCTTCCGAGGGACTCGAATGCGAGGGTGATCTTTCAGAATTTGAGGGTAGACCCTCAGTTGAATACCTCGTTCCTAGCCTTTCGTCGGCTTTGTCAACGACTTCAACCTTTTGCTTCCGCTTTCCATAATCCTTCAAACTCAGTTTCTTCGTTCGAGTTGGGCTAGGCTGAGCTAGACAATTATTGAATATAGAGTTGGCATTCGCTAAATGCGGCACAACTGTTAAAGGGGATTGTAGGGAAACTGGGCCAAGCGCAGGTGCGCTTTGTGTTGAAGGGGTGGTAGGTGTCGGCAGCTGTACTTGCAACTCAGATCGATTTCCATTGACTTGGGACTGATCAGTAGTCTTCGGTGATAGCTCAGTGGGTGATTTGGCTGCAGCCACAGAGCCTTGGCTTGGGTAGGATGTGGTACTATCAGAATCCGCAAAGATATCTGCCAGGGCAGGGCCAGGTGGTGGCGTGGACTTATCATGGATATCAAGCACATGTATGGTTGATATCTGTGTTACCGAGTCCTGTGCCGCCGACTTGACAGTGTTTGCAGTCGTATATTGCAAAGACATTGGTTCTGTTTCTGCAGATTGTTTGATATCTGTTGGCGGGGCGTTCGGCACAGATACACCTCCGCCGCAAGATAACTTGGCAGACTTGGAAGCAGGAGCGCTTTCCGGGTCCGATGACACCTCATCACCATGCTTCCGCTTTCTATCTTCAGTTGAAATGATTCCTGCTTCGTCTCTATCTCGCAGCATACTTCGCATCAATCGTTTCCTAAGAGGAAGCCGAGGAGGCCTGGGCGGCGACATCTTCGGATCCAGTCGCCACCACGGCACCTCATCTTCAACAGGGTCGGTTTGCATTGAAGCATCTTTAAATTGCACCAGTCGTTGAGGTTTTGCGATAGTTTTACTCCGATGTTTTGGGTCTCCGCCATTGTTTTGCCCAGTTGGAGAAATAGATGCTCTGCGACGTGATTTTCCTGGCTCGGAAGGAACTGGAGAATTGGAACCTCTTCTACCGACACTTGCGTCGGTGACACTATACTCAACTGACATCGAAGCAGGGGTAGTGACAGTAGGTGAATATGGTGCATTCTGACCGTTAGGGACTTTCTGCTTCTTATTTGCATCTGCTCCTTTCGTCCCATCTTTTAGATCTGATTTAGGACGTGGCAAAGAAAGTCCACCTGCAGGCATGTCTCTGGAAACTGTGCTGTTTCGTTTCCGACGTTTGACTGGCTGTGGCTGTTCCTGTTTTTCGATGAGTGACAATACATCTTTCAGCTTTCGAGCGTCTCGTGCAGTCATTTCATTTTCTATTGCAGTATCGAGCGAGGCCGATGGTGTCAAATCACGGCTGCGAGGCTTGCTTCTCGATGAAGGTGCCGAAACCGATCGGTTATCATCGTCGTCTTCGTCGTTTGGAGGCCCAGAATCGGAACAGGGCTCTTTGGGAATGACGGAAATATTCGGTTCCAGGGATGCATTTCTCTTGGCCTTTCGCCTTCCATTCGAGATAGGAGGCTTGAGTGCAGAATGCTCACTCTTCATTTGACAATCATTCGCCCCCGAACATGAACATTCCGCCATCTTTTCCATTAGCTGGTCAGCCCAACAGGCTAGTTTGTTAGGAGTATCAATTCTCACCAAGTGGGTAGTAGATACTGGCTTCTCAATGAAGGCCTGGGAGGGTTCCCCATATTTATCAGCAATTGCGGTAGCGAAATCGCGTTTATTCTCATAGTCTGTGTCGCTCTCTGTGTCGCCGTTGTGGGTCGGAGGAGCAATTCGGGACGAATCCAGAGAAATCGTGTCATTATTAACAATATTGTTAAAGGTCGCTGGTCCCACAACGGGTTGTATAGGTGGATTTGAGATGCTTTGTGAGCCCCTATGACCCCTTTTTCGGCCAGAGGGTTGTTGGTTTTCCTTAGGGCTGGGCGGCTTGCCCAAGCCCTGTGTCGTTGCCGTCTTGTCCGTTCCCGAGGATGACCTGCCTGGGGCTGTTCCGTTTGCATGTTCTTTTTTCTTGTGTGATGTCGCAACCGGTCGCTTTTTCTTGTGACTTCTTTTCGCCTGCTCTTCTGCCCGTCGCTGCCGTTGAATATCTTTGGCTTTTTGAATGTCCAGAGTCCGTGGTGAACATTTCGGGCAATAGTACTTTGCTGGCAGGTTTTCCTTGGTGAGCTGAACGCACACAAGATGCTGCCAGCTGTCACAGATGTCGCAACATATGGTGAAGCCATCATCATCGGAAATCTCGCAAATGCACTGGATTTCACCAAGATGGTTTTCGGCGTCTTCGAGAGGGTTGGTCGAAGCTGCGAGGGTAGGCTGCGGGGGACCGGAAGGAGAAGGAATGGTAGGGTTCTCGGTCATTATCTTTCGTAGAAACAGCCTCTCTGCGGCTTCTTCTTCGAAGGAGGGAATTTTGTCGTCTTCAGAAGTAATCTGGTATGAGACTCATGTCGTTGAAGGTGGCAGAGAGGGGGGGAGGAATCGTGAATTCCAGTAGAGAGGATCAGATAGTTTCTGCTGACAAAGTCAGCCTTGCCGTCACCGAAGGATGATGATAGATTCATCCAGGAAGGGGCTCGTGGCAAAGGGTGGAAAGGGATGTAGGGCCGGAAGGGGGGGGCGGGAGGGTTACGAGAAAGCGAGGATGTAGCTGACCTTTCTAAGCAGCGAGCGAGCGATGGCAGGATCCGGCAGGGGGAGAACGGTAGCCCCCCTTTGGTGATTCTGGCTTCCTCCTTATGCGTAGCGAGGCAGCTGGTGGGTGATGATGATACAGTCGCGAGATGTTTAAATTAACCCAGGGAGAGAATCGAAGAGAGGGGAGTCGAGAGGAGTTGGTGAGAATGAAGAAGAAGAGCTGTACCAGAGATTGGGAGTGATATGGCTCTATTCGTAGAGGACTTAAGGCTGCTTGGATTTATTGTTTTCTTTGATGATCGAAGCGCCAGCACCCAGGGTCGGCAAGGAGGAATGATGGTTCAGATGATTGTTGGTAGAAAATCGTTGGCTTGTCTTCTTCTTCCTCTTCTTCAATCAGATTTATTCCTTGGATATGTTGGATGGAATCGCTAGGGGGAAGGAGAAGAGTACGAGTGAATGGGATGATGGAACAGATGGATAGATCAGAGTTGAATGGATAGATGGTATTTGGGGGGGGGGGGGGGTGATGAGAAAGAAAGGGAGGGTGGTAATGGGGTGCGTGTGCGTGTGTGGGTGTGTGAGTGTGAGAGAGAGACGAGAGAGTGAGAGAACACAGCGACACGACGAGTAAGGAGGGGAGGAGGAGGAAGTGATTGAGTGAGAAGCAACAGCAACAGCGGCGACAGGCGGCGAGGAGCGAGGAAGAACAGACGAGAGACAGAGCGAAGCCGTGCAGAGTGCAGAACCAGCCCCAGCAGAAGCCAGACTGAGAGAGAAAGCGAGTACCAAGCAGCGAAAGCGGACAGAAGGGGGAAGGACGGATGGGCAGCCCAGCCTAGGCTGCAATAGGGATGGATGGATTCGATGGGAATCGTTGGGATGGGTGAAATTTGACTGAGAAGTGATGGATGGGATAACAAGTCAATGATGGGTGGAGGGCAAAGACTTACCTGTGCTTCAAAATTGGTAATGCTCTAGCCGCTTTGGGTAATGTTAACAGCAGAAAAATGCCCCGTCTTTGCTACTGTATTTTATGTATGTGCATGTACGAATGCGAGAAGGTTCAAATCCCCTTGCCCCCTCCCCCCTCATCCTCCAACACCAGTGCGTGAGGGGAGAGGATCTTTGGGTACAGGGGCAGGAACATCCTTGGGGTGGTTGGATATGGTGGGATAGGGTATTGTTTTTTTAAAAAAGAACGAGACCTGAAGAAATAGAGAGGAAGAGACGGGGGAATATTAACAAGAAACTTTCGAGATGCCAAAGCCGGACGGGAATGAGGGGGTAGATTATGTGAAAGGAGAAGGGCGACTGACTGACAACAACTGACTGACTGACAACGAAAGGGAGCGATGGGTGAGAGAGGGAAAAACGGCATCCGGGGGGTGGGAACATGAGAAGGTGGCCACGATCCGAGATGGCCAGTCTGCGCAGCTTCTGTGTCCACACAAGTTTCTTATCTCCGGATGGATGGATTCCTTTAGCAACGAGACGGGTAGGTGGGTAAGTATGGTAGGCGTGAACTGTGTGTGTGTGTGGGTGGGGGGGGGCCAAAAATAAAGAGACGGACAAAAAATAAAAAGGGAACAAGGTTGTAAGGCGGGGGTGCTTCCTTGCTTCGAGTCTTCCTCCACCAGATGAGCTTGCGGCCCAAGGACAAAAAGAGACAAAGCAAGGATGCACCTTTCAGTTAAGTCAGTGGTCCCACAGTGTTTCTGTGCGCTACGAAAAGGGCAGTGTTGATTGTGGTTGGATGGGGCTAATCAAGCCAATAAGCCGTCAAGTGGGTGTGTGATTGTTCTTTTTTTCTTTTCCACTTACATTCCTGTACCCTACTCCACGCGGCCTACCGGGTGGTCGTTGGTGGTTTCGCTAAAGTCACTGGAACAAACAAACACTCGTTGATAACCTGCTACTTCCATCTAAGTAAGCTGCTAGCTGGCTGGATCTCTTTGAAAGTCTCAATAATCAATACATTCCTCCATCAGAATTCCTATACGAGCTGCGCAGACGAGACTTTGAAGCTTAGATCGGACAGCAATAATAGCTAGGTACCTAGCGACAACAGTAGTAAAGTAAGAGGGAGTCAACATCTAACATGCATCATGTGCTTATGGCCGCGTCTGAAGCCTGAGCATTGAACAAGGGTCTTATCTACCTGAAACTAGCGTCACCTTAGCGAGGGGAAAGGTCTCTTTTTTCGATTACACTCGCAGTTGTATCAAAAAAACCAAGGATTTTCTAGAATTATTGGTATCGGTATCGTACAATCCAATCACTATCTATCCTGTGCGTCCCGCATCTATCTTGTAGCCGCAACCAAAGACTGGACGTATGACTTTCTGAAGTTGTTCTCGTCCAGTTCTGCATCGCGATTCAATGCAATCCACTTGGGCTATTGCGCTTGTCAGCACAATCGCAAGAGAGAAAACTACAATCACAAGGACAACATACTTCATCCTTAAATAAACGCATTGCTTTGATATACTACCTCAAAGTTAGCACTCCCGGCTTTCTACACATACTCAAACAATACCAAACGTACGTTCTGGCTGTCGGTGGTGAACCTATGATAAATACCCGCTGGTAAAATGATCAAATCCCCTTTCTCTACTCTGATACGGATCCAGCGGTCATCCTTCGACCTGACATCGAAAAAGCCGGTGCCGTCCAGGACGTAACGAATTTCCTCGTCTTCGTGCAGGTGCTCATGGAAAAAGGTCTTTACTTTTGCCTCGTACACATCACCCATCGCACTTGGCGAAACGACAATCTCATCGCGGTTCTTGTAACTTCTCTCAGACGCCAAAGAGTTCACGTCGTCGACCGAATCGAAGTGATGACAGATGACACCAATTTTCTCCAGCTCGGCCGTTGAGACGGCTACACCTGAATCATGATCTTCTCGCTGATCTGCCTGAACGTTTGAGTATTATACGTTAGAACACTTTAAAGCGTATAGCGAGAGCAAGAGCATAGAGCAAAACAGGATCGCCTAACCGTAGTATTATCATATTCGTAGACCTTCATCTTGATGGTTATTCTTGCAAAAACCAGCTAAATTTTGAGTAAGCGCTCGTGAAGTCGTGTGGTGAAACACCTACCGTCAGCACCGGTAGGCAAAAGGAGGGGCACAAGGCAGGGTTTTGAAATAAGTGAGGGGCCGCGTGCAGCACGTCATCTTGGGCGCCCTCCCCGAGCACACCCAGCTATGTATGTACCTACCTAGGTGCTAGCAAATTGGACATGCATGCAGCTAAGGCCGATGCTCGTGAGTACCTTGCTGACCTCAAGAACAATGTACTAGCTAGTATGTAGTCATGAAGCAACAATGCAACTTTATCTAGAAATACCACTGTTAATGCTCAAGACACTGACTACTGTTAAATAGAAAAGTGTGCACTGTGTACATACAGTACATATCCAAAGGCCCAACCCCAGTGCGGAATCAATATTTCTGCATGGTGTTTGGGTTCATCTGTACCACTCTCATATCAGTTCTCTGGTCTCAACTCTACATCATCTAATATGTACTGCCCTTAATTCTTTCGCAGGTTGGAAGCCTCTGATTGGTCGAGAGCGGAAACCCTGACCCTGCATAGCAACCAGCCCACCCAAACAACCCCCCCCCCCCCCCCCAAACAGCATTATATAAGTACCTAATGCCACCCCAAACCTAAACGATGTCAAATTCGTGAAGGGCTTTTCCTTTAACTGTGCAGACTGAGTAAATGTTTAAAATATAGCGGGTGGGATTGAGATATCATCAACGGGGTATCAAAAGCGGGGAGGTGTATCATTAAATTGTATTAACTGGGTGGTATATATATATATATATTGAGAGATACTTTAGGAGGTCAACGGGGTATCAACTGGGTATGGGGAAATCATCAACTGGCAACGGGCTCAAGAGTTCCTTTCACTGGCGGGGGATTGACAGATTGATAATTCATTCATTGTATGTTACTTTTGGGGGGGGGGGGGGGGGGGGGTTGCAGTAGAGATGGAATCAAGGCCCCACGAATGTGTTTGGAGAGGCACAATTAATTGGAGTGAAAGGAACTCGCGGTCGCGAGGTCGGCCACTGCTAGTATGTATGTACATGTATGTAGGCACTCGCATTTCGCCGCTGCATACATGTACAAACAAAGTTCCTGTTACTGTGCAAGACCCCTCTTTACATTTCAACTACCCCTCACCATTGATCTGAAGATCTTGCATTCTGCAGCTGGCGTTTCGTTTTGGACAAATCGACATCTGAACACGCCCAGTATTATCCATACAATCATATTCTTTTGATCACCGTAAAAGCCAATCGATCTGTGTCAACTTCTTTAAGGAATCATTTGTAGCAGCGGGATGTTAGTTACCTTTTATCCGGCTCCCTAGAGTACCAGGTGTCCTCACAAGAATAGGCTACGGCTGAATTTCCAGCCCGGGCTATATCCATCGGAATTAATACTAGTTCCATGGTATTCAATCATGATAATCCAACGCTGACATATATGGCAAAAAGGACTATCATCAAGCAGCACTGTAAATCATACCCGAACGGAACGCAGCCATCCGCGAAAGGGCTTTACTGCACCAATTGATGATCACTTGAGCCGATAATTTCCCTATCCATTCGCTTACAGAGGGATGGATTTTATTCGCCCTTCCACGACCTTCGATATAGGAACCCGGTACACAGGCCCGACTCGGCAGGATTAGAATATTAGACTACCTACTCTACATCCCACCTGCACCTGCCCTCGGTACCGGGCCGAGCATTGAAGCTTGTTCAGGATAGACAGCATCGCAAGTGCATATACATGTAATACAATGCCAGTCCCTACACCTTCCTGCGGCTTTCCGGTAAATAAAAGGGTAAAAAGAAGCTCAGTTCACTAGCCACATAGAACGCGCTGTATTCTACATGTACCCAAGTAGAGATAATTTGGGTACATATGTAGAGTAGAAGCTATGCATATGTGCGCTCAAGTCATGGGATTCCCAGGGTTCATGAACAACCCAGTTCAACTGAGTTACTCCGAGGGTTACAATTGGCTATAGGCATGAGCATCAACTTCTTTTGATAGGCGGGCATACATGTACCCTTTACATACATGTGCTACCTGCCTACAAAGCTTAGAGCAGATGTTTTTTTCTGCTGCAAGAGTGAGATGGGATGAGGGGGTGTCATTGCGACAAACAGGGGTTGCGGGGCACGTCATAGGCGCATATACTTCATATCGGCCTGCGGGGGATCGAATTGGTTCTGGCCTTCTCTGGATATATCGCTATATCCGAGATACTGTGACATATATAAGGCGCCGTATTTCCTGTGAGGACTGTTTCTTCATCTTCAAAATATACCGCCCAAGGCAGACATTGTCCTGTGTTCATACTCGCATCTAATAACCACAAACGCATAACCGGAAAAGAAGAGAAAAAATGGAATACAGACATCTCGGACGTACCGGCCTTAAGGTCTCTGTTATCAGTTTGGGAGGTTGGGTCACCTACGGTGGCCATGTTGGTAATGGTATGTTCCCGGGTCCCATATCGATATAGCATTCAACCTGATATACCTCCCTCCATATGTTGACATGAAACCCCATAGAGCTCGCCGAACAATGCATGAAGGCCGCCTACGATGCCGGCATCAACTTTTTCGACACCGCCGAGGCCTACGCCCGTGGTGATTCCGAGCGTGTCATGGGTGAAGTAATCAAGAAGTTCCAATGGCCTCGCTGCGATCTCGTCATATCTACAAAGATCAACTGGGGCAGTCATAACGCCTCAAGCACCGAGAAGGCTCAGAACTGCGTGGGCCTGTCACGGAAGCACGTTGTTGAGGGATTGAAGGCTTCGCTGGAGCGACTGCAGCTCGAGTATGTCGACGTTGTGTACGCCCACCGACCGGACCGGGACACCCCCATGGAGGAGGTAGTCAGAGGCTTCAACCACGTTATCGAGAGGGGCTGGGCGTTCTACTGGGGGACAAGCGAGTGGACAGCAGAGGAGATTGCGGATGCGTGGAGGATTGCGGACAAGCTAAACATGATTGGGCCAGTGGTAGGCCCACCCTGTCAAGATGCTTCCAATTACCCATCACGAAACATACCGTGAACTAACGCATATGATTCCACAGGTCGAACAACCCCAGTACAACCTTCTTACTCGCGACAAGGTCGAGAAGCAGTTTGCCCCTCTGTACGAAAAGCACGGACTTGGGATTACGTGCTTCTCCCCCCTGAAGATAGGTGTTCTCACTGGAAAATACAACGAGTTCAAGATCCCTGAGGGATCTCGTCTCGCTACTGCCACCGACCCCTTCACTAGCTCCGTTAGGGCCAAGTTCGATAGCGACGAAGAAATAAAGAAGAACATCCAAGCCGCAAGAGACCTGAAGGTACGCATGCATCCATTCATACATATATAACTCTACTACCCCCCGCCCCCTCTACCCCTTCCCCTCCTACTCACCACCACTAGCGGTGTTGCTAACAACCATCTAGCCCATTGCCGACGAACTCGGAATCACCCAGGGACAGTTGGCACTTGCTTGGGTCATCAAGAACCCCAGACTCTCAAGCGCAATCATCGGCGCCAGCAAGCCGGAACAGATCACAGAGAACGTCGAGGCGCTCAAGCATCTGGATAAGCTGACGCCTGAGATCATGGAGCGGATCGAGGCTGTGGTCAACAACAAGCCCGTCCTTGAGCCCAGACGCTTCTCTTAAATGCGGGGCGGTGGGGAAGAGGGGGGGGGGGGGAAGACGCAATTGTAGATATCGTACTGGCTGTGCGTGCGTGTATTCGGGGCGACTATCGATTGTAACACTGGAATTGTTGATATAAGGTGTTAGATACATGTAGTCCGGTGTACATGCACGTTGAATAAAAGCATGTTTTGCGCTTTGATCATGAACTATCACTCTGTCAATCGGGTCTAGTCATGAGAACTAATTGATCACAAAAAGCAGATGTGGGGCTTTATGATACTGATAGTGCATGTCGCGCGTCATCCACTGTTATTGAAGTGAGGTCTTTATAAAGCCTCCCCCGCGCGGCAGGTCATTTTTGCCTCTCTCAGAATGGAAGTATCATCACGAACTATCACTCGTTCGGCCGAGCTGACACAATTGGGTGTTTATTGGGCTTATTCGGAGAGATCGTTGGGATCGTTGGGAGAGTTTGAGGATGGTGTTTAAGAATAAAGGAATAGATGATATGGCGTCTCGGGGAGATGTATTTGGGAATAGATGGTGCGACGTCTCTGGGGGGGTGGGGTCTAGGTGATGGGGTACGATGGATAGTGAAAGGTACTGGCTGTGGTGTGTGTGGTGGGCGTGTTGCGGCCAGAGGCCTTTTTGGGCTGCTACTTCTATGGAATGAGAGTATTAGGATGGGGGGTTGGGATAGTGGGGTTCTAGCTACGTCGATGAAGAGGTACTATACGGTTACTGTTGCGGGGAGAGATGAGAGACGAGGGAGAGGGGGAATTAAGGCTTAGGAGCTACCCGAACACTCAGGATGAGGGGTGGTGGTGTAGATGGATACGTATACATACATGGCTGATTGGGGGCTGGGTGTGGTTTTAGGTTTGGGTTTAGGTATAAGTCTTGTTCTCATCGATTCTTACACCCCTCGGCTCTTACTAGTTCTCTCGATTCTTACTAGCACATTGAACCTTTATTCTCACGGGCTCTTCTATCACCAAGCCTTTACTCTCGGATACTTTCTCTTGTCGGTTTAACCCTTCACTCCTATTATGATCACCATACTCTTACCTTTTTCTATCTTTACTCCCACCCTCTTAGGGAGAGAGTTGGGTCATGAACGTTTGGTAGAGTGTGTCGAGAGGCAATTAGGTTCGCTATAGACACTGGCTTAGCTCACTTACTACGTATCCTATGCGATATGCAGTTGCTGTGGTTAGTAGAGGTGCAATTTTGGCGTTGGGAATTTCGTTTCTTTGGACTGACGTTATGTATATGAGTGGAGGGGTTGGTTATAAGAGGGGAGTACAGTACACACTCTCGCTATAACGATATGGTTGGGACTACAAATATGTATATTTATAGCGAATTATCGTTATAGAAAGTGAGAGGATGCTAGTAAAATGGTGCTTGCGGACTGGCTATTAGTATCCTGATAGCGAGAGTCTACTGTATGTGGAAGGATATATAACATGCTTAGCTATAGATTCACTTTACGGTATACTTTCGAATTTCCAAGTGACCCGACAATGTCTCTGCACGGTGTTCGGAAAGTCTATATCAACATCCAAGTATACGCATCACAACCCCGAGGCCACTCTCCCCATTCTCCCCACATGTAAATTGCCATCGACCCCACATACAATATCTGTACCTTTATAATTGAACCACCACTGTCCCCAATCTCAATTCCAACCGTGGTACCGGCGAATGATTGATCTGACGTCCCTTCCCATCATCGTTGTTACACACGGCAAGGCGGCCTCGGAGATCTGGATTAGCTAGGCCGGTTGTGCTTGTTTTCTTATTTTCTTTTCACTTTTTTTTTTTTTTTCTCTTGGAGGGGTAGTTATTGTGAGTTGTGATGGCTGGTACGTGTGGCTCCCCCGGGGGGGGGGGGGGGGTTAGCTATAGCTTTTAGCTGTAGCTGGTAGCTGTGGGAGCTGTAGGTAAGTAGGTACATACATGTAGCTGTGGTAGGTAGCTGCGGGATAGATGGGGTGGGGAGTTGCTTGGTCTTGGCTTGGCCTGGTTGGTTGGTTGGTGGACGGCGGGCACGAAGTGTGAAGTGTAAAGTGCAATTCTCCGCCCGCTGCGGAAATGCTCGGTTATTCGATTCAATGATTGATCTTCCCTCTACGTAGTCCGCTAACTGACATAAAAAAATTTGTCTCGAACCTCTGAGTGAGCAATTTTTTTCACTCAGTGGCCAAAGAGAGTTTCCCAAGACGGATAAAATTCCTGTCGCTCTTAAGCTACAGGGTTCCTTAATTGTACTAGGTACTGGCTAGCACAAGGGTTCCGGGGGGGTATTGCGTGCTTGCCTTTTTTTCCCCCGCAAAAACAGACAAACGCCCGGGCGGGTGAACTGTACCTACTGACCTGGAAGCAAGTGCAACATCTCTGAACAAACGACTCTGCCCGACAACGTGCAACGCCTTTGCTGAGATTTGTAAGACTGCGATTGGAAGCTTAAAGGTGTGTGACTAATCGATCCATCTTGCACTCAATCGATACCCATGCCAGTGGCTGGCTGTTCTTTTGCTGCCCTTTCTATCCCGTGAGACAGAGACAGAGAGACAGAGAGAGACAGAGAGAGAGACAGAGACAGAGAGACAGAGAGAGAGACAGAGAGAGACAGACAGGCAGAGAAAGAGAGACATCCACACACAGCCCATAAACTCTCCCCGTTCGTGAGACTTGGTCACTCACACTTACAGAAGAGCGTTATTATAGACAGATAGACATCAGACAGACATCAGACAGCAGACATCGACAACCTTATCTATAATACACACATCTACATATCACTCACACCAATCCACTCACTCTCTCACACACACACCGCAGCAATGTCGCCCTCAGACAAGCCCACCTCTCTCGGCGCAACCTTCCAGAAGCTCGATCTCTCCGGCCACGACCTCCCGCCCACGCCCGCCCCCTCCACGCCCACAAACGGCCGCAAATACGCCCTCGCCACCGAACTTGTCTACACCGAGCACTCTGACCAGTACAATGCCTCTTCCATGCCCATCTACCAAGTGCGCTCCCCTTCCTGACTCTGACTCAGAAATATATAACCCAATTGCTAATACTCATGCGCCCCAGACTGCAACATTCAAGCAGACATCAAACTCCGGCGGCCTCGAGTATGACTACACCCGCTCTGGCAACCCCACCCGCTCGCACCTCGAGCGCCATCTGGCAAAGATCATGTCTGCGGCCCGCACGCTCGTCGTCTCCTCCGGCATGGGCGCCCTCGACGTCATCACCCGTCTCCTACGCCCGGGCGACGAGGTCATCACCGGCGATGACCTCTACGGCGGCACAAACCGCCTCTTGACCTACCTTGCCACCCACGGCGGCATCATCGTCCACCACATTGACACCACCGATGTCGCCTCCATTGAGCCCGTCCTCTCCGAGAAGACCGCAATGGTCCTCCTCGAGACACCCACCAACCCCCTCATCAAGATCGTCGACATCGCCGGCATCGCCGCCGCCGCCCACAAGGTCTCGCCAAAGGCCGTCGTCTGCGTCGATAATACTATGATGAGTCCCTGGCTCCTGAACCCACTCGACCTCGGCGCCGACATCGTCTACGAGTCGGGCACCAAGTACCTCTCCGGCCACCACGACCTCATGGCCGGCGTCATCGCCGTCAACGACCTCTCGCTCGGCGATCGCCTCTACTTCACCATCAACGCCTCGGGCTGCGGGCTGTCGCCCTTCGACTCGTGGCTGCTGCTCCGCGGCGTCAAGACGCTCGGCGTGCGCATGGAGAAGCAGCAGGCGAATGCCATGGCCATTGCGACGTTCCTCGAGGGGATGGGCTTCAAGGTACGCTACCCGGGGCTGAAGAGTCATCCGCAGTATGAGCTGCACTGGAGCATGGCGAGGGGCGCCGGCGCGGTGCTGAGCTTCGAGACGGGGGATGTGACGGTGTCGGAGCGCGTGGTGGAGGCGACGAGGCTGTGGGCGATTAGTGTGAGTTTTGGGTGTGTCAATAGTTTGATTAGTATGCCTTGGTGAGTTTACCCCCCTGTTATTTGGTTTTGGTGGGAGTGGGTGTGGTTGCTGATATTGGTGTGGTGCTGGGTAGTCGTATGTCGCATGCTAGTATCGATGCGAAGACTCGTGCGGAGCGTAACATGCCGGAGGACATCATCCGCCTCTGCGTGGGTATCGAAGAGTATGACCCCCCCCTTACCCCATACCCAGATATCCGGTACTAACAACCCTCCTCCTACAGCGTCGACGACCTAATTGACGACCTCCGCACCGCCCTCGTCCAAGCCGGCGCCGTCATCGTCAACGTTGATGGCATCCGCGCCGGGAAGCCATCCGATGGGCTCGTCTTGGGCTCTGAATAGAAGCTGGCCTGGGTGGTTGTAGATTTTCTTTTTTTTTTGTAATGGTTTAAGTGTGTGTGTTTTTAGTGGGTAGTGCGTGTGTTTTTGGGGGGTAATTTCAGCATGGGGGTTTTTCTTTCTTTTGTTTGTGGTCTTTTTTCTTGTTTTTTTTATTTTTATTGTGGTTTTTTTGTGTGGGGATGTTTTTATAACTGCGTGCGCCTATACGTATGTAGGGCGAGTGGTGGGGTTTGAAGTGGGAACGAGTACATACCATGGCATAAGAAGAGGAGAGGAAATGATAAAAAGATAGGGCATTTTGATTTGATACCATGAAGCTTAAGCTTGAAGTTTGAAGCATGAAGTGTGGACTGCGGGTGCGTGTGCGGGTGCGGTTGGGGAGTGTGGGGAGTGTCTAAGTTACTATCCTACGGCTCAATTAGGGCTGGAGTGTCTGCGTATTGTGCAATTGATATATGCCGCTGAATTAAAGCTGGAGATTATACCTATGCGATTCGTTTGGGCCTTTAAAATTTGTTATTGGGGGGTTTGGTGGGGCCGGGTGAGACTTGAGTGCTCACTCGTCCTCTCCCTCTCACTCGTCCTCTCCCTCTCACTCGTCCTCTCCCTCTCACTCGTCCTCTCCCTCTCACTCGTCCTCTCCCTCTCACTCGTCGTAGATTTTGGCGCTGAAAGAATTTGTTAATTTTGTTTAAGCCGTCTTCTGGGTTGCTTAGGCTGCTGCTTTTATAGGGGAAATGATAGTATTTCAGTTTATGGGCCATTGATTTATATTATTGATCAAGTTATGGAGCTTGTCAACTTGCGATATCAACAATTGCGGGTGGGGCACTGCAGCTGTGCGGGTTCTAGGAATCGCTGTGAGAATATCTGGTCTATTAGACAATATACTCACAAACGGTCAATTGCGAATATTTATGTTTGTTTCTTGCCTTGTTTCTCGTCCTATTTCTCAATTGGCCCAATAAATACCCGGGCCGTAAACGGCACCGGTCCATTAGTACCGATACCTTACCTTCCCTACCCTCCATACCTTGCCCTGCTCAGTAATCACGCACTTCAGGCGAACCACTGCCCATCTTCACAGCTGCCTACTATCTACTACTACTATCATCTCAATTGCTACCAACCCACATCCTACCACCTACCCAACGTCAGCCCAGAACCGCACCTCCAGTACCCCCAGTCTTGGCACCCACCACCCACCACCCACCACCCCGCGCCCACCTCCCCCACCACCTCTACCTCTGTCTACCCCACTATACCACCCCACCCCTCCTCCACCCCGCCAACAACAACATCAATGGCCGCCGCTAAACCAGTCTACTTCGGCGCCTTCCTCGTCACTTCACAAGTCCTCCTCACCACCTCCTACCCTCACCCTCACCCTCCGCTCACCGCCGCAAAGCTAACACCACCAACAGGTCTTCTACCGCACGGCACACTCCTTCGCGCTTGTCAACCTGAAGCCGCTGCTGCCCGGACATGTGCTCGTGTGTCCGAACAGGGTGGTGCCGCGGTTGAAGGATCTTAGTACTGAGGAGGTATTGTTTATTACCTAGTAGCTACCTGGCTGTCTAGCTGTCTAGCTGTTTACCTACCCGCCATAGCTGTAAACAGCTATCTAGGAATTGTAAAGTGTAGTGCTGATATAGTAGTAATGGCCGGACCAACAGGTAACAGACCTCTTCCTTACCGTCCAGAAGATCGGAAAGGCCGTCGAGCGCATCTACAAAGCCGACGCCCTCAACATCGCGATGCAGGACGGCGCTGCGGCGGGACAGTCGTGAGTTTCCCTCCCCTATTCCACTCATTCGACCCATTCCGTTCCGTACTATTCTAGCTACAGTTCAGTTTCGCAGGGTTAGGGGTCAGATCATGTTTCTAGCCGGCGGCGCGATCATTGACCCTGTACCGTCTGGGCTGACTTGACGGGCCCTAACTAGTGTCCCACACGTACACACCCACATAATCCCACGCCAGTTCCAGGACCTCGAGAAGGAGGACCAGATCTACACGATGCTCGAATCCGACGACGGCGACCTGCTGCGCAACTATCTTGAAGCGCGGCACCCCAGCACGCTCGAGGGCATGAAGGCTATTCCGGCCCACCACGGGCCCGCGGCCGTGATCGGCGAGGCGAACAGCAAGACCATTAGTAGCAGTGGTGGACGGCCAAAATTCCCCACGGTCAATTTGGAAGGCGAGAGGAAGCCGCGGACTGAGGGGATTATGAGGGAGGAGGCGGAGTGGCTGGCAAAGTGCCTGAAGGAGCAGGAGGAGGAAGGACTGTGTTGAAGGGAGGGGAGTCTGTAGGGTTAGGGTTAAATTAGAAGTGAATGATAGATTGGGTTTGTTTTATTGTGTCTGTGTGTGTGAGGGTTGCTGTGTTGCTGTGCGTTCTGTTCAATGCTGTTGTTGTTGTGTGAGAGCGGTGGTGCCGGGTTTCTTTGTTCGTGGTGACTCTTTGTTCTTGTGCGGGCCTCATATACTCGCCCGCCTGCCCCCGATACACGGGGAGTGGGCTAATTGAAGACAATAATATAACGAGACACTCAATTCGAAAACCCACATCGAAAACCTCACTCAAAATGCCTCCAGCACCCCCAGCTGGTTTCGCCGGAGCTCCACCTCCGCCCGCACCTGGGCCCGGCCCAGGTGCAGCAGCAGCAGCGGTGCCCCCACCAGTACCCCAACTAGTCCCCGCCCAACGCAGCATCCACCAGCAAATGGCCGACTACCACAACTACTGGTTCGTCCCCCCCGGGCCAAACGGCGAGGAGGGCCCCCGGTTGCCCCCCGTCTTCACATACTTCCCCCCGCCCCAGCCCCAGAGCTACTTCAACACGCTCTGCCGCCAGTCCGAGTACCTGCTCGCGCGCGAGCGCACACAGTGCCTCGACGCGCTCATGCGGCCCGTCCGCATGTCCACGGCGCTGCGGACGCGCATCCCGCAGCGCTTCTTCGTGCGGCAGGCCGCGGGCACGCAGGTGATGCTGCAGCCGCGGCTGGTGCGGTCGCTGCTTTCGAGCCACTATGGCAGGATGGATAAGATCTGTAGGGCAAATAGGAGACTGAATGAGGGTGTGGAGGCGGCGAGGAGGAGGCAGGAGAGGGTGCTGGTGGAGCTGTTGCCGCTGGTGTCGAGGCTGACTGATGATGGGGAGCTGGTGGCGGTTGTGGATGGGATGACGAGCCCGGTGATAAGGAAGTTTATGCCGATGTGTGAGAGGAGTCAGTGCTATTTGTGTATGGATGTGGGGAGGAGGGATGATGATAATCCGTATGATAGGCATCCGTAGGGATTGGGGAGTGTTGTGTTTTAGGGTTTCGTGTTTTTGTTTGGGGCAGAAAGAAATGGTCGGTGGATTCCATGGGCATGCGCGGATGAATAAATTGAGGGAAATTGGAGGTGAGAATCGGGGGGGAGGGTTGGGAGGGAGAAAACAAATATGTAGAATAATTATACTTAAACAGAATCATTATTGTTGGTATATATATAGTAGCGCCTCCCCAAAGATCAGTAGTTATCTGATAAGATCTAATCCCATGCGGTACAATCTTGGCAGATGGCAGCTAAAGATAGTTACCTCAAACAAGGCCAATGATTTTGAACACGCCATCTTAACATTTCCTTAGACATCAATGTGGGGGGGCTTCGTTCCAATGAATTGGAGCGCTGTCGACTAGATCAGAATCACGGGATATCACTCGTGATGCTAATACATGTAGCTAGTTATCTTCAAAGGAACGAGATTGAGAAGTGATAGGGACTGGATTAACTGATAGATACAGAGTTCTAGTTGATAATGCTCATAAATTGAATAGAATAAACTCTGAAATGATATGCCCGATCTTAGTATGGTCTCGTTAGCTTTAAAAATCATGTTCCCTCTTGGCGTGGACTAGACTATTTGCCCCGTGGTCAAAGGTATTCTGCCCACCAAAACCCAGACTCCCACACGGGTGTGACTGAGAGTTAACCGTTGGCCATGCTATGCCGGCCGCAATCCTTCCGGTTATTCGCTTGTTCAGGTAGATCCGTACCAATACTGTACTCCTGAGAAGAGAGAGGGGAGGGGAGGAGCCATCGTATTGATGGCGGGTTTTCTCATTCGTTACAGTTAGTATTCCTCCCTTCAAATTCTCCCCCTAGCTACGTATACCGGTATCTGGCAAGGACCATCGAGAGTGCGAACAGAGAAGGTGGAGGCACGTACAGTTGTATGATGGTGATTGTATAAATAGCAAGTGAAGTATATAAGGCGTATCACGGATGGCTATCACTTTAGGTTGAGGTGGCATTTTGGGCTCTGCGGGTTATATTTAGACAGTTGTCCAAACTTGGGCACTTTATTCATATTTGTATCTCATCTCGGAAAAAAGACAAAAAGTACTTATTGATTTTAGGGGGGTTGGACCCGGCCCTTTTGTAAGCCACTCCTCAAACAGAGCTATTATCAGCGAGAGCCACTGCCAATTTTGCTGTGTAGCCATGTTGTCTATTCTATTTGACATGTTTATGGCTGTCCACGGCACTAGCTTCAATACAGAAAGTTGAACAACCCCAGAGCACCTTGAAACCACATATCTGCTCCTACTTGGACGAGTGTCTCGATCACGCTGATAAGTATATACGTATCTCTGCTTCAATTTTCAGTTTAATGGCAAACACTATGGCTCCAAAGCTGCTTAATTAGAACAAGCATATTCCCTAAATATTTACATGTATGACAGGAGCTCCATGCCCATCCTATTCAAGTTCAAGCCGTTCGATTGACCCGAATGCATATGGCTACCTGTAGTTGTATCAAGCCTCACACCAACACAAACTAGGATTTGAGCTAGGATTGTGACAATTAGAGTCTACATATAAGCTCGAGTTGATGGACTTATAGCTTAAGCCTGTGACTGACAACGTTGAAATGGGGTCTACGGCAACCCCAGGCCCCAAAGATTTTGGGAGAGAAAATCCGGCGTACTATCTCTTGTAGTAACTAGTAGCTACCTATCATTTGCTCTGGTATTTTGAGGTGCAATCGATCCCTGCCGTATCTCGGGACGTTGTCAGTATCCCAAGCTAGCTCAGTGCCTTCGTTCTCAGATATACACATCCACAGCGTACATCTATTACGCGCACCTACGGTGCAGCTCCACAGGCTAGTGATGGGACTTATACCATAGGGCGCTTGCGAGATTTGAGAATTCCTGGCGTGACGAGCTGTGTAGTAGTATGCAGAGGATAAAAAAAAGGGCTTTAGCTAGAACCTTTCCGCCAAGTCTCGCGCCGAGACGCGAGTGATAGTTTGTGATCAGCTTGGCTGCATTGACCTCCCCGTCTCGTCTCATACGGCACCATCATTGGTCAAGAGGGTAAATGTGGAAAAAATAAACAAAAAAAAATCTTGGTAAGGCTCGAGACGGCGGCGGTAGAAGAAGCTTTGGGTGACGGCCGGGTGTGATTGTCGATGGGTTGCTGGGCTCGACAGGTTGGTGTGTAGAGGCCGGTAAGCAGTCCTGCAACTGATGAGTTTCATTCCGGTCTACATATCAGAACCTAACTCTAAAGACTTTAGTACACACCCCTATAAAGCTATAACTCCATGCCTACCCGCGGCCCCCGCACGAACAACCGTAAAACGAGGTGCCAAGATCACCGAGTGATAGATTGTGACTATGTCTCTATCACGTCTCATCTTCTAGATACAAGTCTATCTCCTGTTGCTTCTGGTGTGGGAGGATTATCGGCGAAGTAAAGATCTCGCCATCACGTAGCTCCCGTGCAGGCCCGGCGGAGACTGAACGCAACCGCTTGTCCGATGTGCGGACCCTGGGGGGTCGCTTCGTAGTAGATGTGCCGGAGGCTGTAGGCGTGTATTGCTCTCGCATGGTAGGATTTTGACTAACCGGCCAATTTTCACCTGCGCTTGATTAGCCGCGATGTACTTACCTTTGAGTGGGGCATTGGCGGTGTGAGAAAGACTTTCTCCGCCTGGTTCAACGGTTTTTGGCCCCACCGCGCTTCGGTGAATACATATCTGGTATGGCTATGGGATCGTTAGAGACGTGGTTGCAGGTTATTGTCTCTGTATGTGGCTGAGTAGCAATGTTTTCATTGTTCTGTTCCGCATGGTAGATGTCGATGTGGAAAACGAGTGTAGCTCACACTGGTCGGGGGTGCTGGGGTGGGGGGAGAGAAGAGGAAGGGAAAAGCTAATGGTAGCGGGAGACCTCTCTTCCTGTAGGATAATTATGTCGTATAGTTGGGGCGGAATGCCGAGGTGGTCTTGTTGCAAGGATGGCTGGGAATAGATTATATCGATGAGACGGGGTGCATACGGGGCTGGGTAGGTGTACTGGATCATGAGGTATCACTCGTCAAATCTTTACGCGGGCCGAGGTTATAAAATGAGAGGTGTTATGTGTAAGTCGATAGAAATGGTGGGTAAGTTCTCTTCGTGTAGCCATCTTCGTGGCGGATGAAAATGAGGTGGGGTGGGGAGGTAAACGAGGCATCATCGGGCTCTGGGCACGTACGTCTATTGTGGTTGCATTGAATGGGATTGAACATTAATGGCCTGTATAATAGTTGCTGCTACGTCTCGATTGTCACCGAGTTCGTTAGGTGTCCTGTCTTTCGGGTCTAAGTGTCGGCGGAGATGCAGACGATGCGGGCTTGGCAAGGCTGGCTCCAGCTATAAAAGGCCTTTTCCACCCGCTCCCTTCTTCTCTCTCTAGCTCTCTTTGCCTTTGTAAGTCCCCCCCCCCACCTTCTCCCATCTTGATCTCTTGCTAACTTTGAATAGTGGCTTAGATCAAGTGTAGTATCTGTTCTTTTCAGGTATGTATCTCCCTTTTCTTTTCCTTTCCTCCCCTTTCATTGATGATCATCATGGCTAACATTTGAAAAAAGTTTAATCACTGAAACGGTCTAAGGACCATTTTTTGATTATCCTTATTTTTAGGACTGGAGGCATTGGCTCTGTGCTTGCACATCCTTTGCCTCAAAGTATCACCAGTATTACACTGCTTCTGGTTGATGCGCAAACAAGAAGCCCATGGGCTCTACTTTGTTTTTTTCTTTGCTTCCTGGCTGATAGCGAGGGGCAGGGAAAAGAGTTGAGTAGATCTGTGGGCTTTTTTTTTGGTCTTTTTTTTTCTCTTTTTTTGTTTTTTCAGTAGACATGTAGATGATTCAGAAGCCCATGGGCTCTGCTTTGGCTTTTTCGTTGCTCCCGCCCTATCGGCTGAGGAGTGACGGAAAGTCCAAAGTAGAGTCTGTGGGCTTTTTTTTTGGTCTTTTTTTCTCTCTTTCTTTTTTTTTTTAGTAGACGTGTAGACGGTTCAGAAGCCTATGGGCTCTGCTTTGGCTTTTTCGTTGCTCCCGCCCTATCGGCTGAGGAGTGACGGAAAGTCCAAAGTAGAGTCTGTGGGCTTTTTTTTTTGATGATTTTCTTTATACTAACCAATAAAGACCTATCAGTAAGATGTACGTGTAGGTATGCGGAAAAGGCCCACAGGCTCGACTCTGGTTTTTTCTTTGCTCCTTGGCCGATGGCGAGGGGGCAATGAAAGAAGTTCAGTAGGGTTTGTGGCTTTTATTTTCGGTATCTTATTATCTTTTTGATTCGTTTTTATTAGCCAGCATAGATTTGTCAGGTAGGTGCATGTAATGATACAAAGTCCACGGGCTTTGCTTTCTTTTTTTTCGTTCTTTCCTGGCCGCCATGGCGAGGGAACAACGAAAGAAACAACGTCAGCGGACCTTTGCATGCATCATGATCAAATATCGTTGATATAAACCAGACGTACTGTAACTAGCACCATGGCATCTAAGAAACACCTGCTCACTAACAACCAGCCACACTTCAAAAGTGTGGAGGTGATTGATCTGTACATAGCAAAAATCGTAAAGAATGCCTGTAGCAGTAAATGTCCTCCCGAATGTTCGTGTCAAAACAGCAGATGATGAGCTCGGATCTCCTCCTTTCGTCCCATATCTCTCATGTGCCCTAGATTACAGTGACGATTTTAGTGATGGCCATGAGCTCTCACGTACAAACTGTGATTATAATGAATATAGCTAGCTACGGCAGTGGTGGCCAGCACTAGTTTGGGTATTGTTGTGTATACATGTAGTTCATATATATAGTCAAAATAACAATAGATTTAAACAATGCCACGTGGTTTATATAGTAGTGTATGGGGCGGTAAATGTGTCAAAAGTAATTTTACCATTAACGGTAGTAAATTATTTTACCACCGGTGGTGAAAATAATACCAGTATTTATACCTATAATCCTAATTTTTATGATAAAAGCACAGACCTTTTGGCCAAAAGAGGCCATAGAATGCCAATATATATGAAAATTGTCCACCGGTGGGGAATTTTCATAAGTTTTGGCATTAATGATTGAACATTTACTTATGTAGTATAGCGCAGCATAAAGACCGAAAACCAGTGTTTATACCGGTGGGAAATATACTAATGTAGGATAGCGTGTAGACACAATGACTGAAATCCAGTGCTTATACCACCGGTGGTAAATAATTTACTACCGTTGGTAAAATTACTTTTGACACATTTGCCGCTCCATAGCGGTGATACTGGATACATCTTAGTTTCTTTCTTTTTGTATGTAGCTTAAAAGTACTCATGTTATCTACCAAGAAAGTACATGTATACAGGGCCCAAAACTACACGATGGGTTCTGGGTCTCTGTAAAGCCGCGAATGAATGTATATATATACTTTGGTCTCTTTTTTTTGTCATCCACGGTCCCTGGGTGTCCGCATGGAGGCGGAGGGGTGGAGGGGGCTGTCAAATTGTGTGATAAGCTACACGTAGGCTAGTTTGTGTAGTAAGTATGAACATACATGGCCTATTCGATGAAACGCTGTGAAGTGCACGTGTTTAAGCTCATCTGTACTCGCTCGTTAGTTAAAAGGTCGGAAGATGTTTCAGCCAAATCCCCACGCCGAATTCCGACCTTTTAATTAACGTGTGATTATATAATCTATGTAGTACTGTTTTTCAACCACAATTTACTCAACCGTTCCCTCTGGAGCTCCGCCGAGCGAGAGCGAGTCTTGAAGATGGTGTGTTGCATGTGGTTGACGTGATGGAAACATGGGCTGGGTTGGGTTGGGTTGCTGTTCTTGGGTGGGTGTGGTGTGGTGTGGTTAGACTGAGGTTTAAACTGTGGAAATTGGCAGAAGGATAAGAATTTTAGGTACCGTTAATGTACACTTCAACTCCAACCAAGCAGGTATCCCGCCAGATATCCTTTCATCGATTCGATGAACGCACTCGGTGAAAGTTCTAGGCCTAGTTCGAAGCTCACTCAATTCTAGCTCGATATCGATGAAGCACAATCCCTTACTGTACCCGTCGTACGGGATCTCGAGGACTTGGCCATTCTGATCACGAATACGTTTAATGACGCATATATGGAATGGGCACGAGACTCAATGTCACAAGACCTCACCTCAAGACTTTGCCTCGAGACCTGACGAAACGACCCTCCCGATCCCGAGTCCTATCCAGTGAGAGCAAGCCTCGAAGACCGTGGGTTGCGGTAAACGAGGCGGTAGTATGGATTGGTCTACTGGCAGCTAGAGGTTTGAGAGTTTTAGATGCCGGTTATATGTACCTTAGATCTACGTACGTATGCCGCTAGACGCCTATTCACTGACTAGATCAGTACATTCACTACTTGAAGGCCTGATTCCAGTTTGAAGTCTGTCTAAGCTTAAGTTCGAAGCTAAGAAGTTTGCAGTAAAATGTCAATAAAGTCATGGATCGAACCTTGCTGTCCCTGTACGGCTGTATGGGTCCCTCAAGACTTGGTTATTCGGGTTGCAAATACGAAATACACCGCAGGCATCGGGGCCCAAGTCAAAGCCCAACCGATTCTAGCTCAATATTTGTGAAGCTAGCCGATTAATCTCTTATATACCGGCCCCATACGTGATCCCTAGCTATGACTTGGTCATTCGGGTTACAAATACGACTACCTGCCAACCACATCAGATAGATTGACTGCGTATCTTGAGACCCCTCTTCTCTAGCTATTGATATCGCTTGCAGGGGACGTCATATATGCCTTAATATAGTAGGTAATCACTCAAATTATCCCAATTGAAACGGGCGGGAACGGGATCATGGTTAGGAAAGTAAAAACCAAAAAGCGCTCATGCTCAAGTTCCGAGAACGAAAACGAAAAAAAGAATCAAGCCGTCATATTCGCCTCTTGCCTCTCTTACTGCAGGATATGGTGGTTGTTTGATGCAAGCCCGGCCAGGCTCATTGGTTGTCGTGCTTTTAAGGTTTATCGGCTGCAGTAATGTCATTGGGGCCTAGATCGACAGAGTATTGTTAACAAACCTGGCTTATTATTTATGACAGTACCTTGTAGGGGGCTGTTGGAAGGAGTTTAAACCTTCTTGCAATGAAGTGGGGTTTGTTCATTTGCAGTTTCACATTCATCCCGGAGTGTCTGCTTGTGACTATCAGAGAAATCTCTACAGTACAGGGGAAGTTAGTCAATTAATGAGTTATTTGGGACGTCATCTGATACCGTGATAGCAGCTTCTTAGGGTCCTTTCTACCATATTTTCCCTTTCATGCAGCACGAAGATGCATTATCTGCCTGATATGCTGCATTGTCCAATTGCAATTGGTTACAAGCATTAAAGCAGCCATTCATCCATCCCTCCTCGAGGCATCACCACGCAGAGAACTATTTACTAGTCAATCAAGACATTGAAGTCGATAAAAACGGTTTCGGAAAGTACAGCGGTGGGTAATAAGTGATGGAACGCCCTGTGTTAGGGTTATACCTGCAAGCACCGTATATTGGTGGCGTTTTACCCAAAACAGGTATCACTGTGTCTCAGCCCGTTCCATCACTTATTACCTACCGCTGTACAACCCGAGGATCTACGAAGGTATGTACGACCATGGCCAGCCCCGTACGTATACGTGGAGACCGGCCACAAGTAAAGTATTCCAAAAGCTTTTTAAGGAAAGTACAACCTCGTGCTTAGTCGAATATCCTGTTGCGACTATCATTACCCTTTAATTAGCTAGGGCACGGGGGGAGAGGTAAAGTGTAACCCCCACTTTTCACCGTACATTGATCTTCGGTAAGGTCTGGTTTTTTCTCCCAGCCTTGCTTTGATACTAGATAACTTAAGCTTGGGTCTTGAAGGATCTAGGGGGTGGAAGCACATGTATGTTCGTGGACATCTGGGATACTGTATGGCTAGAAAAAGAGGCGTTGCTCAATGGAACTGCAGAAAGGTTATTGCGTTACTGTTACCACCTACAGGTCGTATATAGTTAAAGTTAAGATTATAATCACGGAGTTTATTGTGACTACTACTCGAGGTACTTCAAGACAGTGATATGTGATATGCAATAAATACTCTTTCCATCCATGAGGTTGCGTTACTCGCGCGTTAATTAAATACTGAGAAATTTTGTGAGGTCGTTGCTACCAAGAATTCTCAGGACCTAATTAATGCGTGAGTAGATGTCATCAAGTACCGCAGTAATTCGTCTCAGCGGACGGTTACACAGACGTCGAAGTTGCGCGTATGAGGGAAGATTAAGGGGGCGTTTTCAAGACAAATGACCAGATCAAGGAATTTCAACGTCAATGTGAGCGTCCGTTGAGACGAATTACTGCGGTATTACCAAGCTAACTCATAATCTAAATAGAGTGTTTAGGCTCTATCAAAAGCATAAAGACAATCAATAATTATAAGTAATGGGGCTCAATTGAGGTATAGAAACATATTCGATATATTGGCTCCTGTCTCGATACATATGTTACTAATACAGCGAAAGCTTGCTATAACCTGGGTACCTTCTATGAGGGCAATCTCTCTATAACGGTAACACTTTTCGGTCCCTTTTTCTTTGGTTTTCAACACTGGCACTCTTTCTATAATGGTAATCTCACTATAACGGTACCAGATTCCAGTCCCGAGCCCACCCTTAGTTATAGTAAGCTTTCGCTGTAGCTCGTTAGACACGATTCAACCCCCCACAATGCCGAACAAAGCGGTACCAATTGACACGGAGGGTGCGTAAGTCTTAGTTGTAGAGAAAAGTAATACTTGCTCCTTATTCTTTAGTCATTCCTCGTGGCTGTGGGCCACTAGTACTCTTCATCGAATAGGGTTAGGGTTATCGAAAGCTTTTGACCGTTTATATCACTGGTTCCAATTAAAACTTTACACTGTATGTACTATAGACAGTACTTTCATAGATTAGTGCACAGCCTAGACGGGATGAAAGAGTGGAACACGTAGTATAGGTAGGTTTCTGATATTGGCGAGCTGCCCTGCGTTAATTTGGAGAGCAAAAAGGGGAATTGTGGAGTTCGTGAACATGGCGTCGAGGAAGGGTGAGTGATCGTGGGGCTACATTTTATATCTTCCACTACGAGAAGGGGGTTTACAATGCAGTTCCATAACGGGGAGCGAGGAGACGCCTGAACATATAGCAACAGGTATACGGATGTCACGTAGAGATCCCAGCCAACCAGACCGAAACGAGCCACAAACGCTACGACAACCTGTCTACCCAGTACTATTTCCCCTAACCCTACCTTTTGGTACTGAACCTTCACCGTAAAGAAGCCGTCGAGGGATATAGATAGTAAACACCAAAACAGGCACACTCATCATTACCCCAAAACACCCCCACAGCCAACTAACTAACCTAACCCTGACACCCCTTCATGCAATGCGGGGGGTATATTCCACGGCCACTATAACCCCTGACCGGAAGTGCACATATCGGATCGATCAATGACGTAGCTGAGGGTGTCAATGATAGCTTTGCCAGATATATGCGTGGAGCGAACCACAATGGCGTGGGGAGTCTACAATTGCATGTGGTATCGATACCATAGCAGTTCAATACTATGGTCTAGATCATAGGCTGTTTAGGGGAGGTCGTGAGTGACGTCTACGGGGTCTCTACTAAATACATGTAGCTACCTAGCTAGCTAGCGCAGGACGGGCGGGTGGGGTCTACTGGAGTATTCTACTAGTGACGGCAGAGCAGACCTATTGAGACTGCCATGCAGCGCAGGGCAATATAGTAGGAAGGGAAAGACAGAAAATATAAGAACAGAAAAGAAAAAAGATATTGTACATACACCCCCCCCCCACTCCCACATCCACCCACTCACCCACAACTCTACAGCTCTACAACTTCCCCTCCTCCTTCTTCTCCTCCACCGCCCCAACCCCCGGCTGCTTCAAGATCTTGACCGCGTCCTTCGAATACACATACGACAGCCCACTCCACACCGTCGTCGTGGCCACCGTATACCTGTCCCCATCATCATTAGCACCCCCCTCCCTCCCCATGGAAAGGGAAACTTACTGTAGCGCCTGCAACGCTATCTCTAGATCCGCCGCGCCCGCCCCCGCCCCCACCAGCGGATGCGCCATACACGCGCCCACCAACCCCAGCTGCAGCGCCGTGTTCAGCTTACTGATCGTCGTGGGGTGCACCTCCGCGCTCGGCAGCGAAAAGTCCCAGTAGCGCACCATGGTCTTTGGCGGCGGGAGCGAGATCCAGCGGAAGTATATCGCCGATATGGCCAGCCCGACATCGCGGCCGAGGATGACCGCTGCGATCCACACTGCGCCTCCTTCTCAACAACCATACTCGGGGGTGGTGGGGGGGGGGGGGGGAGAGGGGAAGGGAGATACATACCAGGCAGAAGCCCCTGCATAGCCAACGTGACGGTCAGCACCGTCATCAGCACCTTATCCGCCATGGGGTCTATAACACTGCCGACCACGGTCTGGAGCTTCCAGCGCCGCGCGATCCACCCATCAACGAGGTCTGTGAGCCCCGCCGCGGCAAACAGGCCCAGCGCGGCCGCGGGCTGGTCGTGCAGCACAAGGTATCCAATCACGGGCGACGCCAGCAGGCGCGAGAAGGTCAGGATGTTGGGCAGGTTATAGATATTCTCGTGCGGGGTGAGCGCGGGGAGGATCTTGGATAGCTTTTTCTTCTGCTTCTGCACTGGCGGTAAGGGTGTGGGCGTGGGTGTGGGGGTGGGGGTGGAGGTGCTGCTGTGGAAGCGGGAGCTGTGCAGGCTGAGAGCGCCTTTTCTGTCGGCTTTTGTGTCAGTGGAGCTTTCTCTCTCTGGCTGACTGGTTCGCCGGGCTAGAATGGGCTGAGCTGGTGGGTGTATGGGAACCTACATGTACATGCTGCTGCCCCCCAAGCCAGCGTTTCCACCTCCAATTGCGTAGCAGCGCCTCAACGTGCTACTGCTACTGCTACTGCTACCGCCACCGCAAAATCTCATGCTCATGCTCAGCGCACCACCACCACCCTGCCGCGGGAGTCTGCGCACAAGTGTTCGGAAGGGCATCGTCATCAATGGCATCTCAGCGGCGACGACGGTGGTGTTCGTGATGGTGGTGGTGGTGGTGGTGGGAGTGGGAATAGTAGGTAGTGGGGGGTTGTCGATATTGCATGTAGTTCGCAGCCAGGGTAATGTGGGGAATGTTGGGTCGCGGCTCTGGTGCATGCACGAGGACTAGGTAGGCTAGGCTAGCTGTACGTGGGGCAGATCATCATCACGACCGATCGCCCATGCAACGACAAGCCAGGGATGGTTCGAAGAGGATCGAGGTTGTGTTTCTTTCCTTCTTTCCTTCCTTCTTTCTTGTCATGGTATGATTCCACAAGATCAAAAAGCAGCTACATACTCACTGCGCGTGCGGTCGGTGATGACAATACTGCGCAGCTTTTCTCTCTCCCTTTCACTAGGGACTAAGTTTACTACTACTAGCCCTAGCGCCGATTACTAGTGCCTCTAGGTTTTCTGCAATTTCGATGCTTGACCCTGAGCTGCAATCTCCTCCATCTTCACTCATTCACTGTGGACCGTCACTCAGTACCCGCAGCACTCCCCGTACCCCGTACACCCCGCGTACCCCAGTACCAGTCCCAGTACCAGACCAGTACCACGCGCGCACAGCATTGCGTTTTGTGCGTAACGCAATCGCAGCCGGTCTGTCTCGGCGGGCGCAATCGTGTTTGTCCGCCAGCTCGCTGCAGCAGCAGTGTGCTGCGCTGCCCTACCCAATGGGCAATTTCTGCTTCTTCCAAAAGAAGGGCGGGCGTGTTTGTTTTCTTATCGCCCACCCCCTATTAAGGTGGCGGTGGATGATGATTTTCCTTGGCTGCGTGACCTTAATTAATCCAACTGTCACGATCATATATAACTTAATTTTAGCACATATACCGCACCGCCGAACCCCTTTGGGAAAAGAAAATAAACAGTTATGGTATGTTTTATTTCCCTGGGAACCAATAGTCTTCTCCCTCCCCCCTCCCAGAGCCATAACAGTGCCTACACGTATACCTTACTAACAACAAAAAGTCCCAACCCCCAGAAAGTCTCAGACAGAAAGAAAGAAGAAAGAATTAGGAAAAACATAAACCCGTTACAGAAAACCACCCATCGTCTCAGAGTAATTAAAATCATGATACAAACGAAAAATATGGAAAAGAGAATAGAGGTTTTTAGGGAAAAAAAAAAAAAAAACAGAGGTATCGTCGAAAATAGCCAGATTTAAGAAGGAAAAGAAAGGGGGAAAAAAAACATACGGCAGTTATTTCATGACAAGTCCCAAATCCAACAACAAAAACAAAAACAACAATGATAACACCCGAAATTTAGACAAAAAGAACAACTATCTCCGCCTTCAACAAAACACGAAAAATCTTAAATTTCAACATGAAAAGGAGGATAATGCTCACAAATGAGTCGAAATTTTCAACAGGAGAAGATGTAGCCAACAGGAAAAATAGAAAAAAAAACAAGAGGGTGATATGGCATTACATAATACAAAAAGATTGACGCCGATGATGCCCAACTTTAAAAGGAAGAAAAAGAGAAGCGGATATGGGGGGGGGGGGGGGGGGCGGGAAGAGCTTTGGAGCGGAAGGGTGGGGGGCTTTGGGGCTTTCAGGGCCTACGCTTCCCACTCATATGTCTCATGATGGTAGTTATCAATGATCCCCCCTGAGTTCCACTGCTCTGGAAGGCGAGATTCCGACGCAGTGATTGGAGCGACAGGCTGCCGAAAGTTGCTCACTGGGGCACCCCCATCCTCGTCCCTCTTCTTGGCGAATTGATAGTTCTTCAATTCGGTATTATTTGAAAAGTGCTGGACGCTTGGCTCCATATTGGCAGGCCTCCGGTACGGAAAGGGTGGCTCGCCTGGGAAGGGAACACTCTCATTGGGCATAGATCGCGGTTCGTGGGCGGGAAGCATCGATCGTGACTGTTCCTGCGGCGGTTGATAGGCGGGTGCATGGTATATTGGTTCTGTTTGCGGGTACAATGCGAAGAGGTTGCTATCCTGTGGGATGGCAGGTTCCTGCAGCGGTTGGAAAGTTGCCGTTTCAGAGAGTTGTTGGAAAGGAATCCCGCATAACTGCTGCATATGCGGATGGGTCGGCATTTGTTGCTGGATGTGTTGATGCTGCAATGGGGGAAATGATTGTTGCTGCAAAAATTGCTGGTGGTGGTGGTGCTGATGGTGCTGTTGCTGATGCTGATGCAATACTTGTTGATGCCCGTACGGGATTTCGATCATCTCGTGCCTGTACCCGCCGTGGGGATTCCGAAGTGGTAGTGGTAGCTGACGTTCTGGTGGAGGCTCTTGCTGATGCTGTATATCACCCATGTCACTCGAACCGCTATCGTATACGCTGACTTCCATATCTTGCATTCCGTCTTTATCATCGTCATACAGTGGCTGTCCATCCTTATCATACCTTCCAGAAACATCAATGTGGTGTTTATATCTGGGATTCATCTCAGCCACGTTCCTCACATCAATCTCCCTGAGGAATGGATAGATTTCCTCTGGTCGCCTCAAAGTCTTATTCAAGACGTCCGATATCTTGAAATAAGCCACGATGTGATACTTATATTGGTCGATTGTGACCGCCAAAGTCTTCTTGCACAGTCCGTCCTCCTTGAAGAGGTATGAGTCGTGAAGAGACCCCACCACGGCCTTCCTCTCATCAGGGCGAAGGGCCTGAAGCAATGGATCCAGCATTGGTAAATCCTGGCCCATCTCCTGAGGAGACGCAGAGCCGTCCAGATGACCATCACCATGATCATGATCACGAGAAGACGGCCGACCTGGCGGATATGGCTGCATACGGGGGTTTCTAGCGTTCGGTCTAATAACCCTTCTCCCACCAGGCTTGAACTTGTCAAACACCTCACGATAGACCAAGAGGTTTGTCATGGCCCTGCTGGGGCTCCACCGGATGCTATCCGTCCATCTCTTTATTCGGGATTCATTCTCCTCGTAGACGAAGACGTTTCCAGACTTTATCAGGTCTGAGCGTTCGTTGTCCAGAGGGCGGCGTGGTACACAGTGGAAGTATTGCTTTTGACATGCCTTTACGATTTTGAGAGCGTCCGCCGTGGATTCAATGGTGACTCCGGTGACAGTAGGACAGACAGGCTGATTTGCGTGCGAGGACATTTTTGGTGATGAGACGAGGGGGGGTGGGGTGGGTAAATAAAGTCCAGCTGAGGAGGAGGGGGAGAAAAGGTTGTGAGGAGCAGCAGAGGTTGGTGTCAGGTGAGTGAGTGTGTGAGAAAGGTTGTAGCAGCCAGCAGGATGAGGAGCAGCTGGAGGAGGAGGGAGAGGAGGAGGAGTAATAGTAGGGGTAGTTATGATATTCTTATTTTTGACAGTCAGACAGGTGTGTGGGGAGATGGACACGGCCAAAGACGGTCCAGAACTGATTCACCCCGATGAGCCAGCAGAGGTGGAAATCGGGAAACTGGAGGACAGACAGCTGGCTGAACTGGTGTGGTGAGACTAAAGAGAGAAACAAGCAGATCGGAATTGCAACACCTCAACTCAACCCGAAAAAGCTTTAGGGCAGACGAGGACGCAACTTATGGAAAACGAGAGTGAGAGAGAGAATAAGAGAGAGTGAGGAGGATAAGGATGTGGAGGGGGGGTGGATGGGAGGATTAGAAAGGGGGGGGGGGGGGAGGTTGTGAGAGATGAAGAGGGCAAGGCTACAAAGAGTGATTGCAAGCCGTGATAAGAGGGCAACAAGCAGCTAGACGAAGTTGATGATTGGGTAAGGGAATGGCGAATTCTATGCTGGAAACAAGAAGAATGCTGTGAGAGAAATTCGCCTCTCCTCTGTCCGTCTCCCGTCCTTTCCCGCTTCCACTCGTCCTATCCAATTCCTGTTTTCTACCAAAAATCAGTTAATAAATAAACAAAAAAAACAGAACCTGTCACTTTCATCTTCCAAATCGATCCGTTTCCTCCTTCTCCCAGGTTCAAGGTGTACAAAGCAAGCAATCTACACTCAATCCCGTGCTAGCTGTCGTCGTCGTCGTCGACATTTCAACCAATTTGGGACCGACAATTGCACGGGATGCAGCATACGGAAAAAAAGTGACAGGAGACTGCATACCTAGGTAAGGGTAAATCTCAATGATGTCAATTGGCTCCCCCCGTGAAAGGTCCCTAACACTTGGCCCAACAATCGCCCCACAAGTGCCCTTTGTAACTGTTGCTTGTTCTGTGAAGAACGTAAACAAATTGATGTCAGTCAAGTCGCAATGCCACGCCCCGGCGGTACCTCTCGAAAAAAACAAAGTTTTTTTAATCCTTACACTGAAATGGCCCGAGCCCGTGATCAATAAAGCTTATAGCTTGATGATTTTTTACTGGAGATACCCGTAAGGCTAAACAGACGTTTCTTTAAAGGTAAAGATGGGAGTAGAGACTTTGAGTTATTAGTGGTTGGGCGATTTGTCTGTGCCGCTGGCTGGCTGGATGGGTGTAGGAGTACTAGCTGATGGTAGTAGCGTGGGAAAACCGAATAAAGGTGACCGACCAAACAACCTCCTTCCAGAAAGGAACAATATGCAAGAAAAGAAAATAAGAAAAAGAACACAAAGTGTAGACAAAAAGCAAATAATTAAGATATAGTAGCAGATCTTAGCGAAAAGGAATTCAAATTTAAAATGAACGAAAGAATAAAAAAAAAGTTGCTAAAAAAGGCGTATGAGAAATATTGCCAGTGCAGATAATGGGGCAGGAAGGATGTATCACCGGTACGGGATCGAAGTGCTGTCAAGCTTTTTGGTCAAGAGATGGAGCGCAAGAAAGCTAGGCAGAGCCCAATAACAGCTCAAAGCAAGCTACCGGATATCAATGCTGCCCTCTCAAGAAACAATCTGGAAAACGTCCGGATCAGGACTTTTGGTGTGTGAACAGCTAGAACTTGCTAAGAAGGAAAACCGAGTTCTTGACAATATAATATACCAGGACATGCTGCATGCAGTCCGCTGGACGTACACTGGGTTACTTATGCGACCATCAGATTGACGTCTCTAGTTTTTGAAGCTGACCTGCACGAGGGCTTTCGTGTGCACTAAACGGATAGGGCAGAGTTGTGTCAGTGTGGATATCGATATCAGATATCGGGGGGGTTATGGGTATGGGTATTGGGGGGGGGGGGGGGCGTGCTTGCTCGGGAGGGGATGGTAGAAAGGGAAATGGAAAGGCAAAGAGTACTAGTGAAAGATCCCGAACAGGGGGGTCCGGTAGGTGATCTATTGCATGGACGTGGGGAACTCAGTAGACCGAGCTTCGCGAATGCGTACTAATAGGGATCCAGGGAGCACACACTTTTTTTTCACTGAGAAATAAATCACACGCTGGCCTGACAACAGCTTAGCGCAGATATCCAGCTGCTGGGTACTACATTGCACACTCAGAATTCCGATGCGGGTTGTCTGACACTAGGCTGTGAAGTAAGGGCCGGCCCTTTCCCCCCCCCCCCCCCCCCCCCCTCTCTCCTCCTCCTCCTCCTCCTTCCCTATGTCCTCTCTAGGCCCCACCAGTATATAAAACGGAAACAGAATTTTATCTTCATACTAAAGAAAGCATTTCATTCACCTGGCCAGCACGATAATGGCTTCACGCAATGGCCCTCGGCTGACCAGAATCAGCATGATCTGTGTGTGGAGTTGAGTTGTTGGGGTGTGCATGCAGTGTTGTGTGTGTGTGAGTGGGTGGGTGTGTGTGTGGAGTAGGGGTACTACTGAAAACACTCATCTTTGAGATTTCAGTAGTTTGCGCAACGAAATACTCGTACATTTTGCGACACTGCCCAGGCTAGGTAGAGGTGCTTGTAGCCGTCTCAATTGGGTATTCGTACTTGCTGGCTATAGGGGGGTTGACAAGAAACCCACCTCTCACCTAGTCGTCTTACCCAAGTGCTCATGATAATATTGCTCGGAGAGTTCCAATCGGTGTAAAGAAATCCTTAGCATACTGGTTCCCGACGAGCTGGGACTGGGTGTTGGTGCAACCTTCACATGCCGCCAGACGTTGAGATCTAGCATTTGAATGCTGGTCGCAGATCATTTTAACGCCACCACCAACAACGCTCGATGCCTCGCTCGCTAGAATAAGAATAAGAAATTTTAAGAAAAGCAACTTAGAAGATGAGCAGCATTTTATTAGAGCTTGTCAGGTCGCTTCTTTAGACTACAGTCGACATCTGTCTGCCTGTCTGTATTGACAACGTCGTCTAGCTGCACATCATATACACATTATTTCTTACCACAGACGAGCGTTGGTACCTGACATGGGAGCTTCGGTGCGTGACCCTGGGGTCTCGCTCGCTAGCCTCCATACCTCCTCTCCAGCTCTTCACATCCCTGGTAATTGTAAAATATCATCTCAGCCGTTTTTTACTTATTTAGAACAGTATTAGAAGAACCCAGGCATGCGAACACACATCTCGATCGATACATTATATTAACAGCTACCGTCGTTTTCTTTTCCTCAGGGACTCATCTCATCCCGGACGAACCATGACTGTGCCCACCAACCAGATCAGCTTTGGGAGTGTCTACATGTACCTGCTGCTACCTACCACCTACCATCATGATCAATCACCACCGAACCCATCCATCTCTCTCGCACACACAACACTAGCGGCACAGCCACACAACAGGAAAACACAAATGCTGTACTGAAACCGGGGAACCGCCAGTCGGTGTGGTAAACAAATTCGCATCCGTAAAAAGTAGGTACAATTCCTGTTCGCAACCCATTCGTTCACAACACTCACGACTCCTTGTTTGTTTCCGTAGCGTGGATGGGTGGATCGATGGATTTGATTTTTTGGGGAGGGGAGAAGAAAAAGCGGTTGCTTGGTGTTATCGGGGCCCTAGGACGAATCCGGGAAAGCTCGATCGTTCCCGCATCTTTGGCGAGGTAGGGACCCCAACTGCGGGATGACGAACCAGACCCGTTTACTGTCTGTCTGTCTGTCTGTCTGTCTGTCTGTCTCTCTGCATGCCAATGTTATGTCAACCTCCCCTCCTTCCTTCTCGCCATGCGTATATGTCGGTACGTATTTTTATATTACAAAAGAAGTACCCCAAGTACTTCATGAAGGAACGGTGCATGAGCTGGATGATCTGCCGAATCTGTGCCTGCTTCTTATCCTGACAGTGTACCTACATATTATTACTGTGGCATGGCTGGCCGGCGAGCGGTGAGTGTAGTTTGCATCCTTCCCGCTGCGCGGCGGGTACCAAGTTGACATCGGCAGCGCAGGCTTGGTCTTGATGTCTCCCGCCGAGTACTCCCCCATCCATGATCTATCTGATCATTATCCAGCACAGTTAATAATATAGTAGAGGGAGGTACATGTAGGTATGTACATGTACCTGCTACATCCAGCATATAGCTACACCCATGTTACCATATTACGGTCAAGTTGCTCGTGAGCTCGGTAAAACAGCACTCGTTATATAATTAATAGGATTTAATTATACTTAAATTTAATTATAATTAAATGAGACAATAAACAAATAACACCAAATAATTGGAAAAATAAAAAATCCTCCGGCCGCTCCCCCCGAAAACCTGGCCTGGCTAACGTTATGTACTAGGCAAGACTCAAAACATATCATTTGATATGCTACCGTCAGCTAGCGGCGGCCAGAGAATCGTACGTTATCCCTCCGCGATGTGATGCTCGACGATGATGAGTCGAGCACTTGTAACAAACCGCCATGTCCAGCTAACCCACATCCTACCTCCCGCTCGCCATCCCAGTCCGGGTGGGCGTTTTCTTTCCCAAGCCCCCCCAGCCAGTCATATATCATCATCATCATCATCATCATATCCGACGTTCCGAGCCAGAAGACCTGCGCCTCCCCCCCCTCCCCAAGCAACGGATCCGGTATTCGGGCTCCATCGCATCATGCTTCCTAGACGAGCGGGACAAGACAAGATACTAGAATCCGGGTCCTACGCTGCCTGTATGTGTGGGTGTGCACGCGGGCGGGTTTGTTTCTGGTTCCAAATATTGTTGGCGCTGTTGTGGTGGTAGCGCGAACTGGAAATGGTCAGCCTGAACTCCTCCTACAGCTTCCTGATAGCCGTGGCAAGCTGCAAGCAGGGGCTCAACTTGGTGTAGGTTTTCGCCAGCCACGAATCAGAGATCGTTACCATCAAAAAGTCATTTTTTCAAATTCTTCTTACCTGGCCCGAGTACAATATGGAGTTGCGGCCAGTACTTGTATGTATCTGTGCTAGAACATTCTCTAGACGGTACTGTACGCTGGCTGTGGGTACAAGATACTACATGCACACATTTCTCTAGCTACCTAGAGTGAATGGCAGCCTTGTAATTGCTGAGTACCTGCGCTTTGTACCATAGATAGCTGCAGCGTGGAGGTACCTACTACATATCCTACATGTACTCATGAATATTGGTGTACCTTCTTCTTCAGGAACTCCCATTCACCAATCCGCCCCACGTGTAGAGTAGGTGGGGGGAGCGGGTTTGTCCTATTTTCAACTCACCCACTCACTCACTCATTTCCTCTTTGTTTTGTGGGGTACAGTTGCTGTACCAAGATAACGACAGTTACAGTTATATACCGCAAGCTGCTTGCCTGACTTTAGAGACACCACTACCACACCTACCCACCACCCCACCAGTTCCCACCACCACCACTTGGTGGACCGAGCTTTGACGACTCGCTCTGCGACAATAAATCCCCTATTGGCTGTCTGAGCCGAGGCCTAATTACGCATCTCAAACAAAACAGCAGCTCAGTCCCCGGGTTTTTCGGTTGGGCCAGTCGGTTAGCACCGCTCTACCCTACAATCACTAGACTAGCGTAGTAGCGTAGAGAGCGAGACAAAGAAATTCAAAGAGAGACATGCATACATGTGGCTAGCAAATAGTACTCTACTCTACTACTAATTAACGCAGGCCGGGGAGAGCAAGTAAAGTAGCACGCCGGCCAATCAATGGCCGGTGCAGCCATGCGCACGCAAGAGGAACGAACCAACCAACACTCCTGCCTGGCTAGTATAAACTCTACTCTGCTCCATCCACAGTAGCTAGCAATGTAGTGATGTGTCAGCGAGCGCCGGGCCAATGAATTAGTAACGCCAGCGACGTCACTGGCTGCCCAGCAAGGGCCTAGATCTGGAGATATGGTTTGGAACATTGTGGTTTAATTGCAGAGAGGAGGCTGGGATGGATGTACTAGCGGGATACCCAGGGTCCCTTCCGAGATATGGGGATACCGTGTTGGAGTCTTCCTGGCTGTCAGGTCAGTTGGGTTGGGCAGCTAGCACCGCACCGCATGCGCAGCTCGGTCAGTGAGTGCTGTGCGATGCAACCGGTCTGGCTAACGTTATATAACGTTGACGTACGGACTGATCACTGGCAATGACTGACTGACTGACTGAATCAGCGAGTGAGCGAGTGATCATGAGTGATCATAAGTGACTACTGCCTACATACCTATCTGGAGGAGGTCAAGTGAGTGAGTGAGTGAGTGAGTGAGTCTGCTCGTTGTCTATCTCGTTGGTTAGCTCCGGCCGGGTGGCATACAGCTATAGCTAATTAGGGACGGGACATTCTGCGAGCTGCGCTGGGTGCTGTATGCTGTATATTGCAAATTGTTGGTACGGGTTAGCTAGGAAGGGAGAGATCGGGCCCGAGCCATGGCCACAGATGACGGCGGTAACGGTTCCTTGGGATCCAAGCCTGCCCGCGGCCGTCAATATGTAATATGCCAGATTATGCGAACAGTTGTAAAATTTAAACAACGACGCACTGGGACTGAACTGAAGCTGGCAAACCACTTTTCGTCACTGTGCTGTCCTGTCTGGTGGCGGCCTTCACTGTGCACTACATGCATGTAGCTATGTAGTCAGCTTGTCATGTGAGGAGGGGGGGGGGGCTACCGAGGCGGGCGTTATAGCGAGAGACGAATTGTGGGAACCGGGGAATTCAAGAGGAGAGGAAACAAAACAAAATGTGATATATCATAACTAATGGGATGGTTACATGTTGTGTGTATGCTGGAGAAGAAGATGCATATGAGTCTAGAAGGATGTATCTGTAGACTGTTGCACCCCTGGCTGGCTATGCGATAGAGCAGATCAGCAGGTATCCATAGCAGAGTCATAATAGCACTATATGTATATATTGGCAGCGCAGCTTACGCTATTGAGAGGATCGATGCAAGCACCCTCTTACTATATCTGCAGGCGAAGGTTATGCATACAACCAGTATACGTATGAAGGTATATATATATATATATATGATTTTATATATATTCTAGACGCCTCACTGGCGGTGCAACTCCTATAGTATGCACACACAGACATGTACTCATAATACACAGTACAGAAGTGCAGTGTTTACGGGCATTGGGATGAACTTTTTTTTTTCTTTCCTTTTTTTTTTTTCCTTTACACAGAAATGATCGAGCGTACCGTGGTAGTGATCATGACGTCGATCGTCGACAGATCTAGATTGCTATAAGCTGCGCTGGCCCAGTGGATTGTTTGCTGGCTAGTACACTACCTGACATTGTATAGCTGCCGGCCGAAACACATGTAAACGCACGTACGGCCGGTACCTACGCACATACATGAAGCATTGACAACGGTTTTGAGTACATGTAGTATATATCGTGCTTAAGCTTCTTGGCGTATGTACGGCCTGACGTACTAGCAGCCAGCAGCACTATGCTAGCACTGCTGACTCCAATATTAATATTAATCACGCCATAGTTATAGGCCCACGAATGCTTTCTTTGGCCATGGGGGCTATATGGGGTATATAATCTATAGATATAAGGGAGATTGTTAATATGCTATCTCCCAGCGCAGCTCTAGGCAGCCGTGCATATGAAGGTACATTATTATAACACGACCAGCAAGTAATATGAGGCCAGCGCCATGGCATGGCATGGCAGCTAGCCAATGGCAGCCCCGCCAGCTGTGAGCTGATATGGTCAGGATTCTTGGGATTATCTATCTAGTACTAGCTAGTACATACCTGTTCCGCATACTAATGGCCTACCTCTTGCCCCCCCCCCCCCCCCAAAAAAAAAAAAAAAAAAAAAAAAAATCTATATCACACTCGTAGTATACATATATTAGTCCACCGCAAGAAACAACCGCCAGCAGTATACGTATAGTACGTGCCCCCCTAGGGCCCTTCCCCCCATATACCCCCCCGCCCAAAGCAGCACCCGCGCGCAGGAAACGAAAAAAAAAGAAAAAACAAAACACACCAACCCTCCAACCGGCCGTGGGGGGGGGGGAGGGGGGTGCATGGAGGGGGTAGATGCATGCTTGGTACATGGTACATTGTTTCAACGACCTAGCACCCAAACCCTTCCCCCGCGGGTCCCCCCCGCCGTTCTTGCGCTTATCAGTGGGCCATAGCCATAAGCTACGTACCCACACATTAACAATTGCACCTACAGTGCAGCTAGTTACAGCGCTTGCTGCCCCCTCCCGCGGGGCAGGCCCGAGGGGGGGGTTCATGCAGGCCATTATAACGTTACCGGAGCCGTGTATCGGGAGTTTCTACAGCGCGCAGCGGTGCTCCCAGGATCTGTTTTTCATGCACTCTACGTAGGTTTGGGGGGGGGGGGGGAGAAGCGGATGCCCACAGCTGTCAAAAGGCGGGAGTGGTGTCCGGTGAAGGGGGTAGCGGGTATGTGTGGTATTACTATAGGCGGGTGGAGTATAGATAGGGGAAGGATGTGGTGGGCCTAAGCTGGTGGGCGGGCGGGCGGGGGGTCCGGGAGAGATCGGACGCGGGGGGGGAGTTTGTGCTGTTTGTTTTTTGGGGGGGGGAGTTGAGGGGGTGCTTGTTGGGGGAGAGGAGAGGGTATTGTTGAGGATGGGAGTGTTGAGAGCGAGATCTGCCGCTGATATGAGTATAATCATAGCGGCGGTGATATGGGTTGGTCTCTGGATTATGTATCTTTTAATATTAATATTGGGGGCCATCCATTAATTCTGCACGCAGCGGTATATATCAAAATCGCCCTAGTTGTGAGAGAATAAAATAAAACGCAAGCGTGCAAAGGCAATTTGTTCTAGAGCTGCAGACGTTCTGCTGCAATGGTTGATATTCGCAACCCCGCGGGATTCTTTTGTCGACTTTGTTGCATGCCAGCTGGGGGGGACATGAGACGCGCATCATCGGAGGTCACTCGGCCCACACACGCGATGTTTCGGTCCTGACATTAAGACAGCGGCCGACCAGCCATCCATCCCTGCCTGTCAAAGAAAAGAGGGCTGGCTGGCTGCACGGGCGATCTCCCTCGATGAGATCTCTGCTGGCTACATCCGTGCGTGCCCCCTGCTGCGGGTTGTTTTATTCTCCGTCGGCCTTGATTGGCGGGCTGAGGAAGGGGGAAGGGGGAGGGGGGAGCGGAGGGCAGCGAGTGGGTGGGTGGGAGTGGGAGAAGGCGTGGAGAAGGCACAGAGAAGGCACAGAGAAGGCATGGAGAAGGCATGGGGAAGGCAGGGAGAAGGCGTGGAGACAGCACGGGGAGCCCGGCCTCGCTCAATGGGGGCCGCCAAGACAACGCAGTGGCAGACGTCAGGCCCACGTGACACACGCGATTTAGCCCCAACTTCGCATTCGGAGCAGCAGCCGCGTAAACACGCGATACAAGTAAAGAGGAGAGAGAGAGAGCTCACCACCACCATCAATTGCTGCTCTTGAAATCCCTCCTCCTCCTCCTCCTCCTCCTCCTCCTCCTCCTCCTCCTCCTCCACCACGAACTGCATCTTCCTGCTACAGACACACAGACAGACAGACAGACCCCCCGCCATGGCCCCCCGTCTCGTCCGCCGGGCCCCCCTCTCCGAGCGAGTGCTGGCAGCCCTCAACCCGCTCGACGCCCTCCTGAACCTCTCCACCTGGATCTCGTCCTTCGACTGGGACGGCATGCAATCGACCTTCGCCACGCCCCTCGGGCTCACGCTCAACGCGCTCTGCCTCTTCACGCGCGCCCACTCGGACAGCCGCTCCTACCGCCGCGGCGTCGAGGACGTCATCCGCCGCGGTGCCGGCAGCACCAGCGGCGGCTGGGGAGCCGCAATGGCTTATTCCGTATGTGTATCCGCACCGGTCGACGACGGCGGCGGCCCCCTCGTGTCCTCCTGCCACCCCCTCAGTATGTTTGACGATGATGTATACTCATGGGAACTGTTTCCGCCGCGCCAGTGCAATGTCGTCTCGTGGTCGCTCGCGATCCTCAGCATCGTCAACGCCCTCTACTGCGCCTTTAGAACACGGCCCTACAGGCTGTTTGAAAACAATATCGATGTTTGCACCCCCCTCTAAACGTCTCCCCCAGGAATACCTGCCTGCTAACCCAGCTGTTCTCCGCACCAGATCCCGCCGCAGACACCCTCCGCCCGCCGCGTCCGCGTCGACTCCTCGCCCACCACCTCCCCGATAAAGCTCCTGACCGCCCTCCTCGAGCCCTTCCACGACTCCCCCACCAGCCGCGAGCACCCCAGCGCCACGCGCGACGTCTGGGAAGTCAGCATCTGGGACCCCAGCCCACTCTCGCTCCGCCTCCTCGCCCTCTTCTCCCCCGCCCACGTCGCCGTCTACTTCCTCTCCTTCCCCATCACGCAGAACCTCTCCTACAGCAGCGCCCTCAGCAGCTACACCTACACGCCCAGCGCCAACACCTACGCCGTGCTCGCCACGGCCCTCGCAACCCAGCTCATCATCAGCGCCCAGCTCCTCCTCCTCCAGCGCTTCTTCGCCCAGCAGCAGAAGGACAAGGCCCTCCTCTCGAAGCAGCTCATGCACGAGTACGACACAAAGTTCGTCCAGCCCCGCGTCACTACCGTGCGGCGCGATGTCGCGACGCAGACGCCGAATCCGCGCACGGGCGAGCCCGGCGAGGTCGATACGTACTCCCCCATGATGGCCCGCCAGGGCTTCCGCACCGCGCCGAACCCGAATTATGCGCCGCTGACGGCGGCGGGGCCGACACAGCTGGTCCCTACGGCGCGCGGCGACCAGGGATACGGGTACTCGCCGCTGGCGGCGACGATGCGGCAGCCGCAGTTTGGCGGCGGCGGCGGCGGCGGCGGCGGCGGCGGCGGCGCTGCTACAAGACGTGCGGCGGCGGCGGCGGCGGCGGCGCCAGGGGGATTATACGGGAGTCTCGGTGGAGGTAGTCTGGCGGAGCCGGCGAGGAGGATGCCGCGCGTCAAGAGGGAGGAGAGTGATGGCGAGGAGGAGCAGCAGCAGGAGAATATGCGGCCGAGGCGGTACTGGCACACGCGGGGGGCGGGGGCGGCGGGGGGCCCGGAGGCGCATCTGATGGCGTCGAATGTGGGCATGCATGGGCTGGTGAATATGAGTCTGCAGAACAGCAGGAGCCTGAGCCCGAGTAAGATGGCGAGCCCGTTTAAGAGGGTGCCGGCGGCGAGGGGGGGCGCGGTGTCGGCGAGGAGGTAGTGGGGGTTGTGGTGGATGCGGATGGGCGTTTTAGTGGGCTTGAATCTCCGCTTTTTGTTCTAGTTTTTATAAAAAGGAAAAGGAAAAGGGTTCTGTTTTTTCTGCTGGGTTCTTTTTCTCCTCCGTATTTTTGTGGGGGGGGGGGGAGATTTGGGCTTGCGGCGGGGACGTTGTGGGGTGACCGCTTTTTCTCCTTTTTTTTTTTTTTTTTCTTGTTTCTTAATGACCGGTTTGGTTTCTATTCTTTTTTTTTCTTTTCTTCTTCTCTTTCTCTCTCTGTGGGCCTATCTCTATCTCTATCCGCTACATAGCTATAGGCCTATCTCTTACGCTGCTGCATTGTTAGCTACTGCATGCATCATGCATCCATCATCAATACAGGCCTCCATCTTCATGTTCTGCGGCGAGATCTAAATGGTACCCCCCCAGGAGTCTATCCTTACGGACCTGGTAGCATTAGTGATGAAAAATACGACGACGAGTATAGCGTGGGTCTCGTCGCCCATCGTTGCATATCTAGCCTAGCTACAGCTTTCCAGACGGCGCCCCCCCCAAAAGTGTCCGTCTGCTGTCTCTCAAGAGCGAGAAATAGAGCGGTGTATCCATCCCATGAGAGAGACCCGCCAACGAGCGAGTCCGTATTCCACGAGTTTGTAATCACGGCGCATCACTCGGTCACATGACGTTACTTCCATGAGCTGAGAGAGATAGCCCCAAGAGTGCGCCAAAGCTGTGATTCAGGGGGGGGGAAAGCTCGCTTTTGGCTATGAATGGGCGCCGGTTTATCGACCCGCATACCATACTTGAATTCAGGTACCCAGCTGTTGGCAGCTGGTATTGACGCCTCTTTTTTTTTTCTTTTTTTTTTCTTTTTTTTTTTTTAGGACTGGTATGGTGCGCGGGAGAGATGGCTACTGATTCAATGGCCCGGATCTACTCGGTGCCTGTTCTACATCTAGAGGTATCTATATATTACATGTACCTGTCTCCCAAGGACCAAAACCAGCGGGCGAGTAGTGTTCGCCGGCACCACGAATGCCGGCGCTTGACCTTGCAAGGGGATGGGGGAAGAACCACAGCTCGCCCATAGCCAGTCTCAAAAGATGATCGTGACCAAAAAAAAGAAAAAAGCCAAATCCTCTACAACGTTACAACCACAATAGATATCAAAAGTCTACCAGAATGAGAATCTATTCCGACAGTTTTTTTTTTTTTTGAACACCTATCCCAGCTGTAAAGCCGTAGAGGACTTCGCGTTTTTTGTCATGGTCATCTTGAGGATTGGGGACAATAGCTATACCTTCTGTGTTTTCTTCAAAAAAAAAAAGAAAGGAAAGGAAAGGGGGGAAAGAAGGCTGGTTCGGTTCCCTCCCTATATATTGGGTACACGCCCACAGAAAAGCGCCTCCAAGAGCGACAGCCCATAGGAGGGAGAGGCCACAAGAAAAAACACACTAAGAGCCCATAACCCGAATCTCACTAGAGTGAGAGCCCACAAGAGAAAGCCACACAGAAGGCCCTGAGACCGAGATGCCACAGACGAAAACCCACGAGAGATCGAGAGCCCATACCCACAAAAAAGACCAACGGCACAACAGGGAAATCCCATTGGGAAAAGAAAGAGCCCACGAAATGAAGAGAGAGAAAAGGGGCCACAAAAGACACAGTGCCCACAAAAGGAACCCACGAGAGAAGCCAACCAACAAGAACCCAGCAGAGCAAGAGCCGAAAAGATAATGTGCCACAAAAGTGAGCCCACAAGAAAAGAATCATCGATCTAAAAGATGATCCGCAAGAGAGAGCCCACACCCAACAGAGAAGCCACAAAAAATAGCCCACAGGTGAGAACCCACGAGGTGCCCACAAAAGAAACCCCACCAGAGTGAGAACTTCCAAAAAGAGTGCCCACGAGAGAAAATTGCAAAAGCCACGAGACCAAGAACCCACAAATAAACTCCGCCCAAAAGAGTGCCGGCGAGAGAAAGCCCACGACCACAAGAGAAAGAGACGCCACAAAAAAAGGCCAGCAGAAGAAAAAGCCCACAGAGAAAACCCACAAAAAAAAGAGCCTACGCCCACAAAAAAGACCAGCACGAGGGAGGCCATAAAGGTAGGAAATCCCACAGAAAGCAAAAGCCACCGAGAAAAGCCCACGAGGAACAGAGCCACAAGAAAGAGAGAGAAAAACTCCACCAAAGAGGATCCCACCAAAGAATGTCCGCGAAGAACAAAACCACAGAAAGCCCACAGAAAAAAGCCCACAAATGAGAATAGCCCCCAGAAAAGCCCACGAAACCCACAAGGAACAAAACCCAAAAAGCCCACAGAGAGAAAAAAAAAGCCCACGGAAAAAAAGCCCACAGAAAAGCCCACGAAACCCACAAGGAACAAAACCCAAAAAGCCCACAGAGAGAAAAAAAAAGCCCACGGAAAAAAAGCCCACAGAAAAGCCCACGAAACCCACAAGGAACAAAACCCAAAAAGCCCACAGAGAGAAAAAAAAAGCCCACGGAAAAAAAGCCCACAGAAAAGCCCACGAAACCCACAAGGAACAAAACCCAAAAAGCCCACAGAGAGAAAAAAAAAGCCCACGGAAAAAAAGCCCACAGAAAAGCCCACGAAACCCACAAGGAACAAAACCCAAAAAGCCCACAGAGAGAAAAAAAAAGCCCACGGAAAAAAAGCCCACAGAAAAAAAAAATTCCTTTTACTAACCCCTCGCATTCAGCCAGAGGAAAGCAAAAAAAATAGAAAAAACAAAGTTTTTTCTTCGCATCAACTGGCTGCAGTGTAATGCCAGTGATACATTGGAGCAAAGGATGCGCAAGCGCAGAGCCAATGCTCCTATTCCTAAAAATAAGGTTAATCAAAAAAGGTCCCGGGGGACCGTTTCAGTGATTAAACTTTTTTTTTTAATGTTAGCAATGATGATCAATAAAAAGGAAAAGGAAGGAAAGGAGAGGGAGATACATACCTGAAAAGAACAGATACTACACTTGATCTAAGCCACTGTTGAAAGTTAGCAAAGGATCAAGGTGAGAGAAAGGTGGGGGGAGACTTACAAAGGCAAAGAGAGCTAGGGAGAGAAGAAGGGAGCGGGTGGAGAAGACCTTTTATACTCGAGCTCATCTTGGCAAGAGCGGACTTTGGCGGCACCTAGGGCTACAGTGAGGACACGTCAGCTGGGTAACCGCAGCAAAGGGCTTCGTTGGTATGATCTTGGTACGCTTGCTTATGATCGACGGTTTCGGGTAACTATATGTACATGTAGACTACACGGCGTAGTCCTCGCTGCAATTGGGCTATCACCTTGGATTCTATCTTCAATTCATCGACTGGCGACTCGCACTTGCAATGGCTGACGTTCCGATTGTCTCCCCGCACCCCGCACCCACAGAAACGTACTTATTCTTTTCATGCTAACAAGATTACAGAGCTACTCTCCTCGTTCAACCCCTTCGCTACCCAAAAAGGCCCCCTGGAGAGCTGATGCAAGGGTGACTACCAGGCGAGTGACAACTCATGAGCCAGGACTGAATCTCTCCTGGCCCATCCCCGAGCGAACTACCGAGATACAACACCACATCGTACGATGGAGAAAGCTTACTTGTACGTATACCCAGTTCGTTGCGATAATATCTTCTACATAGCTTAGTCCCCAGAATAGAACAATGTAAAGTCTCAGAGTGCGAATGATTGCGGTCCCTTGACCGATACCGGTGCACGGATCATATACAGGTAAGGCCTCTCTAAACAACAGGCGAGAGGAACCTATGGCCGGTAAAGGAGTGGGGGTAAGATATAGCTAGATATATATCTATACGTGTCCATAGTTACGTTGGTGAGCACGAGTCCCAAGGCGCTAGGTGGGAAAGATTCAGGCGTAGAGCATTCGATAGGGTCGGTTTATCGGGGGTCCAGCGGTCACCATTCAGGTATAATCGAAGAAAAGCTCGAGGTATGTATACGACGATCAAGGACTACTTGTCACCGACGCTCAGTAGCGTGATGGGATAACTTTCTAGGATTTACTATCTCACCTTCTAGCTCTGTGGGTCAAACCGGGTCAAGTTAGGCCTTCCACCCCGTATTCCCACATCAAGAGGCAAAAAGAGGTAAGCCAACCATATACATTGCTTGTACCATGATATTATTCAGAAGGAAGGTAGAAAACTCAAAACCAAATCAGGAAGCAAGAAAAGGAAAATTACTAACGCGATGTCGGCGGTTCATCACTGCTCCTACCTCTGGAGCCAGCATACAATCAATGAATTATCAATCAATCAATTACCTCCGGAGCCACGCCGATGCTTTTTGTTGCCGAGAATCGTGAATAAGAAAAAGAACACTAAAACCAGTATTGGGCTAACAAACGCAACTGCAACCTCTTAGTCCGGACTTGTTTTGTTCATCATGCATGTAAAAAAATCTAGAGTACATGTATGCCTGCCACGATGACAAGAAGCCTGCCGACTCGAGCTCATGTGTATACTCGAGTCTGGCTACTCTTAACAATCTCCAAGAGGCCTGATACCATCGCAGGTGGCCATCCGGGCTCAATCATGATCAAACGTCTTAAACCCTAATGGTCTAGACGCACGTGGTTCTCCTATAGCTGTCATAGTCCGGAAATCCTTTCACTCCGAGCAAATTAAGGGGCTTGGAGTCCTCGCGGAGTGTATACTCAAACTAAACACCAGTAGGAAGCGGAGAGGCGTATGTGCCTATGCGGTCCAGAAACTCGCCCAAGGAGGGGCATAAATGTGGCTTCGAGTTGCTTCAATTTTGGACAACTATTCGAATCTAACCCGGGCATAGGGCCCAAAATACCACGTTAACCTAAAGCAACAGCCGTCTCTCCCCTCCCCATCGTAACTTCTTCGGCCTCTCCAAGTGCTGACAACTCTCACTCTCTTCTAATCCTTACATTAGTGCATTCTACCGCCCCATAGAGCGACTACCGCGACGAGAAGGCAAGGTGAATATTGCCAAGTTGGTCACAGACCATCACTCGTGTCTCGGCGCAGGACTTGGTGGTCAAGTTCTCGGTGCATTCCTCTATTGTTAGTACACGACTTCAGGGGGAAAAAAAGCCAGTCCCTGCTTCAGCAAATTTACGGTACAGAACCCCCCGGCTAAGGCCTGCGGAGTTATATCGTGAGTATGCATAATAGATCTACGCTTTACCTGCGTAGTTTTAAGAACGAAGGCATTAAGCTTGAGATATTGTACAGACCACCCGAGATGCGACCCTCGAATTACAGCAGCATATAATAGCTACAGTTAAAGAGATAGTACACCAGATTTTCTCTCCCCAAACTTCAGGGGGCTTGGGGTCATCGTAGACCTCATCCCGACGTTGTCACCCAGTCGAAATTAAAATCTAGATACTTAACCATATACGGAAACTGGTATTAAAAGTTCGGAGATGCGATATTTCGTCACTGATGCAGGGTTGTTCGTTACCTAGGTTCTTGACAGCACGGTTGTGTATGTGGGTAGGGTTCTGGATTTTGGTTTTTGGCTAGCTGTCTGGCTACGTCTACCTCATGTAGATAATGGATTCGAGAAAAGTACATACGTTAGACACATGTATCGCTGTGTTTGGGACATAAAATGAAGATGAGGAGGAGTATTGGTGCGTACGAATATTTTGCGGATAGTGTGCACATTTAATTTTCCGTTTTCGAATATTTAACAGGGAATTACTTCGATTGAGCAATTACTTATAAACTACATACATGTATTTTCCTTTGTCCATAACAATATACACACCTAACCCATACAACACTCGCCAGAGAATAACCAATACTTGCAACAGGAAACAGAAACAGCAGCACAACACCCAATCCTCAAAAAGAAAATATAAACACCACACAAACAGTCCATCTATAACTACTTATTCCTCATCCTGCGGATGGACAAACCCATCATCCGACACCCCCGCCCACACCTCCGCCACCTTCACCGACAGCGTTCCACTCACCTTCCTCCTGCCCACCGCCCCCGCGCACGCCTTCTCCAACAGATCCAACTTCTCCTTGTCGCTCCTACAGCGTTCATACGCGTCCACCAGCGCCCTCGGCGTCTGAAAGCTCTTCTGGATCTCGCATGCCTTCTCGATCGTGATGCCGCGCACCACCATCAGGAACTTCAACAGCAGGTCGCGCAGCGTCAGCGAGCCCGACTTAGACGCAAGGCCGGAGAAGACGGGGTAGGTGATGAAGAATTTCTTGCTTGGGGAGGTGTCAGCGAGGTGCTTGAGTAGTGCCGGGTAGGTTTTGTGGTCGACCAGGGCGTCGGGGATCATGTAGAGGTCTTGTGGCTAGGATGTGTTAGCTAGGGCGACAGTGCAGTATGGGGGAGCTCGTGGGTTGTGTTAGGTACCTGGTAGAGCTTCTGCAGCATCTTTGTCATGCGCACTAGATACTGGATTGTTTCGTCCAGCTTACTAGTCTTCTTAACAAAGAACCCATCCACCACCTGCGTCGAGCTGATCGCCGTCTCGATGATCTCCTGCGTCTGTGCGTCCAACACACCCATCGTGAGGTCCTCGATGATATACGTGACATTCTTCATGCCGCTCTTCTTGAGGCGGAACTTCTGGTCGTGGAAGCGGCCGTCCCTGACCGAGAAGAGGAGATCGTCGAGGCGCTTCCGCTCCACAATGTGGTCCAGCACGACCTCCCTTCCCGCGGGGCCGTTTTCGCGCGCAACCCACATGACGTCGCCGACTTTGAGGGCTTTAATGATGGGGGTCACGCCAGCGTTCTCGAGGTTCGTGGCGATGTAATCGCGGTCGTTGAGGGCGCGGACCTCGCGATTGTCGAGGAGGAGGTGGATGGTGAAGGTTCCGGCTGTTAGCACTTCGGGGGTGAAGGCGGGGAATATTGGGGAGCCGCTTTGGCGGGATTGGGGGGGTGTTTGTGCTGGTTTGAGTTGGGCTTGTTGGTGGAGGGTGGAAGCCTCACGAGTGGTCGGGAGAGGGGATACTTTACAAGGTACCGGACGAGTAGGCGATGGTACGTTGAGCGAAGAACTGCGGGGCGGTGCATAAGGTGAGGATTGGATATTGGGATTTCCAGCAATCACCCCAAGAACCGGGGGTCGTAGTGGTGGTGGGGGGAAATCCGTGTGGTTTTCCAGGTCCACAAACTCTATTTGTGGCTTTTTCTCCTGTTTGAGGGTTGGCCGTGGCTCCATACCGTATTCTGCCGGCCTCCCAGAGTAGAGAGCCTGAGGCCTATCTGTATTCCTAATTACATCTTCCCCGAGTCCGGGAGGTTTCCTGGATCTCTGCCTGCTCTCCTCAACTTTAGCCACAGCCCATAGTCGAGCTTCCTCCTCAAAGTCTTCTCCGCCTATATGTAGGCCACCACCACTCAGTATTTGAGGGGCTTGGTTCTCTAGGAGTCTATTGGTCACAGCAGCTGCCCCGGAAGGCACCCCCGGCGGGGTACGAGAACTGGATCCCGATGCCTCGCCGTTCCCGCCGCTGCCCTCCGCAACACAAGCAGCCGGCTCTCTCCCCGCGAGGATTGCACGGGCCACCTCCTTGCCCGTCTCCGTTAGCCAAAACCTTTGTGGAACTCCCCTAGTGTACACAAGCTCCTTCTCGATCAACGTTTTCATGGCGCCCCAAGCTGTCCAGAAGCTTGTTGTATGCGGGGGCGCAGTGTATGAAGCATCAGCATGAGCTTGAGCCAATTCTTTGAGTTGTTCCTCAGTCAACATGTCATCGCCCGCTTCCCAGAGCGCAATGAGTATGCCGTACGCGCCTGACCGGTACGTAGGCACGTATTCCTTCTGGCGCCTGCGCGGTCTTTTGGGGTTTGGAGCTGGTTGAGGATCGGAACCGTCCTCGACATTGGCGACGGCGACACGCCGTTTACGTGCTACGCCCATGCTTTAGCAAGATATGTATCGATTGTAATAGAGGCACTGTATGGATTCATACCGTTCCTAGCCGGCACTTCAGGCATTGGTTTGTTATTTTGCATGCACCACTCCTCGAGGCGTTGTGTAAGTCTTTCGACTATTCTTGTACCTATTCCCTTCAAGTCACCAGCTTGGATAGGGTGGAGGAAGGCTGTTGGGCACGCCTTCATTGAAAGGTACGCCTGGTTGTAACTATACATTTTGTTGAGGGTTTAGTATTCCAATTAGACCACTTTTATATCAGAGGATCCAGGCGAGAGTACGCACACAGCAGCGGCCTTGGTTCCTTGAGCTCCTTTACACCATTCCTTCAGAAAGGATAGAAGCTCGGGATTTGCACAATCAGCTTCCTCTTCGGTTAGATTATCCATCTGGGCGGTTCAGAACGGTGAATTGGATATCCCTAGGAGGTTGGAAATATATGAATAGGTTGGGGGTAGCTCTGGCAGCTATTCTGTACCTAAGGTATGCTGCAGCTGGTGGGCCCAGGGTGACGTCTGGCTTCGTTTAAGTTTGACGCGCACGGGCGGCTTGGCACGTCGTTCCCGAGGGATCTGGATAGGCGTATTTTGAAGCATTGTTCATAAATTATCACTCGCCTGTTGACGCCTTTCGTAATGTTGATTGGTGTTTGTTGTTGTTGGCACATGGATCGTATGTAATGTTTACATGTATTTTAGGCTTCCGAGCCAGGGTCCATGTGCCAGAAGGTGGTCATGGTGGATGTTTCTGGTACATACCTTCAATTATATTCGAAGCTCCCCTCCGCACGGCTAGACCCGCCCGAGTAGAAGATCGACTAGCCACATAGAGGAAGCCTACATATAGAGAACCCTACGGACAAAGATTCTCGACACTTCTCGATTCAATCTGGTAAGTATCCAGCGTGAGAATATATACTCGTTCAAGATGTCGTATCTACTCCATGCTAGTTAGCCTTGCACACAATCAATAAATCATCAATCAATCAATGCTAGTTAGCCTTCTAATCGAGCCTGGCCGTCCAAAGAATATTCAAATATGAAATATCACGTTTTTCTATTAAGACAGACGGTTTAGAGCGAACCATGAGTTCAGTGTAGATTTTGGTCCTACGTGAATCGCAGAAGAAAAGCTCGGGCTCAGTTCATTAAAGTAAACAAGCTCGAATGATAGTGTATTGATAATCAGGTTAAAAGAAAGAAAAGAAAGTGAGACCAAATTGCAAAGAAATAGCAGAAGACAGGACTAACTACTAAAGGCACCGTATCCGTTGTGACATGTCCTCTGCATCATCTGCCACTTGTCCTCGTATTATCCACAATCATAGGTACTACATAGTCGATTAGCCTGCTCCACAACGGGAATAATTTTTACGTGTTCTTAATAAGTCTTCGTCGGAAAAGGAAAAACATAAGAAAAATCGTTATTAACACCAGTAAAGTCATCGATAAATCGTACTTTATTGCTTTTGGCATGGAATCAAAGGTATCTACAGAGGTTTCGGTTAAATAAAGAGACAATACCTTTACTAGAGATTTGGTCAGGCAATACATTATTTGATATCTTTACCACGATATTTTATATTAGAAATATGTATTCGGGAGTCGGATACGGGCCCGGGCCAGCGTATCATTTGATAATAGACATTGTAGATAACACTTATACTACCACCAAGACCTTTATCTTCAAGCCATAGACCACATTTGTACGAAAATCATTCAGGAATTCAGATATGGCATCTCTTTCATCACCTTCAGAACCCTTGCCTATTATAGCACTGGTAGGAAAACAGTCCGTACAGATATACCGTTTATCTAGGCTACGTGTGGAATTCGGTGGAAATAGGTTTTTTTTTTTCTCTTTTTTTTTTCTCTTTTTTTTTCCTACGAGTTGAACTTAATCAGCAACGCGAATCGATGAATTCTCTCCTTATCCTCCCGATGAGTGCCTCAAGGCACCCCGCAGATCCCACCAACATATACCGAGGCTCGGAGCTCTATTCCAACTCCGATTCTATTATGGTTGTAGGCATAGGCGATGATTGCATTGATTCCTTGTCTCGAGCTCGTGTATCGAGTGATTGTCTATGATGCAAATTATCTTAACTCTCTCCGGCATACCATACTAGAAAAAATTATTATGCATATTGATACCTTGCCGAAATAATATCATTCAAAACGCTAACGCAGTTTATTCGGTATTAGTCAAGATTCAAAATCTTTTGAAGTCAGAGAATAGATATTTAACACAATACCGTGGGGAAATATTGTATAAATCAGAGGTGGATACCGGGTATAGAGTGATTGTTCTACATATGTAGCCGACATATGTCTGGCTCTGTGAGCGATAATATAAACAAATGCATATCCAGTGTCGTAATCAATGATTTACTTTCTTGATTTGGTATTCTTCACTCATCATACTACTATATATTGCGGTAATCTACACCCATAGTAAATTTATTAGCTGTTCAGCTGTGCTACCACCTAATTACAACGCGGAAATAGGGTGGTTCTATGCGTTAATTGTTCAATTTAAAGAGCTTCCAGTCGCGGTATTGTCATTATAGAGGATTTTCTCTATTGTTTTGTTAGCGTTTGGTTTTGGAGATATTATATACTTTATTGCGGTCTCAGTAACTAATCTAAGCTTGATGCCCTTCTTATTATTCTTTCCCAAACAGTGAGAAGATTAAAAAGTTCCTGTCCTATATATTAAATAGGTTCTCGGCTATGCTCCTGACTTTGTGCGTTGTGATATCCGGATCTCTTGAGAATTGCTTGTGAGAGGTCAAGCATCAAAATGACGTGTTTTAGTTTGTGGGACGGGTAACCGTGGAATAGGGTAGACCATAATATATAGCCATGGCACGTTCTGTGGACCCATGTTCAATTGAGACGACTGCAATTTGAAAGATCCTGATACAATACATGGAATCTATAGCTGATATGTAGCTTGTCAGCCATGCTGTGGGCAACGTGAACTTCTGCGTACATCTTCGTTTTCGAACCCAGAAACCAGCCCTATCCCGGGTTTTGACAGGGGTTATTAATAAATGAAACGGGTCCTAAAACGCGACATGAGGCTCTGCGGGGCGATGTGACACGCCGCCTGTTTGTGTTACGCCGGTTTTGAAACTGGCGGATTGCTTGAATTCTGCGTGTGAGACATACTCATTCGTGGGATTTTAGCGATTTGCATGCCAAAGCTGAATGCTGTCATTGGATGGGCCCATCTCCTTGGAATTCCTCATAAGATGGGCAGTTCGTTGTCAGGCAGACAGACGTCGCGATCGTTGGTCTTTTAGTTGTCGCGGTGATCTCTTCTCCGCTCTGCCAGGTGCATACCCTACCACTCTAGGTACCGGCACTACAGTAGGCGAGGGGGCTACGTGTGTGCTTCGGCCCGGTGGTTATTGAGATTAATGAGGCTGGTGTTGGTTGCTCAGACAAGGATTGAGCATAAGGAGCCCTAAGTGACGTACGCTTCAGTCGGTAGCAGAGGTCGCTCTTTTCCTTTCGTCTTTCTACTTATTGATTTATCAAAACAGCTCACCAAGGGGGAGGGCATACAAACAACGACTCACCCGAAGACCAATTGTGGAGGATTTCAGAATGATGAGAATACGAGGACCTACGTCCTACAAGGCCCGCATTATTGCTCTAGCTTCTATCGCAATTGTGTACGTCCTTTACGTCACGTTTCCAGGTCTTGGAAGCACGAGCTTTAATGGCACCCCATCTGGACAAAAGGGCTTCTCTTGGTTCGGGAGTGGCAAACCAAAATGGCCACGGAACACGGTCCAATATTCATTCAAGGAGAATGGGATTGTCGCTGAGGATAAGGAGAAGGCAGAAAAAGTAAGAAGAGCCATGCAAAGGACCTTTTGGAAATATAAAGTGGGGGCTTGGGGCCGAGATGAGATCAAACCAGTGTCAGGGAGTGGTCGTACAACGAGGTGATACTCATCTCATTTCTTTTCTGGTTTAATCCGTGTTGATGAATTATATGTCTAGGAATGGATGGGCCGCTACAATTGTAGATACATTAACGACAACGGCTTTGATGGGCTTGGAGGAAGAATTTAGGCTTGTAATATTCCCCACCAATCAGACAAAGACATGGAATTTGGGGACTGACTAAAAATAGGAATTGAACTTCACCATCAAAGGAATCGATTTCAATGACGCCTTAGGGCTAGTCGATCCATTTGAGACAACCATCCGGTGGGGTTATGCCAAGTTAATATAATGCTTCAAACTCCGGACCCATTAATGACCGTTTATTAGTTATCTTGGTGCGCTTGTATCGACTGTCGACCTTATAGATGCTGGTGTACTTTCTAAAGGCCTCGTCTCTCAATACGACCGGCATGATGTGCTATCACAAGCTGTATCCTTGGCCACTAAGCTTGCCCCCGGATTTGATTCTCCCACGGGGATGATATGGCCTAGAATTAACTTCACTACGAACCAAGGTTGCAGAGAACATTTAAATCAAAGACCAATTCCTGGGTTTGCCCATGCAACTATTGGGCCCGCCCGAGCTGGAAGCAATTGGCTAGAGAATAAAGTTCTTAGCAAGTTGACTGGAAAGATAGAGTATGAGTTGAATGCTACTCGAGCATGGAAGTATGTCCACCTCTCACTTTAGTTTGTGGTTAAATTTAAATTTAATATTTTGAGTGTAGGCCTTTGGTATGGAACAGGTAATTGAGGACTCGGCCCACTTTTGTGATTTCTTTTTTTAACTCATTTCCAATTAGATATATTGAAGAATGGCCGGGCTTGATAGAGTAAGTCAATGTTCGAACGTGAAAGTTAAGGTTTTCTAACGCGCGGCTCAAAGCTCACCTATTGATATCGTCACCGGTGCCCCTGTGGACCGTCACAGAAGTTGGGGAGCGGGACATGATTCGTATGTGATCACTTCAATCCAACGGTTTTTGCGGGTTCAAGCAGCTAATACGTGATTACAACAGCTATTATGAGGTTAGTACTTTCAATTGATGGGATTTAACGTTTATTAATCTTCAAAAGTACCTTATCAAAGCCCATATACTAGCTCCACATGATCCAAATACATCAAAGTACAGAGACCGATGGATACAGGCCGTTGAGTCAACTATGAAAAACCTCGTGTCGTGGTCGGCCCCAGCAGAGGGTAAAAAGAGCAAATTATTTCTTTCCCAATGGAAGAATGGGTGGCTCTTGAACGAAATGGGACATCTCGCATGTTTTGCAGGTGGGAATTTCTTACTAGGGGGTAAATATCTGGGCAGAGAGGATATAATCCAATTTGGTCTTGATGTTATCGATGCGTGCCACGAAACATATGTCGGCAGTACCACTCGAATAGGCCCGGAGTACTTCTCGTGGATACCCGCAGATACAGCTCCCAATGCGACTTATGAACCGCAGTACGAAACTCAATATAAGCAACTGAAGAGCTTGGGATACTGGGTCACAGATGCCAAATGGGTGCTTCGTCCAGAAACGGTGGAGTCTTACTTTTACGCCTATCGAATCACAGGCAATAAGTTGTACCAAGAATGGGCATGGGATGCGTTCAAGTACGTCTTTTGCCTTTCATTAAAGAGTTCTTTTTTTTTTTTTGTGATTTTCCATTAATTATGCATCGAAGCTTCTTTACCTCTCAATTGTGCAGATCTTTGATTGTGCTAACCCCTTCTTTCAAGCGCATTTAACAAGGCTGCGGAAGTAGAATTTGGATATGCGGAAGTCAAAGATGTTACTAAACCCGCGGGTCCAGACAATATCATTGATAAGGCGGAGAGTTTCTGGGGAGGTGAGTTATCCCCACCCTTGGCTCAGTTATGACCCTTAATGGACAGCACAAGCTATGAACTCTTGACTGCCGAAAATCATTATGCATGGCGATCCGCTCTGCTGCATTCCGCCGTTGGCTTCGTATGCACATGACCGTTTATGCTGACTATCTGTCCCCCTGATGCTGGGGTTGTTCATGTTTGCAGCCGAGACATTGAAGTACTACCCCTCACTGTTTTCCGCTCCGGCCTACTTCAGCCGCAGAAAAAGACTAACCCTATTGATGGCACATTAGATACCTTTACTTGACCTTTACCAGTGAGGATATAGGAAGCTTAGATGAGTGGGTCTTCAGCACAGGTATGCATCCACAGGCTTTTCTTCCGATATGGTGGTATTGTTTTGGAATTTGGCGTTTGTTTTTGCTTTTGTCGGCCTGCCTCAAATATATTTCAGTGTTATCATTTGCTTCTTCGGCACATCCCTTCTGGTGTCGTCATGGGGCTTTCGCACATGGTTAATTCCGTCCCGCTTTACCTTGTTCCTTACCTTATCTGCTCATATTTTTAACTAGGAGTTCTCTGCTCTATTTGCCTAGTATTAGACATATCTTTGCTAATGACAGTTTATAATTTAGAAGCACATCCATTCAAGGTAATTCGATGATCTGTCACGTACGAATTTGTGTCCTGGAGCGCACATGACTTGGTACGTAGAGAGCCTTCTATATAAACCTTATTAATATATTGTGATTCACAGCTAACATGTTCGCACGTATCAGATACTAGGTAATAGCATCTTGGTAGTTGTTCTTCCATCATGTTCGCTGCATCTGCTCTAGGTAACATACCCTACTAGCCAGGCGGACCACTGCACCGTTCTGCAGGGTTTTATATTATTGTTTTTTTTTTTTGTTTTTTTTTTTTGTTTTTTTGTTTATTATTGGATTTGCTGCTTGCACTCTCACCTAGATTAGCGCATGTATCTATCTATCTGTACCTTTCCGCGAATCGTTTCTTTCTTCCGTTCTTTTTTTTTCTTGTCCACATCACGTGAATCAACTTTGTCAACACCCCATGTTTCCCTTCTTGGTTTCCATTCCTATTCGTTCTGGTTCTTATTTCTTTCTTTGCTTATTCTCGATGCAGCAGCGATAGAAGGAATTGGGTAAGAAATAAATATGAAGTTAAAAGGGCTGGTCCACCAAAATAGACATGTAAACAAGAAGAAGTAAGACTCTATGTTTACCCACCATACCCTAATGGCCAGAAGTACCTACCCTATCTCTTTCCACGAGTACCATCACCACTCTAATTAACGAACCAGTAAGAACTACCATCTAGCGAGCTCAGATGATGATGAGTACAAGACCTTCCCCATCTCAAGCCTCGATCCTCTTGTTCGATCCAGCTCCTCGTACGTAAACGCTACTAGACCCAACCAAGCTAGACATGTAGTGTAAATATGAACATGTAGGTACTATGTACTCGACATGACATGACATGTCCAACTGCACGGTCTCTGCTCTACCAGCCAGTAAACATCTCTTTACCAGCCTGTCGGGATCTCCAGCCAAACATCACCACAGATCTGGCCCGCCCAGCTCCCGCGATCAGAATCCGTTGCGCCCTGCACTGCCCATTCGGCGTTAATTTTTTCCGCTGGGTTCTGCTGTGAGAGGGCGGTTAGAAGATACCCCATGACTCACCAGCTAGCTACTCTAGCTCGCTACATACGTGCTCTTGACTGGAGTGCGCCTTGTGTGAGACTTGGCGAGTACTCTACCTACATGCTGTTGTTGCATAGAACGTTGTATGTAATCTATGCATCATAGAGTATCACTCATAGCGGGGCGAAACCGGGGGGGGGGGGGGTGAAGGTTGGATTATGTTATGCACCCTATATTAGTTATTGCCATGCGTTGCATAAGCCTTACCCTTGCCTAGATATGTCTCTCTGGCTTTATAGGCAAACTAACCCAACCCAACCTAACCTCCGGTCAGATTGTTTACTCTACCTACCTACCCCCCCGCGCCAGCTTATACGGGTTCATTTGCTGTCTTGCATTGATATGATTTAGAGTAAACACTCGGCCTTGTAATGTATTACTGGATCGTCATCGACATGATCTACAAGGGTCGGATGTACCTGGAATATAACGATATGCAAGTCAGGATTTCTCCGGGTTCTTTGTGGAGAGAGAGGTAAGAGCGGCTGGATCTACATGATATATTATGGGAGCCGCGCGGAGCCCAGGTGCAGGGTATTTATTCTTTATGCAGTGCATAATCATGATGATTTTCTTTTCTTTTCTGTCTTAGTTCTTGTGATGTGTGAGGGAAGTTTCTCGAAAAGGGTTGATGTGTATGTAATGTAAGTGCAAGGCTGGGCCATGGGAGGCTGACGAGGGCTTGGGGGTTGATTGGAGTGAATGTTTCTATTATTTACATTGCAGATGCTGTTTACGGATATCCCTGTGTCCTATCATGGAGAGCGAGGTGGTGGGGATTGTCTTCATGTGTGTAGGTACTTTGCGGGTTATACTCGGACAAACAAGCGTTAACATCCAGGGTACCTTCTTACGAGACTCATGTTCCGGGCCATAACTCTCTCTTTTCACCACCACATCCCCCACCACCCCCCCCTGTCCCCCCTGCCCCCTACCAGTTCCACTCCCCCGAGCCACTCCATGACGCGTCTTGAATCAGAATTACCGTATATTAATTCCCCTCCCATTCATCGCCTGGGCAATGCGACGCTGAAAGACAGTCGGCAGTTTCCTGATCCACAGCGCATACATAATAACACCAGCAATAGCGCCGCCTAGTTTACACCATCCCCACATCATTGCGTCAGTTGACCCAATCGTTATCAATCTAGAAGTTAGGACTGGTGGAATATTTTACCTATATGACCTGAATGACCAATCGGGATCCCGTAATCATAAAACATTCCGCCGATGTCGAACGCCACAACGGCGCCCAAGGCCGTTCTGATCGGGATACCGATAGGAATGAACATCAGGTTCAATTTCATTGCCGGCCATACGATTGCGCAGATGGTGCCTGGCGAGACGTGAGGCGAAATAATGCATGAGAATTAATGTTCCATGCCAATATCATTTCTAGCTTTCCAGAATTTACGCTTTCCTACGTACCCATTGCCATCAGAGAAGTGCTGCTACCCATTGCGAATGATATTGCCCGTCGCAGCTGGCTTTCCTCGTCCTTCGTGAGGCCGGATTTAACCTTGTTTAATATCTTTTCTTGCGACATCGCCACGAATGGGTTCACAGATTTTTCAAAGAGGGCCACAAATGCCTGTGCCATGATCCCGCCTGCCACAAATATTGTTCCTGTCACACGGTTCCCGTATAGCTGAACTAGCACTGGGGCGAACGCCTTGAGAGTGGTATAGCACACAAACAGATGTAAAAGTCCCCCATGGTTGAATTGCGCAGTCAACGGCGTCCACCACCTGAACGATTCACCTTCACCCACAGCATTATGTGCGCAGAAGCTGAAGTTCAGCTTAATCTTTTCCGACAGATTCAGCCAGAAAACCTTCTCTGGTTTGTACCGTCGGATGTACTCATCGTAGTACTTCGGCCCCGGTCTCACTGTAGGATCCAATCCCAGCGCCTCGCAGACCTCCTCTCGTGTCACAGTCATTCTCACGAAATCGCCAGACACGGAGAGAAGTAAGATCGGCACTGTGATCGCTAGGAAGATTTTTACTAGGCCACTGCCAGGTTCCTTTCTCTTTGGTTCATTTGGTGGGAGATCTGGCGGGTCGTGGTACTCTGGCGCCGGTTCAGGCTCCAGCGGGGGTTGGGGGGGGGGTTCTTTTTGCGTAGTGCGAAATCTTGCTCGGGCACTTCCCAGAGCTGTAGATGAGAAAAAACATTTTAGTTCCTTTTTTGGCTGTGAGTGAGGTCCAAAGGGAACTGTTTTGTTAATGCTGGATGGAAAAACCAACACCCCCCGCGAAAGTGTTGAGGGTGCCGGTTTGCGCAATGTGAATGATATTGATCGAGATAGGGCTTTGATGCCATTGAACTGGCACCTGAACATCGTGATGTGAGCAGTGGAGAGATCCTATGAGATTATAAACACCTCATTGGCTGAGAAGCTCCAGTTAGAAACAGATTGGCGGTGGATGGTGCACCGTGGATGCCCAGCTAAAATTGAGAATTGATGTGGTTCCAAAAGATACGGTTGATATGACTAAGCAGTCGAACCCTACAGATGCATCCCAACTCTCCATGAACTAGCTATTGAACTGCGTTTTATCAATGACCTGAATTACAGCGAGTATAAAAGTAAAAATGCTTACTTTTATGGAACTTAGATCTATATCCTTGAAGGAGTTAAGATGAGACTTTATTACTATATTTTACGAGTAGAGCACCAAAGAACAACAGCTCATTAAAGTCATGCGCGCCCCATACTGTATTTCAAAAACCTGATGAGCTTTGATCTGGCTACTGGCGATTCAATGCCGTTATACATACCTTCTCCGGTATCCAAATTATTTACCAATCCTTGGCGCCAAGCTATTGGGCTAGGCACTATGCGCTCGCTGCCTAAGTTCAAAGTGAAAATCGAGGTTGTAAAGAGGGCCGATAATCTTGATAGAGTGAAGGTCATCTTGATTTGATCTATATATAACTGGATTGGGACGATGCTGCCCTGTTTTATACTGTCGTCTTGATACCTACTACTTCGCATATCCTCCAATCACACGACACACCGCTTGGGCGACCCACTGTAGCCGTCCGAGTGAGGGGAGATGACTGATGGATGCCCATCATAACTGGTAAGAATAATGACCCTGCGCCCGGATTCGATTTCTTGTTTAGTATAATTACCTTCTCCCAGGCTTCTTCTTCCACTGTACTTCACTTGCACTATGTGATATACATGGCGGAGAGTACTACTTAACACTGAGTGATTCCTGGTGACTCAAGCTTCCATAGATATCTCCCGTTCCCCTTTCCTGCTATTAGCCGATTGATATCAAAACCTTTTGATTTTTGGTTTGTAGAACACATATATGACAGAATATGTGTAAATTGAAGTACTGAATTCGAAGGAGAAGACGTGTCTGCGTTGAGAAGTAGCTAGCTGTTCATCTCATCAATAGTATGGGTCCGTGGCGTGTTTGAGAGAGCAAAGAAAAAACCTGAGACAGACAACGCAGATTTATACCTTGGTCCATTAGCGACTTCTATCCTATCCTATTCATATCTGGCTGTCTATTAACAAGCATAAACCTATAATATTTCAACAGACAATTATCCCTTAAACCGTCAGGCCGAATTCAAATAAGAGGATCCTAACGCAATGTGGAAATCGTGATATCTGGAACGCCTACAGGAACAGCAACGACAGAATCCATCACGAATTTTGTGCTTAGATAATGTGTGATAGATTATATGTTGCAACAACAACCCAGGCACAAATTCTGCGTTCTACACACCACGATTTCCACATTGTGTTAGGATCCTGTTATTTGAATTCGGTCTGACGGTTTAAGGGATACTCTTCCGTTTGTGTTTTCTGTCCAGACGTTGATAAACTCTAGCGCTTGTACCACGTGATACTATCTTGGCGTCCCTGGAGCCCCACTATTATGACGATCATCCACTAGCAACGGTGAGCTTAAAGGGACCTTTGTACCACTATCAAAAACATCTTTGGGATGAACGTTATCAAAGTCCGACAACTTAGTAACTGGAAGGCTTATGGTTTGGACATGATACGGCAGAAGTCGGCTTTTAGGTGCAGCAAGGTCTAGTTGGGCCCATCTACTGCAACTGCCATAATCGGGAGTTTGAGGGGCTTCCAAGAGGTAAGGGTGATTCAATTCCTGAAATATTACCGCGCTAATGACTTCATTATCAGATATCTGTCCAGGGGCACACTTTCCTCGTTAAAAGCTAGCTAGCTAGCTGAAAAGATACAGCTAATATGGGTTGCGATTCCGGCGGAAGCTCGCAACAGAAGTGCTGATATATCAGTATTCTAACGGAAACAATGGCTGAGAGTCTGCTAGGGTAGAGAGGATACATTCAGCGACGGTCCGAGCTACCAGAATTTCCGAAATACGGGAAAATGAGAACACCGGCATCCCATTCCGCATATTCGCATATTCAGTAGGTAACTAAAGATAGTCATCGACGCGGTTGCTAATGGTCGTGGTTAAAGCTATCGTGCGTCATTTGACCATGAGAGCTAGTTGCGATTCGCACACACATGAGTTCGCACAGAAGTTCGCACGCACAGTCTGAACCCTTACGCGACAACTCTTTCGTACTAGTAGATACATGTGGGCATGTATCTCTCTCTAACTGCCCTCTTTGCATTTGACGATCAATTGCGCAAGGCGGATAAATTAGATTAAAACCATTTACAAAACATGTTACATACTGTGGTTCACCTATCAGGTCAGTGCATACCTCGGTCCTTCATATGTAATGTAGGTACATCAAATAGCACACACTCATGACAGACGCCACCAGGCGAACTAACCTTATCTAAATTTACCAGGTTTATTAGTATCATGGTCGAACTCGCTAAGAAAATAAAGGATACATGTATTCGCCTTGTTACACAGAGGAAAAGCATTCGCTTGATTACCCCCGATCCAGACAAACAGATCCTAACGCATTACATGCTTGAATATCTCCTCAATCATAACGATCGAATCCAGAATCCACAGGGTTGGTTCTTTTTGGGGAGAGGATATCATGAGAAGTACCGGCCCGGTATTTGTTTATGGCTTCCTTGATGATACAAGATGGACTAACAGAGATGGGCGGATACATACATACGTCGCATGAAGGGATTCTAGACTACGACAATAGCATTACGGACACGATGCAAAAACCCACATCAAAACGTGGTGTGCTCACGGCATTTCACGAGATGGTTTATCGTGTAAATAAGTGGAGTACCTACTCTAAGGTGGTGCATAGCTACATACATACTTGACGTGCGGTACCTATGTGTGCTAACCCGTCGTGCATCTGAAGGCGCAATAACATGAGGGGGGAAAAGTAAAGTGACATTCTCACTAACGACACACTTTATACAAGCAGAATACTAATACACATGCATTACATGTATTTTTGGAGGAGTTCCTTTCGGTTCGGGGAAACGGAGGGGCCAGTATCGTGGATGGATTTGATTTTTCCTCTATTCTTTTCGATCTCCCATCAACGGCCTTATTTTTACTTACTTGATCCCATGATTTCGTTTTCAGTCCATATCCTACATGCACTGCATAAAATACTCGCTATCTGGGCTGCTCCCCTGTCGGTCGCCCCGAGCATCGCCCCCTTCTCGTCCAGGATGGGCCCGAAAAAACTGCTTTTGTCTGGAGGACAATCTGTAAGAAGAATCAAGTACAACTAATATATTAGAGCGGGAACCAAAACTGGCAGAGTACATTCGCCCTTCTGTACAAAGACTGCCAAAAGAGTCTACCTAGGGCTGCAGCTGGAATCATAACCCCCGTCAGGCATGGGGGGCCCTTCTTGTTGATAACTTACCCGCACCCGCAACCACATACATAACCTGCGCTCCGGACCCACCTATGGGGCTGCTGGTGCGGGGAAAAAGGGGGTGGGCAGTGAAAAAGACCTAGGAATATGATGTGTTACGATTCCGCCTCTGGGCATACATACGGTTTCTTCAAACTCGAATTGTTTTTTTGAGGCTCGTGACATCTGCGTATTCACATCATATTTCAATATGCTACACCTAGCTCACTTTACCCGGTACGCTGGTACGGGCCCAAGAGGACATACTGGCGAATGCCAGGGCAAAAAAAAAAAAGCACGCGGTCTATTTTCTGACTTGCATCGTTATTTACTTACTTTTCCCTTCTCAATTTTGTCGCGCGTGCCCCCTCGAAACCTCATCCCCGCCTCACCCTTCCTCGCCGAAACTCATGGCGGCCGAGACAGGCGTTACAGGGATCAGCGATGGGTTTCGGGAGGCCGGTGTGTCCCGCCCAGTCAAGAGTTGAAGACCTTTTCGCTGGATCGCTGCTGAAGATGCTTAGATAGAGTACATACTCTATTTGTGCAAAGTACTAGTACTCTAGGTCTTTAGGGATCGGCGGGGGGAAAAGCATGGTTCGACCTTGCGATTCGTCCATGTCTATGTACTCAGACTGATTTTTTTTCCTTTTTCTTTTTTCTTTTCTTGTTTTATGTACCTTAGGGGAGAAATGTGGAACCGTGGATGTTATCCCCAGTCCAGGCTGGCCAATAAAGGCGCCCTAAATACAACGGTGGCGGGGTCTCTGACCAGTTGGAGAAGCTGGGTTCTTGACATCCGCCTGGGCGGTTCCTAGGTTGTTAGAGTATGGTACCTGGCGATGGCGGTCCCTTTAAGGCTTTGGAGCCAATTGGGGCATCGTGCATATGGGGTCTTCCTTCTTCACCTCTCTCACTCGATATGATATCTAAAACTGCGCGAATTTCTTTTGTATTTTCTGATTATTCTCCTAAAAACAATCTCTTGTTTTATCTCCCGCCGCCGCCTTCTTTCTTTCAGGTTCAGCTTTCATTTGCTCTTGTTCGGTATCGGAACCCGCTCATATTTTTGTTGTTCATGCTGTTGGTTGTTGGTATTTCTCTGGGAGTTCATCGGTAGTTGGAACTCGAACTATCTGCAGCAGGTACTCACTCTACTACTACATACATGAAGTCACTAATCAGGGTTTCAAAAGTACTTGGAAACCAGTGGCATTAATGCTTACTAGCTAGTGAGTGAGTGATGAGCTTTAAACAAGACAAGATATGTAGCTACTTTATGTACCATACATAAACAATTGCAAAGGAATTAAGGGAAGGGCACGAAATAATTCCGACATCCGAGTCACAGTTAATTACGCACAGCGCGCAAGGCTTAGGCCTTCCCGAGGCTAGGGGAGGATGGGATATATAGGGCCAGTGATCGGAGCCTTTTCTGCAACCACCTGAAACCCCGTCCATACCTCTAGCCTGCAACTAGAAATCCAAGCAGTCCACAATCGGCCACTAGCTCGAGCACATCACATGTAGAGCAACAAGCTTTCGTGATGGAAATCTTGCTTATGCACACGATTGAGATGATCGTGATTGTGATTAGTACTGGTACATATACATATTCGCATTTCAAAACACGCAGAAGGAATTAATTTGTAGAAAGCTGGAATTTTTTTGTTATGTCCTCCCGTAGCGCCATACCGGTTGCTAAATCAACTACCAAACATCCAAGACAAAATAGAAATTTTGAAAGGGGGAAGTAGAAGAGAAAATCCCATGTTGATTACCATCATTGAACTATAGCAAGAAAATAGAAAATAACAAATAAAAAACAGCCGTAGTAGAGGGTCATAGTAGTAGTAAGTAGTAGTAAGTAGAGGAGAGACAGAAAAAAAAAAAAAGGAGACATTACTAAAATGAAATAAAAGGAAAACCATATGGTATCGCTCTCGTTCGCCATCCCGTTGTTCCCCATACCATCCCACCGCTCGAAGATCGAAAATGCAAACGCCCAAGCATCAATTCCCTAAGAAAAAAAAAGAAAGAAAGTGGAGGGTAAAGAAAAAGAAAAAAAACATCCCTAGTTAAGAAGACTTCCCCCTGCCCATTGTTACGGAGAGGTATGAAAGGAAGAAAAGAAGAAAAAGAGAACCAGACCCGCTACCCCAGTTTGAAAAAGAGAAAGAAAAAAAAAAATTCCTGTGCCTGTGCCTTCTCAAACGACACTACTTACTCCTTGAACAAAAAAAATAAAATAAAAAAATAAGGAAAATAGAAACCCCCCCCCCGATGTGCCAAAACCAACTAGAGATTGCATGGGTATTTTATTTTGCTTTTTTACCCTCCCCCCCTTCTCTCCGGCCCTGTCCCCTTTTCTCGTTTGTGAAGGGAAAGAAAAGAAACCCGGCGCCCAGCCCAGCCCAGCCCAGCCCAGCCATGCCACCCCGACAAGTACAAGAACCCGTACAGGCGATGATGATCGTCCCTTTCCCCGCGCTCATGCACCGCCGGCCGTACGTCGCGCGTGCACTGGAGGCTTTCCCTGTTCATTAATCGTTATACATGGTTTTTCCTCATATGTCTAGTGGACGATGAGAACCAGACATGCAAAACGATGGACAACCTTCGGGACATTTTTCTCAAGTCCGAAAACATAGTACATCAAGAAAGATAAAAAAAGTAGATAGAAATAAGTTTAGAGGGGGGAAAGAAATTCTCATGCCACCGACCGAATAAAATAAAAAAGAAGAAAAGAAGAAAACCAGAAATACCAGCTATAAGCCCCCAGAAAGTGATGTTACAAGCCCATAGAATTCAAGGAAAAGGAAGAGAGTAAAGGGAAACAGAAGAACATGAAATGATGATAATTAAAAGCCTACTTGGCTTCTTCCGCTCACCGAGTAGCGAGACAGTCACAGGGCGGAGAGGTCGGGATAGTAGCCACGAGAGCTCTCTGAAGAGTCAAACCTCCCACATTTCGGGAAGAGGTTATATCGTTGCTGCTGCTCTCTTCCAAGCCATTGTTGCCCAATCGTGCTGAACTCATCCTTGATTGTCGTCTTACGCAAGGAGTCGCCCGATGGCATGCTCGCGGGGATGTACGATGACACATCAGAATCGTATTGGTGACAGTTCGTCTCCAGCGAATGTTCGCTCTTGCGATCGCCGCTGTATGAGTGCGAGTCGTACCCACTGTCGATACTCTGCGGAGGTGGTTGACCCTGTGACTCATAGAGCGTTGCGGGATAGTATTGGTAACCCACAAAGTTCTGATCCAGCTGTGACGAGGAGTCGGTATCTAGGATGGGGTCGATAGGAGGTTCCATGTGCGACGATGAAGCGCTCGAGATAGACGGGTTGTGTACGGAAGCAGTCGTAGGGCTTGAGTGCATGCTGGAAATCCCGGAGGTGTGCAATTGCATCCCGGACATTCCCATGGACGAGTTTGAGCCTCCAGGCCCCTGAGCGGAAGTTACTCCGTCGGCTCCCATGAAGCCGGATCCACCTGATGTAGGGGAAGGATGGGTACCGTTCCCATTACCAGCGCCGCCTCCGGCACCGGGGCTTGAGGCACTGGTCCTTCGCTCATCCGCATAGTGTCCTGGACTTCTCCCACGCACGACCATGGGGGCCGAAATCCTATATGCAATTTTGACCCAGCCACCATCAGGCCCAGGGTTAGACGTGTGTCCAGATGGTCCTGAAGACGCCGAGCTACCGATATCGGCATAGAGTTCGACGATCAAGTGATAATACTGCTGTGCCGCCCGTCGTTTCCCGTTGTTTGCGGTCGCAGACTTGAACTGAATGCGATCAAATACAGCAATGTGCTGCTGCTGCTGCTGTGTCTGAGGGAAGCTGTACTCATGTTCCAAGTTCCCCGGCTGGGGTGAATGTGGCTGCTGCACTGCAGGACTTGAGCTAGAAGAAGCAAAAGACATACCACCAGCAGGTTGAGGGCTCAACTTTATCCTGTTTGGCTTGTGCTGTGGTCCTTTGTCACGCTTAGGGGTGTGTTGAACGAGATCTACAACCTTTCCACCAGGGGCGTCTACCACGGCTGAAATACACATCGCAAATGCAAGAACATGGTCTGGCGTCGAATTTTGATTTCTGCGCAGGTACAGCGGTAGCGAATGTGTAGAAGGAGTCAAACTGTATGAGCACACAACAGAAAAGTAATTTCTGCGGTAGCAGGTCCAATCGCGCTCAGACAGAAAAAAACCCTTATCCACCCTGGCATGAATCTCTGGGCGGACGAGGTGTCCATCTGCAGAATTGAGTTGGTGCAAATATTGGGTTTCCCCAAGCGGGGGACCAGAAGTATTGTTTGCGCCGAGCCCGTTGGAGGTGGGATCATGTTGATTCGACATTGGCGACTGAAGGCCTCCGACAGTTGGCGACACGGTGATCGTCGGGGAATCGAGTGTTCGAGATACCGGTGTCAGCGGGGAGTGGGGCGACAAGATGTCTGACTGGGACCCCCTCGTTGGGAGATGTCGGCCGAGGTGGGGAGTTGAGGTAGCGTAGTCCGCCCTCACTGAGGAGCCGAGCGACGGTGAAACAGACTTCGTACTTCCCGAGGACGATCTATGATGAGGGTTCATTCCGGAAGTGGGGCTTTGACTGCAAGACATTGGCATAAGCTACCCCAATAATAACAACCACCCAAAGAAGTCTAAAGAAGGAATGATAGATGGGTATGCATACATTGATGGTATCCGAGGCCTAGATTCTGAAGCCATTGAACTGTATATTGGGTAACTCGAAGATGACGCTGAGGTAGGGTACGATGTTGGAGAGAAAACGTTGGTAGTGGCAAAGGGTGAGTAGGCGATAGAGGAGGCAGCTGAAGTTGGACTAGAGGAATCGTATCCTGAACTACTCGTGGTTGAGTATCTACAGAGACAATAAATGCTCGTCAGCCTTCCTGGAGCTGAAAAGATAAACAGCCCTTGAAGATTAGGGGGAAGTCGCGTGATGGACCCAACAACGCTCTATCATTGGGAGACGGTGTGGGGGGGGGGGGGGGGGGGAGGGCAGTAAAAAGGTTGTTCGAAAAAAGATTGTAAGTGATAGAGTATGATGGAGTGATCGAGTGATGATTCAAACCCATTCACTGCCCCATTCACGAATGGTATTTGCACACACCTTGGGTCCTGCAGAGCCGGAAGAGACGCACCAAACCGATTATTGCTGGTGGCAGCGGGTATGGGAAGCGACTGAATCGAGTGAGAAGGATGATGGTCGCGTTCCACCGCCGAACTAGAAGTGTTGAGGGGCTCTGGTTTGGGTGACATTTGAACGGGGCCAAATCCTGGATTTGCAGAAAGAAAGAAAACAGAATATTACAGTTAGCTTGGGTGTGTCCTTCTAGTATAGTAGACTGTCTCTATGCCGCTCGCTTTTTTATATATATATATATGTGTGTGCGTATCTTGAGCGCGATAGAGAGACAAGTAGAAGTAGAATAGAATGGTATGGTATGTAGGTTGATGTAGGTACACTGTGACTTAGTGCAACCGACGGGACAATGATAACAATACAGGAAAGAAAAATAATGCAATAGTGCACGAGTGATATGATAAAAACAATACAACACAACCGGGCCTATATACTCTAGATAGAGTAGGTAGGAAGGTATGAGGCAGTGGGTGGGTGTGTATTATGCAGTATGTATGTAATGTGGATATGATGGGATGGAGGAACGAATGAATATGATCAATAGAGTACAGGCAGCAGCGCAGACAAAAACGCGCGAGGGCATGGATGTGCAGGGTGCAGTTGAATCAGAGAGACACAGGCAGTAGATTTACTCCCGCCCCACCATATCCTATCCACGTGCAGTTGTCTAGGCATCACTCTTCCGCCACGCCTGCATCGGAGATAGCGGGGGAGGAGGGAAACAGGCAAGCAACCTAACGGGGAAAGCGAGGCCTAATTGAAACGCGAGACCGGGCTAGAGATGATTTTGGGGGGGGGGGGGGGGGGGGTTGTGAGGAAATATGAGAGTAGAGTAAGAAAAAGCGTGACTATGGGAAGATGTCTCTAGCAACGATATGAGAAGAGAGGGGGTTGTGATTATGGTTCATGTGGAATTTTGTTGCAGCACTGCTGGAACGGAATGGGAGGGATAATACTCACTGCTACTCATCTGCAATGCAGCTTCAGCGCCAGGGCGCAATGACCACAAGACAGCCAGTGGAAAGGATTAAATAGGTTTAGAGGGGCGAAGGTTGGCTGGCTGGCTGCGTGAGTTGGGGAAGTTGAGCTGCTGCTTGATGCGTTCGTGCGTGCGTCTGTCCGTCTCTTTTCTGTTGCCGTACCCAAGTGCGCGGAACCCTGAAAGCAAGCATAACTTGTCAGCCGAGGAAGTCCGTATCCTCTCTCTATCTATTATTCTCATTCAATCACTCGTTCGTTCCCGAGATCGCGAAACGCAAGGTCCCCCCTTCCATCACTACCAACAACCTCACCCCTTCCCAATAACCCAACACCGTCCAAAAGAAAATATCAAAAAATATATTCCTTCCACCCCTCCCCGGTGAAAAATAGCTGAACCGTGCGTGGACTGGTTGATGTGATGGACGGCAAAGGATATGAGTGTACTTACTGTATTAGCAGTCGATAGTCCGCTGCGACACAAGATGGAAAGTTGCTTGGGAGTACTGTGTGCTCTGCACTGACTGTTGGTGTGTAAATAAAATAGGACTCCGAACGAATGAGAAAATTGATAATAGTAGTGATAGGTAGTGGTGGTAGTAGTAGTAGTGGCTGGTAGTAGTGGTTGGTAGTAGCAGTAGATGAGTAGTAGTAGTAGTGGTAGTAGTATACGTAGTAGTAGTAGTAACAGTAGTAGCAGTGGCAGTAGTAGTTGCAATAGATAGCAGTAGGCTGAAGCAGTAGCAAGCTCGCAGCAAGTAGTAGCAACAGCAATCAGCAGCAAGAGCAATATTAAAAGCAACAAGCAATCAATGACGGGACTCAAGTGGTGGGGGTGATCGAGGTATTTTAGGGCGGCTGAGCTTGAAGGTCGGTATCTGTCGGGCCGGGGAAACAATGTTTCGAAGAAAAAAACCCCAGCGCTCTTGGGTTAGGGGGATGGCTTCCCGACAATTATGCAAGTCTGCAGTAGCTGGTGTGGTAAGGAGGGAGAAGAAGGCTACTCTCTTATTTTCCTTTCTTACCGCCAATAGTAGAAGCGTACGATGAAATAGGAAAGCCAGTAGTAGGGGGGCCAATAGTGCTTTGACCAGATACAATCAAGCGAAATGACAGGAAGGAGAGACTCTTTGGGTCGGCTCTTTTTTGAGGGAAATTGAAATGGCGGGAAGAGGTGATCGTCTCCTGCTGGAATCCCCGTATAGTTGCTTTTTTCCTGCTCTCTGGTTTTTCTTTCCTAAGATTCCACTTTCCCTATTTTTCTTACTAAAGTTTTGAAAGGCGTAAATGTTGCAATTCGAGCAAAATTGTAAAGAAACGAATCGAAGGAAGAGAAGATAAAATCAAATGCGAGTCAGAGACTTGGATGTGAATATATCTCTATCTCAGAACGGTTCAACCCAACCCAGCGAAACGCAACGCAACGCGGGATGACGAAAGTGTCGCAAAAAAAAAAAAAAAAAAAAATAATAAAAATAAAAACCAAACGATCGTGGCAGTGAAGAAGCTTTGAAAAATGATGTCTGATGGCTTTAGGGCACTAGTGGGTCAGGTCCAGCAGAAAAATTTCTCAAACAGGGCAATAAAAATGGTCTCAGAGTCACTTTGAACGCTTTGTAACAGCAAACTCCGGTTCGTGATATGGACCTAAGGGAGAAACACTTAAATTTATTGGATGTTGAAATATTCAAGAGATCATCCCCAACGGCCTTTTCGATGGCCGAGCTCACACTCCCCCCCCCCCCCCCCTCCCCCAGGTTCCTGTCCCCCTCCGCTCACGGAACCTTCCCCCCTGTCTAAGATGTCCCGACTCCCCAGTCGACTCAGACTATCTATTTACCTACTGTCTTTCATGAGACGACCTCTACATCGGATTCATCTTTCCCCAAATCTGCCTTCCTGCATGCCCTGCGCCTGCCTTGCCCATTTCATTTCCCTACCCAAAATGGACGACAGACCTGCAAGTCTGTGCGCTTAGAGTTTAGAGGATGGGGAGGGGACTGGAGCCGGGGTCCCGCTTCACGTTCCTGCATTTTTCTTATGCGATGAAAAGAAGGTGAAGGAAGTAAGAGATACATGTATGTAAGTGGTGACCAGCATCACTACTTTACTGACCCAAGCTGAGCTACTAAGCAAGAAATAGTGTCAGATCCCCGCCCAGTGTTCTGCCCGGGAGTTATAAAAAGAACAAGCTCCCACAACCTAACTGAAATGAGGCTGGTTGAGAGGGGGAATAGAACGAAAAGGAGAGATGTGATGCGAGGGAAGGCAGGATTCCTACCCCTGCGGCAGATGGGAAAGATACGAGCCACTTTGAGGTGAGAAACCAAATATTTTCTTTCCTTCTTTCTTTTTCGGTCCATTTCGTAACTTTTGCACGACTGGGGTGAGCGAGAAACCGACCAATCAGCGTAGTCTCCAAGTTGAGCATCCCTGTTGAAAGTCTTCCTCGGATTGCTCAACCCTGGGCAGAATCCATAGTTTTGTTTGGTCCAAAAGGGGGAGTGTAGAGGAAAGATGTGTCGGCGATGCCGATATACCTAGAGTAGACGAACGCGCAAGGAGCCCGCATGCCATCCATCATCATGTCAGTTGGTTAATCTGCAGCCTCTCCTCCTCCACCTCCTCTGCCAGAAGATATTTATCCGTGGCTTGGCTACATAAACTTTGCTCCCCCTCCCGGGAATTATTATTGATGAAACCAAATTGTAGGTTGGAATGATCAGAGGTTAGCTGTAGGTAACGTCCAGTTTGACGTGGGTATTAATGACCCAAGACATCATCATCTCAGAATCTCGGGAATGATAGGATATGTACACTCTCAGTTTCGACTTGTTTCAGTACTAGAAATGCGGAGACGGTATAACGAAAGCCGCTGGAAAAGGGGGGGGGGGCAGAGGCTAGTACTTCCGCTCGGTACATACTTCATATCTTTTTGCTCCTATTCACACACGAACTACCTCGTTTCCGGGACGTCAAACCGACTGTAATTATAAGTCCATAACTGTGCAAAAGACCGTCTTCATAATTTACTTTACGCCGGTGTTACAAATATGAGCGCCATCGAGAAGCGAATACCCTCATCCCTGAGATCCAGATGCTCGCTTGACGAGAGTTATCGATGATCATGCAATCTATCCATCTATACCGAGAACTCCCTGACCCTTTGGACCAGAGAAGATAGATAATGTGGGGACTGCGATGAGTAGAGTAGGTATCACACCAGAGCAGAACGTGGCTTGTAGCTGGGGTCCGTGACTGGGGTTGTAAGAACCCCACGTCTAAAATCAAGTTCACACCCTGCCTGATGAGCTTGGGGTTGGCCCCCACATTTCATCGCGGCGAGGGGTAATGTCGAACGCGTGGGAGGATCGCGATTGAGTCACTCATTTAATACAAAAAAAAGTTACTGGGTATAATATTACAAATTGGTCTACCTCGAGCGGATCAATGAGGAAGAAAATTTACCAGGCCAGATAGACGGGTGCAAGGATCGCAGGAACTACTCCTCACGAAAGCAGTGGAAAGCAAATTTATATTACCAAGGCTAGACTTAAGATAGCGAAGCTGGCAATGTCCAATGTTAATAGTGGTTTGGGGATGCCTGCCGATGAGTCCAGTCATATGAGCAGGGGAAGATGAAAGCCTATGTACCTAGGGGAAGGGGTGATGTTGCCGATGTTATTAGGTTGACCGGTTGAGTGTCTAGTGTGATGGATTTTGTGTGTGTGTGTAGGAAAGAGTACTTATGTCTCATAGCTACCCCATGTAGGTATATTCTGTACCTACATGCCTCTCACATCCATCGGTTGCGCTCCTGCCCTGTAGATGGCGCTAGTTTGAGATATCCAACGTCCGTACCTGCTCCTAAGCCTGGCTTTCTAGCATCTCTCATCATCAAAGACACGCCATAGTGGCACAAAATCGGCGCTCAAAGATCTCTGTGCGATGTTTAACCCTACTTCACGAAGAAGCATTTCGGGGGCAACTGCCGGAATGACGAATAATGCGGGAGCGGTGGAACAACAAACCAGCAAGCAAGTTCACATCATTTCCACGTGGGGTCGTCGGTGCGGCCCGTGGGGAAGTGGGTACTGAGAAGCAAGCTTAGGTTTAGGTATCTAAAACTCCACCAGCCAGTGCAGGGAAACATGGCAAATGCAAGGATTTCCACTCTCCACTTGTCCAAGAAAAAGAGGAAGGATGGATGTTGCCCATGATGGCTTAGACAGGGGGAAACAACATCATGTAACTACAGTGTCCCTACATACGTACTGTATGGGCATGGTGCGCGCACCAGTAGTACTCCACCCGTTTACCTCCTCTTGCATAGCATGGACACACATGTACCTACATACCTAGAGATGTACTTACACACGCAAACTCTACATACTTCATACATGAGTAGGTACATCATACTGATTGTATGTAGTACATCATACAATCGATACATAACGGGATTTCTGCTCAAATACCATGTTTTTAACCGGCCTTGCAGCGTTTCTCTCCCTATTCTCCGCCCAAGTACAACATCAACAACATTCTCGAATGGTTTGAAACAACAATTTTCCTTCGGTGGCACCGCATCCTACCACGCGAGATCTGATTTCTTAAAAGGCCCTGCACACCACATGGCGCTAATGGAGCAGCGAGGATTGGCTGTAATTCGTCAAAGCAAGGGTTTTAATTCATGACATGATTCCTTCCGGCGTAAAGCAAACGCAGGAAGTTTATTCGGATTTCGTACATAAGTTCTACCATGTACATAGCTACGTAGGTACTGTGCAGGAAGAAGACGGATGCAGAGCAATAAATCTGACTGCAAGAAATTAACGTCTTCCTTATGCTTCCTTCACTCGAGCAGAGTAATCTAGAGTAGGTACCTCATGTATGTACGTGAGACTCCCCCCTCCGCCCTTCCCCACGAGCGAGATGTGCGTTACATGTACATGTACATACGTTTAGAGTACATACATTACGCCGCGCTGCCCCACTACTCCAGAAATAGAAGAGAGGCACTGCTTCAGAAAAGCTTCGACCAAATATACGTCTTTGCATCAGGCCTAGGCCAAACAATCCAAAATCAAACCTTATTGTTCCGTTGTGACCCCTGTGGACTTTCTTGCCAGTTCGGCGACCTAAAAGGTGTGCATAGAGCAGAGTAAGTAGTGTAAGCAATTAACAACCAAGATCTTTCGACCTCACCACTCACCCACACCACATGGCTACCTAGCCATTTAGCCTACCGGTCATCATGGTTGATTTTAACTCGTTTTCCACTTGTGAACACTTCTGGTTCGCCGCAGCACTCTTACCCAGATGGATCGATTCCAAGTCCCCAATAGCAAAAAGATAAATCTGATAGATTATCTTTCGGCACCCCCGCTGGCTATTGGCCAAACATAAAGTACAAATCAATACTCGGGAGGGCCGGGGGAACTTGGATGGTCTGCCTGTGGCGTCTTGAGGAATTGAAAAGGCTACACAGGTTGTACCTTAATTGCCCCTTCCCCTTCCGCACGGCTCAGGAGTTGGTCTCTGTCTGTGGACTGTTTCTCCTAATTCTCCCAACTCAAAGATCCCGGCCGGCAACCAACCTGTCAGTCATCTGACCCGATCTGTCTGTCTGGGGAAATAAGTTGGATCAGACATCGTATCAACTTCTTGCTTCCTGCCTATCGACCTGGGTAGTTTATTTTTACTTTTTCTTTGGATTGGATGCTTCGGGGTCGGGGCGCGGCGAGGAGACTATTTTTGCCATCGTTTCTTTTTTCCTCCTTTTCGTTTGAAATCCAGGGATGTGGGTCACTATGGGGTGAATGAACATGGCATTTTGCGCAGCAGCAGCAGCTTGCATAGTGATGTCCACTGCTTTCAGCCTCGCAAGCAAGCAGGTGCTTTCTCAGAAGATCAATCAGTCCCACTAATTAAATCTTACATCACCGAACCGTACCGACAGGCAATGTTAGCGCCAACCCACCTCTAGGTATGTAGGTAGTACTGTATTGAATAGGAGAATCAATTAGAGCTTTACCTGCGCCTTGAAAGAAGAGGTCATGTTAATTGGCTGATCAATCTTAGTTCTTTCTCGTCAATCAATATCTCGTGGTTTATGCCTCATCTAATTTCACTCATGATCATAGTTCCATACTTCTATGCTATTCCATGATCTATTCAGGCAAATCAGGGAACGCATCGCTAGCCAGCTAGTGAGCCAGTCAGTATCATCAAAAGTCAGCAGCCGGCGAAGCTCAAATTCTCCTTTCCTATCTGAAAAAAATAAAAGAATGGAAATCCGGTAGGCTCGACCGGTGCATGGCTCACGCAATTACATATACAATCGGTCGATCAAGCTTCCCACAGTAGGAGCAGCAGCGGGCGTCTATTGATTATCCAAACAAATAGCTGCAAACTAAACATACGAAACAAAGCTCGAAACAGACATCGTGATCATGAGTGAGGAGGTGTTTTTATTGTTGCAACAGCCAGCTTGGAGCTGGAGTTAGATTATCTAACTACCGAGTTTATCATACTCTTGCATAAAGGGATGGAGCCCTAGCTTTGGTTTCTGCGGGCACGCGGGGTATCGATCCCAGATTATTTCCATGTGCAGCCTTTGGAACCGCCACTTTACATACTGGGTGGGCTTACCATGTAAGAAATGTCGAGTAATCTGCAAATAATTGCTGCTCTGAATACTTAAGTGTATAGAAGGTTTTTGTCCAGAAGTTTAACTTTACGGAAACCTTCATGCAGCAAGCAAGCAAGCATGCAGGATACGTACCGTATATTGATATTGATAGAGACGTTTTGAGCATATTTAGCAGGTATGAATATTTGTTACCTTTCCATTCCGTCAATTAACACCGCTGATTCTATCTACAACAACGGAAGGCTCATAAGATGAAAAACTTGCGGGTAGTTCCGAAACTTCAGACACCCTCCTCTCTCTCTCATTGACAAATACTGAGCAATAAGATTACCTAGCTCCTTTTTATTTTTCTCCACGGCTCTTATACCACCACTCCCCCTTTACCGGTCTTTAGCGCCCCCTCGACGCCGGTACTCGAATGATCAGCCCGGGGAGAAAAGGGAGGGGGGGGGGGGGTAGAGTTCTCTTCAACTTCTTATCTGCATAACTACATGAAGCGTGGGGTTAACCTTCATTCGGGGCGATGACACACCCTTCTAAGGTCTACGATTTCGCCGCAGCAATATTCTGCTTTGCTTCATGCATGTGTATCGACTCGGGTTCTGTGTATAATCTACATTGAGAAAAGTATCATATTCATACACTGGATAAAGTAAGCAAATGGTTCTATATGGCCGGTGCCGGTCAGAAGGTAAATGGAAAGCAGCAAGATTTAGTGTTTAATTAGGAAAACCCGGGGAAAGAAGTGTGTGTGCGTTTGTGCGTCTGTGTAGGGAAGGCTTCCGAGAAAAGAGATGATGTTGGGAAAGCTAGGGATGGAGGTACCACAGGCTGAAGTACCCACAACAATTCCAAGAAATGTCCTCTCGGGTTTCGTATGAAGGAATAATACCTAGAGGGAGGAGATACGAGGGCCTAGGGATGGTTATACTGCCAATCCAATACAATCCAATCAGTATGAATCACGACTAGGCTTTACTTCTGCTGCTTAAGTGGCTTACAACCTTCGGAACCGTCTTTATTACTATTAGGTTTTTACTATTTTATCCCTATTCGATTGATTCGCTAGGGCCTCCCAAGTATGGGTACGGTATCAGTACATATGCAACAAATAGAGCGAAAAGCAACTGCCTCAATACAGCTCAGCTGTGCCTTGATCTTATTTCTTAACCTACCTGCCGGTTAGAGTGTTTGGACCATGAAGACTTGGAACGTTATGTTGGAAGACCTTTCAACATGACCGATCACTCGATGATGTGATTGATGGCCACGGTACGTACCACCACGCCCCGCAGTTTCACGAGAATAGGTTTCCTCCTCCCTGCCGGTTGGATCAACAAGAACCATCAGTCTGCTGTTGGATTAAAATATAGTAGATCTTACATATCTTTTTTATTTTATTTCTTTTCATCTTGTGGCCTAACCTTCTTTCCCGTCGTACATACGGAAACGATTCGGGGACCTTTGCCAAGGACGTCGACGCGAATCCCTAAGATCGGGAAGGGAACATATTTTTCTTTTCTTTTTGAGCCTGGGCATAACTTTCTTCCGGTTCGACTCGACTCACCTCCCCCCCTATTGGGTCTCGGAGCTTTTTTCCCCTTCTTTCCATCTTTTTTCTTGGATGTTAATATGTACCCCTTCATTACAGATGCATATTGAAGGGTAGTTAGATGGTCAGCTAATCTTCTTTGGGTCAACTACTTATCTAACTACCCTTCGAATATTTTGGCCAGCTGACTAGATATTGCTCCAACTATCTGGCTGAAGCCCCCCCCCCCCCCTTCCAAAGAAAAAAATTGCTTGCTCAATCTTGCTTCCTGAGGGCATCAGCTCTCTGCGCTTTCCCTTCCTCGCTGTCTATCTGCCGCAGTGTTTCAGATTTCTTTCCTGGCAAAATTATTTACTCACAGGTTATAATGCAGCTTACTAGTTACGAATGGAAAGACCCTATGGGAACTTAGGCCCTTGACCCCCCGCCCTCCGCCCTCCGCCACATACACACACACACATACCCATAATGAGGTTTTATATACTGAGATCTGTCTCATAGTAAATATAGCCAATGAAGACCGTCGACCCCCACTGCAACCCATTCCCGACGGCGGATATTCATCGATTGGCTCATATGCATTGCATACTAGCTGCTAAGGCTTCCATTTGTTCCAAAATAACCATTACTAAAAAATGCTTTTTCTAATACCATACCGTATGGTCACGATATCCGTTCGGGAGTATTCTTCTATCTAGGTTCTTCCCGTGAACAGGTACAATGATGACGATGATGACGACGACGATATATGTTTTCTGAAACATTAAGTGCAATAGCTGCGCAAAGAGAGAAGGTAAGTAAGGGCATGGAATGGGTAAAAGATCAATTCAAAGCCTGATCATTATCAATCATATTAACCCAGATCTGCAGGCCAAGACCCGTTGGTTGATGAAATTAAAATTGATTTCACGATAGACGTTAACTGCGGCTCTAGCACTTCTAGCTATAACGCACATGCATATCATGTATATCAATTGTGACGGCAAATTTGATTCGAGCGGAGCTCAGCCTATAACTACGTGCTTAGATAGTGAACGTTACTATGTGCGGCTACAAACCAATGTCACATGATTGTTCATCATAAGGAATAATGAGAACTAAAGTGGCTCGTATGTAATCTCCTTTGCGGTAAGGCTGATCAAATGAATAACAGTTCATCCGATTTTTATTATGCCATTAACCTTTCCACTCTTTCTCGGGTTCGGGACTTTTTTTTTTTTGCTTTTTGCTTTCTGCGGACGTCTATCCATTTTCACTCAAAGATTATATTAGTTTACACCTTAATTGTTATAATCAGGTATATATCTGGTCTATTCATTCTGGTAAAAAAACATATGGCATGGTATGTATATGGTCACGCAGCGCAACTGTCAAATTGCGTTTTAATTCCGTTCTCCAGGACGAATTAAACACGACATGCTATTAGCATGTATGTATTGGCACAATGAATGGATAGATGGCATGGCTGTGTTTAGAAACGATTCAATTCGACTGACTGATTGGCATGACAGTAGATCTCGCTGAGAGGATCGAGGATGGACACATGCTGTTGTTTCTCATCCGTTCCTGGCTGCCGGTAGCGATTGAGAATGATGTTGGCCCGTAGAATTGACCCAAGCGGGTCAGCTGCCGTGTTTTGATATACTTTTTTTTTATCTATCTCCTGCCGGTAAATGCAGCTCGTACACATTCTGAAGAAAGTTGATTGCCTGAAGGTTCTCTTGACGTAAAATTGGTCAAGATTTCCCCCTATGCCTCCTGGCATCCGGCCCCGGCCGAACTGGTTGAGCTGCTGGACATATATGGGTCAACGATAATGCCAATTAATACCATGACAGTGTAATTGGGTATTGTTACTATATCTCTCACGAGATTTCGTCACATCATTGTGTGAAGGATTCGAATCTAAGGGTAAATATCGTGAGATATGGTACAGATAGTTTTCTTTCTTACCTTCTTTATCACCTATCTGGTGCCACCAATTGCCAACGCGTTCATTGATTGTGCGAGAACAACAAATCCATCTCTATATCTTTGTATCGCACCAATAAAATCCCATGAAGTGAAATGTTTACACGTTTGAAATGTGATCTAGGAGAGAACTTTGAATCCACGTGGTCAGCTAGATAAATCCCTGCAGGAATAGAACCGTACCACAGCCAGCATATCATCATTTCTTGCGGGGTGTGAATGGTCAACAACTCCACTCAGTTGTTATCTGTATTTCCGAATTCTGATTTCCTCCTGAGTTATGTACTACTGAACCATGGTTACCCAAAGCAACAGCACCAGAATGCCGCCCCTACATGCTCTAGCAAAAAATAAAAAAATAAAAAATAAAAAAGATCCAGGGACCTTCCGGCTGATCCCAAGAACTGCATGGAACCTATATGGTGCTACACATCAGAAAGCTTTCACCCGATTAACTACGTCAGAGAACAACGTTAACGATTCCATATCGATGCAGCTCAAATGTAAATGGAGGCTTCGGTAAGTACCTTCCGATGAAGTACTTAGGGTTTGATGCGCATTGTCTACTTGGTTGAATGAAGCCTTTGATACTGTCTGCATTTATGTTATGTAATACGTTAGTATACTCGAGAGCTTAGCTCCAAGAACATTGGTCTCTTATATTTGCATGTTGATAGCCAGTCGACTGTTCTTCCCGATAACTGAGCAATGATCATGCCACCACCGCCACCAATACGATTGGAATGTATCCATCCGTTTCTATCTGCCCCAGGTCCTGGTGCTTCATGCAGATTCTCGATCGTGCTTCATGGTATTATATCCGTCCATCAAGTTCTTCGTCACCAAGTCAAGCTGCCTGCCTGGTAAACAGGAGATTGATGTAGTCTCCATCGATCGAGTGACTTTTTCCATTATAGACACATGGAGGTTATGTATACTATCGTGAACCTTCTAGAAATTGAGAAGCATCAAATTAGAAAACACGTCACAATGGAAAGTTAGGCATGATACACCTCACATTGCATTTCAAATACCAGAACTGCCCTTCTCATTGATGTTGAAATTACCAGATTGAGGTTCCAGTACGCTATACCTTCCTGTCGATCTAGGTCACCTGATAATAGAGAAACACCTGGTCCATCCTGTAATAGGGGCATCCCTCATTATTGCAAGCTCTAGTATCGACTCTGAGACATGGTCGTTCGTGAGCGTTCTCATACTATGTCTATGCAATTATGTATAAGTGTCGTCAGTTGGCAGATATGGGTGCACGGTGATGAGATAAGAAAGCTGCTGGTTATGAGAGAGAACGAATCAATATGTACCTTGTGAATTCTGAAGGTGAGGGTAAAGAACACTCGTATCATACCATCGATTAATCAACCCTCCAAGCCATCCATATATGGTCATGAGCCTTGAGTGTGGGTCCATGACGTTACGAGAACATGATTGATCTCTGGAGGAGAAGAGGAAGATCCTGAGGATGTTGGTATTCAGATTTGTTTGTGATTCGCTGGATAGACTTCACCTGTTCTTCTTTAATGGCATAATTATATAAGGTCACGTCATTCGTTGTGTAACAAGTCCCTCTTCTGGTCAACCCTAACCCCTCAAAACTCGAGCTAAGACCTCGCTTGTGTCTTCAGGGTATATTAGTTCTGAGCCCTAGTAGCTCCAATCTCATTTGCCCTAACCTTAAGGTTGGATACAGTGAGCATCCGACTACGATAGGACTGAATGTAGTTAGATAGCTCTAAGATTTGTATGAGTCTAGAAAGTTAGTGAAATTCTAAAGGATGTAAAATATTTAAAAGAAAAAAGCTAAGTTAGTAAAACGTAGACCCACGTATAGCTGGATGTCAAATGTAAAATAGAGAAAGGAAAATGTTGTTCGAGTGATGTCTCATGATCACGATCCCTTCTATATATCTTTTTTTACCACTCACAAGCAGGTCTCCGCAATATTATGTTAAGTTGCAGCAGAATCATTTCGCAGTATAAATTCTAAATGGGTAGCTGCTTTTGTTTTGTGAAAATTGTTTATTGTGTATCGATGAGTCATCAACAATCACTCGCACTAACTACCCAAGATTATAAGTGGTTTATATGGTTTTGTTATTATACATTGATCACATATGTAGACTTAGACGTACACATAGGCCTTTCAATTGAGGCTTAGCGGTTTACAAGGTGTAATCATTCTTTACAATCCTTTGAGTAGGCCACGAATTCGCTTTTGAGCAAACTTCGGCGCTCACGAGGCCAAGGGGAAATAGATACCCGAATAACCAGATGCCCTAGAGCTGAGACGATGTGGTATCGTGTTTTGAACCTTAAACAAAAGCAAAACCCCACCCTCTTCGATTTACCAACAATGATGAAAGGAGAGAGAAAAGCAACAAAGATCAAATACAAAAACACCAGCATAAGACGTACACATAAGATCATTGTTTGCCACTTGCTGAGGAATGCCCTCCCAAAAAAAAAAAGGCCCGCAAACAACATAATATCAGAACTATGAGAAATTAAGAGAAGTTGATTCAAAACCGGACGGAAGTATTCCGAAAAATAAACAAATAATAGAACTTTCACCGGGGGGAAAGACTTGGAAAAACCTTTCTCCCAGCTATATCGACGTGATATTCAACGATTCCGCCATCGGTGGCCACATACCTGTCAAAACATTTAGTGACTGTTGGCTTCTAATTAGATTCCAGAGTACTCACAGTTTGCTCCCATCACGACTCAGTGTACATCCAGTAATATCCACACCCGCATTACCTTCCTCTTGGTACCTCATTCCACCATCATCCTCCATAACCACCGTACCCGCAGGAACCCCACTTGCCGCGCGTCTCCTGATATAGCCTCTCCTCCGGTCCTCCGCTATTAATGCACTAAGCTGTTCTCGATTTCTCTGATGGTCTGTAAACATTGTTTCTAATGGGCGTGCATTTGCGGTGTGGATCGGCTCACTACCAGTATTCCAAGGAAACCTTTGCAAAGAAGGGCTGACATCAACAGTTGGGGGAGTGGGAGTGGGGGAGGCGGAGATTGGTATTGACAATTGCGCTGAAGCCGGAGAAGTGGATGTTGATTGGTCAGTGTAAGAGGGGTGAGTTGAGTTGCGACGACGTGGTGGGTCATGGATTCGTTGTCTAGCACGCTCACGTTCGAGTTGACGCTCACGGTGATCACGAAGAAGTGCAGGCGTACTTGTATGGATGGGTTGAGTTGGTGGAATTGGTACAGACGCGGAGGACGGTTGTGTGGATGTTGGTACCCGAATAGGTGCATAGGGTGGGTAATTGGCAGTTGCAGCGGCCGCCCCGGAAGGCCTATTTGAGGGAGAATAATTTGATGTGCCATTCCAGACAGGGGTATCCCACAATTCATGTGAATTAGCACCCCGTACTCGAGATACTAGTTCGTGCAATTCGTCAAATCGGCGCGAAAAAAATGCATGGACATTATCAATATTAGCTGAGACAGCATCCTCATCCTCCTCCTCTCTTGTATATCTTCTACCTGCAGAGCCTTCACGTCTACGCCAGGAACGCTGGGTATCATCATCTTCACCAACTGACTCAATCTCTGCTTCAACCAATTCGTCTTTCTCTACGAGGATATCCACAACCTGTCGTTTCGTGAAATTACTTCGGGCATCTGCCACGCAAACCCTACCAGAGTGCTCCGCCCAAACAAGGAGATCCCAGGGTGCCGGTGAGAATTGAACACTCCGGACTGCACCAGCGGGTGTTTTAGGACGAGACGATGGTATTCTCTTGACAATTGGCGAAGGGCAGCCAGGGCTATTAGTACATGAGAGATAACGGGTATCGAATATCGTTATTGAGCCATCCTGAGACGCCACTGCGCATAGTAGAGATGATGGTGAGAAGCTGGTTGATATCAATGCATCTGTCCCGGCAGTCAACGGGGGATGCGAGTAAAGAACCCATTCGCAGCCTGCTTCCCCAATCCCCATACCAGGAGCACTAGAACACGACGAGCCCGAAGAAGAGGTAGGATGGTAGAAGTAGACTATGGGACAATCGCCTATAACAACAAGATGTTGACCATCAGGTGAAATTGATGCATGATTAGTGGCTATATCGAGAACGAGAGTAGTGAGAACCCGATTTTGTGCGAGATGAAATATCCGTACAGTTTTGTCGTTATTACTGGTGTTCCTTGTTAGTACGGGAAGAAATGGTTGTGATTATTTATAGTGGGGTTGATATACGTGAGTACAGCTACTACATCGTCGTCGCTATTTGACGACGGTGGTCTGTGTAGGGTGACCGAGTTTACAATTGACCCACCAAGATGAGTTATTTTGACCTCTGGGCGTGCTCGCCTTGAGATTCCAGACCCTTCCCCTGCATTTTCAGGTCCTAGCTCCCTCATAGCTTCGTCGCTTCCTTGCCGCCTGTTTCGAAGTTTCTCCGGCTCCCCCACCCGAATGCTAGCAAATTGGCCATTGTCCACGCCACCGGCACAAACCCATCCATAACGTGCACCTATGCACCGAGGACCAAATGGTAGCGAAGCTACAACTTCTCGTTTTTTAGTTGCTGGATTTAGAGCAAAGATGTTTTTGTCTGTAGGATAGTACAGGAGGTTGGGTGCTGGGGAACATAATAATGAGCGAAGCTGCCAGTGCCTTTCACATTACAGTTTAGTAACATAGTTATCAGAAGAGAGGCAGTAAAACATGTCGGGGACCAACTTGAAAGGAATCTTTGCATGAAAAAAGGTCAGAGGAGACGGGAGGAGAAGTTGGTGGTGTTGCCTGCATCGCACACGTTCACTTGTCAGCCTCAGCTGTTGCCGAGTCGCATCCGTGCCCGCACCCACGCCATAGAATGGTAAAGGAAGAGGGGGCGAATTGCAAGAGGTCGTACGGAGGGTCTTCAACTGTCATTTCGACAATGAGGGGAGTTTTAACAAGTCGCTAGGGAAATATGGCTTCGGCTTCTGGCCCGAGAAAACTGGTCTGGGTCTGGAAGTTGAGAGTTTATTCGTGTTACTGTCTTGTGAGAATGATTGGGGCGGTTGTGATGACGATGGTGGTGGAGGTAACGACGGGGATTAATGGGACTGAACGGAAATTACGAAGTCAATAAAGAAGATATTGAATGAAACACTTTGGTGGGTGTGCTGTTATGATGGATAATAACGCGAATATGTATGATTTCCTAGAGCTGTAGTATTTTCGAGTTCCAACCTCTCAGTTAAAGGCAGAGGAGGAGGTAGAGAGGCAAGTCAAGTCTGCGGTCTGCAATGGCGGGGGCCTAGCCAACTGGAGGAACGACCGTCCTGGGGTCCGTTCTCCAATTCTCAAAAAGGCAATGTCTGTCGGCCTGTCGTTGAATCTCTTGCCTTGGTTTTTCAAGGTTATTTCTTGGCGGGCAAAGTTCGAATCCTGTTGAGTTGTTCGCCGATGGGACTATGTGTGTAACCACTATCTAAGACTTCACGCACACTGAAGTCTGAAGTTTGTGTTTGTCTTAATTCTTCAGCAACCGTTGAAAGCCTTATATCACTGATGGATCGAAAAGGGAGATTGAAGATCGCAGGTAAGAGGAGAGGGGATGTGTCGATCCTCCAGCTGCCGAATATATAGCTTTGATGAGACGCGCAATCTAATCAAGAGAGACACATGCGCATAGTACTATGTACCTATTGATATTATTCAAATAGCATGCGGGACCCTAGTACTTACGCCAAGAATGAAGGTACCTCGCCCCACGTATCTTCACCCCACGTTTTAAACGCTTTAGACCCGGGTTTGCGCACTATTTGTAGAGGGGATGGCCCGGGGAACCTGGCTTGTAAGTTGTAAGGCAGTTCATCACGATATATCGACAACAATGGCATCAAAATTCAATTTTCAGCTTGTCATACTCAAGTCTCGATTCTCTTTAAAATCGGGCTCGATCTGGGTCCGTGCTTTTCGATATTGTATGTATTACGTGAGGCCCACCACAAGCTGTGGGATGATCATGATTTCTATTCGCAGGCTAGTTTGTGAGGATCGATCTGTTTTTAGTGTTAAGATATCTGCTTACAGTGATACTCTTGAGTATCCTATAGTGTTCCAGTCGATGCAAATTTTGATTTTGCTGCCTTAACTACAGCTGCCTGAAGGAGGTCTTATCCTTAAGCCGTCAGGCCGAACTGCAATGCCAGCTTCTAGCCATATATGGTAATAATGCTTTGTTGAACGTTGCTAATAGATATCAGATGGTGACTATGCCAAAACTTTCGGTTTGAGCGTTCACCATGTCCACAGTACCGAACAAGCTAGGAGTTGGCACTGTAATCCGCCTTGACGGTTTAAGGGATACGTATCATGAGAGGCTGGCTAAGAATGCATATACTGAGCTTTTTCTTCAGCTACATGCCCTGCGCCCATGTTTTTCACCTAAGAGCTGGGGGATATCTAGCTAGCCGTTGCAACGTTGCTGTGACCGGGAACTAGGCTCGCTACCATACAGTTGGGTGCGGCTTAACCTAATGGTACGGATAGGGAAGACTGCGGATACACAAAAACCGTTTCTAGGCACATTCCCAGTTATGCAGAGTTCCACGTATAGCCTACACCATAACATATATACATGGCATCTTTGTTCCCTCGACATTTTTCCCTTTCCGTTCCCCTCATCCCCTCTCCACCGGTATTTCCTTATTTTTTTTCAAGCTCTCTATGGAGCCGCAACGTTACAAAATAAGATGCATGATGGGGATTGCGACATGAATTCTATCAGGATCGGCCATCGATGCCTAGTAGTACTAGTGCAAGCTTATGTCTATGGATGAACTGATTCCATATTTCCCTCGGCCAGCAGATCAATGTCAATGATCATTTGTACGAAAAACCTGCGGAGAAGCAATTCCTACTGCTTAGTCAGGATTATAGCACGGGCTTTGGGGTCTCTAGGTTATGCATGGTAGGGCTCTGCATGATTCTAAGCTTAACCCTTATATGTATAGGTTCTATAAATGGCAATATATGACCCGATACTCTTAATGACTATAAAAATACTTACTTGCAGGTCATCAGATATATACCCAGAATATCCACTGAAATATGAAGGGCACCAGGTACACCGAGTTCCCTACGCATGCAGTTCGGAAAACAGACTTTGGTATTATATATATGCAGAGTAATATTCGCGAGTAATACAGCCGATTTCAGCCCCTGCCCGACGAACTTCCTTATCTCTGTATGCCATGATACATATTTTAGAGCATATGCATGTCATGCTCCAAATCTACACGTATACATCTCATGGAATTAGAACTCTGGTAACATAATTCTTGGCTTTAGATCTCGTGGGTTTCGTTATTATATAATTATTCTTATATAGTTCTAGAATGGATCCGGCTAAGAATAACATAAATGCACTATCCTAGACCCACGCGCATGGTTTTCTTCGAGAGAGCTAGAGGTCTAGAGTCAACATTAAATCTTCTATCTGGCAACCGCAAATGATGCTATAAACTCACTTACTAAGCTAAATTATTGATGTATGGCTTGAGTGGAAAGACTGGGAAGGTGTAGGTCCCGATAACTAGGAGCTGCTAGAGCTACGTACCTCAGATTGCAGATGTGAAGGCACGTACTGTTCTAGTCTAACGGTTACCCTCAACTTTGAGCTTGAGATTGGGTAGAATCTTGGGTATGAATCTAGATGAAGCTAGGATTAGATCAAAAGCAGCATTTTGAGATGTCATCTTAGACTTCCCCCGATAGAACGCTGGGGGAATCGGTATTGGACATCGATATCTACCGCTCATAATTAGGGCTCTAACTGGCCTTAAGCTTCTGTCTGGGTAAGCTCGGCTCATACTACGTATACGTATACCCATTCCCATTATAGATCTAGCAGCTAAAGTTTAAAGGTAGGATCCCATACTCTAGAAACCGGTCGGTTCACCAAACCCTTCAATGCTTACCTCCCGCAATTAGCTCTAGATGAGCCTGAGGATGACAACCACCGGCTGGAGTCTACAACAAGATTTAACCCCAGGGTGATGTGAAGATCGATTCCAATACAGGTAGTTCGAATGAACTCAAATCCTGAAAAGAGAAGTTTCACCAGGCAAGACTCCTGAATACATTTATGTGACAGTGTGCCTAAAGATGAATCAACACTAATCTACACGCATCCAATCATTATATATAAGCTGACCAGCTGCAGGTTGCCTAGAGTTAAATACTGTCACTGCGAATAGAGAGTATCAACGACCACTTCTTATAATCAAACTTTTGGTACATTTTACATATTGATAGAAGAGGCCTTGTGAACAGCGCAATTGTCCCTGCGAAGATTATTTGCCGGATTTTCTCAGTGGGGGTGAGCAGGTAAGACAAGGATTTTGATTTGTGCTCATCACGAGTACAGTCCTCAAACACCAATCTTACACATTAATCTTCGCGATCGGCTCAGAACAATTCCTGAAGGCAGCGATTTCATCCTGGAAAGTGGAATGCCTACATGACACGCACCCACAACCACGCAGTATTTCAATTTGGGGACCGCATACCGCGGCCACAGCTCCACTGGGAGGGAGAAGCCAACAGATTTTTCAAAAGTGTTACTTATATGCAATGAAGATCTGACAGGGGCTTCATTAGCTGGCTTACATTTGTGGTACCATTGAATATTAGGGAGTCTTGGGGAAATGATAGTCAAAGGCGCTGGAGGAGGCACATGTACCACCACCAAGGGTATTTGTCTCTGGACAACTATCGATACATGCAGACAACCGTCTATAAGTACTCACGGATAATTGCATATGGAAAATGTAGGAATGACCTCATGCGGTTCATGGTTTTCAAAGATCAAATTGATAGATCAGTCTGTTAAACGAAACATTCTTCTGGATAACTAAACATTGAACTTGCCGAAGCCCACGGGTGTTCTACATATCTCTCTCGTCACACCTAATCACGAATGCAATTCTTGCATCCTTTCCCACCCTTCCCCTCATTCTGCATGAGCAGCTCGCCTTCGTTCCCAATAACAATCCTTGCTTGAAATACTGACTTCGAATCTGACCAACCAAACAGTATCCGATCGTCTCGATGAATAAATGCCTGAGACGCCTGGTGCCGCCCAGTTGCGGGCACCGCAATAATGATTGTCTTGATTGGCGAGGGTAACGATTGCACTTTTATTTGCACTTCGTGGTTTTGGTACGTATGCACGAGTGAAGGCGCCCATTTCATGCGCAGTGATGCAATATTAATAATTCGATATATTATAGGATAGATTGGTTGAGATCAATTGGGAAGAAGTAAATTTACGTGTCTATGGATAAAAGAAAACACCCTGTGGTTCAAAGATCTCCTATCAAAAAAACTAAATACAAAAGAATCAATGTTTATCAAATTGAGAGAATAGCAAATCTAATGATAAATACAGGGAAAAGGAAAACTAAAGAAAGACTCCAGAGCACCGAAACTCCTAACCAGAACCTAAAAAAATAAAAAGGATCAATGACAGTTAATACCGATAAGTCTCTCCGACATTTCTTCCCGGATACACGCGCGCCTTCGCCATAGCCTCCGCCTCTGCTCTCTCGCCTTTATGTAACGGCACTCCTTCAGCTTGGAGTGATGCCAAAAACGCCACATACTTCCGATATCCCCACACCGCATCCTTCGCATTAACCGCCGTATGCCGTACCTTCACCCCCGGCCACTTTTCCTCTACACGCTCTACATCCGCCAGTGTCAACCTCTCACATCCACCCACGTCCACCTCTGCTAGCACTCCGCCACTCCCCTCTTGCACACCCGCACGTGCCAGCATCTCCCACACCCACGCCACCCTCACATCCAGCAGCCACCGCAGACCCACCACCTTCACCCGCCCCGGGATCCTCCGCACTAAAAACCGCTTGAGCGCCCCCTTCGACAGCCCAAAGCACCCCGCAATGCTAACCCTCTCCAGGGCCGCCCCCGTCGCAATTGCCTTCAAGGCGCCGTCCCCAATCTCGGTGAAGTCGAGGATCAGACTCCGGAGGGTCCCGCGGTGTGATTGGAGCAATGCGCTGATCACGGGGGTGGTGACGGAGGTGTTTGAGAGGTCAACGTGGGTGAGCTGCGTGCTCTGGGTGGCGGCGAAGAAGTGGGCTAGTGCCGGTGAGGCGCTGCGGGCATTGGGCATAGAGCTGAGCGTGAGCGTGCGCAAGTGGGTAGAGGAAGAGACGTGGGTAAGGAGGTAGAGTATGCTATTGGTAGAGATATGGGGCGGAGAGTTGAATGTGAGGTGTCTGGCTGTACGGAGGTGCCTTGAAAGGGTGGCAGGCGGAGCGTAGTTGTTAAGTGAGGATTGACGCAGAGTCGTGAGGTCGAGGGCATAGTGGAGAGTAGGTGCTGTGGAAATGAAGTACCACTAAGAAGGATGTTAGCATTTTATTTAGACAATCAGGGGAATTGAGTTAGGGGGAAATGATCATTCGGTAGGAATATGAGCATACTGACTTCGCGGCAGACAAGAGCACTATTAAAGAGCTCAGAGTGACTGAGGTAACTGAATATATTCAGCGTGATCTCTGTGGGTAGTTTGGCGAAATTATTGGTGCCAGGTAGGGCCAGCTCTGCCTGTTTAGCAGCGGTAGTACTGCTCATATTGGCCGGTGGTGATGGGTATAACGATTGGACCATAGTTGAATTCTTGAGTTCTTGAGTTCTTCACAAGCTTCCTTTCCAAGCTGGCTCTACTAACATCTAACCTTTAAAAAGAAGGAGAGAGAGTGGTATCGACCGTTATATAATAAGCCAATTTTTCCCCGTACGGCCGCACAGCTACCGGAGAAACCCGTTACTAAACAACAGTAGGAGATTCGTTATGACGCTGCCCGGGCCCAGCTGGAAGCGAAAGAAAAAAAAAATACGGAGGGGAGGGGAGGGGCCGGAGGGGGGGGGGGGGGGGTGAGGGAGCATTCGCGTATTTATATCAAATCAAACAACAAGGGGAAGGGAAAGCAGCGCGGTAGTGTCACATCATCGCATTGACACTTGTTCATTCCTTCTTTTTCTTCCATGGTGCTGGCCAGAGCGCCTCTTTTATTCCGATTCGGCGTTTATTCGCGAGAGGGAGTGAGAGGGTGAGCAGGGAGGAGCTACTTGCTTGTAGCTCACAAATGGCCTGAGTGAGCACATAACTACATACACATGGTAGGTTGGTAGAGAGTACGGTACGGCAGATCTGTATGGGGCCGCTGGCCGCTGGTACACAGACAGGCTGGATCGGAGTGGGGTTCAAGGTAGTGGTTATTCATGGACGCAGATCTCCTACATGCCCAAAATGCCCGGAAGATTTCCGTCTAGCAAGAGAGTACTTAGCAGTCGCTGTAGCGGTACGTAGTAAAATAGCGTTATGTAGTGGTTCACTTTTGCTTTTGCCGCTGTGCAACGGTGCAGGGGGCGACAGGGGTGGGGTGCGCGCTGATTGGCCAGCCTTAACGAAAGAAAGAAGGGCTGGGGGGGACCGGGTTACCGAACAAATGGTCGCAACAGGTACAAAGTAGAAAGACAATGAATTGCGCTGAAATGTAATGTAGGTGCGCGCATGATTGATGTTTCTTTTTTTTTTTTTTTTTTTTGATTTGGCTTGGCTTGGAATGATGAGAAAGAGAGCACTGAAAGGTTTTTTTGGCCTACAGGTTCGCGCCGGAGGGGATTTCAAATTAGGCAAATACATGTAGAGTACGAGTAGGAGCTCGCCGAGAGGTGGGGAGGCAGCTCGTGTATGTAGTGTAGGTAGTACATATTTGTCGCTTAACTGTTACAGACCACCGACCACACAGGCATGTATGTAACCCCCTTCATGATTGAGCTAGTGATGATGATGCTAGAAGGAAGGATGATGATGGTACGTAGTAGTGGTCTTGTATGGTCTGGTCTGGCCTGGTATTGTGGTCTTGTGTAGGTTTGTGGGTTGCGATGGCTGTCCAGGGTAGTGGGTGGTGGGTGGTGGGCGGATTATGATACCTCGTCGATTGAGCACGGTTCTTGTACAACCATCGCTTCTTTCCCTTGTCAATGCCAATTAGAGAAGAGAAATGTCTCTCCCTCCCTCCCCCTCCCCTCCCTCCCCCCTCCACGCTACATACCTGCCTGCCTGCCTGATTGCCTAAGTAACCTCCCGTTCCCCACCCGCCTCCCTAACCTACCAGCCCCACTGGACGCCAAACAGCCGCTTCTTGGGGCCTCCTTCGCGCTCGATCTTGGACTCGTCCTTCTCGAGGTATATCGGTGGTTTCCCTACCATGCCACCGCACTGTCAGCGTCTCGAAAAAGGTGTTTCATAATATTACTAGATTCCTGGGATGAAAAACCCAATTGGACACAATTTAAGAGAGCAACGAACCTGGGACGACGAGAAACAGATACTGGTACGCATACTCGCTCTCGCCGGGCCGTTTCACAAGGTGGGCGTTCACAACGCCGCGGTCAATGTGCCCTTCTACCTGTAGTGGTCCACGAAATGGGCCGCCGCCAGCCACCAGTTCCCACATGTCAGCTATCCGCCACTGGACGTAGAACAAAGCAAAAAACAAAAACAAAAGTGTATCATTGGCAGTCAGGTAGAGTAGGGTAGGGTAGTTACGTTGAAATGCAGAGCCAGATGCTCCACGCCATACTTGTCCTTCCAAGCCTTTGACCTATGTTCATCCATTTCCATCAGTCCACCTAGATACTCCCAATTTAAACCCGCGGTAGAGGAGGTACTAACGCAATCGGCCGATTCCTCGACCACCGGTTCGACGTCGGCTCGCCGTACGCCTTGATCCTGTTGCCCAGCAGGCCCACGCACCGCTCGTCCGCGCGCACGCGGGCGTGGATGGTGTTGAACCAGTTTGCGGCGCTGTCGGGCGCAAACACCTCCAAGTAGAGGAGCGTGAACACGGCGCCCTATGCCACTTCCTTTAGCAATGTAATTCTATATATATCGGCGGTGGGGGGTGGTGGGGTAGGGTGCAGAGGGGGGGGGGGGTACGGTTATGGCCATCCCCGTGACGATGGTGATGAGGTTTGCGCCGGTGCTGGCGGTGCGGCCAGCCTTCTGCGTGGCCGAGAGGTCGGCCCATTTTTTATGGGGGGTGGCGGGGGAGATGCTGATTTGTTGGCGTTGGGGGTCGGCGAGGCGGTGGGGGGTGGTGCTGAGGAGGCGGTGGGCGGGGGGGAGGCGGCGGGTGAGGCGGGCGGGGGCGCGCAGGGCGGACATGGTGGTGTGGTGTGGTGTGGTGGGGTATGTGGTGGGGCTTGGGGGGTGGGTGTTCGATTGGTGAGCCTAGGATGGCTGTGGGCGTAGAGAGAGTCTGGGTGTAGGTGGAATTGTAGACTCACATTGCTTGTGAGACCGAGTGAGAATTCCAGACGGTGGACGCCGAGAGTGAGCGAGAGTGGGTCGTGTGCGCAGGGTACATTCAGGTACGGCATGTTGCACAGCACCGCTGGTGGGATAAACGAGAGTCAAGGATAAACGCGTCGCTCTGCAGATCCAAGGAACAAAGATGCTAGGCTCGCTATGCAAGATGTAGCCAGCGATTCCATACCATCTACGGATCTCTTAGCACACAGCTCTTTTACAGTTCTATACAATCGCAGATACAGCACCGTGGATGCACAATATACCTTAACCTTACTTAAATAGATTGAGTATTTTTCCCACGCAGAGTCCTAGTGCAGAATTCTCCTGTCAGAGTGTAGTTATCGCGGCTATCTCTCCAATTACACGCGATTCCCCCCCCCCACCGACGCCCGCTTTGTCAGCACCATTTTCCCCCTTTGAGGCCACTTTCACCGAACAGCCAGCCAGCGAATTAACCTGACAGCCAACCAGCAACCAGACAGACAATCAAGACAACAACTCTCTCCAACCCCACACGCTCGACTCGTTCGTCCCCCCCCCCCCCCCCCCCCCCCCCTCATTCTCTTCCATCAATCACCATACATACCACCACAGGTACCCCCCCAAAACACTCCTTTCAGAAGATAGAACGAAAAAACCCTCAAACACAAAAACATCAACCACAATGAGCAACCCCCTCGCATCCAAAACCCAGGGTCAGAAGATCTTCGAGAAGCTCAAGGCCCACCGCTCCAATAAGGTCCGTAGTTACACAGAGACACACATCCGCACATCAGACCAGCAGCTAACTAACTGATCCATCTAGATCTGCTTTGACTGTGGCGGAAAGAACCCGACGTGGGCGTCGGTGCCCTTCGGCATCTACCTCTGCCTTGACTGCAGTGCTCACCACCGTAACCTCGGTGTCCATATCTCCTTCGTCCGCTCCACCGTGCTGGATCGTATGTAGCTCCAGTTTCCCTCCTGCTTTTCTATTGGGCTGGATTCAGACTGACATTGTGTGCTGTAGAATGGCAATGGGAGCAGCTCAGGACGATGAAGGTCGGCGGGAACGAGTCGGCGACCAAGTACTTCCAGTCGCACGGGGGCTCGGCAGCTCTTGCATCAAAGGATCCGAAGGTCAAGTATGGATCTAGCACAGCATCAAAGTACAAGGAGGAGCTCAAGAAGCGCGGCGCGGAGGACGCGAAACTGTATGGACCCCCTGAAATTGCACCCCTGTCACGGATTAGGAGCTAATTGGCGGAATGCAGGTATCCGGGTGAAGTCGTGGTTGAGGGCGGCGACGAGCCGGCCACCCCCGCTGAGACAGAGGATGACTTTTTCTCATCGTGGGATAAGCCTTCTATTAAGCGACCCACGCCCCCGCCTTCACGCACGGCGACACCGCCGGTCATTGGGCGCACTTCCTCGCCCTTGGTTGCTAATGCCGCCGGTGGTGCTGATATCGCGAGGACAAAGTCACCGCTGACGTCCGGTGGTTCGACTCCGGCGACCACTCCCCCCGTTTCTCGTACTACGACCTCTTCCGCGCTCCGCACAAAGGCGGGTGGTGCGTCTGCGGCTGGGGCCCGCCGTACCGGTGTTCTAGGCGCAAAGAAACCGCAGAAGCTTGGTGCCAAGAAGGTTACCGGTGGTGATGCCCTTGACTTTGAGGAGGCCGAGAAGAAAGCAAAAGAGGAGGCCGAGAGGATCGCAAAGTTGGGATACAACCCCGACGATGAGGTGAAGGACACCAAGGCCACGCCTCTCAGCCCGGTTCCTGCGGTTAGCACTACCTCCCACCAGAGGCAGAGCAGTGACACCGAGAGATTAGGATTGCAGATGGGACGACTTGGGTTCGGGCAGACTGCTGGCGCTGCTGCAGCGAAGCCGGCTGCGAAGAACATGGGTGGTTTCGGATCTGTTGGGCCTGTTAAGGCTGCTGTTGAAGGTATGGTAATTTCTGCAAAATGAGTGAGTTGCGCTAATTGCAAGATAGACGACGACGAGAAATATGCTCGCACCAAATTTGGTTCTCAAAAGGGTATCTCTTCTGATGAGTTCTTTGGAAAGGGATCATTTGACCCCGCAGCACAATCAGAAGCCAAGACCCGTCTCCAAGGTTTTGAGGGCGCCAGTGCTATCAGTAGCAGCCAATACTTTGGTCGCGATGAGGATGAGCGTGTAGGCAGCGCCGGAGGTGACGATTTCAGCAACCTTGAAGTTACCGCCAGGGAATTCGCCAGACGATTCGCGGGTACCGCTAGCGAAGATTTGGAGAACGCCGCGGCAGCGCTCGGGCAAGGTGCAAGCAGACTGCAGGATGTCGTCAGGCAGTACATGCGATAGGTTTACTGTGGAGTGGTATTTAGGGTAGACATTTGGAGGTGCACAAAAAGGCCTAGCTGTCTTGTGGAACCAGGGGGGTTTGACTTAAAATAGCGTTTTCTTCCTTTTTCCCTTTACAGGCGAGTTGGCTATATTATTATTCTTACGTTTTCATATTTAGGGTTGAGATTTCTTTTTAAGTCTAGAGCTTGAATTTATTTCTCCTTCCTCTTCCTCTTTTTTCTTTTTCTTTACCTATTTTTTTGTTGTTTCTGTTTCTTGTTTATGTTTTTTGCTATGTGTCTGGTTTCCTTCATCTCATGTCGTAGTAGAATTTGGGCGGCGGCGGCGGAGTTGGGGAAAAAAAAATATATAACGTCACGTATCTCTATGTTTGTGCGGTGATATATGTCAATGATAGTGATGTGGTTATTGTAGTTGGCTCTTGGCAGACGTCCCGATGGGGATGATCCTTGGGGTCGGTCTTGGCGGGGGTTTAGTTTGGGAGTATGAGTTCTGGGTCGGTGGTGGGTGAAGAGTCTTGTAGGATTCGCTTGCTATGGGGGAGGTTGTTTGGAGCTTCATTCGCACTGTTATTCTCACGGTTGATCTGGTGGGGGTAGGTGCTAACTACATGTGCATGTATATGCCCGTGCTATATAGCTTCACACCAATAAGTTTCGAAGCATATACCGCATATGCATCCGGATCATGCAATACAGTAAAGAAGGGAGGGCTAGAATTACCGTAGTGCTGACTTTAGAGCCCCGCAGCGGTCCGTATATTTGAGGACTCTCAAGGTTCCGTCTCAGATCTCTGGCACCACGCCGCTATTGGCTAGATAGCTAGATACTTGCTCTTTATAGCTCCATTCACCTCTGAAGAACATAAATATGGGATTTGTAGGATGGGTTAGTTCTAGCTCCTCTAACTTCTCGAGCTTACACCACATCTTCTCTCTGCTGCAATTATTGTAGGATGCACATAGTGAAAGTGGGGGTGCAGACATAGAACGCCAATAACGCACACCCAGACGAATAGGACAATATATACATAGCTTCCCACCACCACAATATAACCCATGGCCCCCCATACTCAAACATTCTACTCATGCATCATGGTTCGTAACCTATCTACATTCCGCACCGGCATATCTCCACGGTAACTACACCCCCACCCAAAACCCACAAATCAATCATTACCTCCCCACACCCCTACCCCTACCCCTAGCCCTACCTCTACCCCTACCCCTCGCAGCACGCCCCCGGACAACGGCGGACTCCTCATCATCATCATCTTCGGGGTCCGCAGATGCGAAGTATTTACTCTGGCGCCTCCCCGCCTCGGCTGCCGCTTTCCGCTTCGAGCTCCTTCTTGGCGGTGGCAGTGGTGAGGGCTCTTTACTTTTCTCCTCCGACGCCGCAGACTCTGGAGATGTCCTGTCTTTTTCGCTGTCTTCTGTGACTTCTTTGTATTCAGAAGGCTTGAATGGTGGTCGGGCTTTAGTGGGTATCTGGACTTCGATCACGGTCTTTCTGTGTAGTCCTCGTGGTTCTGGAGCTGTAGCTGCGGGAGAGGGGAAGTATGCGGACCGGACTATTGGGGTTGGTGCATTGTAGTCTTCGTCTTCGTCCTCCTCTCCCTCCTCCTCCTGATCCTCTTCATCCTCCTCGTCTAACGAAGAGGACTCGGGGTCTATGTTTCTCCCTTTCTGTGAGATCAGGTCGCGGAAAGACATGGCTCCGTTTTGCGGAGGCTGCGGTGAAGGGATGGTGGGTGAGTGGTCGTTGTCCTCGTCGAGGATCACCTCGAACCCACCGCCGCTGTGGTAACTTGTGGGTTCTTCTACGGCTTCCTCAGAGGCGTCTTTTAAGAAGCCTCCTCCAGTATCGTTATCATCTATAATGAAGCCCCCGCCCTCATTGGCCCCACCCCTAATGAAACTGCCGCCTTCGTTACCATCAGCGTCGTTTATGAGGAATCCTCCACCCGAATCTACATCTTCCCTAATGAACCCACCACCATCATCGTGGTCCTCGCCTTCCCTAACGAACCCACCACCACTATCCTGCTCGTCGCCTTCCCTGAAAAATCCGCCACCTTCTACAGGTCCATCTTGATGCTGTTCCTCTACGACATGATGTGACTTCTTCGTAAATGGGTTCACATCCACAGCACCTTCAGCATCATCCCCATACTCGTCCCTCAGATGTTTTACGATCCTTAGACCCATCAGAAATCTCCGCCACAGTGCTAATGCTGCCCTTTCACGCTTTACATCCGCTTTTCTCTTGATTTCTTCCTGCTCTGCTCTCCATGCATCGCGTAGGATATCTTCGTTTCCGGAGGCAATGATGATTCCTTCGATGCATGGGACTGCTCTTTGGTCTGGGATATAGTCAGGACTAAATGGTCAAGGAATGGGTAGGAGGAGGTATTTGGTATATACTTTTAAATTCGAATCCCGTCACGGCTTCTGCGTAGTCAATTCCCAACCTACGAGCTAGCTTCCCAGTCCCTTTCAGAGGCAGGTGAATTGCCCCTGGTGGGATCATGGAGGGAACGTAGATATCGATATTCCCAAACGAGTTTCGTGGAATCTTACCATCCACAATTGGGGGAGGATTATAGATCCTACCTCAGGGTTAATTTATAACTACATACTAACAGGGAAAGAGGAAACCAACTCTGTCTGGTCTTCGCTATAAAGACCCTCCATGACAATTTCGCCGTCTCGTTTTGCATCCTCAATTTCCCGTTTCTTATTTAGTGTAGCAGCACGAGGCTTGACTCTTTTCAGAGCTTGTTCGCCCGCTCTAATGGTCCTGCCTTCTCGCCACCAGTTCTCGACGGTTTTGCAGGATACAATGTCGTCTTTTGCGTATACCTTTTCCTCTTTAGCCTTTTCACCTCTTCCAGCTGTGAATGTCTTGATATGTGTTTTCCCCGGCCTTACAGCCTCGTCACGTTTCATATGGCGTTCCAGTATATAGCTGCAACACAGAGATTCAGCAATTCGTGCATTACCACCTAGGACTGGAGCCTAATACTTACTCGGGATTATTCTTGTAATAGCTGATACTTTCCTTCTGCTGCTGTTGGACTACCTTTACCTTTTCCTTCGCTATAAATTTTCCTAACTCCTCGTCTTCCTTCTTTTCATCCTCTGTCCTCAACTCTACAGGTGTCCGATATCCCCTCATTACCCCGCCAAACCAGTCCCGTTTGCGAGCATCCACCACCTTCCCCTCGTAATCATAGACGGGGATATCTGTAACTGGTATCCTTGACCCTTTTGTCTTTCCAGGGAATGAGTTTTTAGCGAGATATCTTACAGTAACATCTTTAGCTGTCCCATTTGAAGAGAAGGCGATTACATAGGCGATTATTTGCTTCGAGCCTGCAGCTCCTTTACCTTTTGGCTCGAACTTCGCGAGGAGGTCTGGCGTGGAGCCAACAACGGTGAGGACTATTGGTTCTACAGTTATCCATTTCTTAGTGGTGGGTGACCAGGCTTCGGTCCAGAATATTGGGTATGGAAGGTCTTTATCGAATGTGGGTTGCTTAGGTTCTGCGAGATATCATTGTTACTATTGGGCGTTGGAGGAGTGTGAGAGAAGGCATACTGTGGGATGAACTTGATTTTTCTCGGATGAAACCACCACCTGTGTCGCTATCATCCTCACTGTCCTCTTCACCACTTGATTGTTCTATCTTGTGTTTACCCTTACCACCATGGCCAGCCTTCTTCTGCGATGTCTTCATTTCTTTTTTAACTGGGCCGGTTCCAGTGTAGTTTTCGCGTTCAGTAAACCCAAATCCTAATGGTTGCAGAGAAAATACCAGACGCGATTCAATTCCTATGGCTCTCAGTAAAGCCGTAAAAAGGATAGCACCAGCGTCTCGACTACCCCTACACTCTTTGGCCATCTTCCTAAATTCTTCTAGGCTCTCGATTTTCTCGCCCTGATTCTTCATCAATGTAACTTTATCCTCTCCATTTGGACCTTTATTACCATTAATAAACTCAAACTTATCACTCTCTTCCTCTCTCTCGTCTCGAAACTGCTGCAGCGTTTTATACCCATTCTTCCTCATTCCGGGTTTATCGATTGTAAACTTCTTTTTCCACCAGTGAATCAAGACCCCTAAAAGCTTCAAAATTGGCTCTGTTACACCCTTTGACGCAGCCTTCTCATCTGATTTCCTTTCCTTCCGAGTATGAAACTTTTCAATATCCCTCATGATGCCCGGTGTAACCTGTGACAGCAGCACAGCCTGCAGCTCCGGGTCGCAAAGCCATCTATTCCGGATACTTCCATGAAAGAGTAGGAACTGCACATGCAGGCAATGTGTTAAAACGCGCATCTGACGCTCCTTAGCAGATGCCCCTTTCTTCTTCCTACTCCTAGTATTAGCTCTGATACTCGGGAAGATATCGGGAACTTACGTTGAGAACTCATTTAGATTGCCATCAAGTGTGAGATGCAGATCACCCTCTATCCTCAAAGCCGAGGATGGTGCTGCTGAAGCTGGTTCAATAGTGGCCTGAAGCACGTCCTCCCACTCCATTTCATCGTCGTCCTCGTCGTTGTCATCTTCCTGCTTGGCTTTTCCTTTATCCTTATTACCATCACCGTCGTCATCACTGCTGAGTTCCGTAAGACTTGAGTCAGAAGAGTCCTCAATATCATCTCTATCTGTCAATGATGGAAATAGAGCTCTCTTCTTTTTTGTAGATGACGAGGACGACATGTTCCCGTCAGCTTGGGGAGTACTAGTGGTTGCGGTGGTATTACCACTTGTGCTGCCTCGGGCAGGCAATGAATTTTTAATCTTTTGGACACGTATCGGGAACATCTTGCAAAGTTTAAAGTTGAATTTTGCTACACGGATTAGTTATATGAGGGTTAGATACGCCCTGTAGTCTCTAATGAGGTATGTGCTCGGTCCCGAGGATATTTATATAGTAAAAAACCGCCTTTTATATGATATCGGCAGTTCGAGGATATCAGATTTCGTCCTCGGGTGTATCCTTATGACTGTATCGCTTTTCGCCTTTGCCTTGATGCTCGTATGATGTGGTGTCTATCGTTCCGACAAGCTCGCGACGGGGAGACGTGACAAAGGTGGCACGTGACTTAATTACGTCAATCTAAGTATCTTGGCAGGCACGTCTCATTCACCACGCATCACTCGGGCAAGTTTATCTGTTGCGAGGATCGAGTGCTTGAGGAACATCCATCTAGGCAAGAACTTTGATAATTACAAGTTCAGAAAGCATTTATATCTAGTTTTATCTGGGGAGTCTAGATTTAATTTCGGCTGGTCTTTTACTTGAGTGCTGCCAAGACTAAACGCGGTGTAGCGGGGTTGACGAATCATCTAGAACATCCCCCACCAAGATGTGAAATACGAACTTAGTCCCTAGATAGAAACATCGCCCACCAACACACCACACATTTACGAGATACTCGAAAATGTCTTCCTCCGACGCTCCCACCGATGCCGAGAACAAGGCCGCTGCCGCAAAGGAAGCTGCTGAGCAGGCCGCTCTACCTTACAAATGGACCCAGACAATCCAGGAAGTCGATATTTCGGTACCTGTTCCTCCAGGAACAAGAGCTCGTGACCTCGTTGTAGATATCAAGTCTACTTCTATCAAAGTCGGTCTGAAAGGACAGGAGCCCATCATGGAGGTACGACCCCCACTCTATTAATTTGTCTTCTCTGCGTCCCTCGCCAGCTCTAGTGGTAACTAATTTCTTTTAGGGTACCTTTCCTAAGCGTGTCACAACCGACGAGTGCACCTGGTCACTGGAGGACCAAAAGTCTGTCTCGATCCAGCTCGAGAAAGTCAACAAGATGGAATGGTGGGAACACGTACTCACTCACCACCCCAAGATCGACACCACAAAGATCACACCGGAGAACTCCAACCTGAGCGATCTGGACGGCGAGACAAGGGCAATGGTGGAGAAGATGATGTATGACCAGAGGCAGAAGGAAATGGGGAAGCCAACAAGCGACGAGCAAAAGAAGGCCGACATGTTAAAGAAGTTCCAGGAACAGCATCCGGGTAGGTTTTGTTCTCTCCGTACCCATTCCGTACTCAGGCTATTTACTAATTGCCTCGCGGTGGATAGAAATGGACTTTTCCAACGTGAAGATGACCTGAAGAGATAGCTGCGGGGATTTTTGTAGTTATAGGGAACTCATGCCAGTCTGCGGCCCCATAAATGTAGTAATTGATGGAATTGATGGAACCAAGTAATTCTTTAGCGCATGATCGACTCAACTTCGTAAATTCAGAGGTAAGGAAAATTAGTAATCCAAGGCCTGAATGTGATCCTTAAAGTGATGTGTCCACCAATCTACCAACACAAATGCATAGTACTGCATCGCCAAATTTAAGACGAGCACTTGGTAGTGTAGAGCCCTGCATGATACCACCGATCGACCAGCATGCGCAGCACAGCAACCAAGCATCGGGGAGACTGAGCCTAGAGTAGGGGCGATGCCCTTTTTGTTATAACTTGACTAACTAATCTAGGCTCCCGAAGAACACGAGCGAGATCCCGAAGCTTAAATCCCCTAGAGGACGCGATAAGGTTTAGCCCCATAATTCGAAAATTGCTGATCCATGACATGGGCCTGCCACAACTTTGACACCCAACGTTCTTGCCTACGAAATTAATTGTAACTCCTCTATAGGTTTACTAGTAGATCCTTTTAGAAAGAACATTGACCCGAGTTACTGTATTCAAAGCATAACCCAAACAAGCATACTCTAGCTGCAGTTGGAGCTAGTGCGATGATGGACTATATAAGCTATCCGGATACATATCCCACCACTACACATTGTAGTTATCATATATACCAAGAGATCCCACGAGCAGTTCTCTGCCTATGTTAAAGCTTGATGTATAGTATACTATTGGGTCGAAGCTTTAGTACAATATAACCGACGGAATCAAAACCTCAACAAAAAGAAACCTTAATTCGAAATTGCTCTTTATCTGGGTCACCTATTATCACTCGTACCACCAACCTAGCCTGAGTAAAATTGCACCGAGCTGGTACGTGGTCCAGCACAGCTGTAAATGTTTTACTAAATTGATGGGCATCTCTCTTGAGTATGTGCGTGCGGGAAACTTCTAAGCAGCATAATGCCTCCTGGAAAAGATGACTATACGGGTCCGAATCGATCGAGGCCTATGGAATGAATTTTTTTTTCTTTTAGTAGCTTAAGTATGTAAGGAATCAAGCGAAGCCGCCGCTGATCAATTTACCAGGAGCGAACTGAGTCGGCTTGATCTCATACCATCGATCGCATAAGGAACAGCAATAATCACACTCAAATGCGAAGAATCTGGTAGGAAAACTGCATTAAGAATTGTAACTATGGAACAACTTTTTGGAGGGGTAGGATGTTCATGTGTTCATCCATCGAGAGTAAAAAGGAAAGAAAGGGCCAACACAAGTAAACGCCAATACACTTCTAAGCAGGACCTACTCCAATGTCCTCCGTTCAACCACAACAGTAATCCCCTTCTCACCAGCACCTACGTTTTTAATGGTCGCGGCACCCTCAAATAATCCTTCCAGATCGTACTCTTCCCTAAACACGCCCTTAAACTTTCTCCGGTCTCTCCATGATTTGATCCCAGCGGCTTTTCGTAGCTCCCTTTCGGCGGCTTCGTTTGCGCTGTCTTCTTTTTGGTAGATTCCAACCGTTTTCGATATCTTCTCCGTTGTTGTTGTATTAGATGAGGATGTTTTTGATGTTGTTGTTTCCGTCCGGTTAACGATATATACAGTTCTGTCGGGGGAGTTCAGGTCTGATGGTATGATTCGGCACACCACTTTGACAATGAAGTCGACTTCCCCGGTTCTAAAAGCAACGGAGAATTAGCAAAAGATAAACTTAACGTAAAATACGCAATGTACCCAGCGTTTATAAGGACCGTTCCATCCTGCTTGGTAGACTCCGAATAATCCTCTAGATCGGCCTTCTTATATTCATCCTCCTTAAACAAATCCCGTCTTGCGGCCTCGTTAGCCTCCTCGAGTGTTTTGTATGTTCCCCGGATATGGCTGTCGCCATAGTCGTAGAGAATATCTGTGGTTTCTCGAATAACGTGGTAAACATATGAGTCCTTGCGTTCAGTATCACTGGTAGAGACAGTCATTTTTTCCAAACTTTTTGATTTTGCGGCGTTTGATCGATGGGGATGTATGTTTATGTGCTTCAATTTATCGCCCGCGTTCCTTCACAGCTTTTTAATAAAGCCGGCGCGGGGCGGGGAACTGCACTGCAGGGTAAAAAGGAATAACACCTGCGATCCGATAGGTACAAGTTGCATCCCTCTCGCAGGAGCTGGTTGAGAAAATTCGCCAAGGAGTCAACACAATCACTTGTTTCGCATGATTACACGTCGGACTGATTCTAAACCTGAGGAAACAACAAAGTGGGGGAGGATGAGGAGGGAAAAAAAAAAGCTGCAGCTTTGATTTTTGATCTGAGTGTTAAATCGTTTGTTTTCCGGGACCGATGAAGGTGGAGTGGAGCCGTTATTACATGCATGGATCCAGAAGATCGTATTGCCTACATGAGACACAGGCGATCACTCGCAAACACCCAATCGTAGCGGTAGAGTAGAGCCAAACGAAGTCGATAAAAACTTTTTCTTTCGTCATAGATAAGGTGGTATTTCTTGATAACCCGTTTTCTTAAAATAAGCTCCCTGAGCATGTTCAACAGGCCTCCCGGTTTCCTTTTGTTGGTATTATTTGCAAGAGGCTGGGCCAAGCACAAGTAGTGGACGCCTCATTGGCTTTCTCCGCGGCCGCATCAAAACTAATAGGGCGCGACCACCAGCAATTGCGTTAGAACTCCATTAGAGTAGAGTACATCATGCGATATTCATGTGCATTGTAGATGGCCTTCGTAGCTTCCTAGAATATGATCACGCAGATCCCAGTGCTGCTGGCAGAGCCTGAGAGAGGCGAGCTTGATACTCCTGGTTGAGTTGTTGGCTCTGTCGAGGGGATAGCTCTTTAGGCCAAGATGGAGCATGCCGTTAGTAGTGACTGGTAAGCCGCCAGAGGCCCTGAGATCGGAATGCTAGGGATGGATTTCTGTAAAGCTACAATTCAGTCTTCATGTCTTTGAGGGACTCCGCTTATTCCTATCATCCTCGAGGGAGGGAGGAGATGAATTTGGCGTAGGGTTTTGGGACCAGTTTGGAGGATGGTTGCATTAAAATTTAGGTAAGATCAAAGGTTAGCCCATTGGGGCCACGAATCAGGGAGCAGGTCGACAATGTTGCATCACTGATATTCGAAATTGCTATGATGTATCAAATATTAACATTCCCATGTCCTGGTCACCAACCGTCCTCCTCTAGCTCTCTCTAAGCTCGGTCTCTGACCAATTTCTTCAACCCCCCACCCACGAACAATATAATGCCATGGTATTCATAAAAAAAAAAGAGCTCTGCTAAATACAAATAAAAAAAGATCCAGATCGCAGGATGAATCGAATCCAGCACAAAAGAAACCTATCTGAAAAAGCAGAAGAAAGCCTCCGTAACAGTTAACCTTATACTCCCAAATTTTCGCCCCTACCCAACCACGAGTGCGTAACGCGACATTCATTGCCCACGTACGACTTAAAGGAAAGCAAGAAAGAAGTGTATACAGAAAATAACGGAGAAACGAGGACACAATAAAATATAGTTAGTCAATATGGGAAGGGGACAGTATATGCCAAGTGAGCGTCAAGGTAAGAACAATAGGTGTGCCACTTTTCTCTAATATGTTCAAGCCTTCCCAATCCAGCCACTCGAGACGAAGAAATCGTGAATTCTTGAGACCTTATTTACGTCAATCTGTGCCCAGCCCCGTTAGCCTCTACATTTATGCCAACCCCATAACATTCAAGCCTATTATAGAAGTGATGGAAAGGAAACAAAAGACTTACCCGGCAAATTTCTCTGGCAACTTTCTTCTTCAACACACCTCCATGTTTCATCGCCTCCTTCATCAATACCTCCTTCATAACCAGGTACGGTTTCGGCAGGATCCTCAAAGTACTACACAGATGCTGTTCTGCGGGTGATAATAAATGCAAATCGGTGGCATTCTCGTTAGTAAGCGCCAAAGGTGCTACACCATCTCTCCCATTGAGACTGTCATTATTATTAGTGAAACTTCCTCGGGAGGGTTTTTTATTGCCGAACAGACTACTATTGTATGGTGATGGGGATGAGGGTATATTATTCGCTGGAGTTGGTGAAGAGGCAGCAAGATCAGCAGGGACAGAAGTGGGTGGGTATTTCGGCTGAACAAGCGGATTGATGGGGGGCGTTTCTACAGGAGGTGTTGCTTTCGATGAGTAGCGATGAGACACGCGGTCTAATGGTGCCAACTTATTGCGTAGTAGTTCGGACTATTCGCCAGTTGTGTTAGGTTCCAAACACGCAGTCGGGAATTCCCTGCCAGAAGGTAGCCTACCCGTTGCGTCTTCTCGATTTCATATTTTTGACCGCCTTCGAGTGTCTCGATCCCCATCCGACGCCATTCCTGGAGCTGCGTTATGGCTTGGCGCAGCTGCTGTTCCTTCACCAGCCCCTCGCAAAAATCGTCAAAATCCCTCTTGTTCATCATCCTTGCGAAAGGCTTCGCGCGGATCAAAAGTTCTCTTTCATCTTTGAGCTTCTTTTTCTCTATTGCCGTATTTTTCCTATACTCCAACAAGTTATGTTCGTACATAACTCTCTTCCTCTGCCCTCGCTGAGTAAGCTTGTTATTATATATATCCATCACCGTGAGCTTCAGTTCCACTTCCGGCTCCACCAATTTTGTGATTGGATTGATCCCCTCCCCTGGCTCAAAGAACAAGTCCTTGACGGCCATCTCAGCTTCATTATCCCACTCAGTCTCAAACTCCATGCGGCCAGGCATATACCCCTGGATTTCATGGCAGGCAGGGGCAGATGTGGTCGGCTTCTTCTTCGGAGCCGTAGGTGTACTCTCCGCCGCCTCCTTCTTCCGGGCGTCGATACGTCTTTTCTTCCGCGCCTGGAACTCCTCGCGAGATATATCCGCAAAACTTGTATCATTCGGGTCGCTCTTCTCCGGTAACGGGAAACGAGAAGAATTGATGTACGTATCCAAATAGTGCTGCTTCACCTCTTCCTTGTCCCGTCCTCCACCTATATGGTCCGCAACATCAGCCCATGAACCAAGCCCATAGGTTTCTGCGCCCTCTAAAAGCAGTAGCTCCTCATCCGCGCCCCACCCCTCAACGAATATCGGATACGAGTGCTGTTCAATGACCTGGTAGGGATGTGTTGAGCAGTTGTGGTTTCCAGTTTGTGCGCCGGAGGTGAAGCATGGAACGCAGAGGTCGTAGTCGGTACATGCCGAGTGAGCACAGCGTATTCGAACCTAGGCCATATATCAGCGTGACCAAAGATCCCCCCTCATGGTGCATAAGGGGAGTTTAAGGGGTGAAGTGAAGATACGTACTGTGAATGTAATGTCGCCATTACAGGAGTCGCAATGGTAGCGCACGCCAGGCTCTACTCGGCCGGGGTTGGCTGCCTTCTTCTTGATGACACCCATAGCAGTGCTCAGACACCTGTAGCTATGATATATATACTCCTTCTATTTTATTTGGCGTTGGTACGTCACGAGAGGGGTGGTGGGTATTAAGGTAGGAGTTGAGTTGATATGACGAGCCCTCGGATCAGGCGCGTGTCGTCGTTTGGACGTCGGCCCTAGTTCTAAGCGGCGGTCGAAGGCTCGGGTCTTGTGGTTGGTTGGGATTAGAGCAGATGAGGCTCTTTTTCCCAAATTTGCTGGGGAGGTGGAGGTGGCCGTAGGTGAGCTAGTATGAAAGATGCCAAGCGCATCCGAAGGAGCAACACTGTAACAGAAGAAATATGTAGAAAAGAAAATAACAAGAACGGGAAGCTACATCCGCCACAAGAGGAGCAAGCAGTAACACTCCCGGGATGCCTGGCTAATCAATCCGTAGAATAGAGCTGCTGCAAGTGTAAATAGAGTTCAAACAGCTATGGTTCGATCCAAAAAAAGACCTTCCTGGTGCCTGTCTTGGCGCCCAAAACCAAACTTGACTGTTTACAGCGATAGCGATCGACATACCATACGTTATTCTGGCACCGGCGACACAAGTGTACAGCGATTCACAGGCATTTGGCGAATACACCCATTTGGCGAATTTGTATGTAGCAACCAGCCAGCAACCAGTCAAACTGCGAGTTTGACTAAGATATCCTGATTCTTATTGGCCGTGACCCCTGTTCGTCAAATGGGTGTATTCGCCAAATGCCTGTGAATCGCTGTACAATATGCTGATGCCTTGGCGCCATAAGCATTATTACCATGCCTCTTCTGGTTCTCGATCATTTTCACAGCTTTCTATCTCCACGAAGAAGATACACCAGATTACCACTTCCTACTGTGACCACATCAGCGATCATGCAGATAGAATCCAACCTGCCTTTTGGGAATGGACCCTATACTGGATGGCTTACGGTAACCGATCGATATATGAAGAGTCACTCTTAAAACGTGATTGTCGCACCAAAGACCTCGCCTTTCTATGTGGTGGACTACACTATATAGTTATCCTTTTAAAAAATAACAAAACCATCCGACAGTATATTTTCGACCAGAAATGCGGCATTCACAAGATATTACTTTGTATCATTACTTTTTATGGTTTGCCTGAAAGCGAACCATGGAGGCCGCTGAGTGTATCAGGCCAATCAAAAACCACCTGAGTACAGGTGCGATTCCTCCGACTAGGCAACTTATTCAGACATTTGGGATTCTACGCACATGTAGCTATTACTATTAGCTACAAGTAAGTACAGTCGATCACGCAATATCACTCGCTCCCTAGAAGGGGTCTAGCAGGCTCTTGGCTACACTGTAAGTGGCAATATAATTTGTTCTACTGTTATCTGCTTGAATAACAGCTGAAATTTGAGAATACTTTAGAGGGCTGAAATGTCAAAATATGTGATTGTATGCCTGAAATATACGAATGACCTTTGATAGATCACAAAATAAGAAAATAAAAACAGAAACGATACACGCGTTACACCGTAAACAGCCCTTGCATTTTAAGTCCCGGAATCCATTTACAATTTCGCCAACATCTTCTCGCCTTGTTTCAGCATTACAACTGCTTCAGCAACCATCTCTTCAACGATCTCCTTCGCTGGCTTCTTGTCGTTGACGACAGCAGCGACCTTGCCCATCAGCCATGGTCTAGCATTATCCATGGTGTCGTCATCAAGCTTGTCTGCCTTGTCGAGCTCTTCAATATCATGCTCAACAGGAATAACACCTTTGGATGTAAGTGTTTTAATCTCCTCCTGCCGGTTCTCCTCCCAGTTGCTGATGTACGCGTTCTTGCGTACTCGGAGAGGACGACCCTATAAATATCAGTGACTGCACTTTCGGGAAAAGTATTGATATTACGATAAACTTACAGTGAAGATGATGGTTTTAACTGTGTCCTCGAAGCCAGCAGTTCGTACAGCCTCTTGGTGGGCCTTAGGTGCGCCGGCCTCCTCGGCAAGGATGAATCTTGTGCCAACCCAGACGGCCTGGGCACCCATCATCAAAGCAGCAGCGAGCGACTTGCCGTTGAAGATACCCCCAGCAGCAACAACGGTAACTGGCTTACCAGTGAGTGGTGATTTGGTGTTCTTGCAGAGCTCAACAACAGTAGGAATCAAGACTGAAGTAGGGACGTCACCAGTGTGACCACCACCCTCACCACCTTGGGCGCAAATGATGTCGGCGCCAGCTGAAATAGCTTTTGCCACGTGTTTGGGATGCCCAATCATGCTTTTTCATATCAGCGTGATAGATTCACAGCGAAGTGGTTTGGAGGAATGCATTTACTTACTTCATGTATGGAATACCAGCCTTGTGCAACCTTTCTACAACGTGTTTTGGGGGGACACCAACAGCGCTAACGAACAACGCCGCACCACTCTCAATCACAACATCAACCAGCTCATTAAGCTTTCCCTTGGTGTAGTCGTAGTTAGTGGCCCTAGCACCACCACCGACTTGTGGTAACAAGAGATCTACCCCGAATGGAGCCTTCTTGTCGTTCAGGAAAGACTTGAGCTCCGCAACCTGCTCTCGTAGCATATCTGGAGTGTAGCCAACGCCACCAATAACACCGAGACCACCGGCATTGGTGACGGCAGCAGCAAGCTTGGGACCAGCGGCAACATTCATACCAGCGAGCATTACCGGGTGGTCAATCTTGAAGAGCTTGGTGAGCTCAGTCCGAATTTCTATGGGAACAATGGTTAGCTACGCTATACTATGTTTGGCTGTTAGCTAGAACAGGAAGCTTACGAGGAGCCATGGCGGATATGTTTCTAAGGATAAAGAGCTGACGAGATTTGAGAGTGGGTAGTTGAGTGGAAGATGAAGGCAGAGAATGTGAACCTGTCCTGATGAGAGAGACAGGTAACTTTGTGGGGAAGCATGGCTTTAAGGAAGGAAGGAGCTCTGTGAACGTGAAAGTCGGCCTAGCACGAGCGAGTGAGCCTCGGCCCAAGTCACGCCGCCGACACAGCTCCTTCCTAGGTTTGTCTTTACTAATATGGTTCCCCCAGCCTTAAAGGTAACGTGAGAGAAACGCCAAGTCCCGAATAACTTCTCAACCACAATAGATATTAAAAATCTGTCAATAAATGTTATAGAAATAGTAATAAACAAGAGAATTACCTGACAGATTTTTAATATCTGTTGTGGTTGAGAAGTTATTCGGGACTTGGCGTTTTTCTCATGTTACCTTTAAGACTGTGGGCACCATACCTTTTTTTACTTATTTGGTTAATTCAATTCTTATAAACACAGTTATTATGGAGTGAATTAGATCTCAATAGGAGTTTGAGATAAAGGTCATTTCATGATTACCTTCAATTGATCAGGCTCTGGTTTAGAAGAATCTTCTGAGATTTGATTTGGTTTGTGGGCTTCTCTCCCTCGGTGCACGTGCCGTGACAACCTCGGGACATGGATTTGCCATTGCCGGGTAACATACTGGTACGACTATACATACAGTTACACGAATGAGATCGAATCAAACACAAACCCAGAGTACGCTACTATAGGTACATGTAGGCACAAATGTACATAAAGACTGCCAGAAGGCTTCGGACTGTGGGGGTTTACTTTTAATATATATTCTTATCGCAGGGTATCTACATGTAGCTTCTGAATTCTTTCCAGCAGAATCGTGTCTTATCAAGTCACGTGAGATCACTGGGCCCGGGTAGCTCGAACTACAACAGATCTAAATTCCCAAAGCTGCACAAAGGTTCAAATTTACGCCGTCAAATTTGAATTAACTTTTCAATCTGATCTTCCAAAGTGCTATCTGCAGAGCGATCGGTTTATGTACGATTCTACTGCGAGGGCCTTACGTACTATTGGTACAATGACGGTGTGGTCCTGCCTTAATCAGCCAGTTACCCACCCGAGTGAAGATTACAGGGATTTTACAAGTCACCTCCGCTCCAACCTCCTCCACTGTTACTTTCTCCTCCCTTCAAAAAATATCTCAACTCCTCTCGCGTTTTACCCCCCCCCCCCCCAAAGTTTTCTTATCATTAAAAATATCATCAATATCTTGTACCAACTAATCTACTCCTCTACAGTTTAACTTTACGCCCCTTTACTCTTAAGGACACGAGTATTGCCTTATCGTTTAATAACATCAGTTCTAACCAACATCGATCATGTCTGCACCACCATGGAGGTCTGGCGGCTCCAGCTACACTAACGGAAGTAATCGTGAGTCTACTCTGGCTTATTACGTTGCCTTAACTCTGCTCCTCCTATCTCATATGTGCGCAAAGCGGCTTTCTGACGTGGGTGCTGCGATACAGGTAACGGTGCATACACCCAGGTAAATGCACGCAAAACGCTTTCTTCCGGCACTCGACCAGGTTATTCATATAATCAGGTGAATACTCCGCCTTGCTGTTATGAGATTGTGAACGATGAAGGGCCGTTTCTAATTCGATTCCCCCGATAGTCAACACAAACACAGACTCAAGCTTCTGCAGAGTCACCATCATCTGGGCAGAAGACTACTTTCCCCGATAAGTTAAAACAGTACGTCGCTCGAACTTTCGAAGACTGCCCGCCAGAGTCCAAATCAGAAGTGGAAGTAGAACTTAAAAGAATTATTACGGACGCGTTCAATCAAAAAGTTGTATGGACCATAGAATGGGATAATATGCCACTACCTCAACATGTTCTGGCGAAGAAGGCTCAGGAAAAGAAAGACAGGGTAGATAAGGAAGACTCGACTATAACTATGCAGGAGCTCAATAACAGTCTGCGCTCTCCGCCACCAAAGTTGGATACTTCTGGGAGATATTCCCCATCCAATCGAGAGCCTAAATATAACAACGTAATTAACTTTGAGCTTGGAGGTAAAAAAAGAAAAAGGTGAGCAGTCAAGTGCAACTAGAGCCTGGGCAGATCATACCTACCCAACACTACTGGCCTACTTGTACTGACGTGATGCTGCTAGTGCTAGTAGCGATGAAATATCCCTTGTTATTAGGTCGGATGATAGATTTGACAAGCGCGCTCGTCATGATACTCATCAATATTCCTCTGCGGCAGATAAATTAAGCCAACGTGACAAAGAAAAACGTGCAAAACGATTCGAGGACAGTAACAATCGTGTCTCGCCCCAGTCACCGCATCCATCAACTCCCATTGATAATGGCAAAATATTAGTTGGAACTTGCGAGAAGCTTGAGAAACAATACTTCCGACTTACATCAGCTCCGGACCCTACACAGGTGCGGCCGCTACATGTTTTGGAAAAGACGCTCGAACTTCTAAAGAAGAAATGGAGGACCGAGTCAAACTACTCTTATATTTGCGACCAGTTCAAGTCCCTTCGGCAAGACCTAACAGTTCAGCATATCAAGACGGATTTCACAGTTTTGGTTTACGAAATACACGCGCGGATAGCGCTAGAGAAAGTAAGTTGCATGCATTTCAGCCTGGTATTATTTGATCTTGCTTCTGACATTTTATGGTTCAGGGCGACTTGGGTGAGTATAATCAGTGCCAGACTCAGCTCTATTCGCTATATGGCGAAGGATTCAAAGGCCACGAAGAAGAATTCAAGGCGTATCGTATTCTCTATCTCCTTCACACATGCAACCGCGCCGACATGAACGATCTGCTAGCGAACCTAACCCCTGTAGACAAACAAGATAAGTCAGTCCAGCATGCCCTGCAAGTACGCTCCGTTCTTGCAGCCGGCAATTTTCACAGGTTCTTTAAGCTCTATTTGGAAGCACCCAAGATGGGGGGATACCTGATGGATTCATTTATTGCTCGTGAAAGAATGTCTGCCATGTGCACTATCTGTAAAGCGTGAGACATGATATTCCTTGGTCCTACTGTCTTTTTATCGGCTCTTTTACGTGGTCTAGACTTGCTGACGTGGCGTTGATTCTGGTTTTGTCTTTTCGCTTCGTGGAGTTATCGACCCGATATTGATATTAGATTTCTGACTGAAGAACTCGGTTTTGAGAGCGATACCGAGTGCGTGCAGTTTTTGTGCGACAGCGGTGCCCAGGACCTTATCGAACAGAAGTCGGACGATAAGGGTGTTCCCAGGACGATTCGCTTTCAAACAACCAAAGCACTTTCGATATTCGAAGAGTTAAAGAAGTCTGCATTCAAGAAGGTTGATATCAAGGGGCAATTGTAGAAAATACGATTCTCAACAAATCATCTTTATACCATGAAGCTCGTTGTTTTAAATTGTTTAACGTATCGTCGGAAGAAACGGCTGCTACCTAACGGCACTTACGCTGCTCTTTCTCCCATCCCTCCCCTTTCTCTCAACCTTCTTTTAACTCCTTTCCCGCCATATCATGAAGACAAAAATAACCACGAAATCCATCTGAACCCAAGGCGAATATATAAGCAGCCAACCCCCAAGTAGGCATACGGACAATAAACAACGGGCCGAACGAGGCAATCACTGCAGATATGGACTCAAAATAATCTGGAGCAGGGCCGTTGATCTCTGACCCCTGTCTTTCACTTTTCTTTTCTTTTGTTTGCATCTTTGGACAGGGTGGCACTTTTCTTTTTATCTATTTCAGGGCGTTGTTTTCTTTCGGTGGAGGTTGGTTGGGAGTTCGATTCCCTTTACTTCATGTGCATCTTTCTCTCCACGTATCATAGTTCACACCATCAAGATACTTATACAGTCCATAATATCAATAAAGGGAAGAAATCATTATAATACATAATTGCACATATGTCTAGGGAAGTGAGGTTTAGTTAGGATCTGCGGGCCATTGACCATAGGTCCCTGCGGGGTATGATGCTTTCCCTCTCAAGGAACTAGGGTCCGTACTCCCAAATGCCGTAAGACTGTAAGTTGTAGAAACCTGGTACTTGGGTTCCCCCGCCCAGAACAAGATTTTTCTCGAACAAATATGTTTCATCTCACCTTTTTCGAGTCCGGATTCATATCGGGCAAGTCAGCAAGGGATGTCCTAGGCGGATTAAAACCCACCGATACCCGAACCCTTACTATCGGGTAATCGGGCCTGCGTACCTCGAGAAAGTGTTAATGCTTGACCTTCGACGGATCTTGTTCTGCTATCTGTGTTATAGACTTGCATACATAGTAGTTACATGTACACTACGTCACCGCACTTCTATTCTCCGCAGTGTTTAAATTCCATATGTATAGCATTGCGTACCATCAATAAGTTCCGAAACACCGATATAGTACGACGAGGAGGGGGAAAAAAACTACCGAGACTCCGGATTCTGCGGATGGTTTTGTGGAGGAGGAGGAAAAATTAAACTATCTACATGACATTGAGCACAATACATACATGATGGCGGGAAAGGCGGCGGCATGTACTCTAATAAGGAAAGTGTGAGTGTGTGCGCGCGATGTGCGTCCACTTGAGTGCACTTTGTGCAAAGAAAATCTCCGATATGTCAAATGTCAGATGTCAAACTGTCATCCTTATGCGCCCTCCTGCACTTGTGTAAAAGAAAGAAGGAAAGAAATGGTACAAGGCTTGCCGGGGGCTTAAACGTCAATCATCAAGCTAGCGAGTAAGGCAAGGTAGCATGATGAGATGAGTATGGGGTAAGATAAGATGGAGATGGATGTACATTTGGTATCAGGTTCTGCTCCTGTAGATATAAGATCTACAATTTGATGTGCTTCGAATTGGGGCTGGGGGAGAAGCCAGCCTCGTATTGGTGGTAACGGTCAGCGAATTTATATTGACTGGTTGCTGGCCATGGTGGTGGGTGGGCTGTGCATTATGCTTGGAGGTTACTTAGTTGAAGGTTTGAGGATATTATATCATTGACAGAATATAGGCTGGCAACCTGCACCATGAATGGAGATTTATGATCACTCCGGGTGAGCGCGCTAATTTATGGTTTTGGTTCTCCGTGTTTTGTGTTCGGAGTTGTTGAAACACTTAGTTTTGGTTTATCTTTGACGACATGAGTGTCAATATTGGCAATGAGTTTGATTACCCAGTATGGAAACGAAGCATCATCTTTAAGTATATTAGCAACTGATGAAGTTTCGAGAAACACAGGTGAAGCCATGAATAATAGATGTTGTCTAAGGGCAGGATCTTCACATGCTAGTTCCCTACACCGGCCTGTCATCGGTCAAGCAAAGTATTATTATCAAGATAAGATTCTAGCTTTTGCACGTGGCCCTATCAGATAGACGACAACAGCACTAAAATCACAGTTGAGACAAGTGCAATGAGATGTATCTACACCAGGTATCAGGTATGTAGGGTAGATATCTAAAGTAGATCCCCATACCAGTTTCTAATGACTCTTGTTGTCGCCGAAAGAGCGAGACAAGACATGGAAGCTGCTGTTCCGACTGGCGGAGGCGATTCGCCGCACAGAAACAAGCATGGACCCTGCCTCTGGTTCAGCCATGTATTCGGTACTTTGCAGCTCATGTGCTACCTATCTAGGTATTGATACTGAGTGAATGAAGACGAGGCCATAACTTTTAATCGAGATGGCTATAGCTGCCCCCACCCTAAAGGATCGCCTCTGTAAGTAGACAGAGGACAGCTTTAATTTTGACATCGTTTGTGAGTGTACTTCCCTTTGTCCTTATGAGAGAACACCCGTGCCTTATTACAGCATAGCGTATCGACCCAACCTCAGATCGTCAGTCGAAAATATTCTTTTCTTCCTCTTAATTATCCTCGATAGCACGTGTTATGAATATATATATTGCCGCCTGCGCCTGTAGAGTAGACTCGTAGGGTTGGAGGTTGGAGGTTATGAGCGATCTCTTGCCACGCGTAGGGTTAGTCGTACGAGCAAGCTTCAATTGTCATGGCGGTGGCCCAAAAAACGAAAAATCCCATTTTTTTTTTGTAGGGCGCAACAAGAGGGAGTGTTTCTGACACCCACACACCACACCTATCGATTTTTTCTTTTTTCTGCCAGGTAGCGCCCACATCAATCACGTTCTCCCTGCCGAGCGGCAGGACGGCCCCAAAGAAAGGGACAACGTCCTGCGAATTATAATATGACGGATGGGCAGTGCCGGCGGGCAGGCAAGCTCTGTTTCCTCGAGCTTGGGAGATCACGATTTCACGATGGACCGGATAATGGGTTCTAGAGTACATATATGAGTATAAGTAATATCTACTCTACAGTACCTACGGTATTGTACTCTTCTGTAAGCCTCAAGAGAAGTGGGGGGATAGCCTAGGTAGGGTGAAAGGACTTACCTATTTACTCCATGCACATATTCGAGGTCGAAAGGCGGGTATTGCCTTAGTACGGGATGCATATTATCACTTGTCGATACTGACATCACGATTTTCCTACCGTTTGCTGTTGTTGTTGTAGTTACTTGGACCCTATTTGTTGTTACCTTAGGGTACAGAGTCACAGTGGTGGTAGTTCATGCAGGTGGTACCTGTACTAGTAGTCACCAATAGTAAATAGTACTGCACTCTGAAGAACTGTCATGAAGCTGAAGAGCACTACATACATATGTACATACATGCCATGAACTCACTTCGTCCACGTCTAGTGCACCACATGTTTAATCCTTCCTCAATTACACACCTAGATGATCTGTGGATACCATTGGGATTTGTTTTTTCATTCCTTGCTTGCGCTTTGCTCCCAGGTACGCAAGCAAGCACGCAAGCACGCAGCATCGTCCATAATTCCGAGCCCTATTATTGAATCTATTCCCGCACTGCACAGTGCACACCCTCCTGGTCCTTGCTTGCCTGCAATGTAGCATCATTCCCTTCTACCCTGCCTCACTTGCAATTGTAGAAAAGACTTTTAAAGTCGCCCAACGTGCATGAATTATATCCATTGAGTATCTGCGCTCCATCACGAGAGATCGGGTTGACAATTGCTCAAGGGATTCTTCACTTTCGTCCTCGCTTTTTAATTCTTTAGCTTTCTTACTACCTTTTTCTGCTTCTCTCACTCTCCCGATCTCCCCCGTCTTGTTGTTTCGTGGAAACCCGAGTCACGACGCGCAAATTAGACGGACAGAAACTTGCCCACTTGCCCACTTCTCTTCTCCCCCCCCGCTCGCTGCTGTTGGAAGTTGTCGCGGCACTTTATTCTTTTACAGCTTAGAGCGATATCTCCCACTTTCCAGACACCCTCCCTTGTTTCCGTAGTTCATAGGCACTAGATAGATAGTGAGCTCTCAAAGAAACCTCCCCCTCATCTTCAACCTCCCGCTTCTTGATTTATATCGCCCTGTGGCTTCAACCTCATTTCGCTTCTCGCACCCTTCTGCGCCTGGACTGACTCCAGTGACGACTCAAAAGAAGAAGAGAGGCTACCAAGGACCCTTACCCCACCTCCTTCCCTCCCCACCCACCTTGTGCAATCTCTACCAGCGCCTTAACTAGCTTCAGCCCTTTCGCCCCTTACCGCACGCCGGGGGGTGTGCATCTGCTTGTTACTAACCAGCTGTCCTCCCCAAAAAAGAATTTATTCATTCTACTGCTGCTGCCTGCCTGTTTGTATAATCTCTCTCGGTGTGCTCTGCGTCTTACTGGTTTTTCCTTCTTCTCCTACCTCAAACAGTACTCGTCATTCACTTATTTCTACCATCACGTTCCTACCTTCCCCCAACCACGCTGAGTTTTTTTAAAAAAGTCAGTGACATATATCAACTACGTACCGCTATTTCAAGGCTTCTTTCACCGCCACTGCTGCTCCCACACCCCCCCCCCCCCCCCCCTTGCCTGTCCAACAATCCCGCACAGACCGTCTTCCTCGTGTGGTCCTTTACTCCCCTTCCCTCTTCTCATCTGCAGCCCCGGATACATCTTCGGAACCCACAGACTCACAACTCCTCTTCGCGCGCCTCCAGACATCTGCAGCTGCGATAGGCGAAAAATCCTCCATCGACGGCTTCGAAAGCGCGCACTTTCCCGGCAGTGGAATTTACAGCAATAAAGCATAGCATCAATCGAATACCAACTTGCATAGTTGAAAACGAACTGAGAGCTCAGAGAGGAAAGAGCGACAGCAACGGAAGCGAAAAAGCAGCAGCACGAAAAAAAACAAAAAAACCCGCTATTCTATCCAACGGGAGAGGAACCGCATTCTACGCTTTCCCACCCCCCCCCCTCCCTTCCCCTCCTCTCTCCGCTGCCGCCATATAGAATCTGGCGCATTCCCAATTTAAAAAATGATAAAGGTGGGTCGCTCGCTATCGCAGCTTGTTGATTCAAAACGCAGCACACGAGATAGTGTCAGCGCAAGAGGAGGTCCAGGTGTTAATCGTGAGAAATCATTCTTCTCTTTTGAAAAACAGGGCATACGCAAATCACTCAAGGGCGATCATCACAAAACCGATTCATACCAAGGCCCCAAAATATCCCACATCTCCATCACCCCAAAATCAGCTGTTACAATACAACCACCAAAAAAGGTATGCTCTTTCACTTCTATTTCTTTCTTCCTATTTTCATTGTTTTTTGTTTTATCCTACCTTCGCGTCGCGCGAGACGTGGTGAGGTCATTGTCCTGTGCATTTGAGGCTGCTGGGCGGTTTCATTTGTCCTTAAGTAGGGCGCGGGCCGTTTCTCCTCGTGGTAGCTGCTTGGGGCTCTTGCGTAATGTGTTGGGATTTCATGATCTGAATTTCATTTGAATTATTTTTTTCATGCACTCGGCACCCCAGTTTATCGCTCGAGCCTGTCGATTCGAGACTCCTTCCTGAATAGCTGCTGCCCCCTGACGAGGGGGGGCGGAATGGGTCGGGGAGTCAGGGAGGGGGTGGGATAAATTGCTTTAATCAACGTCGCGCTAACTCGAACTTTTCTTCAGGTCATTCGATCGCTATTTGACTACAACGCCTCCAGCAATCAAGAGTTAAGCTTTCAGAAGGGAGATTTTTTCCACTTGGTTGGAAGAGAGTACGACACCGACTGGTACGAAGCCTGCAACCCCGCTACAAACGCCAGAGGTCTTGTGCCCGTGAACTACTTTCAGGTACTCGGGAAGAACGAACGTGACAGTGCCGACTCAAACGCGTCTGGTGCAAGCGACATTCTAAGAAGAGCAACAGACGCAGATTCAGGATACTCGGACCGATTCATGGGTACTTCAGATCGTGTAACGTCGGGGGGGACGGGAGTTGATGTCAAGAGAATGACTGGAAGTGGCAAGGGAGGCTCTCCTCTCTACGGTGTTGTGCTGTATGATTTTGCAGCAGAGAGAGCGGATGAGTTGGAGGCAAAATCAGGAGAAGCCATCATTGTGATCGCACAATCAGACAAGGACTGGTTCGTCGCGAAGCCCATCGGTCGTCTCGGGGGTCCAGGCTTGATTCCGGTGGATTTCATCGAGATCCGAGACATGGTAACTGGACAGCCCGTTGAGGATGCCCAAGCTGCAATTGCACGCGCTGGTGTGCCCAAGGTTGAAGAGTGGAAAAAGATGGCTGCCGAGTACAAGAACAGCAGTATCTCACTGGGGAAGTTCGAGTCGGACGAACCAACTCAGAGGCTGCAGCACATGTCTTTGAGCGAGCCCAATAGCTATGGAAATGGCACCAATAGCAATAGAAGTGTAAGACTATGTGAGACCATTTCATGCGCAGGATGAAGTCACTGACGTTTTTCTAGACCATGCAACAGGGATACGCCCAGGAACAATACCGTCATTCGAGAACACCGTCATCTCAAGGACAGCCGCAGCTTGTGGCGCCTGTTTCTGGCTCGGTGGACAGCTACTCGTTTGAGAATGGACGGTACTGGTACGTACTGAACGCGGTCATGGAGGATGGGAGACATTGGAGTCTATGCCGATTCTACGAAGATTTCTATGACTTCCAGATCGCTCTACTAGACGAGTTCAAGGATGAGGCGGGTCACACTGGGCAGCAGCGCATCCTACCTTACATGCCCGGCCCGGTTACCTACGTGACAGATACTATATCTGCCGCACGGCGACAGAGTTTGGATGATTATATCAAGAACCTTCTTGCTATGCCCTCTTATATTTCAAAGTCCGGATTGGTTAAGCAGCTTTTCGCGCCCAGACCTGGTGACGTCGACACGACTTACAGAGCATCTCAGCAGTATGACAACAGACAATCCACTGGATCACAGCAATCTAGTGATTCCTCCCGTGAGCCATCACGACAATCGTCGCAGGCCAATCTTAACGGTAACGGATACTCATCAATAGCACCTCCGTCGCGTACTTCAGTTGGCCGCATAGGTACCAATGTTATCTCCCAAGCGCAACAAGTTCAGATTCGTAGTGCGTCCGATCTCCAGCCCCCCCGGATGCTACGACAAGACAGCTCTATGAGTGCGCAGACACAAGGATCGAATGCCTCCCAGCCTGGCGGAATGATGAAGATTAAGATCACTTACAAGGACGATCTCATTGCTATTCGTCTGCCCAAAGAGGTTTCGTTTGCGCAATTACAGGACAAGCTGCAGGAGCGTTTGAACATACAATTGACAGAAATCGAGTACAAAGACGAACCGACGGGACAGATGGTTAGTCTTCAGAGCGACCAAGACTTGAGTGTTGCATTAAGCCGAAACCAGAAGCTCTGGCTGTATGCTTACAGCTAGATTACTCGCTACTTCACTATTTTCTTGTCTATTTTTTTTTTTTTTTTTTTTTGCAAGCTGGAGTTCTTTTCTTACTTAACCTTCAATGTAGTCTGTTGTTTACCAAGCTTTTTTCAAGCCCCATCCATCTCCTTTTTGTTTTGTGGATATCTTGTTTTGTTTTTTATGGGAGGGGTTCTGAACAATTACGATACGAGAAAACGAATTTTGAGGGTTCAATTTCCTTTTTTTTTGTTTTTCATTTTCTTAAAAACGTATGATATGGACTTTGGTTTTCATTTATTGTCACTTCGTGTCATATTTTGATTGCGCACAAATAACCCCTGGGGTGTTTGAACAGGTTTGTGATATCTAGGCTTACTGATCGAAGGTCGATCAGTGGTACAAGCAGGAAGTGGGACTTGGGAGTGGAAGAGGGGGTGTGGGCTTTTCTTGAATGACCAGTCGGCCTAGTCGGTTCATGCTTGGTTTGCAAGCACCGACGACATTGGTTTGGAAGTATCGATGATATTGGCACTATTCATCCGGAACGAAAAAACTGGTGGAACAATTTACATTAACTGTGGAGCATTGTAATCACAATGCCTCCGTACTATGCTGTCTCCTTTACTTTTCCTTTGTGGTTTACATCTACCCTTCTTACTCACCTCCGTTGTTTTCTAAAAATTCTTTGCCTTTCTTCCCCCCTCCGAGGATGTCCCACCAAGTCTTTTCTCATTGGCTGTTTAAACTGTGGATATGGTCGATTTTATAGCTATAAGGTGATTGGTTTGATGTTGGTTAGTTGTTCAGGGAGCACTATTCTTTTTTCTTTTATTTTACCCCTTCTTTCTTCTGGGTCCTTAATATTCTTAGGGCATGGAGTTTTCTTTTTTTCTTTCTACATTTCGTTGAGGCTGGCTGGTTCATGTACATCGTTTATATTATTTTTACCCGTTAACATTCCTCTCTCCGATCCGGGATCGAATCTTGCATCGTAAGTAGAGTAAGCAGATCGTGAAACTGTCTCATTTACCCCCAACCAGCAGCAGAGTACATACGTTGGGCACGCAATGCCGGCCATATCGAATAAACACCCAGCCTGCAGTGCACGAGATACCCACACCCTTACTGGTGGGGCCCGGATCGAACATGATGCTTAATTCTTAGTTGTCGTTGGGCCTGCACCAATCGTAGCACCTACATGTACATACTCTATTCTGCCATGCGATTCCCCTACCATGCCATGCATACCTAAGGCACCTCATCACGGACCACCCACAGACATGTGACCTTGCAATCATGTATGCACTGTAAATCCTGACGTATGGAACTAGCCGCATCTGCGTGGACGGGCCGAGTGAGATCTTGTGGAGTGGTGGTTTCATTGCCTGTTTTGGCTTGGGAGGGTCGCGGCGGTTATGGCTTCCAGGGAGAGAGGGTGCATGTGTGGGGGAAAGGGTTTTCAAAGTTATCGATACGCGCAGACACGGCAGTGGAGGTGGGAATATAACACCCGCTGGCGCCAGTTAAGCTTCACCCGCGCTTTGTCAGGAGTGTGGGAGGGACGAGTAGGGAGGGAGAGACATTGGCATTGGGGAATGCAGTTGGAGGGCGTGGTAGTGAGTTGGTCGGAGCTAAGAGGCTAAGACAGCTTGGCCTGTGTCTTTACTCTCGCCTAAGGGAAATTCGAAGGGAATTGGATTGAATATTGTGGGGAAATTTGCGGCATTTCGGACCAAGTTCATAATCGTGTGTATGTGTAACAAGGAAAAAAAGAAGCATTGGGCCTGGTTTCTTCTGAGATGGGATGAACACTAGCCTAGTTAGCAGGTGTTTCATGACTGAGACAGTGCCAGAACTTCACATCCCGTTTATCAACCATGTCTTTTTTAAGTTATCATTTCCCTTTGAACGTACCAACAACCCTTCCTCCACAATTTCAGCCCAGATGAATATCTTCTAAGGCATGTGGCTTGATTCTTTAAATATACTACCGAAGACTAATCATCAGTAGATGCAGCTAGAGGAAATCGATTGAGTATACGAAGCCCGTGTTTGCGTAGGCTAAGAAAAAAGAGTTCAAGACAAGGTGAGGACGAATTATACCGCCGCTCTCATGCTTTTCAAGCCGGTTTATCTATGCCAAGACGCGTACGCCCGAGCAGAAGAGTTTTCACTTCCCCTAGAATTTCGAGACAATAGAATCCGGGAAGTGAAGGGAGTGATTCCCGTAGTCAGATTGCAGCTGTTGGTGGCTAAACGATGGATGGAGGTCAATCTCCTTTCTTTCATGAAGAAACCTACGTTGTTGGGGTAGAGCATACACGCCTCTTCTTAAGTTGCTACTACTTTATATAGTTGGGGTCCGGGTGCTGCAGAGCAGTATGCACTGCGTATGCTTCCATCCGAACTATCTGCATTGACTTCCGAGTGATATTTTGTGAAGCAATGGTATTGCTTGAAAGTAAGCACGCAGTAATGTGTATGGGAATACCGCCATAACTCGAAAAATTGGCTAGATCAAAATTACTTCTATGGGAAACTTCTTATGCAGATCGATGCCATTCAACCAATCACTCGAATGGTAATCCCTGGACGGAGATAGCCAATTTTTCGAGTTTTGGCGGTACCTTTGTTTTAGGGGTATTCTTTAGTCATGTAATGATGTGTAGCTAAGGGGGGATATCTGTCTTCATGTGCTGGTAGGTGGTACTTGAGGCTTTAGTTAAGACAGTTTCTTAAGGGCTCGAATTAATACCTTGTCATATCATCCCTTTAAAAAGATTGAATCGTGTTCTTTAATACACTAGGTCCATTATTCTGCATGTAGCAGAACTTGCCAAAGTTATTCAAACCCTCCACAGTTCTGTGCACAGGCCTTGCCTACTATTGTCATTCCTTACAACTGGCCTTTGTTATCGTTCATTTTGATAACCGGCGCCCATCCAATACTATGTGAAGTACTGCTTGTCACGGGTGTCAGTCACTTGGGACGAGGAAAACATCAGGCCGGGCCCTAGAGCTAGAGGTCTACTAGAAAGGCCACTCAAAGCTTACCCTTCTCAGTTCCGAGTGTTCCCCATTCCCAATGGCACAGTTATTTCATTCACAAAAACTACCCATAGCTCACGCCGATGGGGGCGACTCAATTAGGCGTATAGCTATTCACCCAGACCTTGTCAATTATTGAACACCCACATAGCTGCGCATTCTCGAGGTATTCCTATCCCGAAAGCGATGATAACATCAACGTGACTTCCCTCTCAGGAAGCCCCGTAAAGTTCCGGACAAGATGTCCGTCGACCGCCGGAGGACACTGAAGTTTGAGATGATGTCTCAGTCCCTGTCTCGGCCCAAGATCAAGGCAGCAGCCGATGTATGGAGATCTTTGGTCTCAGATGGACATGTGGATGGCGAGGGGTACCGGTGCATGACAGAAGGAGAGACATCTGGGGGTGGAGCGTTGGCAGGCATGCAGGTGGACAGCATGTGAGGGGGACTTCATTCACTGGCCCATGTGTAGACTGGCCACATAATCCCATATTTGGCAGCCAAAGACGGCTTGAGAACAATGGTAAGGTAGAGAGATATATAGGGTTTCGGCTCGTGCAGGATCGACGCCGTGCATGCGTAGGATCGACGTCGTGGTGGGAATTTCTCTTTGGGGGGAAGGTTGTGCCGTCAGCTATTCTCTGGGGCGCAATCGCGGGGTCATTCTTGATCCTTTCTCCCCATACCACCTATCGACGATATGCTGTTCTTCTACAGCTGGGATATTGCTAGAACCATCTCGTATATTCCTACACCGACCACCTTCCAATCCACAGTATACTCATCCTCAATACAGGCTCGCAGGCTCCCCAATCTCCTCGAATCTAGCGGGGTAGATGGGTGTCTCAACCCCGATATCTCAGTTGAAGACCGGGGGAAGCGGAGATTTTTGGTTTTAGATGAGTATGTAGATGGCGAGGAGTACATTGACATCCGGACAGCATGTGGGACGCATGATTGAGCTTATAGTGACTTCGCTACAGAGTCTGCATCCTTTCCTAAAGAGACGCACTGTATACTGACTAAGGAATCTGTGGGAGACCAGATACGTGTACAGCGGGGGCTTTTCACGGGTCATTTTTGATCGAAGATATACTTGAGTAAGCACCCCACCAGGCAGGTATCCAATTGCAGTCAACTCCCCCAAAACCACGGTACCTGTACCTCTGCAGAAATGCTGTATGGATGTCTCATTCCTTGATCCAGTTTAAGATTGGGGGAAGCGGTAGATAAATATATGTAGATTCTGGGTTTTAGATGAGATGTATGCAGCTGGCGAGGAGTAGGTATTGGCTTGCAGACGGACGGGTAGCATGTGAAGGGTGGGGGGGTGCATATGCTTGGATAAGGCATCCTACATACATAGTCGACCGGCCAGATCTGCAGGTTTTGCGTCAACCTATTAGAGGTCAAGATGCTGGCTTCTCGCCTAGGGTAACATCTATGTACTGATTCAATCAAACGGACTGCGGCGGCTCACTACGCGCCCCCGTTCTTGCTGGAGATATGTTGGCCCACCGCTCTACAGCGAGAGATAGAATTATTGTAGAAACTGGGGGTCCAAAAACAGGGTTTAAGTGGCTGACTCGGCCAATAGGACTCTTCCCATACTTGTACAGTAATTTTACCACACGCTGTATCGAGTTGGCTCATAGGCCGAGTGAGAACCTGTGAATTAGATTCGTTGCAGTTTGGGTCTGGGAGCGGCGGATATATATATATATGGTGATCTAGGGCTGTCTATAGGCACATATGTAGTTCGAAGGGGAAAGAAGAGGTGTCATGCAAGTCTACCCTGCGTCTTTCCTTGCTGCGAGCACCCTATATAATGTATATACAAACACCGCTAGGTCTCAATACCTCCGCTAGAGTACGTCCGCTACAAATGGTGAGAAGCTTCTGGCTGATATGGGAACGGCTACTGGATTTTGAAATGGGCTCTATTGGGTTTGCTTTTCTTTCCCCGGCCACTTGTTGATACATAGGCTTAGCAGGAACTAACGCGAAACGAAGAATGCTGCTCCTCCCTCCTCTTAGTGTACTACTGGCTCTACGGGAAGACTGCTCAGCAGTTGAGGCCGTTTCACGCTACGCAGACATGATAGATACTCTTTCCTCTGGGAGAGAGCTGTGGTTAGTAGTATTTCGCTCCCTCGGCCGGCCCCCAACTGCTGTCGAGCTTTTGTTTTGCGATTCCGGGGCTAGACGTTAGTGGAGAAGCGTTCATTTCCCTGCCCGCCCCCACGCAGAAAGGCTCTGATATATAGAGCTACACTGCCACGGTACGTGACGGTACCAGGCTGTTTGTTTTGCCCGCTCTCCACTGTTGTCGCAAATCCTCACCATGCCAGGTTGGAGCCCGCCGAACAACCATCTGGTATAATCGTACCAGCGGAGGAGGAGGAGGAGGGGGTCCAATTGACCGCATGCAGCAGCCGCATAACCACGCAGCTAAAGAGCCCTGTTCCGCTGGGTTCGGCTTTTGGGGGATTCGTCGTCTTGTAGTATAGGCAGGAAGTATAGAGAGGCTATATCTAGCTTCGATGCTGATATGTGTGTGTATTTCGGCCGGCTTTGCTCGCGGGTGTAATCCAGCCAGAAGATCGAACAAGATAGTATAGTCATGCCAAAGACAGCACGACGGTAATGGTGCTAGGTACCCTTTGCTAAAGATAAGTGGCCATGGTTCTGGGCTGTGCCTAAGTGTTGAATCTGGAGGCTGGTACTTTTTTTAGTATGAAGCTCCTCTGGTGCTTTTCTAGCGGTGGTTTCTTTATCATGGAGCTGGAATGGCGGATCTTCTCCGGTACTCAAGAGGAGGAAGACAAGCGCTGGTTGTATCGTCACGAGGGTTGTTCAAAAGGCCAATAGAGGCACTATCTTTGTTGATATTGAGAGCCAACTCATCGGAAATAGTGAATCTGATGTTGACTTGGGTTTCGGGGGTCGCTAGGTTGGAGTAGGGACTCTTTTTGACTCTTTTCCTGGTGGATATCGGATATTGGGCTTCGTTGGTCTTTCGGTGTATCTTTGTTTTGTCTGTGAGTCATTTCGTTAATATCTGTATCTAAGGTTAGCACACTGTGAGAAGGTTTATGATCACAGTTATTTGAGTTAGTCACTAGAATCACAATGGACGAGAGAATTAGAGAGGCTTTTTTTTAGGCTGTAGAGTTTTTATTTCTACAGCTAGACAAGATATAAAAAACGACAATAAAAAAAAAAAAAGGAAAGGGAACACCCCATTATTCCCATCTCATCCCCATATCACCCCACCACCACCACCACCAACACCAACACCGTCCCTACCACCCCACCACACCCCAAAATTAGCAGCTCACAGCTCAAAGGGAAGGAATTCTACATACCTCAAAAAAGAGAAAAAAGGAAGGCCGTTCTCCTCGTCAGAGTAATCGGAATCGAATTATACCCAAATCCCGCGAAGGATAAGGGCACGCCGCGTATTGCACTAAAGTGGCTTCACCCAACAATCTTTGCATTGACTCCCACAGGGCACACCCCACACCCCCCACCGCCTCCCCCCACCTCATCCAACCCCCGAAGAACACCAACCCCACCAAGACTCCCCCTGACGGGGAGTCAAGATGAAGCCGGACGAACTGGGAGCAGGCGAGAGAGAGAGGAGTAGTGAAGGAGGGGGGACCCTTGTTTTCTGATGTCGCCGCAGGAATGAAAGAATCACCCCAGGCCCTCGCGGGCCGCCGCGAGCGAGAAAGCAGAACCTTCCCGCAGCGGTACTTTGATGAAAAGAGATTACTCCGAATTTCTCATTTGCGTGGATTGTGATGGCGGAAACACAAGCATATGGACTCCGCTCCCCCGGTGGGGGGGAGAGGTGTGTGTGCTTGGTTTCCTCATCCGTGTGTGAGCAAAGAAACGCAGCCTTGACGAGGAGAACGACCAACGGGGGAGGGAAAGGCGGGGTGAGGGGTGGACGGCGGCTTTATGCGAAGGCGTGCCAAGAGAAAAAGATGGGTGCTGGGGTTATGGCGAGTTAGGGCATCTGGGGGGTGGGACCTAACCGCCACGGTATCTAGAGCAGGACAGAGGATTGGGTCAAGAGAATTCACTACGGCATGCAGTTGCGGTAGAACTATATGTAGAAGCACAGCGAGAATTGCATAGCTGGCAGAAGAGTGGAGTCACGCATGCATAGCTGCACCTATCTGGCTCTGAATGCCTATCCACGACTGCAGAGAGACCCCGAATGCCTATCCACGACCGCTGAGAGACCCCGAGTGCACAGGCCAATCAATGAACCCCCAACCGCCCCCCTCAAGCCCATTGTGGGCCACTCTCCTCGCTGCCGAGTGACTGCCCGTGATTGCTGGACTGTTGACATCATGGCGCTTAGTGTTACACAAGGCACCCGCACCCGCACCCGCGCCCGCGCCCGCAGCTACGTTCAAGATCCGACTTCTCTTCTTCTCCACTTCACAGACACAAACCTTCAACAAACAACACCACACACACCACACACGGAGCATGGAATCACGACAATAGCTGGATCTCTATAATCCCCTTTACCTGAGTATGTACAGAATCCCATTGTCCCCTCCTCCTCATCGCAGAAGAGAAGAGAAGAGAAGAGAAGAGAACGAGCTCTAACCAGCAAAGCTAGACAACACCCAACAGCTCCCCTCACATCACCACCACCACCACCACCACCAACCCCCACCATGAGCCGCACCAACCCCCCCAACTCCTTCTTCGCCACCAAAGCCCTCTCCCTCCGCTCCAACGCCCTCAGCGGCCGCAGCAGCCCCTCCTCCTCCCTCCACAGCGCCCCCGGCGGCGTCGCAACCTTCATCAGCTCGCGCAACCACCGCCCCCCGCCCTTCCAGCAGCGCCGCCACCCCACCGACCCCGGCTCCTCGGACGAACCCGACGAGAGCGGCGGCGTCGGCGTCGGCGTGGGCGTCGGCATCGGCACCACACCGCACTACCGCCGCTACGAATCCGACGAGGAGGAAGAAGACGACGACGAGGACACTTCCAGCTCCGTCCCGCCCGCGCCCGAGGAGGACGAGACCTACGACGACACCCGCTCGCGCGCGTCCACGCCGCGCCAGCGCCCGTCGTTCCCGCAGGCGCAGACCCAGGCGCAGAGGGCGGTGCGCATCCCGGACTTTCAGCAGATGTTTGGCGCGCGCGACGAGGACGACGTGTTTGACGACAAGACGCCGAGCTTTGACGACACGGTGGCATCCCAGCAGCCGCAGCCGCCGGGGGGCGGCGGGAGGATGGAGCATATGAGGTTGCCGGTGCCGATGGGGGACGCGCCGGCGCCGTGGGGGAAGAGGGAGGGGAGTGAGGAGGTAGTGGAGATTAAGCCCGAGGCCTTCTTGACGCAGCAGCAGCTACAGCAGCAGCAACAACAGGGGAGGAGCGGGTTTGAGAAGGTGACGAATACGGAGATGCGGCTGGAGGTTGCGGCGTATGATGATGATGAGGAGGAGGAGGTACGCGGGGGGCACGGGGGGCACGGGAAACGGGCGCCGCCGCCGGTGGCGAGTGAGTCGGAGTATCGGCACGAAACGGAGGACTCGTACGCTGCGAAGCAGGGCCGCGAGGAAGACGACGAGGAGGAGGACGAATACTACATGAACGAGAACGACTACACCGACGAGGACGGCAGCGACTACGACGAGCGCGAGCTGCAGCGGAAGGCGGGCCCGGGGCTGTGGAGTGATGCGAGCCCGACTATGTCTACTAGTCGGGGCTGGTCACGGTCGGGAACTAGCAGGAGTAAGGGGTCGCCGGAGAACGTGCCGCCGCAGAGGAAGAGTGAGGAGCTAAGGTATAGTGGGGGTGGGGGTGGGGGGAAGGGGAAGGGGAAGTCGAGAGAGAGAGAGCGGAAGGACCAGAATTATGGCGCGCAGAGACTTGGTAGGTGTTTTTTCTACGTTTATTACTTGGGGTGTTTAGTGGACCTTGTGGAATCAGTGCAACTGGTTGAACACCAAAGCTGGATGCAATGCCCCCCATAACTAGAACTATTACTAGTTATTGTCTTCGGCGGGCGGGATCGAGCTTTGATATTCGCCCAGCTGCATCGAATCCACAAGGCCCAATGAACGAATCCCCAAGCACAGACCGACCTACGAAATTACTAACCACCAGACACTCCAGACTTCCGCCCCCCAAAGCCCACCGTCCTCCCCCTCGCCGTCCGGCGCCCCGTCAGCGACCCCGCCCTCGACCTCCAACTGAGCCCCCGCACCCGCAACCTCTCCATCCAATCTGCCGTCATAAACACCGAGATCGCCGTCATCCCCGAACGCAAGTCCAAGTCCAAGTCCAAAGACGAACAGGTACCCATCCCCCCCCCCCCAATCCCCCTCCCCTCACACAACACACCACAAACACTAACTCTACCGCCCTAAAGCCACGGCGCATGATCACAACCTCCACAACCGACATCGACCTCCACAACCTCCTCCCCCCCACCGAGCTCTCCACAATCCGCACCTTCCCCGACCTCCTCACCCACCTCTCCACGCTGCGCTCCAAATCCCACACCACCATCCCCGCCACGCAGCTGCCCGGCGAGATCGACGAGCTGGCGCGCTCCTACTACCCGCACGACCCGCGCGTGCCCGAGCGCTTCTTCAACAGCCTGGACGACCGCCAGCATGCCGCGGCCGGCGAGTATATATTGGGGAGGAAGAGGGAGATGGAGAAGCAGCTGGAGGGCGTGGTGGCGAAGAGGAGGAGGGTGGTGGAGGGGATGGTGGCGGAGGTGGCGGCGGTGGCAGAGGTGAGGGTGGGGAAGTTGGGGAGGACGGAGGAGAGGAGGGAGGTGCTGAAGGGGGGGGTGGGGAGGATGTTGAGGGAGGCGGGGTTGTGGTTGTAGTGGGCCCCGGGGGGGGGGGGGGGGGGGAGGTTGCCCGGTTTGCTTTTTCTTTTTCTTGACTCTTGAGCCTGTGATGATGATTAATACCCATGCCTATAACCATGATCATGTATTCGTCGTGGTTTGTTTCGCTGGTTACAGATGTAGCTACCTTCTTATATAGCTAGTTAGTACTTAGTACGATACTCGTTGGGCTTGCAATATACCATATATTGGTCTGCTTACATGCAATCATCCTACACTGTACTACTTGTATCCCGTTGACTCTATGACTCCATGATCATACCACCACCGCTGGCGGTTCAGTAGATATCCCGCCGCGGAGAGTAAGTACTTGAAGTAAAATCCTAAGTATTACCCCCCCCCCCCCCCCCACTGTTAATGGATCTGGTATTGGTGTGGCTCTGTTTGTCGTTGTTGTAATTGCAGGTTTTGTTGGGTCTGGTAGCCGTGGGTTAGAAGCGTGCTCGTCGTTTTGCTGTTGGAAGAGCCCGAGATGTCTGTACACAAACCCATATTGACGGTGTTTCCAAACCCGCCAACTTGTATGATCTACTCGTTACTGGGTTATAATCGAAGGAAGAAATCTCAGAGCTCAGACTGTCCGTCGGGAATGACCATACCCCCTCCTGCCTAGATACTTAGGGCTTGGCGGCTTACTTTTACAGCAGAAAACAAAAAAAGAATGCTCTAGTTGGGGGTTGAACCCAAGCTTCCCTGCGGTTTTATAAGTTTTTAATGTTTTTGGTGAGGGTGTGCTACCGTTACACTACCAGAGCTTGGATGTATGTGTGTTTGGGGGGGGTTATGACTTGGGTGAGAATGTGTTTGTGGGGGCAGGTTTGGAGGGGACGCGGGGTGGGAGGGGGAGGTAGGGGTTGGGGGAAATAGCTCTATGCTAGTTTTAGATACTGTGGCCAGAGTCGCTGCTTTGTTCTCTCGATGATTTCTGGGCTGGTCGGTCTTGAATCGAACTGAACGGGCTGGATGGACATCACTAAATTATGGTCAATTTATGGACTACTATATTGCTTTTAAACTCATGATTACATGTACCTGCTATTGATAAATGACTGGCTCTTTGAATCGTCTCGTGAGCAGATATCTGGCTAGGCTCTATCCGCTCTGTACAATAACTAGCTGCCAGTTTTCTCCCATGTAACTTATGGCACTAATAAAACCATTTCCTAAGTTTTTTGGGCTGCTTTTTGTCATAATACGGTTACCAAATTGACTCGATAGTACGTGCCGTGTTCAATGGCCCACTCCTACTGAACCGTAGTAATAAAACCGGTTCTGATATCATTGGCCTCTGCCATGATCTACAGTCTAACCCGAGGCGGATAGATGGTCCCTAGAGATTGTTATCTTATCAGATCTCCCCAGATCTCCGCCACCCCGGCCCCAGAACCCAAATACATGAACGTGTTAGCCTTGGCGCACCGATCACACCGCGGCAGTCTCGAGAGATGTTCAATCCCAACAAACACACCCACACTTCACCCGCGCGATCTGAATCTCAGCGTGTGCACACAGGAGTCTCTCCCACCCTTCACCACACATCACCCGCCACTCTCTTCCCCTACAGCAGCCTACAATGTCGCTCGCCGCTGGGCGCCGGAAGATCCTTATGGATCTTCTCTTCCTCGCCGCCGCCGTTCGTCTCTCTCTCTCTCTCTCTCTCCGCCCCTTACACCCCCTTCTTTTTTTAACCACTTCCTGTACTGACAAGCAGTAGCAAGTCTCGCTTTACTACTTTATGAAATGGGTCATCAACTACCGCGACCCCGACCGCGAGCGCAAGGAGCAGATCAAGAAGAAGTCCAACGCAATCCTGCGCCGCCTCGACCAGAACAACGACAAAAAGGGGGGCGGCCGCCTGGACAAGCTCGTCCTGAGCTCGTACGAGAAGACGATCCTGACGGAGGTCGTCGCGCCGGAGGATATCCATATCAGCTTTCAGGATATTGGCGGGCTGGAGAACATCATTGAGGAGTTGAGGGAGAGTGTGATCTATCCTCTTACTACGTATGTTTTTCTTTCCTTCTACTGATATAGTGGGCGATTGGTTGTTTGGTTGGTTTGTGCTGATGAATGGGTGTCTGTGTGGATATAGACCGCACCTCTACTCCGCGACCTCATCGCTCCTCTCCGCCCCCAAGGGCGTCCTCCTCTACGGCCCCCCCGGCTGCGGCAAAACCATGCTCGCCAAAGCCCTCGCCCACGAGTCCGGCGCCTGCTTCATCAATCTTCACATCAGCACACTAACCGAAAAGTGGTACGGCGACTCCAACAAGCTCGTCTCCGCGGTCTTCACCCTCGCGCGCAAGCTCCAGCCCACCATCGTCTTCATCGACGAGATTGACGCCGTGCTCCGCTCGCGCAGCAGCCAGGACCACGAGGCCAGCACCATGGTCAAGGCCGAGTTCATGACGCACTGGGACGGGCTGCTCTCGGCCAGCCCGACAACGGGCGCCGCGAGCCAGATCCTCATCCTCGGCGCTACCAACAGAATCCAGGACATCGACGAGGCGATCCTGCGGCGGCTGCCGAAGAAGTTCCCGATCAACCTGCCGGACGCGACGCAGCGCCGGCGCATCTTGACGCTGATACTGCGCGACACGAAGCTGGCGGAGGGGTTCCGGTTCGATGAGCTTGTTGCGCGGACGGCGGGGATGAGCGGCAGCGACCTGACGGAGGCGTGTCGCGATGCGGCGATGGTGCCGATTAGGGAGTATATCCGGACGTTTGCGGGGAGGAAGCTCGAGGGCGTGAATAGGGACGATGTGAGGGGGGTTGTGAATGAGGACTTTTTCAGGCGGGGGAGTGGCGGGAGGAGGCCGGTGGAGGAGGAGCTGGCGGGATTGGGGAAGGTCATGATGGAGGTGAATGAGAGGATTGAGGAGTTTGAGGCAGGGGAGAGGGTGGATTAGATAGATGGGGAATGGGGAGGGCTAGCTAGCTAGGTAGATAGATGGCTGGTGTGAACGATTTGCTGCTTCCTTCCTGTGTTTGCGTTCTTGCGTTCTTGCGTTCTTTGGTGCTTGGTGCCTGATTAATTGATTGATTGATGGCTCTGGGAAGGCATACATGTATAATGTGTTACGGCGCGTAGTTGGTTGTTTAGTACTCTCTTGTTCTGTGTCTGGTAGACGAGGGGAAAGATTGAGAGGGTCAATATTCATTTTTCCGTTTTCTTTTTTTTGACCGCCTTTATCTACAATAGAACCTCCCTGTTTCATTGTGGCTCTGGCTTCTGGCTCTGGGAATTTGGGGAGGGTGTTTTGGGCGGGTGGGAAAAGTGTTGTTTCATCTGAATGTAGCCAATTAATATATACATCTTTGCAATTCAGGATGGAGACTTGGAAATGGAATATAGTTTTTTGTTATTATTGGCTACATGATAGCTGTGATAGTGTGATGGCTTTTGGATACTACTCTATTTGGTAAGCTTGTGTAAAAGTATGAAGTTATAATACATGTACATGATAATACGGAATATCCCCATATCCCCAGCCTGGGGCACAATAATAACCAATGCAGTTAGAGAGTACAGCACTCCCATTTCTTCTGGTACTGTAATGTTTCCATAGCCTTGTTTGAGTTTTAGTTAAAAAGGACAACTTGCTGTTCCTGTTGGCCCTCTAGCCAGTGAGTCAGAGCAATATCCCCACCCACCATTACTTCATCCACAGTCTCCAAATCCTATATCGTTGAAGCTTCAAAGCTCATGTACTACCCCCGAGTCTAGCTAGTCCACGAAACCCTAACCCACAGTCTTAAACCCCTGTGAGGCTCCCCACGCCGCGGAACCCAGTCCCAATCAGATAAGATCTCCCCGCGCGCCACCATCTGTAGAGTAGACCCTGAGCGAGGTTGAGTCCGCATACAGATTCCCAGACATTTGTCCCCAAACCAATCCGTAAACCTCCCCGCCAACCCTCCCAACCCCACGACCGACTCGGCCGGGACACGCGGCGTCTGGTGTGTTCTAGAAGACACACGCAAACGAGGCGAAGCAGCTGACAAAACCTCCCCCCCACGAACCCACGAACCCAAGAAGCACAAGGCTCAGCTCCAAGAAAAAAAGTCCAAGCTCCCAGCTAGCTAGCTCAGATATATAACGCCCCCGTCCCCGCAAGAAACGAGATGGCAGACACACCTACACCACCACCTCCACCGCAAAAGATGAAGCAGGCCGATATAGACCTCGACAGTGTGCAGTCCATCGGGAAGCACTGCGACCTCCCCTCGTGCCACAGACTCGATTTCCTGCCGTTTAAATGTGAGTCCTGTTCTGGGTAAGACCCCCCCCCCTCTCCCCCCCCTCCCCCTCTCCCTCACCCCCTCCCCGTCTGAATGCTGACAATCGGGGGTGGACAAACAGAACCTACTGCCTCGACCACCGCACCGAAACCGCACACAAATGCGCCCACGAAGGCCGCTGGGCCTCTCTCCGCGCGCCCAAACCCTCCACCACCACCCCGAGCACTCCCAAACCCCGCTCCCTCCTAGAGGGCCCCTGCGCACACCCGTCCTGCAAAACCACCATCAACACGGTGCGCGACCCGGGCGTCAACTGCGTCACCTGCCGCCGCACCTACTGCCTCGCGCACCGGCTGCAGGACTCGCACAACTGCGACAGCATCAAGCCGCCGTCGACGGGGTCCAGCAGCACGGCCGCCGGCCACGACATGGCCAAGGCCGCGCTGTCGCGGTTCAAGGCGTGGACGGCGAGCAAGAAGGAGACGCTGACCAAGAGCAGCAGCAGGGCGCCGAATCCGGTGGTGGAGCTGGCGAAGCTGCGCAGGACGGCGAAGGGCGATGAGAAGATCCCCGCGGAGAAGAGGGTCTATGTGTATGTGGAGGCCGAGGCGAAGTCGACGAGTAGTAAGTTGCCGAGGGGCGAGTTTTGGTATGGGAAGGATTGGACGGTAGGGAGGGTGTTGGATAAGGCCGCACAGGGGCTGCAGGTCGCGAATGTGAATAATAGGGATGACGGGGAGGAAAAGAAGCTTAGGGTTTTCCATGTGGAGGGCGGGAGGATGCTGGAGTTTGGGGAGAAGCTGGGGGATGCGGTGGTGAGTGGGAATACGTTGGTGTTATTGAGGGGGGTCAAGATTGTGGATTTGTTGGTGGAGGAGTAGAGTAGTAGAAGCTTCAACTTGTGGTTTTGCTTTCTTTTTCTGGAGGTTTCTTTTGCTTTGCTGGAGCTTTCTCGGCGAGGTTGGCGAAGCTTAGCGGGGGGTTGCGTAGATCTTATTTTTCATCTTTTTCTTTCTTTCTCATGTTCTTATCATTTATATATATAATCCTGAGAGGCAAACTAGCTAGAATATTAATAACAGTTAGTGGATCAGTCGGTCTCGACTTGCGAGTGATATCTGATGCATGGATGAAACATCATCAGAAAACAACGTTAGCAGTAAACGGAAATCCAGTCTCGTAGGGAAAGTCCATGTTGGCTTTTTATGTCTAAATTGTAGACTATCTTGTGGTACAAAGATTTAGGCATCCAATGCGACTTCCACGTGATGCTGTTGAAGAGATACGGAATTTCTGAGGTGGAGGTGCAGTATCTTGCACAAACACAAAGCTACGGCAGCCCAACCCAGAACCTTGCGTAGCTTCTTCTTCTCGATCCGAGGACGGCGAGAAAGAAGAAAGATACCCCGTTCCTCGAAAAGTACCTCCGCCGTAGAATGGTGGAAGGCGCTGCATGCGCTCTATGTGATCGGGGCCCTCTTTCCCACTATGTGCGGTGATCCAGGGCATCATTGTGGCAGCGCGATCGAGTATTGGTGCCATATTAGAAGGCATCCAAGACCGTTGAATTGAGTTGATACCCAGAATAAATTTCCTAAGCTCGAGGCAGTCGAACAACTTTCTCCGGCGTGATCACGCTTTTTCAACCTCTCGCTTTCTTGACGTATCGGTTGCTCAGTACTTGGACGGCCACGGCTTATAGACGAAGGCTTTCCAAAGCTTCGCGAACGGAGGTCCACTCACGAGTAGTGATGGGTTTGATGGGTGATGTTCGGGCTGATGTTTGTGGGAGGTGGAAGCTTGGCGCGAGTGATGGGTTGTGATGCCGTGAGTCAGTTATCCACCTCCGTCCCATCTCCAACGTCTGTCACATCTCCAACGTTCGTCCCATCTCCAACGTCCATCCCATCTCCAACCCACGTCATCATCATCGCAACTACAAGTATCACCACGATCACAGACTCAAAGCTTTGTCTCTTCCATTAACGGCAATCTTTATCACAGCCCAAATTATAGATAGACCCATCAACCACTGCCAATCGCATCACTAAGAACCCAGGATAGAGGCGTTTACTTGCTCTGCCAGCGCAATTTCTTTCTGCTCGAGCAAACGGTACGTGTTTTTCTTCAATTCCTTGATTTCTAGCTGGTAATCACGCCTTTTACTCCACATATCCATACGCATTCCAAGATCTTCATGCCAGAACGAGACCATGCCCCTACTCCTGTCCAAACAAATTCGTTTCTTGTCACGCTCGCTCGTGATTTTCTTTCTATTTATCCCCCTCCCCCATGTCGCATCTTCTACTACACCCACGTGTCTTATCTATACGTCGTTCTTTAAGTGAGCACGCTCCAACTCGCAGAGTTATTGATGCTGACAAACATGGAAATATAGGAGCAGCATCCTAGACCACCAATGAACGTCCATCATCCGAAGAAAAACCTATAACCACCTTATCTAGTGAGCGATTAATAAGGCCTAGCAGCACAAACCTGGCAAGCAGAGACAATGAGCAGAACCCGCACTAAATACCACCTAAGAAGGCTTGAAAATCACAAGCCAACTAACTAGCTCCACAAGCCATTCACTTCCTCCATTTCTTTACACGGCACCGATCTAGGCAGCGGAAAGGATCGCTGTAAGCCTAGATAGCACTTTGGCATGGCATCGCCGCACCCCGCTCCCTTTATTTCCATTTCACCACACTACAATTCCAGAAGTATTGCAGTCCCCCCCTCCCCCTTCCTTTCGTCTCGTCTCGGTATAATACACATTCGGGTAGGCTGTAAACCTAGATACTGGCCCTTGGTCACGGCATCTTCACACGGCCACACTTAGCTAGGACATTCACGGCGGCACAAAACCGTTCTTATCGGCGATAAGCCACGGCCCACGGGTTCATGTTTGAAATGCGGAGGTTGGTGGGACCAACCGCTTAACCTACGGCCGGCCCAGTGAACGCAACAAACCCCGCCGGGGCGGAACCCTTATAGAAAGACTAACAGGGCCGACACTCCACCTAACACAACTACTAAACTAGACCTCCAACCCATACAAATGCTCCCGCTCCCACTATCCACCAAAAACGCCGTATGGAAGTGTTTCCGGACCATGTTTCCCGAGTCGACAAACGCCCCGAGTGATCATCCATGAGGGCGGGTATATCCGTCACAACCAGTCACTCGATGGCTAGCGTGTTGGTTGGAACCAACCCAACTACCAACCTGGCGTCTCGCTAGAGCAACAACCACTTTCTATCTTCCCCCACCCTTCATCCCTCACCCTCTTAACAGCACACCCCCCCAGAGCAGATCTACATATACGCGATTCATCAAAATACCCCGGTGGAGACACAAAAAAAGCAAACCCTCACTAAGCCAGGCCAAGGTCACACAAACCAAGCACAGCCAACCGATCATGAGTCTTGGCGGTACGGGTGGTGATCGCGCACACATGATGTTCCCCCTCGGACGGGAAGTATTATCTACATCATGGCTTAAGTCTCCTACTCGCAGCAGGTAACAAGTACCCGAAAATGCACGTCCTAATCTGCAATTTCCATTGGAGTAGAAGTCAAAAATACACCAAAAACTTGCAGCTGCATATTCGGGTACTTCATGCCTGTCGCGAGTACTATAACGAGCGGGGTTATTCGGAGGCGCTGGGAGCGGGGGAGCACTTCCCCTCACTTTTTTCAGCTTGTGAGGGTTGTGCCGTTGGTTTTTGCTTATTATGCATGGGATGGATCATGTAAAGTCTGCAGGAGTGGGGAGTCATCGATGACGTGCACTGTACTAGTATTTTTTTCTCTTCATATCTCGTCAAGGTTTGGAATAGAGTCTTTTAGCTGCAATAGTTGGACAGAAAGTCGAGCACTTCGACAAAAAATCCTGCACATTTTGTTGGTTGAACGACTGCAAGTCTCTTCCGAAAACAGCTAGACTTTCTGTCCAACCTGCTCGACTTTCTGTTCAACTCGCGCAGCTAAAAGACTCTAATGATGGTCTGGACAGATATTGTTTGGTTTGAGTTTGTATTGTACGAGTGATTCTCGATGAAGCCATGAGATTGCTGATAACATCTAAAGTAGTTACAAAGAATAGCCAGGTGTAGAAACAAAGCAGCTGCGCTAAGCAAGAACGCCATAGAAATATACCCAAAGAACCGCATAAAAGAAAAAAGAAAAAAGAGATAACAGAGTCACAAAAGAGATCCATAAACCTGGCTAAAGGCCGTCTGTCTGTTCGCTGGTTGAATTATTCGGTCTAATAGTTTCATAAACGGATCCGTTCGATCAGAAGATTGGCATAGCCCTTTTTGACCTTGTACAGCTCAGCAAAGCACTTCACTAGAATTCATCATCAGGGCCGTCAGCTCTATTGGCAACAGACCTAGTAAAATGCATGAAACCGCTCGTGACTTTCATAGGTGGCTTCGGAACCAGGATTCCCATATCCCTTAGCGCATCTCCAATCGTCGTGAAGGTCGTCCCCCAATCGTTTACCAGCTGCCCGTTAAGGTTCTTAACCTTCGGATCAGCCCCATGCCTGAGCAACGCCCTGAATGTCCTTCCGTTGCCATATGCTGCCGCCCAATGAAGTGGTGTCCTCCCCTGGTTGTCTGCGGCTGTGATGTCGACGCCCTTTCCGACAAAATAGTTCACTGTCTCAATGGTCCCCTCCGTCGATGCCAGGTGGAGTACATTCCTCTTGTCGTCAGTAATATGGTGCACGTCGGCACCTTCCTCCTCAACCAGAATCTTGATCACCTCAAGTGACTTCTTTGATGCCGCCCACATAAGTGGGGTCCTTCCCAATAGACAGGCAATGTTCACGTTTGCACCGGCTTTAATGAGCTGCCTGACGAGATCCACGTCGGCCCTTGTTGCTGCGCGGTGGAGTGCGGTCTGTCCTGACCGATCCAGTATGTCGATGGCCTTCTTTTCGACGGTAGCTTCCTTTTCGAGGAGAATCTTGACGATTGGCGGGTTGTGCACCACCGCCCATTGAAGAGGTGTCAGGCCGGCGTTGTCCAGGAGGGTCATGTCTGCATCAACGCTGAGTAGCAATTTAGTTGTAACTACGCTGGATTCATCTCCGTTCCTGACTCCCCAGTGAAGTGGGGAAAGACCAAGGCTATCTTGGTGGTTGATATCGACGCTATTTCGGCCGATGAGGTATTTGACGAAGTGGTTATCCTTTCGCCGGATTGCCCAGGAGAGGGCTTTCCAGTCGTCTTTGTCTTCGACTGCATATTTCTCCCAACGAGGTTCCAGGATTTGATAGAATCTTTTGCATGATTGGGAAAGGAAGTTGAGACATTTATGGTCTGGCAAGACGTCGGCTATTAGCATAATCAGCTCGTATGGAAGATTCTGCAAAGACATTTTGTAAGTTCAAGTATGCGACGAGGCAAATGATGAGAGTATGGGTATGTGTGAATCGTCTGTCAGTATCTGTGAAGGTGGAAGGTTTTCTGGGAGGGGAACAATCCTACGCATATAAAGAGGTGGGGGCAAGCTCAAGTATTTAATGTGTTCCTCCTCCTCAAGCCCCTTACATATAATTGGAGCTATATTCAGCAGAAACCAGCATTGAAAGCGTAGACTCGTAGGGTGTGCGAAATACTATGTCTCCAATAACATGACGTTTCAGTGCAGGAATCAATCAAGATGTTCTGCCGAAGTGAATAATCATTTTAATTCATGTCGACCAGAAGAAACAAATATCATGTCTCACTAGTCTTGCTTTAGTCCTGTCTGCCAGGGTGTATGTAGTAGGAGCACGTGCTCGGTGATGCAGTTGTTGCTTGTTTTTTTTTCGGAACCTTATCCGACCGGACGGTCTCGACCTCTCCTCATGAAGAGTTTTGTCAATTAGAACTAGCTTCTCTTGGATTCAAGTCGTAGATAACATGGTGTTATAGGTTGAATGGAACCGGGATCAATGTTTCAATCGTTTCATAGGATTACTACGTTGTTCTTGAAGCCAACACTCGGGTTTCGATCCAGATCTGCAGCTAGGATCGGGTGGAATATACAAAGATAAACATGAGTTGGGAGAATGACGACAGGGTATCGGTCAATTCTATCGAATACAATGTCTTAAAGAAATCCTTGAACCCAACATACCTACGCAAGGCTATGGAGAATTGGATTGCATGGATCGACCAAAAACACCTGTGCAACGGTAAATAAATTTATCTAGGCGAGTAAATGTACTCGGTGTCTTTGAGGTACATACATCCGGGCCGGCTGGGCCTTCAACAGTGATTTTCATTCAGTCCTCGGTTATCTTCTTATTTGCTGGCTGTTGTTGCGCTTTCCAAAGGGCAATCATACATGCATGGTTCTATTGAACTGGTGATCCGCATGCTTGATTTGTCGACAAGAGGTACACATCCAATCATAGTATTTCAACATTAAAGAAAATAACGGTGCATCTTGCCATGCAGAAAGGCGTTGCAGCTTACGCTTGAGCAATCGGTATTTCCCCGGTGAATCCGGTACTGATGTACCTTAGACGGGTACTATGCATCTTTAGTGTTGCTTCCACTAGAGGTGATAAAGACCACATTGACCGTACATATATTTACCAGAATACCTTCGACTCCAATAGAAGCGATACCAAAGACGCGCAACACGTCTTTTTCGAGACATCTCTACTTTTGATCCACCGGTGCACAAAGCTCGAAGGTTTTGAGCACTCCGCTTCTTCGTTTATGGTTGCAGTTATTACCCAAAACTAGTAATGTTATCCACGTTCGACACTGTTGCTAGTAAACCTGCCTAAATGCTAGCTCGTCTTGTTCAAGCTCGTTCTTCCTATTCTCGCAGCAGATATTATGAGTATCTCTTTGCATATGCTTTGTCGGCGCTGTTCTGCAATAGTTTCTAGCAGCCCGGTTGTAAAGATGGACCAGCCATCCAATAAGTTGTCCATTTCAACGCATCAATTCTCTCCAGGACCAAATTGACGGCAGATGAGGTGTCCGGGAGATCCATTCATACCACTCTTAGGCCAGTAGGCGGTTAATCAATTCAAGGACATCAGAAATGAAGATGAAATGATAACACAGGGGTCGCTTAATGGTTCGGTGAAAGAATGATGATAAAGACCACGATGCCTTAGCGACGAAGAATGTGAGATGGGAAGAGCAAGAGAACAGCTAAGAGTATGTGCCAAGGAGAGTATCTATGTACATGTAGCCGGTTCGAGAATATTCGAATACTTACATCTCCTCAATCGGCAGGTCGGTTAGATAATTAGCCGACAATTCTAATAAATAGTTTCCTGTATAGGAACACTTACTAACGCATTCTCTATTGAAATATTACACGGTATAAAACCAATCACTCACTTCATTGAGCTTATCTTGGCATATCTCTGAGAGCTCGAGTTCCCTTATCGACCATCTCCCAGACAACCTAGAAATATTCCAGAAGCTTCGTTCGGTATTCCTGAGACAGCCATAAGAGCAGTATCGTAACAAGCGTTAGAATAACAAAAATAAAATATTAAGCTTCTCTGCTGATTTGGCATGCGAGGAGGTCATGATTCTATCGGTCAGTCAGGGCCGAATCCTTGCATTTGGTCATTTCTCATTATACCCAAACTACCGCACTTATGTTTAGTCAACTGATATTTTTGGTCACTTGTCTGGAGACGTAAAATCAGAGTGTTCGTATCCCCAAGGTTCAACTACATACGTAACTATCAAACCCTAAGCTACATACAACCGATTTTTTTTTTAGGAGGGGGATTCTACATATAAGAAACCCTAACCCACCACCGAATGCGCAAACCGTAGCTTCGCCGGCCCCCGTCCCAAAGGTATAGAAGCGGGGAAATCGGCAGAAGAGCATGTTCCTAGTCAAAAAAAAGTTTTTGAACTTACCAGGATATGCCGGTACTTCCTGATTGACAGCTCGAGGATGGAACTAACTCGAAATTATGCGAGAGGGGATTAGAACGGCCCTGGGTACGTAAATCACAAGAAATAAAGATTCTCACAGTTAATTGTAACTAATTAGTCACTCCGAATCTCCATATTTCAGGTCGTTCAGTGTTTGAATATCGTGGCTAATGATTTGTTTCATCATAGAATATCACTCGATAATTAGTTTGGGACAATTACTAAGATAGCGAGTGTGCTAGCGCTCCCAGGACTACAGACCAGTGATAACTACAGTAACACAGTCGGGGAATGAGGTTTCGCTACAGTATTGTTGTAGTGTTCTTGCTAAGAACACTATTTTATTTTTTCCTTTCTGCTTGATTACGAATTGATACAGTATACTTTTTTTCCCTTATATATCTCCAAACAGCCCTCTACCGGATATTGAGAATCACGGCAGAGTTTATGACCCACTAGTGAGTTGCGAGGAGAGCGAATTAAGAAGTAGCATGAAATAAACTAAGTAATACGCTGACTCCATCTTCCTATTATTATAATATCAAAATTTTGAAAATGAATCTCAAGTTTACTTGATCGAGCAAGCAAGTATAGAGAAGGTCCCGCATTGACTTTGACAAGAGAATCTGAATTTCAGGCTGGCTAGAGTACATGTATACAAGGAAAGAAATACATAGGTATGTATAGACATTATATAAAAAAAAGGTAGAAAAAAAAAACTTCCATAATTGAATCTCAAAATTCCCCGAACCAGCAGGCAATATATATCATCTCACCTCCATCCTCTCGACCTGCACCTCAACTCTGCACCTCCTCTCTTCCTTCACATAAGCGCACCCACCATAAAGTCCATTCTCGTCCATACTTTCCTCATGTCTACATGCGATCCTTCCTACACTATCCAGATCCCCACACACATCCCTCAGCACTCTTCTAGCCGCCTGGTTCGCATCTTTGCGCTCAGCATATGCGTCGTGTATGGTAGTCGTGACGACTCCATCACCGTCGTCAATGTCCATAGCATTGTCCCAATAATCCTTCTGGACAATTATGTAAACGGATGAGACCGTCGGCGGAGGCGGGGTATAGACCGGTACCTTTTGTCGCTGTACGGTGATTGTTATCTCCTCCCCCTCGAGTACGTCACTATATATCCCCAAAAGACGCGCGCGGGTAAACAACGGCGCTTAATCGAGAGAGGTTGGAGAAGGAATTAAGGGTAAGGTATAAAGGAGTAGGTTCGTTACTTTGTGGTTACCCGCACCAACAACTCGCCCTCCTCGCCGTCATCGTCGAATTCCTCCCAAACCCTCATGACGTTCTCGTCCCAGCCGCGCACCATCTCCCTCACGAAATCGATAGCGTCATCCGCAGTAGTGTAACATCGCGATATGTGTGTTCTGGGCTTAACGGTATCGTAGTGGAACACTTGGCACAGGACATAATAATAAGTTGTTTCTACTACGCTTGGAGATATGCGCTTCGCCGCTGGCGGGGACGAAGCTGAAGCTGAGCTGATGGATCGTTTTCGCGACATTTGGTTAGCCAGCCATGAGACTGCGCAGCAGTTGCAGAGGGGGGCAACAGCAGCGAGCTTGGAGGTCGTTGATTACGATGCCAAGACCCCGAGACTCTCTATAAGGGTTAGGTGTTGAAACAGGGGGGGCCAATGACAGAATTGAAGGGATGTCGCGGGGGGTCAAAGAGTACAGCAGGCACGCGTGTTTCATTATTTATCTGCTGGCGTTTGATCGCTGTTAGGAGTTCGAGATAGAGCACTATTGATACATAACCCCCAAAAACCGTTTCTACTAAAACAAAAGGTCAATGATCTGCGTCTGTAGCTTAAATGACATGCAGTTTGTATTACGATACCCCTGCTCAAGTCACAGGATCAGGATTAGTCTAGTAAAGCAAGCAATAAAGTATGTCCGCTTTCCATATTACGGACGGAGCTCTAGGTGTTTACTTTGATATATTCAAACTTTGCTATAAGGCATATACATTTGAGAGATCTGGGTTTCTTGATAGGCGATAAATACATATATGATATATTCACAATTACAAGTTCATTAACAGCCTGTATGCATGGGTTTCCATAGAACTGAGTAATAATTCTTATTTAATATTAAAAGAAGTGGACTAGTTACATGTGTCAGTGCATACGTACCCACAAAGACTTCGATAGCATAACTCTCAGTCAGAGGCAAGAAACTACGACAGCGAATCAACCGAACCTACCCCCTCAGACCCCTCAGAAAAGACCAGGATCTTGGATTACTACCTACGTGGATGTACAGCACAGCAACAAAGAACGGCATCTGGAGATACCTCCTCATGTGCTGTTTCGTGGCATCCGGAATCTCTACATTTCTGAGCCCTCATTATATAAATCCACGTCGCCCCAGCCAGTAGCAGTAGCATCTTTATAAAATTTACCCCAGCGCACCTCTCACCACAGCCACACACACAATGGGTACCACCAACCGCCACCCCGCAGAGGCACCCCGCTCGCCCCCACCACAGCCACTCACAATAGTCACCACCCGTCACCCCGCGCCCGCCGAAGCACCCCGCCCAACACCAGCCACACACTCACAAATCCACCGACCGCCCTTCCGCCCCGTTATCCTCTTCGACAACCGGATGGTGTTCAACTTCTTCCGGCCCGACAACCTGCAGGTGCGGACGGTGGTCAGCATGCGTGACATCACTGAGGACGGCACTAAGGGACCGTCATGGACGAAGCTGTTGGAGATACTAGGCGAGAAGGAGGGCCTGTTTGATGTGGAGAAGGACTTTATGGTGGTGGCTGAGTGTGTGGTGCAGGGGGAGAGAGAGTTTCTGGCTGCGCTGCAGTGGGCAAGTAATTTACCTGCCCAGGGGAAGAACTTTGTGGTTTCGATACATAAGTTGGGGGAAAGAGTGTGGGGATAGACCTAGGAAGATAGATATGTCGGTAGTACTTGAGTAGTGTTTGTGCGAAGTCTTTCTTTAGTGGAGTCTGGTTGGTTGGAATTTCTCTATGTCGTCTATAGATTCCTAGTTTCGCCTTATGTTATAATTGTGGCTTGTACTGGGGTTATCCATACATACCTATAGTACAATATACGAGTTCAATACGCTCTTTGGACCCAAACTCTACAACGTTTCTATTATTCCAAGACAAAAGTTCCCCACTTTCCTAAAAGCTTTATCCTTACTGTACAGGGTCCTAATTAGTTATCCTTGGGTTAGAATAAATGTGACTATACGTACCCCGCCCATAACCCCAGGGGCCAAGATAAGTCAATACGTACATAAGTACACGCAATATATATGAATATGAATATAAAATATAGCTTTATATCCTATCTTTATTCCTACCCAACTACGGGCAGAAATAATATAAAACCTTATGGTAGATATAATTCCCAAGCCCTCGCCGATTTCAGCATATGCTCCTTGCGTTAACCATCCAAGTTCACCACGCCAGAAATTGTCGGTACTTTGTTTTCTGGGGGTTTCGAGAAGCGCACCCTTTTGTGAAAATGTTCCTTCAAAGAGGGGCACACCTTCATAAATAATGGTTCTATAAGAGTATAACCTTCCATCTGTTTCAAAATATGCATGAGGCCTCTCTTTCCCGCAACATGGGAAACTAGCAGGACAGCTATAAATATAGCAGGTCATTGGCCAGCTAGCCAGGCACAACTTGCATCGCAGCATCGCAATCTCCCAGACTTGAGGCATACCTACGCCAAACTCCAAACAGCAGTCGGCGATTAATTCCTCTTTGTCGAGATACCCAAAAATAGTCAACACCAGCAACACTACCAGTACAGCCCCTCAAAGAAGTAATTCCCCACCACAAAGAAACCCCGCAATGTTCCCCGACCCAACCTCCTTCTGCATGTTTATTCTACTGATCCTCTATCTCCGGGAACTTCTCGCACACGCGCTCACCGCATGTCCAACGCCGAAATCCCGCCGCAAGAGACCATGCGGTGGGTCGTCGTCCTTCGTGCGTAGGTTCCGCCGACTCAAATGCCTATGGGAGCACCGCAAGAGTGCCGAACAGAAGCGTATCAGGCTATCGAAATACCAGAGGGCGATTGGCCAGACCGCGGTGTTTGTGATGTTAGGTGTTTGCCTGTGGCTGTCGTTGTATGATCCTGACCCAGACACGTTGAGGGAGTTTGCGGTGTGCGGGTGTAAAGCGGGTATGGTAGGGGTAGGGTTAGTATTGTATGTAGCGTTTTTGAACGTGGAGGTAGACCGTTGTAGGAAGGGGAAGCTTAAGTGAGAAGCGGAGACTTTGAGAATTATAATAGATGAAGGAAATATTGGAATGGGACTTCTCTTTACAGCCGATAAAATAGATGGAGAAATCTTGTCGTAATCTATTTCCAGGTGAGTGATCCAAATGGCATGTTCGTTCAGGGGGGTTCAGTGAAGTTTATCGGCTAGCGCTCTGGATCCCGTGGGCTTGAATTCCGCTCACAGCCTATCACTCGGAGCCCAGACCACCCACAATACTCGCAACATCCCAGAAAATAATAATGAAGATAAAGAAAGGTCATTCATAGAAAGAAAGCATTCATAAAAAACAGGAACAAGAAATATCTCCAGTGGCTCACGGATCATTCACCAAAGGGATCTTCCCACAGGTCGAACCTAGTGAACCCCGTAGTATCCGGCCGCAATGTAATAGGATGAGTAGGAGGTGTTAATTCCTCAATCGACTACTCACCCATGTTTTACAATATTTGGAATTGATACTTGAGGGGGCCGACTACTTCTACGCTAGATTTTAAAGGGATTTTATTTTAGAGTCGGCTGACTCCTAACTTCGTTGGCCGGTACAGTGTTATAATAGGGCTAAAGGCGATAAACAGAAGCCTGTAATCGTACGTAAGATGGGTGATTTCTAAGTACAGTAACCGACTAATTAGGAGGGTCCGGCCACTAGCAGCATCAGTTTGGAGATAAAGTTTTAATATCACAGTTTTAAGTAAAGGATGTGACTTGACGTGTATTCTTATATCCAATGACCAAATAGATGTGACTGACAGCTCATGATGCCCCACTCTGGCCGTCAAACCACGATCCCACGGGTGCGGTTCAAATTCTATTGACCGACGTGGAAGTCTTTGAGGATATCACATTGGAAAGGTTATATGAAACCTGTTTTACTCATTTCAACCACGCTGCTAGCTGCTTAATTAAGGCAAGCAAAGTTCCCCAATGCACCCATAACAATGTAGACAAGTTCTTCTTCATAGTTTATCACTCGATTCTCAAACCCATTTCCGATTACTGTGGCCTAATTTGACGAAGTACTTTTCTGGTAGCGGAGGCAACAGCAAAAGCTCTACGCTCAAAAAGACTCCTATACCGGGTAGCGTCAATCTGCCTGCCAGTCTAGGATCTCATCTTTTGCATCTACTATACTATAAAAGAATATGGTCTGAAAAAGTATCGCTAAAACCTAATCCTACATTCGGCCCTGACAATGGGGGGGGAGAAGGAGACCAATTGGCCAAATAATGAGCGAGAAGCTAAGATAATTGATAATTGTTCAAGCTGCGGTTACGGGCCAGAGATCTGATCGATATCACACTTAACCTACGAGGAGGGGGGCCAGTAATCTCCAGAAAAATGTCAATAAATTTACAAAAAGTCTTGCTGGAGAGTATGCTTTTCAGGGTGGTGAGTGCCATTTATTACACATAACGCCAGTACCACTAGACCACGCTCGCCCACACAATGTTCAGTGACCCGGAGGTAATACTTAAGGATGCGAGGGTAAGAGGAGCTAGGGAAACCTAACCCTGCCATGATAATCTACTACGACGTACTACATCATGACCTACTGGCCACCCTCTTGTTTGTTATATCACACAGCAAAAACACATTTAAGTGCCTCACATACTAATCGGCGCGAAGGAAAGGGCATTTGTGTAAGGCTCTCTGTGATTTGGCCGGCGCATAAGCGGGAAGCGTTAATTTCCTTCGGTCTGATACAGGATTGTGTGACGCGGAATTGGCCATTTCAATCACATACTATCACTCGTTCGGGATACAGGGTCTGTAGGTTGTGTTCGTCATCACATAAAATTGTTGTAAGTACTATACATGCTCCGCCATCATTATTTTTTTTCCATAGACGTATCCCAGCATTGAACTCCCGCACTCCCCCCACTGCGCGCAGAAATGGGAGGAGGCTGACAACCAAACGTACAAAAAAAGCATTAGCTGCTTGGACAAGAGAAATAAGTAGGTTCGAAACATGAGTATTATAAACTGCAGGGCCAGGAAGGCATTCACATATCCACAAGTAAACTAATTCAGTCCTCTCTTCTCACTCTCGGAATAGAAGATAACCATACGCCAGACTTTCTTGACCATTGTTTCGCCATCCTCGCCAAGCGCCTGTAGGATTGGTTAGCGGGGGTTTGGAAAATAATAGGGAGTGAGATCGTACCATTTCCAATTCTTTCACAAGGTTTTCTGCAGTACCGCGCTTACGGATATGATCGAGAACAAAGCCAACAAGCTCTTGTTCTTGCACGCCGAGGTACTATATTCTGATTAGCGCAAGACATGAAAGCGAGGAGACAAAACAAACCTCCATAATTTTCTTCTCTACAAATGGCTGCAGCTTCTCGCCAATGATCGCTTCATCCACATGATCCCATTGGACTTTCCAATCAAACAGTCCTGACCTGTCGCTCGGAATCTCCTGCGCCAATTGTTTCACCAGCTTCTCCCTAGTCTCTTCGTCCATAACACTTGAAGCATCGTATGTGATCGGGACCAATACTCTTCTTCTAATGCTGTCATCCTCTTCTTCATCTTCCAACAGCCCTTCAACCTCAGCAGCCGTCTTCCTTCTTGGCGCGCTAGCCTCCTGCTTCTTCGATGCTGCCGCACCCAATGCAAGCTTGAACTTCTGTGGCTCCTTAACTGTCGCCGCAGCCTTCTCCATCTCCTCTGCTTGTCTCGCAAGGAAGCTATCCGCCATGCTTTCTGCCGCACGCTTCTTATCGCCGTCAATCTCTGTTTGCCGTATTTCGGCAGCGCGATCACGGTCATCTAGTTCCGCTTCTCTAGCACGGAAAGCCGCACGGTTCCGGATCCACACACTACGATCAACATAGTACTCTTCAAGTTTCTTCTCTGCTTCAACGTCGTCGTCCCATGCTTCTAGTCGTTTTGCCATCGCCTGCTTCTCGGCAGCCTCTCTGACTTCGTCCTCAGCGTCTCTGAGCTGCTCCCGTTCTAATGCGCTGGTTCGTGATCTCTCACGGTTGAGCCAGCGTCTTTCATGGTCAAGGAAATTCTTCTCCGCGTCGGCTGCCTTCTTGGCCTTTCTCCTCCGTTCAAGTTCCTCGTCGCTTGCATCCGAGTCTTCTTCCTCCTTGGAGTATAGATATCCGTTCGGATGATTTCCGTTAACGAACGCTACACCCTTCTGGTAATCGCGGGGAATCTGTACACCAGCTGATGGCCCAGTAGGAACACGACTTGAAGGTCCATCACCACGAAGCCTACTTGGTCCAATTGGGATAGCGTTTGCTCCACCAGATGGACCTGTAGGCGCGCTTGAAGGCGGAGGAGAAGACGCTAGACGGTTAATCCGCGGCCCAGCATTTCTCTCGCGTTCCATCTTTTCAATTTCCTCCTCCCGTTTCAAGCGCTCTAGGTCTCTGCGGTTAGAGCGTTCGCGGAAAGCGGCAATTTCCTTCGCTACCATTTCACGCATGTCTGCTGGGATGTCACTCAGTTCGTCATCTGCAGAGAGAGGGATTGTTACAATTTCTGGTTGTTGTTGTGTATTTGATGTATCGGGCTCATTCTTTGCAGGAGCTTCAGATTCGGATCTTGTGGTGTTGGGGGAGGCGGTGGTATCGGGTTTTGTAGAGGCGCGTTTTGTAGGGTCGTTGAGCTCTGATATAGTTGCTGCGATGGCCGCACGGGCAGCATCGATGCGAGATTGTTGAATAGAAGCGTAATCAGGCTGTTGTCTTTCGGAATGCTCCTGGCAGTTTTCGAGGAAAGTGGTCGAGTTATCATCGATGACAACCTGGGTGACTATTAGTAAAATGCGGTTATGGCGAGGGGTTGGGATACGAACCATTAACTTAGCAGCTTCCCCTTTATCGTCAACAGCAGGTATCTCTAAATCCTTAAGAACTTCGATTGCGCACCCAAGACTTTCAGGATCTTCATATTCCGCGAAACCAAACTTGCATGGATCTCCATTTTCGTTTGTGGCTCGTGCCCACTTCTTCAAATTTGCCGCAGACTGTACAAGAAGCGTTAGCATGATTCTATTAAGTATTTCCAAGTGCGCTAAATGACTGGTATGATTGAAGATAATAAAGAAAACACCTTACCCTCAGTATTTTTTCCATCCACTCATCGCCCAAGCTTCCCGGGATGCCGCCCACAAAAACTGTCTTCAGCTGTTCTTCAACCGTTGGCGGGACTAAATCTACAACCGCTTCCCTACTGAACATTTGCCCACCACCTCCCATACCACCCATACCCTTCCCGCCGGCGCTAGGTACAGGATTCTGCCTCGTCACGCTCGTACCCAGTCTAATGATCGGCGCGTTGAAGTTGATGTTCGGTAGATTGGCGGGAGGCACAAAACCGGCCATACCAGGACGGGTGGGCATATTGGCTTGCATCGTGCCAGGTGGTGCACCGCCGGTTCCTGGAGGAGGTGGGAGCCCGGGGGTTCCAGGCGCGCCAGTACCCGGAGGCATACCGAATGATGGGGGCATCATTCCGGTAAAGCCCGGAGGCATTTGGGGACGACCGTACTCTGGGGGATTAGCTACGTACTAAGTTGTGCTTGTAATAGGAAGGCTAAACTTACGACCGTACGGATACATTGAGTAAGATGTGCTTATTGAAGGGGTTGTTGGGTCTTTATATACTGCGCGCGTGTAGAGAGCTATAGAAGATGGCAACAAAGGGACGTGTTCGTAGTGGAGGAGCTGTCGTACAGTGGGCGGTCGTTGTAAGCGTGTAGAAGTTGATTGTGAAGGGAGTCGTGAAATGTCTGGGCAAAAGAACTGTTGCTTATGTAATGAACATAGATGATGCGAAAACAAATTCAACCCCAGAAACAGCCTGCGATAATATACAATTGTCCAAGACCCATCGCCTCAACTCTCTCAACTGTGCATGATGGAGTTCCGGTGTCTTTTACGGAAGGCACTCGTCCCAAGGCCTCTTTTGGCATCTCCTAAAAATCCCTATTCGATCTCTACATACACAATTCGGGCATTCTCAAACACATCTGGGCTCCGCTATCCCCCGCCGACGAACCCCACTGCGACTCGGAACAGAACATCCAATGCCTCCTCAGGAACCACCATTACCGAACTCCTGGAATTGGTGAAGACCAAAACTGGGCCAGCGCGCCGCAACTTCGAGTCACTCCTAGAATCAAACGAGTTCTCCCGCGGTCAAAGCCTGAGCAGCCCTCCTCTCGGCAACAGGGCTATCCCACGCACCGGACCTTCGGCAGGAAGAAGTGTTCAAGTTAGAGCTGATCTACCATCGGCTCTGTCAAGGTTGAGGATGATCTTGACGGCGAACAATGTCAAGGCGGATCAGGTTAGGCAGAGGTTCCACGAAAGGCCGGGGTTGAAGAAGAAGAGGTTGAAGAGTGCAAGGCACAGGAAGAGGTTTAAGGCTGGATTCAAGAAGCTGGTGTCCATTGCCATGGAAATGAAGAGGAAGGGATTGTAAAGGGTCGGAGGTAGATAAGCTACGGGTATCGAATGGGGCATGGAGGATGCGGTCATCTATATCAGTATCCCCTTTGGTACTATGGGAGGAGTATTTGGGGCGAAATACAAGGGCTCTTTATGGAAATGGTTGGCTGTTGGCTTATCCAACAAGGTGCCAAAGGGTAGCTTTGTACAGAAAGAAAGGCCGGTATAAGACGGATCTCGCAAACCTTTATTTGTAAATTCCTTCAATTCTCAAAACAAATATTTCTATGTTCTGTGCGATATCAAGAGTTGTCCTCTAATCGATAAGTGCAACGAGACATCTCAGCTACCCACCCCCCCGTTCAACTTGAGCCTCATTACTACGAACACCTCTCCTTTATCTCTTTTCTAATACTTACTCAACAATTCTTACGGGCTCTTACTGTCGCCATTTTCGTCTCCGTTCGCTCCACAAGAGCGCGCCATTCTTTCACACACATTCACATAGCTACATTTACACGCCCCTGAGCGCTGAAGTAGAGCTCTCGCAATCATGGCGCGCCTGGGACGCACTGGCTTCTTAGCCGTTGCAGTTATATTCCATTTATTCTACCTTTACTCAATATTTGACATCTACTTCGTTTCACCAATTGTCTATGGCATGCGACAATATTCCGTCGATGCCGCAGCACCGGCAAAACGATTATTCCTAGTCGTCGGTTTGTTATCCCCTTATATTCTCAGCTTACCACTTCATTTACACTGACATTCGAGAATAGGTGATGGCCTCCGAGCGGATAAATGTTTCCAGAAACACACTGATCCAGATGATCCGTCGGTTTCGGCACATCTCGCTCCATTTGTACGTTCTCGAGTACTCACAGCTGGTACCTTTGGTGTTTCACATACCCGTGTACCAACAGAATCACGACCTGGACACGTCGCCCTGATCGCGGGGTTGTATGAGGATGTGAGCGCTGTCACAACGGGATGGAAGATGAATCCAGTTGGGTTCGATTCTGTCTTTAATAGGAGTCGGCACACATGGAGTTGGGGGTCCCCAGATATCTTGCCCATGTTCAAACATGGTGCCAGTGATCAAGATAGGGTTGATGCATACACTTATGACGAGGAAATGGAGGATTTTACTGCTGGTATGGATCACACTACTACGAAGTGGAGTTTTGGACTAACATACATACTACAGACGCAACAAACCTGGATATCTGGGTCTTTGACCGTGTCCAAGAACTCTTTGAATCGGCGCTCACGAATTCGACACTCTACGACATGCTCCACCAAGACAAACTGGTTTTTTTTCTACATCTGCTAGGTCTTGATACAACCGGACACTCCTATAGACCATACAGCCCTGAGTATCTTCGCAACATTAAAGTCGTCGATGACGGTTTGGAGCGAATTCACAAACTAGTCAACGACTTTTATAAGCACGATGACCAGACCGCATGGGTATTCACAGCCGATCACGGCATGAGCGATTGGGGTTCTCATGGCGATGGCCACCCCGATAACACCCGCACACCGCTCGTAGTCTGGGGTTCCGGCGTACGAAAACCTCTACCGCCACCAACAAATGCGCCGACAGGTCATGAAGACGGCTTCTCGGCGGATTGGGACCTGAATGCGGTGCGAAGAGTGGATGTTGCCCAAGCGGATGTTGCAGCGTTGATGGCGTATCTGGTCGGACTGGAGTGGCCGGTTCACTCGGTGGGGGAGCTGCCGCTAGAGTATCTAGATGCCGAGCCAGTGGTGAAAGCGGAGGCGGCATGGACTAATGCTAAGCAGATCTTGGAGATGTATAGGGTAAAGGAAGGTACGTTCAAAATTCACCTTTATTGTCTTTTCTTTTATTGGCTATGACCGGGTGATGGGCTGTGATGCAGCAATATCACGCCAAGGAATCATTTATATGGGAAAACAAGCTGATGCAAAACAGAGGTAAAGAAAAACACTATGATCAAATATAAACCCTTTGCAGCTTTTGGAGAGGGTTCACAGTCGCTTGAATCCCGCTTTATGCAGATTCGTCTTCTCATCGACAACCACAAATACGTTGAGTCAATTGCCAAATCTCAAGAACTAATTAAACTTGGGCTTGAGGGTCTCAGATATCTCCAAACCTACGATTGGCTATTTTTGCGTACCCTTGTGACACTTGGGTATCTTGGCTGGATTGCATTCGCGTTCACGACTGTGATCGACCTTCATGTGTTGCACTCCAAGACTGAGCATTCAAGAACAGTCACGAGCACTTTGTTTTTTTCAAGTGTGTTCGTTGTGCTATATAGCGTACTTGTGATGCAAAGAAGTAACTGGACATACTACGCATATGCGTTTTTCCCAGTTGCCTTCTGGGAAGAGGTCTTCGCGAGGCGGAAGGGATTGTTCCAAGGAGGCAAGATGCTTGTAAAACATCTTAACGGATTCTCGGGAGTTGTGGGGTTGATTCTCGAGGCCGTTGTTTTCTTGGGAGTACTGGAAGCTATGGTACGTTTAATATTTCCCTTTCCTAGCGCCTAAGGAGGGAGACTAGGGAAATAACGAGGAAATTGCATATTGAAAATTTCTGCAAGATATTGGTTAGCCAAGGATCTGAGAAAGATTCATGATACCCTCTTTCCTCTACTACCAAATATCCCCTTGTCCTGGTCGCGTGGTACAGACGAGATGGTATGCTAATATTCGCCGGGTTGGCAATGATAGGTCTGGGGTTATTTCCGACGAGAGGTATTTACCGCTTGCTTTTGCCTCGCCGCATTTTGGCCTATGTCATACGGTTCCGGTTTTGTCCGACAAAACGGGCTTCTGGTGACGGGTTGGGCCATCTGCTGTGGGTTGATGAGCACCTTCACATTACTCCCTGTACTGAAACAGGATAGTGAGAACCTTATGTATGTCTTTCCAGCCTCGGCTACTGATACGTAATCATATTAGTGGCATCCAAGCTAACCATAATAAATAGATTACTTGGGGGAGGACTCATGTTCGGGTTGGGATTACTGTATATTATGTTTGGCGAGTGTATAGGAGGCGGTGTACAAGATTGGATCTCAAAAAGTATTTTAGGTCTGCAGGTTTGTGATATAAAATTTACCCCACAATCTAAAGCGGGCGCTGACGATCGCGGGATAGGTCGGGTTGATTGGACTCGCTATGATCGTCACGCAGTCAAGTGTCAGATCTTTACAGGCGAAACAGGGTCTTCCGTTGGGGAACCAAGTTGTGGGGTGGAGTGTGCTTGGTTCGTTATATCACTTTTCTCCCCTGCTATGTTACTTCCGCCCCCACACTATTGCTTACAGTTTTTATGCTCTAGTTTTATCGATCACGGTCCCGTTCCTGCATGGGATCCGACCGCAGAGTTATTATTTCCATAGACTGGTTGTGATATTCCTCACATTCTCGCCGATGTTTGTCGTTCTCACGATATCGTACGAGGGTCTCTTCTACGTTGTGTTTTGCCTTACCCTTGTGGCATGGGTACGTCTTGAGCACAAGATCTACCTCCACTCTCATCGCCCTACCAGCACTCCCATGGCCGGTAAGACACTCGCAAATGCAGCATCCACTGCCATTGACTCAACCGAGGGAACAGACGAATGGCGCTCATTGACCCTCGCTGATTCCCGCGTGGCGCTGTTCTTCTTTTTCCTGATCCAAATCGCCTTCTTCGGCACTGGAAATATCGCCTCCGTCTCTTCTTTCTCGTTGGACAGCGTCTATCGTCTTATCCCCGTCTTTAGTCCCTTCGCCATGGGCGCACTCCTAATACTGAAGCTTCTCATCCCATTCGCTGTCATCTCTGCCAATTTGGGTGTGTTAAACCGCCGTATTGGTGTAGCACCGAGTGCGCTGTTTATGGTTGTTATGGCGATTAGCGATGTGCTCACGCTGAACTTCTTTTATATGGTTAAAGACGAAGGTAGCTGGCTGGATATCGGAACGACGATCAGTCACTTTTTTATATGCGGGCTTTTGGGTGTGTTTGTGAGCGCCTTGGAGTTCCTTAGTGAAGTATTTGTTGGAGGTGTTAGCATGGATGGTGGAGAGGATAAAAATAAGGTGCAGTAGAGATGATTGATCGACATTATTACACTTATACATATATCCGCACATGTAGTTTTTAGATTGGTTAGAAGCTTTTTTCTTTTTCGCGGAATACCTAGGGGGTTTGACAGCTACATGTTCATGATTGCTGGTAACGAGGACCCGCGGGAAGGGTTCGGGATGTTTTCGGCTGCAGCTGTAACATGTGAAGTCCTTAGTACGACGTTGCTGGGTTAGGGTTATTCGCAATACTAACTAATGTCAATGATCGCTATTTTCATATCCAGCTTACGATTAAGGAGTGAAATATGTCCCGTGACTGGCCATAACAGAATTATTTAAAAACTAGAGTTTTTTTAAAGTCTAAAATAAACAGATTTTACTCAGGACTCTATTCTCCTTTCTTCTTTCTTCCTCTTCCCTCTTCCCAAGTGCTCAATGTGCCACACAAAGGTACCCAGGGCAAGTATCGGCTACTCGGCCCACCGCCTTGCATGGGAAATGTCAAATGAAGTGGTATGGGAACTAATTAGGGTCGAGTTTGATGTTTGACCTTCTTTTAGTACAATATCTGATCTCTACAGTGGCGCAGTGATGCGCATAAGACAAGTAGCCCAGGACTGACATTGTTGTTGTTCGAGTGATCATCCATGATGCACGTCTTGTGCCAACCTGCTGTGAGCAACGAAAACATGCCACAAAACTTGAGAACATGTGCCAATCAGTGTCTTGATATGTGCTCTACAAACACCAATTCTCTCATATCTTAGAGACTTTCTCTTCAGGATAGAAAAGGGAAAATCCATACCCACCAATTTGGATCGTTCTATCCGCCGACTGCCATCGCGCCTCGGCGTAGCCACTAACTCCAAAGTACTGGGTCTGGTTAAATGGCACCCATCTTCTATCACAGGATAGGTGCATGAGCCCCATAACAGAGTGCGTCACCGAATCCGTAGAAAGGATCTCGTTATATCCTTCCAGACCCCCGGATAAAAGTGAGGGGGGAAAAAATCAAGCATTCGAATCCTTCCTTTTCCCTCACCCTTCTCCCACGAAAGGGGCTCGTGGGTCTCATTGATTTGGGTCTGGTTAATTACGCGTCACGAAGTAGAAGAGAGGCACAAAGTCCCCAGGTTATAGTACTTTTGTTCGTACTTTCGCCGGGAAATACCGTTGGAAAGAAACTAGAATGTTTGTCACATGCGAAACGGAGATTTTTTTTTTTGACTCTCCACGCAGAACACATGTGATTGACTGTCAAGTGTAGTAAGTGCACCATGGAAACTAGTTGTGGAGGCTTTTCTGATGGTACCTATCATATGCTCAGCCCTATGAACTGATATAGCGTGAGGGGAACTTGAGGTACCTCCTTTAAACACTCGTATTTGAGTGAAGCCTGTCCACTGCGGCTGGCGAGAAGCACAATTAATTACACAAATGACCACCTGCCAGGGAGTCGAATACGGCGACCGTTAATAGTTCCTTTGCTCCATTTCAATCGCAACTTCTATTTATTTGATGCGGGGAAGCGGCCAGCGATCATGATCATCCAGGAAAATTGGAGATTTTCCTCGTCAAGCTCAGCCATCTAGGTACACATACATACCTGTTCTTTTCTTCCGTGATCACATGCCACCGCCATATTAGATAGTATCGATCGAATGGCTAAATGCGTACATGCACGTACATACAAGCAGGAGTGTATGTACCGTATGCCCTAATGTGCGACTTGAGATTGAGAAAGAGCCTCTGAAGTGTGGGAAGTCTCAGAGAGAACGTCAAGTGATAATCCCGCTTATGCACTCCATATCTACGCAAAGTTGACCGCAGTCGACACAACCCAATATTAATCCAGGACACACCCGAGGCCGCACTTCGGGCGTCTCCGAAGGTCCTTGCGTGATTCTCACATATACGTATCGTGCCGTAATGCACAGCACGCTATCAAGCAACACGGTAGATGAGAAGCCTGGAGAACACAGCCGTGGAGTCATGGGGGCATGGACTAAATGTCAGAGGACTTTACAATTCATTCAGCCTTTCAAATCTCATTTCCAGGAGCAACGTATGGTCTTGTCGGTCGGTGGTTGTGTAGCTCCGACTTCGCCAATTGATGACGAGCGGCACTTGCCGGAGAGGAAGACTCAGGCAAAAATGGGATGAAGAGACATGACTTCGTCTCCATCGATCCTTGTATCTCAAGGCAAACCAACCCGATGGATTGATTGCATTACAAATGCTCTCCAATTCTAGAAGCGAAATTGGGAGGCACAAGAAAGAGTGAGAGTTCTGGTCTTTCGCGAAGAGGGAAGGGAGGATGATGAAACAAACGTGGGGTTGCCCAGGTGTTTTGAGTAGATTTGAGATCTAGCTGAACCAACCACTCGTGCTGATGTGACCTACCATACATGACATGAGAAGTGTCCACCATCGAGGATAGGTACAACATACCTACATAGGTACATCTACTCTATTCTAAGGCTCCAGAATCTGAGCAGTGAGGGAGATGAGATGTGTAGGTAGGTACATATTAGAGATACGCGATGGCCAGGCCAGCGGAAGGACTGGAATCCGATTTACGGCCCGAGTTGCGGGGTTATCCATATTCAATCTGATATAGCCCAGAAGGAAAAGGAAAAGAAAAAAGAGAGTGAAAAAAACATCTCACTCACCCTCCCGTTTCCTCTTGACTCAAGTATTTTCGTACAGAGGGAGCGCCTGGCTGTTTCTGGCGTCTTACACTTTACAAAAAGCCGTTGGTGCATTAATCGGGCCTTCGCTATTTATCGCCGTTGCATGACACCTGCGTGTAGAGTAACGCAACATAGAGACGCCCTCCGAGAGCCAGCCCATCGAACCCCCTCATCGTACATAGGGGAGTTGTTTGAACCCCAGTCGGAAGGAAGAGATCCTGGCATTCGTCGAGTGAAGGTTAATACAACATCGGAGAACCAGCCTCGCCCCCCCACTACCCATTACCTACTCTGCTTGCTACTTGCCATTCCCATACTTACTTACCTTACTTACTTTACTTGCCTTACTTTACCTATTTACCTTACCTTACTAGAAAATTAAGCAAGCATTATTATCAAGCATACTACTACAGTAAGCCGTTGCTTTCCGGATTACACCACTCAGCAGCCCTAGAAGAATCCAGAAAGAAACAAAGAAAGGCAGAGAGAGAGACGAAGAGCTTCTGGATAAACAGACAATACCAAACAACCAGCCTCCAGCACCAGCTTAATTTTCACGGATGACTCCAGATACCGAGAGCAGGGCCGAGAGCTCACGCGGGACGGCCTCGCCCGCAGCCTCGTCGTCGACGTCTGCGGCGCCGGCCTCGCAGAACCCGACACATCCAAGCTTTCGGAGGTACGCTTCGATTCCTCGCCCTTTGACTTTTTGTTTCCTTTGCGCAGACGAGAGTCGGCGCGGAAGGGAGGGGGAGATTCGCTGACGGGGACCCGGTTTATTATTTGTGGCGCAGACAACGTGCGGCCAGAGCTTGTGAAGTGAGTGTCTAGAAAGAAACAATATTTGTGGGGCCTATTTCGTGTTGGAATGCTGCTCTTTCTTGAGAGGTTGTGGATGAGGTGATGTGAGGCTAACATGTGGATGCGATAGACATGCCACGCGAGAAAGGTACGGAATATTGAACTCTATGCAGGCCAACCGCAGCCAACGTCACAACCACGACGGTACTAAAGCCCAGGGCGATATTTAGGTCAGATGCGACGCAGCAAGTTTAGGGGTACCATGTACAAATTGTGTCGCATTCTCAATCGAATGCAAGATCCCGACTCCGAAACGCAAAAAGGTCGCTGGTGTGAAAGGCCGAGATGACGACAATGGGTACGACAATCAATACCTTATATCTAGCTCAAGGGGAAGATCTCTGATAAGGAATTTTTCTTTTGTTATCTATATAGTTCAGAAAGACAAAGCTCAGTACAAGGTCCATCGCCATCGCCGATAGAAAATACCCAGATGGATTTCAATAGAACACCGCAAACCACTGTTTCCCCAGGGCAGGACGGAACTCCAGTGGCCAATTTCCCGGAGGCCAAGTCGGCCCAGGTAATTACAGACTCAGCAACAATGACACAATTCATGAAGCCAAAGTTCGCCCGCGCACCCATCAAGGAAGCCGGAAGAGTCGCATATCTTGGTATTCTCTGTCAGGAGGGTTGAGCTGTCTGGCGCCCAAAGCTGACAAATAGGCAGGCGAATCCTCAAATCTCAGCTTACTAGTCCATGACAAGCATGGCACATCTGATGTCGTCCACTATCCTCTTCCTGAAAATATCCGTGGTAGTAGAGCTAGGTTGACAGAACTCGACACAATTGAGATTGACATTCTCCATCAGCGAGGCGCATTCTTATTGCCGCCGAGGGCATTGTGTGATGAGCTAGTAGAGGCGTACTTTAAATGGATCGCACCCATAGTACCGGTAATCAACCGCTCACGGTTCATGCAGCGATATAGAGATCCCAAGAATCCACCATCGTTGCTTCTTCTACAGAGTGTGTTATTGGCGGGGAGTAGGGTGTGCCAGAATCCGCAATTGATGGATACAACGGGAAGCACCACTCCAGCGGCGATGACATTTTATAAGAGAGCGAAAGCACTCTACGATGCAAATTATGAGGATGACAGAGTTACGATTGTGCAGAGCTTAGTGCTTATGGGGTGGTATTGGGAGGGGCCGGAAGGTGGATCTTCTTTCTTGCTCGAATTACCGGAGGGGGATACTGACAATGCGGTTAGACGTAACGAAGAACGTATTCTACTGGAGTCGGGTAGCTACAATTGTTGCCCAAGGCTCGGGCATGCACAGAAGGTTATACTTCCTGGGGTGCTTCAACGATGTGATTTTCGTTAATACTGACATGCTATAGCGTTGAACACTCGCAACTCTCGCAGGCTGACAAACGCTTGTGGAAACGCATCTGGTGGACTCTTTTCACCCGTGACCGCATGGTCGCCGTAGCACTAGGTCGCCCTGTGCACATCAACACTGATGACTCGGATGTCGAGATGGTTTCCGAAGAGGACTTTCTCGATGACGAGCCTGGCTTCCCCGCCGAATATCCCCCAGACCCACTCCACGTACAGTTCTTCCTCCACCATGTCAAGCTTTGTGAAATCATGGGCCTCGTGTTATCCCAGCAATACTCTGTCGCAAGTAAAGCCCGTAGACAACATCAGATTGACCTCGTGCATAGCGATCTCGCACTAGCGGATTGGATGCTCCATGTACCTCCAGAGATGCGATATCACGTGGAGGATACAAGCCGGCAGAACTTCTGGGCGGCGTTGCTGCATAGTACCTACTATACCACGCTGTGCCTGTTGCATAGAGCTCATATGCCGCCTGCGACGACAAGTACAAATGGTGCCAGCTATTACACATCAATGGATGAAGCATACCCGTCACGGAACATTGCATTCAAGGCGGCAACGGCAATCACATCGATTATTGAGAATCTTATTGGCCACGACGAGCTCCGTTACTGCCCGGCGTTCGTGGTCTACAGTCTCTTCTCCGCTCTCATCATGCACGTATATCAAACCCGCTCAACCAACCCTAGCGTCGTTGCCGAGTCCAAAGAACGCATGAAGAAATGTATGCAGGCGCTCAAAGAAGTTTCCAAGATCTGGATTGTCGCCAAAATGGTCTACACGCTCTTTGAGTCTATCCTGGGCAACAAGCACCTCGAAGAGCGCCTGCAGAAATCCGCAGGCAGGCGCCACCATAACAAGAAGCAGCAGCGCATCGCCGCAGTCACCCCCACATCAGCTGCACCTACACCTACACCCCCGCCGCCACCGCCACAGGTCTTGACGACAGAGCCTATGAAGCGCAAATTCGACGAAATGGACCTCGCCGGCATTCCCGCCGGCCCCGTGCCTACCGTCTCCTATGAGCGCTCACGCCCACAAACCCCTGCGCCGCCTTCACTCATCCAGGACTCCCTCACTCCCTCGAAAGACACCTTCATGACCGGCACTCTCGGAATATCCACCCGCCCCACCACCCCCTTCCAGCCACCGCTGAATCTTCCCCCGGGCACACCGCCAGACCTGTACCTCGTCACCCGCTCCTCACCGCCCATCTCGCAGAGCCTGTGGGAGAACTTCCAGCCGAACCAGCTGTTCCCCGACGATTCGGGGATCAACTATCTTTCGCCGAGCCAGCAGAACCCGGCGCTGGATCCGCAGCTGACGCAGCAGGGGCTGCAGCCGCAGCAGCAGTTTGTGGGCGGGTTGGGCGGGTGGCCGAATCATTTTGAGGATATTGGGCAGGGGCAGCAGGGCAGCAGTCCGGAGGATACGTGGAGTAATAGTAGTAAGGGCGGGATTGTACCGACGACGTTGAATGTGGAAGATTGGTATGTTTGCCCTAGCGCATTGGATGGTTGCATTTGATTTCGGAAGTTGCTAATATTGGTATAGGTTTAATTTCTTTGGGCTAAATGGAGAACTTAATACGCTGGATAATGCTGCGCCGATGTAGTAGGGTGGTTGGTGGTTGGTGCGTGATGATATATATATGAGGACCTGATATGGAAAAAGGGGGGGGGGGGGGGGGGGGAAGCAGGCTTTAATTTTTATTTCCTTTTTTTTTTTTTTATGAATTTTCGAGTCTCTACTTCTTTTTCATTTCGTGTAATTGTACTTTTTTTCGGGTTGGTTGGGGTTTTTCCGCGAATTCAAAACAAAAATATGGCTGTTCTTATTTACAAAGCGAAATAGAATATATGACATTCATGGATTATCACTCGCGTGGAAATGATAAAGTGGTAGGTCCCGGCCATTCTTTCGTATCTACTGTGATTGGGATCCCTGGCGCTATCTACTACCAGCCTTCTATTTGTTCTCTTTTAATTCCGTTGTCTGGGTAGTCAGGGCTTAACCTGCAAAACATTGCTTATCCATAAGGCCAAAACATTGGGCATATCTATATTACAAAAGCATTCTTCGCGGATATAGTTAATATCAATCCTTTCTAGCTATTAATAAAAAGAAAAGTGATACTTGACAGGACGTTGGTTGGTCAAGACACGGCGCGGAAACACCTAGTCCTTCTCTGCCCGTCTACTGAGCTACATACTAAGTTGAATATCTGGCAGCCTTCTTGTAATCGTACTAGGTACTAAGTTAACTACTACTTTCAATTCGTAGGACTAGAGAGTGAACTTGAGTATTGCCTTAAGCTTGGTCAAAGCGGGGTCTAGTTTGCATATACCATTTTAGGAATCTTTGAGTCTTTGGCATTTTAAGTTGCGCAAGGAGCCCTTAATTGGGCGTTTGTCTCATTTCGTTAATCCAACTTTTAAATACTTAGTATTATCATGCAGATTGCTACAGTATACGTGACTGTCAGCTACGTATACTACAACTGTGGACTTATGGCGAGGAATAGGTGGCGTGACAACCTGTCCTCAATTATGTCGTATAAAGCTAGAGACTCTAGCAGTCCAATTGATATCATCATGGTCTCTTCTCTCCTCCAACAAATCCGTCTTGCTACAGCCACATCTGGAACACGCACTGCCCCACAGTGTTCATTTACTCTAGGTACTAGATATTGATAGGTATGTGGGTTAGGGTTGTTTCAATGATGTCTGAAGCTAACAGAAGTTCAGTTTGTCTACAGATACGATTGCCCAGAGTTTGGTCCAACAGCCTGGGATTGAAAGTGCTACTGTAGTTCTTTCTGTACGTTTTCTGCCGGATTTATTGACTTGAGCCTCTTGAATTGTGGGGCGTGGGGCATCTTGAGGATATGCAGCTAGCGGTGGGGCCAATAAGGTGTCAGGGTTAGGGGACCAATGCAGGGTGCATGCCTAGTTGGAGATCCAACCAAAGCAACCACCAAAAGCTAGCAGACCTCAAGTCTTCAGGAATACACAGAATACACACAGTTCTAGATCCATTCCCGCAATTGCACAACACAACACCACAGCCATGTCCTTCACCCCCACCACCGCGATCGCGACAGTCGCAGAAACAACCCCCACCCCCACCCCCGCCAGCAACAGCATCCCCGCCTCTCTCCCGCCGCCAGAGTCCACCCACCCAGAGCACCAGTACCTCTCCCTCGTACGCCGCATCCTCACCGAAGGCGAGCACCGCCCTGACCGGTACCTCCATCCCTCTGCCCCAATTGAACAACAGCAGTGTACTAACACACCCCAGAACAGGCACAGGCACCCTCGCCCTCTTTGCCCCCCCACAACTCCGCTTCTCCCTCCGCAACGACACCTTCCCCCTCCTCACCACCAAGCGCGTGCACACCCGCGCCATCCTCCATGAGCTCCTCTGGTTCATCTCGGGCTCCACCTCCTCGCTCCCGCTGTCCGCCCTCGGCGTAAAGATCTGGGACGCAAACGGATCCCGCGCCGCCCTCGACAAGCTCGGCTTCACGGACCGGGCCATCGGCGACCTAGGCCCCGTGTATGGGTTCCAGTGGCGCCATTTCGGCGCCGAGTATCGTGGGCCCGACGCGGACTACACGGGGCAGGGCGTGGACCAGCTGGCCGCCGTCATCAATACGCTGAAGACGAACCCGTATGATAGGAGGATTATAATGAGTGCGTGGAACCCGGCGGACCTGGGAAAGATGGCGCTGCCGCCGTGTCATATGTTTGCGCAGTTCTACGTGGGCTATCCGGGCGGCAAGGGGAGTAAGGGGGAGCTGGGCTGCGTGCTGTATCAGAGGTCGTGTGATATGGGGCTGGGCGTGCCGTTTAATATTGCGTCGTATGCGGCGCTGACGAGGATGGTGGCGGGCGTGTGTGGGTTGGATCCTGGGGAGTTTATACATACGATGGGGGATGCGCATGTTTATGTGGACCACGTGGACGCGCTGAAGGTGCAGTTGGAGAGGGAGCCGAAGCCGTTTCCGAAGTTGGTGCTGAAGGAGAGGAGCGGCATTGATGAGTATGTGTTTGAGGATTTTGAGATCGTGGGGTATGAGCCGTGGCCGGCGATTAAGATGAATATGAGTGTGTAGAGCGGTGTGGGGTGGTTTAGTATAGAGGGGTTGGGATTGCTTTGCTTTTAATGATACCTGAATACATCGAATGAATTGATGCCAATGATGCTAATGATGCCAATGATCGATATTCCTTAAAAGTTATAGTTGTGACCTAACTACATATGTATAGAAACTCTAGCCTTACTCTATCAGTACAACGTCCCATTCACCCGCAAAGATTAGTATACACTAGCTAGTGTAACCAAAATAACACACCTAATTTTACCGCACACTAATCATTTCTACCCACCACTTAATCCGGGGACTACATGAGCCGTCCGGGTGTTACCATATATTGATGTAGCTGCGTACGGAAATGGTAGTTGAGATCAAACCGCCGCCGTTGAAGCAGGCCGGGGACTAGTTTGGGATTTGGGCATTGGCTGGCGTGGGATACATATATATAGGGGCGTCGTGGATGTTGGTTTGGGGGGGGGGGGTCATGGACTATCACTCATTCACTCATCTGTCACGGCACTAGTAGCGGGGCCGACTGACCGACGGGATTAGTATAGTATCAATGTCAATGATAACGATAACGATAATGGCAATGATGATATCAACGTCAATGATCACGATGCTAATAATTACTACCTACCTACCTACCTCCCTCCACAGCACACCACATTACAGCAAAGCCCAAATCACAAATCACAAAACGCAAGGAAAACCACTACGGAGCCAAGAATATAGAAAAAAAGGTCCCATCTAATTTGACTTAAACCTACAAAACCAATGATCACAGCGACAAATGAAAAACAACTTTCGAGAGAGAGACAGCGAAACAGCAGATAGAAAAATGCCACCAAAAACACAAAGGAAAGGATTAAACAGCAGCAAAGGGAAAAGATAGGAAATAAACAAGATAAATGAACTAACTCCCTAGTACGCCGCGGACAGAAGAAGACAAAGGAGAACAGAGCAGAACAGAGCAGAAACTACCACCTAGAAGAAAAAAAAGCTATAAAAAAGGGCCCCACTACAAGACCTTCCTCCTCTCCCCCTCCCTCCTCGGGAGTCTCTCCCTCACCACCCTCCTCTCCACCCCACCACCAGTAGACCTCCCACTCCCCCCTCCACTTCCACCCCCACCCCCACCACCACTGCCACTAAGACTCCTCTCCATCCCCTGCCCCCCACCCTCGTTAAACCCGAGCTGCTGCGTCAACTCAATCAAATCCCCGCCCACAAAATCCGACGCCTTGACCGTCCACCTCCTCACAAACCCCTCCACCACACTGCCCACATTCTCCAGCCCGACCGCCGTATCCTGCGCCAGCTCGCTGAGCGTCTTAAACGTCGGCCCGATCGTCACCGTCTGCTCATTCGTGTGCCCCCCATGCCCATGCCCCCCATGGGTAGTATGCGGATGCAGATCCCCCACCCCCGCCGTCATCCCGCGGAACACATCAGCCGGCGCGAGCAGCTCGCGGTGCGCGCTGTAGTCGTCGCCGCCCGGCGAGACGCCGCGCGTGTGCGAGCGGTGGGAGCGCCGCCGCCGCGGCGGGAAGTGCGATAGCTTCTTGCGCGGCAGGCGCGCGATCTGGACGGTGCCGACGTGCGGGATGGTGACGTAGGAGTGGTGCTTGTAGCGTCTCTCCCCTTCTTCTTCTTCTTCTCCTACCTTGTCTCCCGCCTCTGGCGGCGGAGCGGAGACGGTGGCACCCTTGGTCCCGCATGAGTCGACGGGTAGGAGGAGCGTCTTGCGGCTGCCCACGCCGTCTTGCGCCCACATGCCGTTTGCGCGGCGGAGGGCGTCGCGCGTGGTGTTGTAGGTTATTGCGATGCCCTCGAGCGTGTCGGTGGGTTTCACGGTGTGGACGTAGACGAGTGTTGACTGTTCTCCCTCCTCCCCTTCCTGGTTGCCTGCGGCGGTGTCGGGGTCGGGGGACGTGGCCCGTTTATGGGCCGCGGAGTGGGAGGCGTCGTCACGTCGGCGGCCGCGGCGCCGCGGGTGTGTGCTGCTGCTGCTTGTGGGTGCGGGGGCGGGGTCGTCGGGCGGGTTGAGAACGCTGTTGAGCCACTGGACGCCCCATGAGCTGCCTGTGCTGGATGTGGAGGTTGTGCGGCTCATGGCCGTGCTGCCGCCGCCGCTGCGGGAGGAGGCGGTGCGGGACATGGCCGCGGTGGTGGAGTGGGTGCCATTTGCGGCGAGGTTGGGGCTCTTGCTTTTACGGCGGGTGGGGGCCGGGGCGGCGGAGAGGGAGGCGGAGGAGGTGCTGGTTGTGGTCGTGGTGGTGGTGGTGGTAGTCGTGCTGGTGGATGGGCGGGGCATCCTAGCGGCGGGGCGGGGGAGGCGATGGGGATGGGGGGCGGCGATGCATGTAACGATGCTGCTGCTGCTGCTGCGGTGGGGTGTGTGGTGAGGTTGGAGCAGTGGTGTGAATAGTTGTGAAGAGTTGTGGTTGGCTGCGTGTGCCTGGTTGTACTGTGGCTGTGTGTAGTTGTAGTTGTAGTTGCCCTGGCGTGGGCCGGGAGCTCGGGTAAAGAGAGCTGTCGTTCGTCAGGTACGAGGGGTCGATCGCTGGCTGGCTGCAAAGGCAACGAGATCTGGGACCTGAATTGCTCTGCTCTGGCTGCCGGTCTGTCGGTCCGGGTCTGTCTGCCTGTTGTTTGTCACAGTGGGTGGTGCCTCTGCCAAACAAACAAGCAGAGTTTTTTTCTTCTTCTTCCCTTTTCTTCTTCTGTCTTGTCTGGTCGAGAAGGAGAAAAAAAGACAGGAGGGGGCACGGGTGTGTGTGCGGGTGGTAGCAAGGTAGCAAGGTAGCAAGGGAAGGTAGCAAGTGCAAGGGAGCGAGGTAACAAGAGTAGGTAGGAGGAGGGCGGAGTGGGCGTTAATTACGAAATCTCTGGGTGGATTGACCGGGCCTGAGCGGTAGCGCCTATTAATATGGCTATGGCTGGCTGGCTGGCTGGCACAGGAGCAATTCGAGTAACTCTCTCGTCGAGTCGATATCGGGGTGCTCTGCAATTGGGTTTTAATTTTGCTGTGGTTTACTTATCAGGCAAACCGAGCAGAGGTATTTCACCCCCTCCTCCTCCTCCTCCTCCTCCTGATACTGATAGGTACTCCTGTGGTGTAGTCTTGGTGTTGGTCTTGGGGCTTGAACAGCTAGCTAGGTGGGTGTTCTAGCTGTGTGCGGTCGGCCCTGCAGACCCGATCGAGGGGGAGCACCAGGCTAGTGCGCTGGGAAAAGCAATTATTGGATGCAGGACGGTGACCCCCTGGCTAGGAGGGGGCTTGGCGCGGTATATGCTAAACGGTGGTACCAGATTGGAGGTTTAATTGATTTGGAGATACTTGATATATGTCACGTAGTGACTCGTAGTGGGTAAGGTAGGTGGGACTGGTTCGTGAGGCGCAGATCTAGAGGTGTTTGGGGGCTGTTTTTGAAGGTTGGTGTTTACGTGACTATCTATGCCTTGTGTGTAGAAGGAGTAGATATATATAGTCGTAGAATGGTCCTATGGATATATTTATTAGTGCTATCTATAGTAAAATATGCAATATCACGATGCCAGATATTGGTCTCCGGACTCCTCCACCCCATCGGGGCGTCATTACGTCACACATGAATGAGAGAATGTGATCGAGTGATATCTCATGAAGCATACTGTCTCCAATAGTTCCTGCGCCGTCGATGGTGGATTCTGAGTGTCAATTTATCGATATTAGCGGTTTATCGATGGTAGTGAAGTTTGTAGATAAGTGCGGCGGGCCGTGGTGGTGTTGGATAAGCCGAGGCGGGCATGGGATGTCGTCTGCTACCCACGGTGGACTTACGGAACCCTTGCCCGTAAATTTATCTCACACTTACAATAGCTCCCGTTCGTACCCGTACTCGCACCCGTTCCCTTCCACTCCTACTCCTACCGAAAGCTTAAACTGTAACCCTTACCCTCCCTTGGCCCAACAACCCGTCCATCTACCCCACTACCCCACCATCCATCTCTCTTCGTCACCTTCTTACCCACCATCCTTCTTCGACACTTTTTATCCATCCATCCCTCTTCAACACTTCCTCGCCCACACACTGACAATACCTTTTGTTCACCCACCAGCAACAACAACTAACATGCATTCCACCATTGATGGATTTTTGGTGGAGATGATGAAGACACAGATAACCGCGCTCTTCCAAGGGCTTGGTGATGAGGAGACGGGGAGATGGAAAGGTAGGAACACGATTCTCTGTGGAGTCTTCTCGTGGGGGATTGGGAGATGGGGTGACGGTTTATTCTCGTCTTTCATCAGTTGTTCCTGTTTTCTGCTGTTTTCTGCTGTTTACTTTACTGCATGCATCGATCCTCTACATTTTGTCCTGTTTTTCTGTCCCACCCATGGCTCTGTGTCTGACTGTCTTCATCGAGCTTTATCATCTTTATCCCTCTCATCTTGCCCCTACGATAATTAACCTAATCTTTATCTCCCAAGCATGGCCTTATCTTCCTCTGCCTTCATCCATCTTCATCTTCTTTATCCCCCTCATCTTGCGTCAACCTTTCCCCTCGTCTTGCACCAACTTTCCCCCCCCCTCTCCTGTGCTTTTCCATATCGCTCACCGCTTCCCTTCATCTCACGCTTCCCCTTACTGTCACCTGTGCAAAAACCAAGAACACTATCAGCTTTCTTAAGCTTATCCTGCCATCATGTATTCGCGAGACCTCTTCATTTTCTCTTATATTCCTATTGTTTCGCTCCACTTTTTTCTCGATAGTTCTAGCCCACCCACAATCCCAGTCCATATTTTATTGTATTATCTTTTCCTTATATACCCTACTATATTCTTGGGTATTATTACCCCCGCATATTCCCTATCCCTATATACCCCCCTCATACCATTATTTTCTTAGACATCATACTTTCACTACCATGCAACAGCGCCCTTGGTGGAGTGTAGCCCCGCAACATGTCGCAGCGCACTGCAAGCTTTATCATGTAGATCCAGGATTCTGGCGGCAGGAATGCCGTGCAGGACTTAGGGTCGTAAGTCGATACTTGTGTCTTGGGCTCTGCGAGGTTTTCCTCATATTCTTGACCCATCCCCGTCCCCATTCTCCTCCTTCAATACTATTTCTAACTCTTTCTGCAAATATTGTGGCTACAAAATCCACTACTAACACCCACCGTCTAGGTCCAGCTACGACAGGGTTCTCACGTAGCCATCCTAAGCCATGGACCCAGATTCACTATTAGCACCCGTGATCCTGTGGTATGTGTCGCGCATCCTGGTTGCTTGACGCACTTGCACCGCACTCCAGATGGGCACACATTGCTGGATGATGGAGTGCTTCTATGTGAATCTGGGGGAATTGGGGTCTGGGGGAGGGGGCGTTCGATATAACTACTTCTCGAGGAGCCAACTATAAAGTGTTTAGTACTTTAATGGCTATACACAACGGCTGGAGTTGATTATGAAGCAAGTCGCGCAGCAGTCTCGTTCCTAGATACAAGATAATTACTAACGTCCACCGTCTACGTTTAGGTCCAACTACGACTGTTCTCACTACTAGCACCCGTGGCCCTGCGATATTTGTTGCGCATGCTGAGTGGTTGAGGCGCTCGCGCCGCGCGCCAGATGAACAACACATGTTGCTGGGTGACGGGTGCTTTTGTGTGGTTCTGGTGGGATTGAGGTTCGTGGGTGAAGATGATGGGGTTAGTGGGATCTTGGTTTCAAGTTAATGGGGTGGTTGCCCCAACTAGTAACTGCTTTTCGAGCGGGCAACTATAAAGGTTTACTACCCCAACGACTATATCACGATCGGACAAGGAACTTAGGATGCTAAATATATTCATTTCACACAGGAACATCCCGTGGTCCTGTGGTGTGTGTTTCTTGCTGTTGTTTCTGTGGTACCGCATCAGGCACGCGACACATACTGCTGGATGATGGGGGTGTTTTTGTGTGGATGTGTTAGGCTTATATGGACGTGAAGTGGTCACCCGATATAATCACGTACTCCTTGGACCGGTGGCAGCACATAGAGGAAAGGTCACATAATCCCTTTCACCGGCAAAGATGCTACTCTATGTGTGGATATCAAAAAAAAAGGTTGAATGAGCAAAGGGAACAGAGCTGGCAGGCATATGAACCATCTCTAAAATTGTAACGAAAAGATATCCCGGAACGACCGAAACTGGCACAGAGATATGTTCTGTTGGGACCATTTAGCTTCAACATCAGTGGGATCTGGATATATATCACGCTGTGGTGGGATTCCGCACGTTAGATACGATGGGGACGGGCAAAAGAATCTTATCATTTACAGTACCGCACTATTTATAACCACATCTAAGGATAGGCGCACAATGACGTAGCTTATCATCCCTCTATCCACGACGCTGGTAGCCACGACACTAGGTATTCTGGTAACTAAAGCGCCTACTAAAGGTCTACTTATAGGAAACACCAAAACCATAATTAGAGCGAGAATCAGAAGACCTCAATACCCGAAGATGGCGCTGAAATATGGAAAAGCTCAAGGTCTGGGCGTATGTCGACAACGTGGCTGGAAGTCAAAACAACCCATGCTTCGTCGTGGCTAGTAACTATAGAGGCATGTATACACAAGGCCTTCACTGACCAGAATTGACACAGCGCCTCAAAAAGAGCTGGTGCCGGTCTGAGATTCTAAGTGATCCATAATGATCTAAATCCTGTCTTTTAATATCGCCAAATATATGGCTAAATCTATAAGAAACGTCGGGGGACTTAAACAAATATTCATACACGGCACACAAAACTTGTCACCACAGGAATAATGCTGTGTATCGCGAGGGCCAGAGTCTATAAGACTGTAGCGACATCCGGGCACTCTACGCCCAGCCTAGTGCCATATTGGCCAGGAAATGGTTGGGCCAACAAGATTGCTGGATGAAAAACATATGAAAATTAACACTAGCTACTACGGACTATAGGACGAAAGCTCTAGCTAGCTGAACCTTAGTTAGCTGAACCTCAGCTACCAAATTAAAAATCTGGGTTTTCAGTGCGGGTAGGGTCGTAAATAAGATCATAAGATGCAGAAATTATATCAATGATCAAGGAATAGACTAAATTAAAGGTCCGGGACATTCCAAAAATGTGGGCCTCGAGGTGTATCCGGTAGGATTTCAATCACAGGATATCACTCGCTGTCCACTACTCACAATATTAGGTCAAGTATCTGTACCGTGTTACCAGGATATTAAATAGCAACTCTAACAAAGTTCTGGAATACAAGTGGGATATATATTAAGGAAGATGCGGACAAATCTTGAGAGACGTTGGTGCCAATTAAAGCCGGGAGGCTCTTGAAGCTACTGTGGATCAAGGCGCTCTAGTAGATTGTTTGAATTTCTAAATAGGGATCCTCTCTGGTCTATCCGGCGTAGGTTCGACTATGAGTCTTTTAGATATGACCGAAAGAGTATTGCCGTTCATGGGACTAACCGCCCTAGTCCATTACAATCACCGGACGACCAGATTTGAACTTTGTGGACGAGAAGCTATTACGAACCCAAAACAAAGTTTCTCTTTTTTATACTGGAAGATTGGGAAAATACATTCCAGCACATAACATAGCTGTTAGTTATTTTAGAGTAGACGCTACCCCAATCTTTGATAATGATGCCTCAATATCCCTGGTCATTGCCATCTCTTCAGTTCCAGCTTAGCATCTGGATCTATATTGCGCAGTACTAAATATCCATAGGCTGAAGGTCAATAGGCATAACAATCATTTATAAGGCTCCTGGCTAATGCTCTTCTCCAAATGGTGCTCCGGCTACATTATATCTCAACGCAGAGGACCAATTTTAAGCTTCTGATTCAAATAATACAGTCGACCAACTTTTCATACGCATATGCAAAGCCGCTTGGATATTATTTCTTATCATACAAGTACATCAAAAAAGGAAAGCTACATTACACATGGGTATAGGTACTCAATAACACCACTCACCCCGCCAACTCCACCAAGGCAGCTTCAAAAGCCTTCACCGCACCGGCCAGCACCTCCTCCTCTATGATACCCTCCTGCGCACAAACGCAAACACACATCTCCCCGCCCACCACACTCACCACACTAAACTCCACCGCAGACCCACTTACACTTGCACTCTGGCTAAATATGACCCTGCTAATGCCCCATTCACCCTCAGGAGTGCTCTTGAGCGCTCCCAGATTTGACACCTCAATGCTGTGCTCCCGCCGCATCCCTAGCTTCCCGAGAAAATACTTCTCATAGTCGCTCAAATACTTGAGCAACCCCGTATCGGTATCCTTCGTGCCTGTTTCTACCGCCTTCTGTAGGACGGCCCTACACCGCCTCGCCACACCCCACACATCCGCCGCCGCCCGACGTTCATGCACCACGGACACCGAGCACACCATCACGCCCATCGTCTCATCGCCCGCGCCCGGTATAAATCTCCTCAAATCAATTGCCGCCGCCGTCGACAGCTTCTCTGTCTCCTCGCCCAACACGCCGAAAAACGCCCTTGCCAGCACCGCCTCCAGCAGCGCTGTCACCGTCGTCCCCTCCCTGCGACAAGCTGCCACAACCCCCGCCAGAATTCCCGCCGGGAACACCACCGTCCGAACAACAGTCTTGAGCGGGATCTGGATCGCCGCGCCGCTCCAGTGCCCCGCATGCGTGGTTTTCGGGAACCATATCTGCGACCACAGCTTCGACACCGAGGTCGACATCGACACCAATCCCTCCAACGGCGCCGCCAGCGGTATCTCTGGCGGCACAACGACACTGGGCACCTCCTCTTCTGCCGCCTCACATGGCGTATTCAGCGCGCGCAGCAGCGCACGGTGGAACGCGAGGCCCGTGGCGCCATCGCCGAGGGCATGGTGGTACACGAACGCCACATCGACCCCGCGCGCCGCAGGATCAGGCGTGCGCGGCGCAATGATGACCACACGCCATGGCGGGAGGCGGCCGAGCTCGTGGAACTTGTTGTTGTGCTGCGAGGACAGGATCTCGTCTATTTCTGCGAGCTCCTCGGCGGGGTCTGTGGTGGCGGCGCGCAGGTGCGTGATTGTCACGAGCTCGTCGAGGTTGATGCGGGCGAGGCGGGCGAAGGTGGGGTGTGGGGTGTTTTCGCCGAGGATGGTGGTGCCGAGGGGTGCATGTGTGGTGATGAGGGTTGTGAGGGCGCGGTAGATGGTGGCTTTTGAGAGTGGGGAGGCGCTGGAGGTGTACCGGGTGGTGAGGGCGACGTTGATGTAGAAGCTGAGGTTGTGGCGGACTGTTGACCATTTCTCGAGCATGCCTGGGCGTGTGGGTTAGCGAGGGCGCATACACTGTGGACGAGGGGCAGCAAAGGGCCTTACCAACTGGGCGGAGGGTCTGGGCAATGTTCTCCGTCATGGTGGTCGTGGTCGTGGTCGTGGTGGTGGAGTTGGAATTGGTGGGGTTGGTGGTGATATGTGCTGCTGCTGCTGCTGCCGCTGCCAAAGAGAAGTCATGATCAGGAGCTCCCCTTCTTTAAGATCTCGCTATCTCTCTCTTCTACCCGGGTTGCCATGTAAACTAACTAATTGGCATCCCTGCCTGAGGCTTCCGGGATAGATAGTACCTGCATGGTTGGCGTTGCGGAAAGGGCAGGGGTGCATACTATTGCTCTTACCTACCCTTGAGACCTTCTGCGGCGTGGAGCAGTACCCGGGCCGAGGATGGGGGGAGCATCCGACGAAGATGTTGCTGGCATGTGCTTGACTCGATAACACATACAAGTATCTACCGATATATTCGGTAGTTAACTATAACTAGATGACCTTTCCTCATAATACATGAGTTGGGACTATTTATCTACAGCATTACAACATCAACACTGTATGAATGAGCACTAAACTACTACATAGACTAACTTATCAATTAAGATGATCATCTCGTCTTTGTTGGCTTCATGGTATCACTGCCGACCCTCCATATAGAATTACGGCCTATTCTTCGCCCGAAATCAAGGTCAGTGTATGGACACGGCAATACCATCATTCAATCACCTGTGGAGAGCCGTGCCGGCACCTATCTATCGTTCCGGAAGCAAAGCACTAGGATCCGTCAATTCTACAGCTATCCAAGATAAAGGCACCTCAGTCACTGAACACATTACTCCATGCACCAGAAAGAAGAACCAGGGATGGAGAACAATTGGCGGTTTTCGAGTCAAAAAAACGTCCCTCTTCTAGCCAGTATAAGCCAATAGAAGGTTTCACAAGTTCCGCTATACCAATAGCCGGGTGTGGCTTTTAGTACTGTACCTAATCGTGCTCCTAGTTACTCCACAGAGGGAGTTAATCAACCGAGTGATAGCTCATGATTAAATACACATCTATTCCGGATACCGAAAAGGATGTAGGCTATAAGCCCATGGGGGGTTTGGGCATAGATAAGAAAATACAGAGTTGGGAGAAGAGATGGAAGAGGAGAACATGTCGGCCGGGGGCGTGGACAGGGTCGGTTCCTTCATGCCATGCAGGTTGCGTAGTAAGGTGCATACATGGATATCACGTGCCTCGGAGTCATACACACATTCCATCTCATGGAGGCTGCAACTCTAATCACAAACATATTCCTCTTTGCCCCATAACCCTTAAAAGTCATTTATTATCAGCCGGAAATCCACTTGCAATTGTCGCATATACAGTGAGACGGACTGAGAGTGCATATTTCCACATATCCACTTGACAAACATCTCCAAATCGAACTCACCAAAAAAAAGACTATATTGCAACAATAGCCGAGGCACCCAGCATTGAGCTCAAGATCACAGCCCTCATCCAGGCCACTGCCAAACTTATCTCCATCGGTTACAGCTACATTAGCGGGGTCTATCGCTCGCCAAAAACCCTACACGAGCTTGTCGATGAGCTCCATGCACTCAGCAAAATCCTTGTTATTCTCAGAGACCATGCCGATAGCGCTGGGACAGGTGGTAGGGCGAGCTTGGGAGACCTTCTTGGAAGATATGGTTTACTCGAGAAATGCAGCAACGACTTGGACGATCTTTGCAAGAGTATCGAGCCAGATGGAGGGTACATGGGCGTGATTTATGGCCTGGAATGGCCAATGGGAGATGCCAGGACATCGGAATATATCCTGGCAATGGGGAGACTTCGAAGCTTCTTCAAGTGTGCTCTTCTCAGGAATGACAGGTGAGCTGTGATCTTATTGCACACGAGGTGTGTAGCACGCAGGATGGGGCCAGTGTTGACATTTTTGGAATATCAGCGCTATTTTAGCAAACCTCTCGGCCCATATCAAGAGACAAGAAGGTTTAATTCTAGAGATGGCGAATGATGAGGATGATCAAGGGCAGACGCCACTAGAAATTGCAGTTTGTGAGGGGAACACAGATATCGTCCGGATGCTGCTTGCCGCAGGCTCAGATGCAAGGATAGATATAAATTCCGGTACATTGCTGGGCACCGCGGCGAGGGGGGGGGGGGGGGGGGGAACTATGAGATTGTTCGGATGCTTATTGAACATCACGCATACCTGGCGGGGGACGACCCCTTATTACACAATGCAATACCCAGTGGAAATATTGAACTTGTAAAGTTTCTCATCGACTATGGCGCAAGCACGACGATTCAATACGTGGACATGTCGCCGCTGTTCTTTGCAATATTCCATGGGCTCAAGGACATAGCAGTATTACTTATAGAACATAGCCCACCAAGTGTTATCTCGGGGATAAATACCCGTTATAATAGTACACCTTTACATAAGGCATTGCGCAAATCGGGGTTTGAGGATGTCGTACGCCTACTTTTGGACAAGGGAGCAGATGTCTCGATACGCTCTTTCATCGGCACCCCAGCGCACCTGGCGGCATCTGAACCTAGCGAGCAAAACTTGCGCCTTCTCCTAGATAAGGGCGTGGATATATCAGCCGCTGGCCGCAGGGGCAACACGCTACTCCACGAAGCAGTAAGAGGAGGCCAGGAAGGAAATGTAAAGTTGCTTCTGTCTAGGGGTGCCGATGTGTCGGCTCAAAACAGGCATCGCGATACACCGCTTCATCGAGCGGTATATTATGGTAACGAGGTAATTATAAAACTGTTATTGGATAGCGGCGCAAATGTGTCTATTAAAAACTACAATGGCCTCAAGCCGTTCGAAATGGAGCCCGTGATAGGGGTGGATGAGGACAGTGAAGGTATCGAATGAGAGCCTTTGGGCTATTTAGCTGTTGAATTAGCAAGTATATATAGATGGAAAACAGTCCCAGGGGGAGATACATAGATCTAGGAATGCATCAAAACTTTTTTGAGCGGAATTCTTATTTCTATATCTATATACATACATATAGGGTCTCCTAGTTTCTTATATATCAATACGAGATACAGGATATCTCAATGTATGGGTTATTGGCATAGAACGCCACTAGCTCTATCCATACGCGGAACAACACACACAAATCCCAATTCGTGAATTGGCGGGCTTGAACTATGTAGAGACTAGCGGATGATACTCTTCTATCCGCGGCGTGACATCTTGACCTGATTGTGCGCGTGTCTGGATATATCGTCAAAAACCCCACATTATTCAGGTAGGATGGCGAGATAGAAGGCACCGCAGTACAGAAGGGTGCTCTACGTAAGCCAAGCGCTATGTTGAAAAAAGTAGGACGAGATATATAGTGAAGTGGCTTGGTTATTTATCGAGAAGAAGTCTATTATATAGTCACGGCTCAGATCAGACAGCAGTCATGGCGAGATGGCAATATTGCCGCAACAACAGCTGTCGACATGACACGTTCGGACAGCCTGTCGACATCATCCGAAAGGTCAAATATTCCACCAAGCTTGTTGAAACATGGCTTCCCACCCTAGGCCTAGGTAACTATATGTATTTATGTAGTACGTTGTCACTTGAATGATCACTATGGGATCAATTATAGTAGATGATGGAAATCACGGGATAGTCCGGGATACGGGCATATAAGGACACTCATTTGTGCTGCATCTTTCATGTCAACAAGGCAGTCAACAAAGCAGCTAACCAACTCCCGTCCATATTTGCCAAGAAGCTAACTAAATAGATAGCAATCGAGCGAGTGATATCCCATGACGCACGTATCTCCAGAAACAGTCTCGCACACAGCTGTATTTATTTACTACATGTAATTTATCTTTAGCTCCGGTCTACATACTACAAAAAAAAAGAGACAAAAAGTACTGCAACGACTGCTGGTACGAAACCACACTAGCTGTTACTACTCCCACCCCCGGTTTGAACTCAGGACCTTGCCCAAACACTCGGTGTCTAACCCGACGAGCCGTCTAGACCACTAGACCACTCGCCCATGTCTGGTATTGGGTCGGAAGTGATATTTAAGCTAGCTTGGCAGTGCGCCAAGATGGGGAGGAACCCACCTAACCATTCGATTTTAAATCTTGATACTCGACCATCCGCGCTGGGCATGCTTTCTATCAGCGTATACTGTGTATAGGAGCTTGGTAGAAGCTAGACTTGATATACAGCGGAGCTCTCTCATCGAGCCGTCTAGCCTGGTCAGGCTGAGCAAGTGGCTAGATTACGGTCATTACCCAGTCCCAGATGCACCCTAGGCCCGGTCACATCAATTGCTCAACCCGCAAATCCTCCTCCACAAGACATAACCAATGATCACCAACACAAACACACGAACAGCCACAAACAAAAAAGAAGAACAACCAAATTAATTTCTACCTCTGGCATCCCCAGTCACCTACCTACACACCTTGCCCCCCACATACACACACAGACACGCACACACACACGAGAGAGAACAAAAAGCTACACATGGTTCAATTTTTACAGCAAAAAAGGTGGCAAGAACAAAAGTGGCACAGATACTAACCCGCATATACTGCTCTTCGTGCGTCCTCCCTCCCCTGCCCCCTCCCCCCCAATCCTGTTCCCTTCCTCCGCCCATTACTACAGCAGCAGTAGATCCCCGCCCGTACTCGGCGAGTACAGATCCTGCGGCACGCCCTGACTCACGACTGTAACGCGCACCGTCAGCACAAGCAACCAACCAAGCAAGCAAGCAACCACCCCTCCGCTATGCACTCCCCCGCCCCCACACCCTCACACCACCACCACCACCACCACCAACAACAACAACAACTAGTAAAACACCGCCCTCCGCCCGCTCTCCAGCTTCTCCCAAAACCTCTCCTCGGAATTCGCAAAAGACTCACCATACTGCCCACCCCCCTGCACCGGCCCACCCCCCACCGCAAACGGGTTCCCGCCGCCTCCTCCCCCCACCCCCGCAAAATAGTCATCCGCCTGATCCACCGCCTCCCTGATATCCCCGCCCAGCAGATCCACCCCACCGCCCACCCCGCCCCCGGGACGCCCCGCATCGCCCCCGCCACCCCCCATGCTGCTCATCGCCGCCCGCGCCGCCTCCTCCGCAATCGCCGTCGGCAGCATGTGCCGCTGCAGCGCCGGCGAATCCGTCAGCCGCTTCGGCCGCGCCGTGCGAAACACCTGGTTGACCGGCTTCAGGTACACGGTCGCCAGCGTGCCCACGTTCAGACACATCTCCTCGAGCGTCGCGGGGTCCAGCTTCTCCGTCTCGGCCGTGATCGGCGGCTTCTCGCCCATGACGATCTTCTTCGCCGTCGCCGGGTCGGCCGATAGCAGCCGCCAGTACATGTAGCCCCTGTCGCGCAGGTCCGGGTTGTCGGTCTCCTCGGTCGCCCACTTGAGCACCTTCGGCACGAGGTCCTGGCCCTTCGTGGGGCGCTGGATGAACAGCTTCACCGTGGCGGTGAGCAGCGCGAGTTGGACCTCGACGGGCTCGTCCGCGAACGAGAAGAGGAAGTCCTCCAGCAGCACGTCGCTGTTCTCGATGCGGTCGGCGTACTGGCCGATGACCCAGATCATGGCGGCCTTTGCCTCGGGCTCGTCGAGCGAGTCGAGGTTCTCGCACAGCGTGGAGATGATGGACTCGTATTGGTTGGGGTACTTGCGGAAGATGTTGCGGATCACGACGGTGGCTTCTTGTACGATGTAGGAGACTTTGGTGGACACGAGCTCCAGCAGCGTGTTGATGCATTGGCGTGCGGCGGGCTCGATCTTGATGGCGAGTTTGCCGATGGCGCGGACGGACTTGCGCACGAAGTGGACGTCGATTTCGGTGGCGTATCTGGCGGGTGTTAGTATAGGTGTGGGGAGAAGGGGTGGGGGCCTGTGGGAATAGAACTGAGGGAGTCCCGGAATATATAGTGGGCAAGAATGGGGTATCAAGAACACAAAACACCGCAGAAGAAAGAGCCAAAGACACAGCCAGAACAGCAAACCACACGCCCCCAAAGAAAAACACAAAAGTACTTACTCCCTCAACTCCGTCAACACCTCCTCAATATTATCCTCATTCGCCAGCATAAAGATCAACTCCAGCTTCGTGACCTTGACATAGATGGGGTCATTATATTTACAAAAAAACACCCTAATATCGTTCCTCAGCACCTCCGGCCTGCGCTGCAATATCAGCAGGGCGTTCCTCAGCGCGAGATACTGCACCTCAGGCCCCTTCGCCAGCAGCGTCACCAGCGGCGGCGACAGCTTGCGGCACAGCGCCGAGATCTCCTTGGCGTCCGAGATGTAGTTCATCAGGTAGAGGATCACGCGGATGCACGTGAGCACCACGGACGAGTTGGAGTGCTGCAGGCGCGGCGAGATGCGCTCGGCCATGATGGAGGCTTCGTCGGTGGTCTGCGGGACGTAGGCCATGAGCGCTTCGAGGATGTAGGTTTGGCCCCATCTGTACCCGTTAGTTAGCGGAGTCCTGCACAGCTGCTACTACTGACAATAGGAGGGGCCGAGTGCTGGCATATGATGCTACCCACCACCCGCCCACCCCGGGTGAGTGATCCGCCATGACGCAACCCCCCCTACCCAAGAAAAACTACTTACTCCGAGCAGTCCGGCAAGATCTGCACAATCTTACTCGCATTCGTGTGATCAATGGTCAACTTGATATTCTCATTCCTCTCCCATATATCCATGAGCGCCACCAGCGCGCTCGCCACCACGGTCGAATTATCGTCCTTGAGCAGGCTATTGAGGCCCTCGATGAGGCCCTGTGCCTGCGCCGTTCCCGCGATACCCTTGCCCGCGGAGCCCTCGACGAGCTCGCGGTCGTGGTCGTAGAGCTTCGCGACGCAGAAGGCCGCCGTCTTGCGGACGTAGGGGTCGTTGTCGCGGAGGAGGTGGCGCAGCGGCTCGACGGTCGCCTCGATGAACTGCGGGACGTGGATGTAGGACATGGTGCGCAGGGCGAGGGCGCGCACGAGCGGGTTGGGGTCTTCCATGTCGCTGATGAGGATGGGGAGCGCGCGTTGGGCCATGTCGGGCTTGACGCGGCCGTAGTTGACGAGGAAGAGGAAGCACCTGGAGGGTGTCAGTATGAATCTATGTTTCTCTGGACAGTGGGGGGGGGGGGGGGGGGCAAGGGGACGGACATCTTCTTGATCTCGAGCGTGGGGATGGTCATGCACTGGATGACGTCCGGGAAGAGCGCGGCCATGTCGTTGTTGCTCATGGTCATGTTTGCGACAATCTTCTTGAGGGCGATCTTCTTGCGCGAGAAGTTCTTGTCCTTCTTGTCGCTGTTGAGCTCGGCGCGGAGCTCGGCTACTTTGCCCTGGTGCCATTGTCAGTTTTTAATTGCTTTAAATATTTTGATATTTTTTTTTTTTTGGGGGGGGGGGGACGAACCCGAGCGAAGAAACGTGCATCGCCGCCGCTGGCCATGGTGGTGATGCGTGAAGGGGGGTGACGACGGGAGAGCTTGGTGGGCAGGTTACGGGATGGTGTTTGGAGAGGGAATGGATGCAGGAGTAGAATAGATAGATAGATAGATAGACAGACAGACAGACAGACAGACAGACAGACAGCTGCAGAGAGATAGACAGAGAGGTAGATAGAGCACAGCAGCAGATATGTCGATACAACTGCTCAGTTCCCAGCTCAGTTCCCAGCCAGTGTTTCTTCCGCAGCGGAGAGCTCTCGCAGCACACCCAACGACGTCCAGCAACAACTGCAGCGGTGCAGCTCAGTCCGTCCAAGCCCAAGTCTAAGGGGCGGTGCTGCCAGCGCCGCTGACATAAGCAATATCCCCAATCGGTGCATGGCTGGCATCTTGCTGGATCGAACCTCACACCTCACCTCACCTCTGTCTGTCTGTCTTCTTCTCACTCACTCCAACGAGCGTCCCCACCAGCACCAGCACCCGCAGCCTGCCACCACTCACTCGCTCACTCACTCACACCCTCTCACTCGTTACACACCCGCACTACTACTACTCCCACTACTACTACAAGTACCTACAGCTCCAAATGGCACCTTCAGGCCCCCCCCGTCTCGCACCGCTCCCCAGCCCGCAGTGGGTCATCGACCTCAACAACCTGCCCACCCGCCCCAAACCCACCGGCACCACCCCCGACCCCCCCGGCTTCAGCCACTCCCCGCACAAGACCGTACTTCCCCCCCCCCCCCTCCCCACACGCACCCACTAACCACGTGTACAGAAACCAGGCAGCAAGCCCACCCCCGCGCCCACGCCCATCGAGACCGACGAGCTCTTCCTCAAGAAGGCGTGGGAGCTGGCCCTCGCGCCGGCAAAGTCCATCCCCATGAACGCAATCATGATGTACATGTCGGGCAACACGCTGCAGATCTTCAGCATCATGATGACGGCCATGCTGTTCATGAACCCGCTCAAGGCGCTGTCGTCGGTCGGGGCCACGTTTGCACGGTTTGAGAATGAGCGCACGAGGGGCAGGCTGTGGGCGGTGAAGATGGCGTATGTGGGGCTGCAGGTGGCGACCATTGTGTTGGGCGTGTGGAAGGTGAATGGGATGGGGTTGCTGCCGTATGTGCTTTCTCTTTTCCTGGGGTGGTTGGGGGGGTGATGGGGACAGATTGCTAATTGTTTGGTTTGGTTTTTTTAGGACTACACGGTCGGATTGGCTGGCGTGGGAGAGGGAGCGGCAGTCGTTGGAGTATTCGGCGGCGGCGTTTCAGTAGGGTCTTTTTTTAGGCATGTAATGTGATGTGATGTGAGTAGTGGTGAGAAGGGGGCGAAATGTGAATGTGATGATTGTGTGTGTTTTCGTCCTATTTTTTTCCTTTTCTTTTTCTTACCTTCGTTTGATGTGTAACTTGCCCTTTGTCCTGTGTGAACGGGGCGAGAAAAAGAAAGGAATGGATGGCAGGAATAGGACTGGCGATATTGATAACGTTGACTTGAGTGCAAGTGCGAGTGAGAGTTTGGATAGAGTGAATAGATTTTCAATTGCGGCATTGCGGTGTTTGTGCTTGAGTATTTAGGCATTTATACTGAAAGTGATACTGGCACTAGTATTCCTACGGTAGCACTACTATTCTAGGTAGCACTGCTATTCTCCGTATATAGCACTACTACTACAACACTAGCTAGTACTATTCACCCTAACCCACACCCATTTCCCACCACTTAATCATTACCCCTCCCCCTCCCTCCTCCTCCTCCCCTCCCTCCCCTCCCTCCCCCACAACCCACAACCCCTCACCACCCCCCACAACAACCCCTACAACTTACTAACCCCCCACCGCGGCTTCCTCCCCTCCACAAAACTCGCCAACCCCTCCTTCACATTCTCCCCCCCCCTCAACACGCCCCCGACACCGCCCCACACCCCCGCCACCTTCTCCCCCACCCCCCCCGCCTCCCACGCACTCCTCAGCCCCGCGCGACTCACAACCACACTCTCCGGACTGCACCTCACCACCTTCCCGGCCACCTCCACCGCCGCCCCCACCACATCCTCGTCCGGCCCCACCACACGGTTGACGATGCCCCAGGCCTCCGCCTCGGCCGCGGTGAGCACGCGGCCGGTGTAGGCGAGCTCGCTGGCGCGCGGGAGGCCCACGAGGAGTGTCAGGCGCGGGAGGGCGCCGGCGAAGGCGGCGACGCCGATGAGGGACTCGGGGAGGGAGAAGGTGCTGGTGGGTGTGCAGAGGGTGAGGTCGGCGTTGAGGGTGAGCTCGAAGCCGCCGCCGAGGGTGAGGCCGGAGATTGCGGTTATTACGGGTTTTTTCTGTTGGGGGGGGGAGGGGGGGGGAGGTTAGTATTAAATAAAATAAAAAGAGGTGCGGGAGGGGAAGGGGGAGCTTACGCCGGTGCGTTGGGAGAGGCCGGCGAAGCCGCTGGGGGGGTGGGAGGGGCCTTCGGTGGTGGTGGTGGTGGTGGGGTTCGTTATTGAGGTGTGCCATTCTGGGAGGGTGTTAGTGTTGGGGGGTAGGAAGTAGTGGTAGATATTAGTAGAAATGGTAGGAAATAGTAGAAATGGTAGCTAGGAATGGTAGTGAAATAGAGTTTAATCGTAGTTAAGAATAGTTAGAAATAGAGGTAGTAAATAGCAGGCTAGATAGTAGTCGAGATAAGAGATGGTAACAAATAGTTGAAAGAGTAGAAACAGTAATAGCTTTGAGCAGCCAATTCTCCAAACAGTAGCCAGTAGCAGCCCGGCCATAAACGGTAAGCAGCCACCACCAACACGCCACTACCCCCCCCCCCCCCCCCCCGCGGGGCGCCAACCACCCAATTGGTACTACTGATATGATTCAATTACCGCCTGCTCCCACCCGGCCACAAACACATTGCAAGCCCGCGCCGCCCGCCCCCATCCCGCCTCACAACAACCATCCCGCCCACCCCACCCGCACAAACAAAGAAAAAAAACCACAACATACCTTTCAGATCCTGCCCGACACAAAACGCCTCCTTCTTGCCGCCCTTCGCGCCGGTGACAATGGCGCACCGCAGCGTCGGCTCGCTGTCGTACCACTCCCACAGGTTGTGCATCTCGTGGTGGCCGGCCGTGTTGATGCAGTTCATGTGCTGGGGGCGGTTGATGGTCACCAGCAGGATCTGCGGCGTCGGGAAGGCGAGGAGCGTGTAGACGAGCGGTGGGGGCGGGGTTGTGAGGGCGGGGGGGAGGGCGGTGGGGTAGGTCGTCATTTTAAGTGGAATTGGGGAATTGGTGGAATTGGGGAATGGGTGGAATTGGGGGGGTGGGTGTCAATTGGAGTGGAATTGGAGTGTGGGTATGGTACTGTAGTTAGTTGGAGTGCTTGGGTGTCAATTGGAACGTAGATAGATAGCTAAAGCTATTGTGTCGTGGTGAAGCTTCAATAGCTGTAGCTGTAGCTGTGGTGGTTAGCTTATTTTATATCGCATCTCGCTGTAGCTCTTCACCGCATAATCCGGGGTATTCAACTACTGTGCAACTGTGGGGAGCACAAGCCGAGGCTAAGTGCGCCGCCGAGGCAACAACGTGGGGTGGGTGGGTTAGGGGTGGGATAAAGAAATGATCAGGGTGCGGGTAAATGGTGAAGGGCCGGTTTGGGTTTGCTTGTGAGGAAAGAGGGCCGGGCAGGGGCATACCTACAGATTGTAATGGTTGCTGGATATTGGTTGGTTGATAATTCATTGATTACTTTCATGGGTGCTGCACAGTTAGTTATGGCTTGTTCGGTGTTTTGCGTTTTTGATACTGAGTATTGAGGCGGGTGGGGGGTTTTGGCTACATATGCTCTGTTTGTAAATATTTAGTTAGCTGATTGCAATTGTAACTAAATCACAAATACGATCTCTACCAGTGATAACTAGCAAAACCAAACCTATAAAAGCCCCCACCCCCCTCCCCCAGAGCATCTCCCACATAAAACACCATCACCTATACCATACCGTACCCACCCCGTATTACCAACCCTCCAGCTCTCTCTATATATATACTCCCACGACTACGCTATACTGCGATAACGAAGCATGTATTACAGCAACGAAGACGGTCCAGTAAACCCAGCCTTCGCTAAAGCTGTTCATATCATTTATATACACCCACCCATAGAGCCCGCCGCTGTTCCCAACATCACATAAACCAAAATATGGAGCACAGCCAAGATTTTCCAAAGTATCCTATCACCAAGCATAAGCCCATACCGAGCGCTAAGAAACGTCCTCTTATCCTGATATGCACCACTTGTATACTAGGCATAAAGGACACAGACGAAAAAGGATATTCCTCCTCGGCGCCCTATTGTATAAAACTGCGTGTATCGAATGCGATTGCGCCGTCGAACTACGAATAGCCATGTTTTCCGGCGTCCACGTACCTCGCAATGATCACTACCAACGTCTAGAGCTAGTGCATATATATAGTGAATGGCACATACATCACTCTTCTCTTTCCCCTTTTCCTCGTAGAAAACACTCATTCAAGCGTCGCCGCGCTAAGGGATGCCAAAGATGATCGACTGTTGGAATCCGTCCCTCCGTCTCTCCGTCTAGTATTTGGTAGTATCGTTGCTCTTTGTGGCAGGGTTCGCACACCCAAGATTTGGTCCCTATCCAGCGTTTAAGCAGCACCACCAGATATATATCAACCATGTGCGCACTTACGGCCACTGCAGCTGGCAGATATCACAAACAGACTACCTCTGCACATCCCCTGCCGCACAAGAGAGAGAACTTCAACTCCGCATCATAGCTCATCACCCGGCCGCTAGCAGACATTACCAACAATGGCTGCGCCTCTGCACTTCCCCCGCCCCACGAAAGACACACTTCGACTCCGCATCATAGCTCATCACCCGGCCGCTAGCAGACATCACAAACAATGGCCTCTGCACATACGTCCCCGCCGCACAAAAGGAAGCCCTCACTCCGCATCATAGCGCATCACCCGTCAATCGCTGCCAGACCCAACCACGGGAAATAATCCGGCTGCACTTCAACAATGGGGAATGTGAAGACTCGGCCCTAGACGTTACTATTACTGTCCGCATCGCAAAAAAAAAAAACCCCCCCCCGAATATGGTTCTGGTGGTTGTAGGTGAAAGAGCTCAACGCGAGCGCTACTAGCTCGATCCCGCAATTCCCAGACTCGGCCTATTATAATGGCTGGCTCCGGGTTGCGGGGAGACGATGATCGAAGTAGTCCTGGTTGATTGGGCATGATGCACGTGCGCGCACTTTATAATTATATATTGTACTTCGACAATCTGGAGGTAATCATCGAGCCGATAGACGAGGCATCCACAGCTGCTACCCCAGCCCCCATTAAGGCCTCCCTCTACTCCTCTAAATATCTTGCGGCAGAGGAAGGAGAGTGGGAGCACCGACAATTGCTTGCTAGCGGTATAATATTATTCGCAATGAGCCCTGGGCCGTACGGCAGGTACGAGACGTACGAACTTCTCTGGTTGGAAATCGATGAAGACGACGAATTCTCAACGAAGGATGCTACCTAACTGACAGCGCCGTGGTAGGTTGTGGGTATTACAAAATCGCTCTTGTAAGCTTCTATAGGATGATATGATTTAAGTTTGCATCATGAGTGTTTTTGGTGATTGTGAGCGTATGATTAATGCCTTGGGCTTTGGGGGAGCGTAGCACCCTTTTCAATGGCTGTGAATGACAGTTATGCTATGTGGGATCGGCCGGTCTCATCGCGGACCATTCAACTCCTTGAGACACCGGCCGGTCTCGTGGATTATTAATTAAGATAAATCGTTATGTGGTTTGGCGGCCGCGGGGGGGGGGGGGGGGGGGGGTCCTTCCTTCCTTTAATATCCTACATATATGCTTGGTCGATATCATCATTCTAGATCTTTCTCTAGTGGAGAGGAAGAGTTATACCATGGATTATTTAAGTACCTTTGCGTCATGGATTATCATCTTATTGTGTTTTTATTGTCCCCTATATAGTCATACTCATTTTAGAAGTCGTATATGCGGGAACAGGGTTCCGAACAATAAAAGTTGTTTATTTCCTTTTATTTTTATCATTTTCTTTGTCCCATTCGGGAAATTTAAATTCTTTATTCATTTGATTTTTTCCTCATTCCTTTTTCTTCCCTTTTTCTTAGTCATTTTAATTCTCTTTCATGTACGTAGTGTTAATTTCATTGAATTTTCGGGAATTTTCACAAAAGGCTGGTCGATATATTTCACTTTCTAGAACTGTCTACTATTTTGATAGAAAAGTTTCACGGCTATGAATAGAGAGCCAAAGTGGAAATAAAATAAAAATTATCCGCTATAATAACTAAAAGTGCCTTGTCAGTACATCCCTTTTACGCACCCACCTTGACATGAGTATATCGTGTGTATCTTATGGATTATTCTTATTCTGCACTGCTAGAACAGGGTTCGGAATGATAAAAAGCTGGCTCATCAGTGAGTAGCCGTGAAGATTTTCCTTTTTCATTGACGAATTTCCCGTTACTTTTCTTCAGAATATTTCTGGCCGCCGGCGCGGCGCGGGGCGGTCTTCTTTTCTGGCCTGTATACATATCTGTTGGCGGGGGGCGTACATAGAACAGACATAGGCTGGCATTCGCGGCGCATCGATACGTTGGCCCTTTTTTTTATATGAATCCCCGGCGCCCACTACACAGGTGTGCGGGGATGGATTAGAGAACTTCCTATTTTAACTATATATAGAACTGAGGAGGTAAAAGAGAAAGGAAAAAAAATTGTTTGTATAGTGGATCTAAGCGGGATTCGAACCCGGTATCCGCTGTCGCCATAAGTTTCCTAAACCGGAGGCATATACCACTATACAAACAAAACTTGGTTGGAGGAACTGCTTGCTGGGGAAGATGGTAAACGTAGCACACGTATACGTATGTAGTCTCGTACCCATCCCGTACCGTACTTGCAGCAAGCTAGCTGCCCACCAGTCCCAATAAGCCGTCCGTCGGTCTTTCTTTCTGGCGTATATACAATGTATCTGTTGGCGGGGGGCGTACATACATGTACAATGTACATAGACAGAACAGACATATTTACAATACCAAGATTGGGGTGTGGGATGGTACGGCAGTGCTACGGTAGCACTGCCGTGATGGGGTATTCTCAGGACAGCGGCATTATTTCAGAATTTCGAGGAATATATTTTTTATAAAATACCGTTTATTCTTTGTTGTCTTTCTTTATTTCACTAGTAAAACTCTTTAACTCACTTTATTTCACTTTCTAGAACTCTTTCTAGTAATCTGTAGTTTCACTATAGAGATGAAGCCATAGAGTACTGCAGCTACAGTCATTTATTTATTTTTCGTTACTATAAATAAATATCCATACCCGATAGAAAAATATATCATGGACTTTCACACATATTAACACCCCTTTTGATCATAAAGACCCTAATTTGGCATGCACGGCCGCGTCTTTATCTTGCATGATCATTATTTCTTTGGTTTCTTAGAAGGCATGTATAATTTTGCACTCTTGTGTCCTGCTTATTCTCATTCTGTGACACGGTGTTCGTCCACCCCAATTGACAGCACTAACCTATCACTTGCTGGAACATGCTGTCGGCAGGCGGATAAAATGACCCATCAGTACTTGCCCGTCTTCCTTTTACGGATAGCCACTTTCCTTTTCAGGACAATAGCTTCTTTTATTCACTTTATTTTCATTGTATTTTCCCGCTTTCTGATTCACCATGGTTTCACTATGGAGAAAATATCATATATAGTGAAGCCATAGATTGCTTGTTAGATTTCCTAGCTATAAATATTAGGCCATGATCGATAGGTTAATGGATAATTGATTTTCTGAAATACTTGTCTTGAGACACTAAGTTCGCCTTTCCTAATTGACAGTACTAACCTGTCATAATTTGTCTATTTGAATGTTTTTATATGTACCACTCATGATCATCAGTCCCAAAGGAGTGTATATTGATTCACATTCCAGAAAGGTGTTTATAATTATCGGTGTTCCCGGCTAGTATATACACTCTTAGACGCCTCTTCGGACGGTTAATACGGCTATTTGCGTATCTTCGAGACTTATTTCTGCTTTAGAAGTTATTGCAAGCAGATGTTGCTGGTCCGAGACTTCTGGTGACCGGAACTCCTTGCTTTATCATCCAATCACAAAATATCACTCGATCGAACCACCTCTCTACATTGGCCATTTTTTTTTTTTTTTTTTAATTCATTAATTTGCATTGGCCATTTTCTATATAGATAATACAGTCGAATCGAACCCTAGAGATATAGACATCGTAGATTCAGATCAATATATTCTTAAAGTGCAGAGACCGTGATAGGGAGGTCAACGACACCTTTTATAGTTCGAGAATTAGAGGATAATCATGGCCTTCAGAACTTGATTGGTGATTGAGTATTTCCTAATCATATTTGCTACAATTTAATCTCGCGCTGGATTCTCGACCTTTTCTTTTATTTAGTTTTGGTTCCTAGTATCCGAACACTGTCTTTTCTTTATTGCATCTTCTGAATTCCCAGCATAGAACCCGTGCTAGATCTAGAGGGTGTATAAGACCTCATGTAACCATTGTTTTGTGAACCCTAGCCTGACTCTTTCTTGCTGGTGGGTGTGCACCGTCGCTGGGTTTGTTATCTCTGAGATGCATTTATGTCGGTCGTTGAGTTGGTGCCGCAGGTAACCATCAACGGTTCCCCGAAATCCATTTTGTCTTTAGCCCCGGGGGCATGTATGTTTGAAGCCGTGACTCAGACGTAGACTTAAAGTGAGTTAACCCCAGGAATTTTTCCCCCGGAAACAGGACAGAGCAACACTTCATCGTCTTTCCGAAAGCTTTATCTGATGATACACTTATGACGGGTGGTTGTCTTTATCGAACAGAGTTCGAGTTCGATGGCAAATTCTCTGTGTTCGTGCACGTGTAAATCAGTAGGAGTGAAGGAAGACTAGCTCCCTAGCCCTTGCAATACATACATCTAGTTGATTGAGAGATCCCTGAATATGTAGCCAATATTCCTGACTGGAGCAGCGTATCTTAGGCCCGAATAATCATAGGTCATCACTCGCCTATGAAAAGTGAGCAAATTTAGCTTTTTTATAGCGCATGTCCAGGATCTAGGGATTATTGAAGCCATTATTGAAGCTACCTGTGCCTAGTGAACACTTCAAACCGTACTTGAGGTCATCCCCAGCATATGTGGGCATGGGCATGCATTGCCTACATCGCCTCACCTCACTGGTACCCATAGAGACATCAACTACGCCCCCCCCCCCCCCCACTTCCACGACTGTGTACCAAGCGACGAAAGCCGCAAGGTCTGGTCTGGGTCCCAAATTGACACTGGACCCAGACCAGACTATCGGTACCCACAGCAGCCCAACAAGCCCGCGGCCGACCCTTTTGTCGTGTTGCCCTCCGGGGGCTTTTTTCTTCTCTTTTTTTCGAGCCATCTCCAGGGCCACGAAACGAATGGGGAATGGTGGCATCTGTGAGTTTCCCAGTGAATTCGATTGAGATAAAATAAGCTAATCATAATTAGAAGATAAACGACGAATTACGCCCGCCTTTTCCTCCCTCTCCAGCTGTCCTTCGACCCCACCCTGTCCTCGAAGATGAAGCCACCGCCTCTCCCGCTCTCGCCACTCCCTCGCCGCTCCCTCGCCGCACCTTCTCTCGCATCCCACGGCTTTTCCGTGGTCCCCGGGGGGCGTCGGCCGCCCCCCAACAGCTAGAAAGGTTCCGTTGAGAGAACGAATACCCTCAACGGAACCTTTTTCTTTCAACTTGTTTTACCCCTGCCTCTGTGTGTGGCTGGCCGGCGCCTGGAGTCGAAGAAAAGAGGGACTTAGTCCCTCTTTTCTTTCGACTTGTTTTATCCTTCTGTGTGCGTGCGTGGTTGGCGGGGAGGACTGGGAAAGGGGGGGTATCGTCCCCCCCTTTTCTTTCGACTTGTTTTACCTGTGTCCCCGCTTCCTGGGGGCAAGGTAAATATAGATGCGGAGGCCTTTTAGGAGGAGGAGGAGGAGGAGGAGGAGGAGTGGAAGAAAGAAAAAGGGATCTTCGGATCCCTTTTTTTCTTTCGACTTGTTTTATCTGCCTGCGTGCGGGTCGGGGGAAGGGAAAGAAATCTTCTTTCTTTCGGCTTGTTTTAGCCTCCCTTCCTTCCTGCCCCTTATAAAATAAAACCTTTTTTCTATTCGTGTGTTCTTATAAAAAGCCCTTCTTCCTCTCCTTCTTCTCCCTCTCCATCTCCCTCTCCTTCTTTTCCTCGCCTTCTTTTTCCTCTCCTTCTTCCTCCCATTCTTCTTCTTTATAATTAGTTTTGATGGATACGCAATGTTTTAATGTTTAGATCGCCTAAAGGTTTCCTTCTTTAGTGCTTTCTAGCAGATAGAGAATGTATTTTGGAAGTTTTCCCCAACAAAATACCTGAGTTACTTGCTATTGCTTAGACGATCAGTTGACTGAAACGGGAATTGCTAGCCATACATGATAGTTTTTCTCTTA